TAAGACCAAGAAATCTAAGTCAGAAAGACATTTCGTAAAGCGTAAAGATCGCGAAGGTATCCACTTAGTATGCGAACTCCGCTCTACGTAGCTTAGCGTGATTCGCTAGTTGAGTGTAAAAGTATGACGAAGGTTAGAGATTGACAGCTCCGTAAGGTGTCACCTTTATAAGCAGTGACCCACACTTTCCCAGAGAGATCAGAGCTGGTCCCCGTTGTAATAACTTGCGTAATAAAAGAGAGAATAAAAGAAATAGTCAATTGAACGACGAGTGTTAGGAAATTAGTTCTAACAAAAGCGTATTTCTCGCATGAAGTTCATCGGTTGAAATACTGAAAAGCCTCCTGTCTTCAGTTTTGAAATGCATAATTATATGCATTCGTCACACGGAATGTGGGATCCGAAACGCTAGGTAAAGTGAGGAATGAATTTGCTTAGTTTTGGAAATCACTAAGTCAAATTTGAGAAGTCACTTTTAAGGTGAGCGCAGTTGCACTGTAAATCGACAGATGGTACCAGCGCCTTTTTTTTGAAAAACTTGAAGCCCTGAAGCTACAGGGCTCAATGATGGAAGTAGATCTCCATATTTAAACCTTTAAATACAGCCGCTCTCTCCTTTTTTTTTTTGTCCATTTATTAAAAACAAGTTAGGTCGCTTAGGATCCTCTAGCAAACTAGAATTAGGAAATGGAAATATTCAATCTCTGGAAAAATGTCAATCAAATATTTCATCAGCCATATATGTATTTCTCATGGAGGTTTCGTTTATTGGAAAAAAAAAGCCGTTACGTTCTATCTTTTTTTTTTTAATTGTTGTTTACCTTCGGTATGATATGAATTTGTCGGTGGCATGTTGGATTCGTCCGCTATGTAAATTCAGGAATGAATTTGTTTAGTTTTTGGATCACAAAGTCGATATTGTTTAAGTCTGCTTTGTCTAGTGATCGGCTTAACGAACAAGTCGAGAGGTCACGTACTAGCAATTAAGGTGGGCACCGTTGCATTGTAAATTAACGGGTGGTGCCAGAGCTTCTCGATCTCTCGAAGAACCTGAAGACCCGAGGCTACAGTGCTCAGTGGTGGAAGTGGATCTCCATCACGATTTAAACCTTTAAATAAAGCTGCTCTTGTTGGAATGTTTAATGCACCGGTCAGATAAACAAACTTTTAAACACAGCTGTTTAAACATAATCTCCTCTGCGGATCACCAATAAGTATGTCTTCCAATTAAAAAATTATTAATCAAAGTGAGGTTTGTATCAAGAAAAACGTTCCATGCACATTAGTGCCAGGATGGACTCAGAGAGTAATGAAAACCAAATCCAAATAAATGAACGCGATAAATCAAGAAAAGACTAGCTAAAATACCAGAGCACGAGTGACTGACACAGTTCTTTTTTTAATTTAAATTTCACTAAGTTATTCGCAATCTGTTTTCTAGAACACCAACACCCGCATTAACCGATTGAAAACTAATTAATCGTGGATGAGAATAATCCCTCCCGGCAAAACGGTGATTCCAAGGCATGAGTGCATGACCCATATTTTGTATCCTCCTTGTTCGTTGAATGAGACAAAAACGCCCATTTTTTTGTCATGCAATGTATGATATTGGTTATTGTATGCATTTTTGGGTGGCATGTTAGATCCTACCTACTTTAAAGGAACTTGATATCTCTTTTCGGCCTGATTCTCCTTCTGCACGAAACCAGTCCAAATTTTCTTGCCCGATGTTTTGAAAAGTGTAGAGTATTACCATTTTTCCTCCATGATGTGGAGCGTATGTGCATAACTTTGAAAAAGTGTTCTTGGGTCACAGAGAATTGCGGATTTTATGATATGCTGCACTTTGAATGTTAGGACAACAGCTCAGACTAGAAAAAGAAAGATTTCCAATCCATAAGCTAAATCTCTCTAAAGTTTGCCTCACTTCCAATGTGTGGTTTCGTAGCTCGGCTGCTAACTGCGTCCAACTAGTACCTGGGAGGCACAGGTTTGAATCCCGTCGAAGCCTGAACTCTTTCAGGTTTCTTTGAAGCAAAAATCGCACCACACCTGCGAAAATCAGATGATCGCTTTATTTGATTTAAATTGTGTTTGTATATCCAGTTTAGTCAATTCAATTATCCTCTGCCAATCGGTATCTGACAGGATTTCCCGGCGGTAACCATATTCCTGAACTTTTCTCAATCTCCACTATGACTTCGAAAAATCAAGGACAAACTTCAGCAATTTTGTCATTTTTTTAAGTATCAGACCTAAAAGTGGAAATGAAATTCAGCTAAGAGAGCCTTTTACGTTCCTATTGAACAACATGTTCTGTAAAATTAAAGTTGCTAACTCCGTAGGAATGGATTGTGAATTGGGGTGCTGAGACTGCCGATGACCACTGAACTAAGTTTGTTTTAATCGATCAGGTGATATGTTAGATCTTGTTCAGCTTTATGACATACCAGAGCACAAATAACTGACGCAGTTCTTTTTTTTATCATAAGTTTCATCATCTAAGTTATTCGCAATCTTTTCTATAGAACAACAAAACACCCGCACTCACCGACTGAAAACTAATTAATAGCGGATGAGAAAGATCCCTCCCGGAAAAATGTTGATACCAAGGCATGAGTGCATGACCGATATTTCGTGTCCTTCTCGTTCGTTGAATGAGACAAAAGCGCCCATTTTTTGTCATGCAATGTATGATATTGGTTATTATATGCATTTTTGGGTGGCATGTTAGATCCTACCGCGTACTAAATTTAGAAACTAATTTAATTGGCTTTGGAAACCACAAAGTCCTCATGCTTGTGGACTGCTCAACCATTGATTGGCTAAAAAGCTTGGTTGTTCACTATAAAGGTGAGCGCGCGCGCTTGAATAGGGCTGTGTTCGAGTGACTTTGCCAAGTGCACACCCAACTTATCTGCTAAAAGAGGAAAGAAGAAAGTTACAGAAGAAAAGTCTATATTTTGAGTCTTCGGTGAGTACTTTTTAGCAATTAGATATCTCTTTTTCGGCCTGATTCTCCTTCTGCACGAAACCAGTCCAAATTTTCTTGCCCGATGTTTTGAAAAGTGTAGAGTACTACCATTTTTTCCCTGTGATGTGGAGCGTATGTGCGTAACTTGAAAAAAGTATACTTGGGTCACAGAGAATTGTGCATTTTATGATATGATGCACTTTGAATGTTAGGACGACAATTCAGACTAAAAAAAGAAAGATTTCCAATCCATAAGCTAAATCTCTCTAAAGTTTGCCTCACTGCCAATGTGTGGTTTCGTGGGAGGCACGGGTTTGAATCCCGTCGAAGCCTGAACTCTTTCAGGTTCCTTTGCAGCAAAAATTACTCGTCACCTGCGAAAATCAGATGATGGATTTTTTTTAAAATTTAAACTGTGTATATTTTATTTAGCCCGTTCAATTATCCTCTGCCAATCGGCATCTGACAGGATTTCCCGGCAACAACCATACTTCCGATCTCTTCTAAATCTCCTTGACAGGAGTGTCGAAACGTTGGGTCTATGAATTGTAACTTCTTCGGTTACATTCATTAAATCTGCAAACCAGAGTAGCATCAAACTATGTCTCCTCTATGTCTTCGCAAAATCAAGGACAAAGGAAATCCAGATTAGAGAACCTTTTACGGCCTTATTGAACAAAATGCTTGATAAAATCAATGTTGCTAACTCCGTATGAGTGAGTTGTGAACTTGGGTGCTGAGCTAATGATGACCACCGAACTTTGACACTGAAGTTTGTTTTAATCGATCTGCACTGGGTTAGATTTTGTTCATCTTTATGACATAACATCACTGCCGGACGGAATATAAAATCAGGAGTATAATTTGCGAGTAAATCGTGTCACGTTACCCCCAGTGTAAGCAAGTTGAGTTTTAAAAGTTAAAAAGATGCAATTTGCTTTTGCGAAACACCCATTAATTGTGGCGAAGCACGGAATTCTCTCCAAGTAAAGGAAAAGACGAATAAATTACACGCTGGTAATCATCTGTGAAAACTTACCGATCCGTAATGACACGGGCATGTACTAAAACAGAAGATGGACGATAGACGATTGACTCGGATGGTAGACGATGGTTGTGTGACGGAACATGATTACGAAATTCAAAGTTATCACGCAATCGCGTGAATGTCACATTTATTTTTCTTTTTCAATATATTAAAACGGTTTAAGAAATAAGAGGAAGCCAAAATATTTGAAAATATACTTATTTGTAATGTTTAAATGTATTTTCGTGACATGAGGAGGTCACGTCGTCACCGCAGGGGGAAAATAGTCGATTTCGCAAAATAGAAACTTTTGCTTCACCACTACTTTGCGAAATGATCAAAGATCCTTCTTTCTAATCGACGATTACTCCAAAATCCTTGTGAAAGTTGTATTTACTTTAATAGAAAATACATCTGCATTATTCCTCTAATTTCATGATATCATGCCTAGTTTCAATTCGTTACGTTTCGTTTCACAAAATAGTACTAGCCCAGGCCCAGCCCAACTCCTGCCAGGCGTTGAGTGCAAGATGGACGATTTCCTCCGCAGTTCCCTCTATGTAAACAAAAACAGAGATGAGGATCCTTTAATATTTTCACTTTCCCGCGATCGTTGACAAATTTTTGTCTTCCTTCTAGTCCATGTCAGAAGTAGTTTAAGCAAGTTTTTGTAAATAAGGTGGCCCAATGTAGCGTCAGCGTTGGCCCTACTTCTTTCGCTCTGGCAAAGGGCTAACGCTCGAAACGTCGGTTTTGAAACTTTTCAAGTTGGCTAATTTACATTACAAACTCAGCTGATAAAACCAAATTATCGAATTTAATTTTGTTTTTCGTGTATGTCATCTTTATTGCTTGTAAACCACTTTGTTCATGATTTGATATAAGTTGACCTTATTCATCCTTAAGTGCATTTTTAATCTTTAATTTTTCCAAATTCTAAGTTACAAGTATAACATTCATAGTAAAACTTACTTTAAAACTCCTGCAGAACTAGCGATGGCCAGTCAAACCGTTATGTGGATCATCATCTTCGCCGTGTGTGGAGTGACCCCAGTCATTTTGGCTCAGGATACCTTCTATTGCCACAATCTGCAATACGCTGGCCCGATAAAAGAAGTAATAGAGATGAGACCAACCAAACTGGCAGAGAAGACATCCAATGCAGCTAAGATAGGCATTGGTTTCGCAAAGACCATGACCTCAAATGCCATAGGAGAAATCCCAGTAGTAGGGTCCATCCTGAGTACGCTTTTTGATGAGTTAGCGGACGTATATGGACCTGGGGGAGACCTTGATCCAGAGGACGTTTACAATAGCTTGAAGGTCGAAATAGATCAGCTCAAAGAGTACATGGACCAGGAAATTTCAGAAGCGAAATTAGACTACATTAAGAAAATATTTGGAACAAGTAATGGAGGCATTCTCAGCTATTCGATGCACTGCCAGAAAACGTACAAGAATGATGCAGAGGACATGGCGCCTTGTTTGGAGAACTTGCACAGTATGCTGACCACATAGTACCACTTCTTCCTACCGTCAGACAGCAAAGTCAGTTCCTACGAGTTTTCATTGCCATTGTTTCGCATGTATGGACAACTGTTTGTGGACACACTTCTGGAACAGATCGGGGCAGCAAGGGCGAGAGGCAAGGAGAGTCAAGCGGTAGCATTTGCAGACACCTTAATCAACAAAGTGGAAGCATTTAAGAAGCATTACCTAGACTCTGTAATAAAAATCGCTCGTCTTCATTATGAGCCGCACGTCATGCCAGAGAATAATGGAGACTGTGCTCCGATTCCCGACCAGGGTGTAGATATGTGTGTCTGTTCGATAGCCATTGGACCCAACAAATTCGATGGAGCAGAGATCAAAAAGAAGGGCGAAAGTATCAAGAACTTCTGCTTTGGAGTTTACTATAACAGGAACAGCGACGAATGCTCGCTGGCTAAGAAAGATTACATGAAACAAAACGCCAGAGAACGTCTGACTGCCATTAAATCCTACTGGGACAAACAAGTGGGAGAAACGGTGAAGAACTGGGTGAAGACAGCCAATGAACTGAAATCACTGAAGGAAAATATGAAGAGGTACTAATACGTTTAATATTATGAACAATACTACTACTACCACTACCACCACCACCACTACCACGACTTCTACTACTTAGTACTACTATTACTACAACTACTACTACAACTACTACTATTACTACTATTACTACTACTACTATTACTACTACTATTACTACTACTATTACTACTACTATTACTATTACTATTACTACTACTACTACTACTACTACTACTACTACTACTACTACTACTACTACTACTACTACTACTACTACTACTACTACTACTACTACTACTACTATTACTACTACTACTACTACTACTACTACTACTACTATTACTACTACTACTACTGCTACTGCTACTACTACTACTATTACTACTACTATTACTACTACTACTACTACTACTACTACTACTGCTACTACTACTGCTACTACTACTACTACTACTACTGCTGCTACTGCTGCTGTTACTACTACTACTACTGCTGCTGTACTACTACTACTGCTGCTACTATTACTACTGCTGCTGCTACTGCTACTACTATTACTACTGCTACTACTGCTCTTACTGCTACTGCTGCTGCTACTACTGTACTACTACTACTACGACGACGACTACTACTTCTTCTACTACTACTACTATTACTGCTACTGTCACTGCTACTACTGCTGCTGCTACTGCTGCTACTACTGCTACTACTACTGCTACTACTGCTACTACTGCTACTGCTACTGCTGCTTGCTACTCCTGCTGCTGCTACTACTACTGCTGCTGCTGTTCTACTGCTACTACTACTACTACTACTGCTACTACTGCTACTACTACTACTACTACTGCTACTACTACTACTACTACTACTACTACTACTACTACTACTACTACTACTACTACTACTACTGCTGCTACTACTACTACTACTACTACTACTACTACTACTACTACTACTACTACTACTACTACTACTACTACTACTACTACTACTACTACTACTACTACTACTACTACTACTACTACTACTACTACTACTATTACTACTACTACTATCTAGTACTACTACCATTTAATCATAACCATAACAATTTCCACAAATGCGATTGGTGCAGTAGCTGCTTTATTTTTCACAAATCATTCTGTAGAGTTATAATCTGACAGTGTAATCGGACAGTTGGCTGTAATCGGACACCTGTAATCGGACAGTTGAAGAAGCCAATCATATTTAGTCCTTTCAGTCAGATCCACCAATCACAGAATTGATCACAATGACAACCACTTATCCTAAAAAAGTTGTGAAATTTCCAAAGTTGAGGAATGTTTTACTTAGACATTGTCTCTACTGCACATATTTGTCCTAAATGTATTTGCTGTTTTTGGAAATCGTAACAGTTATGATTAATTGGTAAAAGGACTTTGTGTCGTCCAATTCTGTCTGTAACCATACTCGCGGTCATCCGATTTTGTTAATCACTCGTATGATTACAGACCGAATTGGACTCCACTCGGTCATATTACTATTATCTACTATTGCTACTACTACTACTACTACTACTACTACTACTACTACTACTACTACTACTACTACTACTACTACTACTACTACTACTACTACTACTACTACTACTACTACTACTACTACTTCTATTAATACTAAGATAAAATTCTCTTTTTTATATTTTAGGTCCCTGTCCTTTCGAGAAAGAATCCAGTTTGATCAGGAAGTTGCAGCTTACCATGCCAAAAGTAATCATGGGATGTACTAACGGGCAACACAGAATGACAGCCGGCCGATGACTGTTTTGGAAAGTGTGCGTTTCTTTTATTGGATTTATTAAGACGATAAATTTTTTCAACAGCTGGTTCGTTTGCTATCATTAGAGTTACAACCGTGGGTAATTTAGGAATGCTAAGAGTAAATTTTTTGTTTGTTTGTGTGTTTACATATAATCCAGGCTCATTAGAGCTTACCTCGTTTGAAAAGTTTGTGCAGCTTTTTTTATGTTTAAGGAAGAGTTGATGAATAAATTGGTGGGTTATCTTGAACAAATAATGTTTGAAAAAAAAAAAAAAAAAAAAAAAAAAGAACGTACTGACGAAAGGTGTGTATGGGTTACTGAGTCGTTACTGCTGAGCAAACTCAAAAAGTCCATCAAGAAAAAAAAACAGGTCAGATCATAATATTGTTTAGACTCATCAAAGGTGTGAAAGACGAAGATGTTCCTAGAGCTTCTAGGACTTTATTCCTCAATAAGATTGAGAGGGAAAACTTTATCGGGAAGTATTTAGACTCCATTCCAAACAACAGAAGAGGCGAAAGATACATGTCCGAAGAGTGAGGTTCTGATCTGAGAAGTTACGTGATCGATTACGTAACCATTATAAGATAGGTACAAATTGCGTGCAAAATCCTTTTCTTGATTAAAGGCTTTGTCCACCAGGTGGCTTTTCGTGACTTTCGTTTTCGGGTTTAGGCAAGCAACCCTGAAGGAAATTTGACAAAATAAAAGAAACTGCTAACTGTCCTAAGTTCGGCACATAAAAATCAGTTTGGAAAGGAAATCAGTTTTGAAAGGCATCGTTTCCTGTGTGAATAAGAGAAAACGTTGGCAAACAATGTGTCGTGTATATTGTAGTTTTCGTATGCGGTTCGGGTGTATTGGACCGTGATGATGGATGAAAACGCATGAATGCGGAATGCTTGTGGCAATGACGGACAGTTTTGAGAACACAGTATTTAAGTCCTGACTTTACTTCTCTAGAGTTTTCGTTTTGATAAGGGACGCTACCAGGAGAATTGATGGTACCTTCTCAACACCGCTGAAGTTCGTGATCTTTTAGCCCGATGTTACAGCTTCCATTCCTAAAGATCCATACAAAAAAATTATTTATGACTCTTCTCTTCACTTCAGGAACTGTTTGTATATGGAGCGGGAGACATGGCTAGAGTTTTCTTCTGTTGTTTTCGAATGTGCAGCACTCTTTTGCAGACAGTGTTGCAAGAAAACTTTGCAAACAATCAGAGTGTAAATTTTACAACACGATGGAAATCTTTAGCTTGTCTCTGAAAGCGGTCTTTTTTCTGTTGTTTCTTATAATTTATTTAGAGATTAGTCCCAATTCCCAATATCCTACTGGGTATATATGTTATAGAGGCATTCGCTGTAAATCAAACCTCTAACTTCAACCCGACCAGAAAACTGGGAGCGAATTTGAATAGTCTTTTCATTGACCCTCGTTTTTCATTTTCTTGATCTTCGCTTTGAGCGAGAAGTATATGACGAACGCAATCTAAAGAAAAAAAAATAAGCCGCGTGAAGAAACAAACAAAAACAGCGAAAGTGCTCTGAGCAGGGCTTAAAACTGGCTACCATGTTAATTATACTTGCACTGATCAGCGTAAATGTGAATGAGATGTAAAACAGAAACGAAGGTGATTTGGGCAACACTAACTGAATAAATTCATGCTGCGTTCAGGTGACAAAGTTTCTATGGCTGAAATGGAATTTGTTTGGATTTCGTTAAAATTTAACGTGACAGTTGAGTCGTTTTATTACCAGTTGTCACCGGCCGCTTCGAAGCCACTGCTTAATTGTTTTGACGAAGAAAATTTTTGGAAAAAATGAGTCCAATGCAAAATATGGTCTTCTGTACAAAAGCAAAGTTTTGTTTCCTGATAGTCCTGGTTATTTTGTTGGCGATCATTCTCGCAGCCTCTCTCCGTCGCAAAGATGAAGAAGCTGACGAAGGACTGAAACTTGCCGGCAAAAAGCTCGATATCCCCAAACATTACTGCGTCGTTCGAGCTTCAAAGTCGCTATACAAAGAGACGATATCGTTCAAAACTAACGGAGAAGAAATTTGCCACGTACAGAAATGCTCTTCCTGTGAAACCATCTGGACTTTTTATTTGATAAACACAGAAGACGAAATCGCAGTTATGGTGGAGAGGGAGTCCTCGCCTTGGGCGGACACGTATCACGTTCAAGAACAATGGAAAATCAACGCCACAAGTTATAAGATAGAATACAGTTGGAGCGGGCTTGAAATGAACGAAGATATTTATGTGATCAAGAATTTGAAGGGTTTTGAAATTGCACGCTCTGAACAATTTCCATTAGAGTTTGGCAAAACGCTGACATTAATAGATGCTAAGAGCAATTCCACCCTGGGAAGGGTCGAACGAACAACCTTTGATTTGTTTCTCACTTGGAAAATATCTGTTTACAGAACAGATATCTTATCGACATATTTGTACGGGGTTCTTGCGACAATAACAACCTTAAAAGAGGTCGACGTCGACGATGACGATTGAAACGTTTTGTGACCCGTGACATTCGTTGCGTGACGCACTGGTTTTTTACTGTGGGCTTGAAAGGTCCTTGAACGGCTCAAATGGGAAGACAGGAAGGAAAGACAAAACAAGGCAGCAGAATAAGTCCTCTCGATTGATCTGCGATTTCCTTGTCATTTTATTCGCATTTTTTGAAAACCAGTCCAAATGTTTACATTCATTTCGCAATGGATATTTGATTTCTGATTAAAAATTAATTTTTTTCCATTTTTGGTTTTAAAATTTTAGTTTTAGTGCTTTCTCCTAGATTATTGTCCTGTGTTCTTTATTTTGAATTTTCAAGAAGGGAGTAATTTTAACCTTTCTAGATTTGTTGTATTTGTTTCTTTTGTGTCCAAAACTAATAACAAGTATATGTTTTTTTCTGAGTTAAAAAATAATAAAAAAATTGTTGTACAGACGGATAATATGCCATTAAAGTTGTCTAATCAAAAGTTAGATTGCTGTCTGTGATCTGTGTGCACTCTTGTTTCGAGTTAAAACGGGTGAGGGCAATTTTTTGCGGGATGCGGGATACGTCTGCTAGACCCAGGCTCCGGTCCTCTTTTGGGATGACTCACCATCGCAGTGCATCATTGACACACGTAGTTACAGAAGACGCACAGGAATCTGACATGCCGTCTGAATGCTGGTTAACGAGATCGAATTCTTAACAGGTCGAGATAAGATGTACGCGAATGTTTAACAACGAACTAGAGCTGTTAAGATCCAAGGAAGTCCGAGCGTAGCAGTGAAATAATGAAGAGGCTTTTGTAGATATTGAGACGCTATCACGCGTGAATTGTTGTTAGTTATAATTGTTGATAGTTCTCGCCAAAAATGCCGCTGGAAAGTTTCACCATCGGCAAAGTGATCGGTAAGGGAAGTTATGGAGAGGTCTATTTAGCGAAGCATCGCAAAGATCGAAAGCAGGTAAGTTTTACGAAGACTTGACAAAGTCTAATCGTGAGCTTGATGGTATCGTTACTTTCATACAAGTCAGCTGTTTGTCATTATTGCCTATGAAACTTCTGTTGCCTTTTTTTTCTTGTGATTTTAGTATGTTATGAAGAAGGTCGACCTTTCTAAAGCCTCTGAAAGGGAAAGGAAAGCGGCTGAACAAGAGGTGAAATAATTGTCTACACAACTTAACTTCCTTATATTCGTTTAGTCAACAAGACTTCATAGCTTTATTAATCAGCTTCCAACCAAGAAAAAATGGCTTATCTTGTCGTAAGATTCACTTTACCCGCAAGTCTTCTCACAATATCTATATGTTTCCAAGCAGAAAGGTGCGAAGAAGAAAGTCACACATACCCTTGGCTATAAAATTATAATTTGGTCTAAATTCTCTTAAGTGTAATAATAGGAATTGTTCAAGAGACAGTTCTGTGAATTGTTATCAAGGTATTAAGAGCATGATCAAATGTTTGCTTGAATATAAAGGAGAACAGAGCCTCAAGGAACACTGAAAAGTGTGTAAATGTAATATATAAGAACATTTTTAAGAGTATACAATTACTAAAACCTATACTTATAGTTATTGTAATAACTTAATTAACATTGATATACTGTACTTTCTGGGAGAGTCATGGGGGAGATTGAGTAGGTGAAAATTCTTAGTTTTATACTACTTTCCAGGCAAAATTGTTATCTCAGTTGCGGCATCCCAACATCGTTTCTTACCGGGAATCGTTTCAAGATGAATCAGGATTTCTCTATATCATAATGAACTTCTGTGAGGGAGGTGATCTGTATACAAAGCTGAAAGCACAGTCTAAAGAAGGAAAAGTACTTGAAGAGACACAAGTTGTTGAGTGGTTTGTCCAAATAGCCATGGCATTGCAGGTACGTAAGATTTATGATTAATTTTTTAATTATAATGATAGAATACAATCCTGACTGACCCTAAATGGGCTTTAACTCCCAAGATCTCATTAGTAATTCTCCTTACTATCTACCATACAATTCTTGTGGTGTTAGTTTGGAGAATTTGGTATTGCATCAACTAATAATCCCCTATTTGATATTCTTCTTTTTTCTCATTACTTGTCTGCTTGATATTGTATTGATATTGAAAGGAGAAATTCTGTCTTGGTCACTCATGGGAGTTAAAGGGTTAAGGATAATTATACTGCTTTAAGTGCAAGTTCCTAACATACTGTGATATCTATTGAGTGCGTAAACACCAGTTATGTCCTATCAACAGTATCAGTTCTTAGTACAAATAGAAAAATGGAATACACTTGCTAAAAATTAGAACTGTAAACTTGTTGTGTAGGATGTTCAGCCAAAGCCAAAAAAGGTTAGCACTCAATAGGTTAGCTCTAGAAATTGATATGATAGCATTATCAACTAAGTTGAACCAAATTATTGTGTATTACCCTACCCCCCTCCCATCTCACTCAACAGCCACAGCATTACCATTTCTGTAGAAACTTACCCCCTTGTGAGCAAGTGACAGTTATGGATATGAGTACCCTGTGGCCCTCTGTAAGATAACTTAACAGATATCAAACTGTACAATTACATTATAATTGTGTGCTCCTGAAAAAATTACATTTACATGTAGGTTAGAGATTATATGAAGAACATACACCAGATGCATTACATGTAGCTGCAGATTAAAGTAACAACTATGTAGTCTTTTGTTCAACATGAATGCTGTAGTGCTTTAGTATAGTGCTACAAATTTACCATAAGCAACTTTAAAGCAGTGAGTAGATATATGATACACGTCTTTTTTTTGTGTTTGCAGTATATGCATGAGAGGAATGTTCTTCACAGAGATCTAAAAACCCAAAACATTTTTTTGACAAAGAGCAAGATAATCAAAGTGAGTCACAGTGGAATTTTTAACTCAATTCTGAAATGCATTTGACCCAGGCATATGCTAATAAATCATGTTATTGCTGTATGTTCACTCACATTTTATTGTTGTTTATATGGTAGGTTGGTGATCTTGGTATAGCAAGAGTTTTGGAAACATCCTATGATATGGCAACCACTATGATTGGAACGCCATACTATATGTCTCCAGAGTTGTTTTCTAACAAGCCTTATAACCATAAGGTAAGGAAAACCTTTGAGTTTCATAGTGTGATCATGTGTATGGGATTTCAGGTTCTAAAAAAAGGACTGTTGTCAGTTTGGTAGTGGCTGATGTTATAACCATTAGTGGAGAGTTGTTTTTCAGTCTGGTTTGTGGATACTTTTTTCACTGTTTTGCATGAATCAGAGTTACAGTAACACGTCCAACTTAGAAAGATCTCCAGCATAACATGGCTTTGAGGTTCATCTCCACACAGGTTTGTAAAATGACAGTCACTGTCACAGACAACAGTTCTATTAAAATCAACCCTTACATGGACAATCACAATGTCCAGGGAGCTTTTATTTTTACCTGGCAGCACAGTGATATTCTTGGTTGTTAATAAATGCTGTCAATCGTTACTCTGGTTTTCAGTGATTCTCTTTGCATTGGCAACATCAATAATTGTTGATATTGATTTTTGATTGATGTTCTCTGTTCTCTCTATTTTTCAGTCTGACGTTTGGGCTTTAGGCTGTTGCTTGTATGAGATGTGCACATTGCGACATGCATTCAATGCAAAGGATATGAGTTCTTTAGTTTACAAGATACTTAAAGGAAAGGTATGAGCACAAAAAGGAATTGTTTGTGTGAAGTATTTTTATCTAAATTTTGCTCTGCAAATAGAAGTAGGATAAGAAAGATGTTGAATATCAAGCTCAGTTGTCAAGCAAAATAAGAAAATTTTGGGTAATCTTGGTCCTATCAACTGACATAATAATGCAAATTGGCCACCATAAAGAGTTTCAAAGCTGACATTTTGAGCAATAGCCCCATTTGTCAGAACAATTGATGAAGGGCTGATGCTTGAAATGTCAGCTGTGAAACTCTATATGGTGGCCAGTTCATGTTATCCACCCAGGTGATGAAAGCAAAATTATCTTGCTATACTGCCCCACTGAGGCACCACCACAGTTTATTTAGAAACTTACTTCCTTTAAGGTATTTTTTTGTTTCACACCAGTGCTGGACAGGGAAAAAATCTTCATTCTTTCACAGTTTTGCTTTGCTGTTGATGCAGCGCTAATGACCTTGCTCACCTAGTAAGGCATGGTAGATTTTTAAAAAATGTCTTTCTGCTGTGGCTATTGATCCAAAGATTACTTAAACAGCACTGCACACCCCAGACATTACATCATACAATATGTGTGTTTGTAACATGTTATGTTCACCAATACCCACAGTGTATTTCACCAAAATTGTATGTTATGATCAAATGAGAATGTAATGCTCTGCTTCTTGAGTTTGGTAACACTGTAAGGATCTAATAAAGTACCAATTCTCTGTACTGTCTAGTATACCTTTTTAATAATATTAGCTTTGAGAACTTGGAGTTTAATCAAACAATGGCCTCTCTCTGACCTTTCTTTTTCATTACCTCTCTGCTTTAACCCTTTAGCTCCCATGAGTGACCAAGACAGAATTTCTCCTTACAATATCAACACAATATCAACCAGATAAGTGATGAGAATTAAAAAAATATCATTTTGGAGATAATTAGTTGATCCAATACTCAATTCTCTGAACTAACATCATAAGAATTGTATGATTGACAGTTAGGAGAATTAAAAATTTGGTCTGGGAGTTAAATGGTTGAGATGTCAGTATTGTTGTGGTGAAGAGAAATTCCTTGTTGGCCTCTTCAGGGGGTGAAAGGGTTAACAGTGACCACGGAAAAGTCTGCCTCGCTTGTTGAGTAGTCATTTTTTTTTTCCAATCATAACAGATTCCACCTCTGCCATCAAATTACAGTATTGATTTGCGTGGGATTGTGCAGAGTATGTTGGAATTAGAACCCGAGAAGAGACCCAGTGCCTCACGCCTTTTACGTCACACGTACATCAAGAAACAGATTGCTCTTTTCCTTGAGGGAACAAAAAATAGGTTGGTTAAAATCATTAATAACTTGAGCTTTTCTTCTGGAAAGTTACCTTTAATTTAGGAAGATGTCCTGTCTGGCAACGTTAAACGTGGGCAATAAATGATTGCTACTTGTGCTTTTATTGTGGAATTTTAAGTCGCAGCGTTGACTCTCTCAGATTCATTAAAACACAAATGTTAGCTCCTAAAAGTTGAGAACCTACCCTTTCCCGCGGAAGGGGAGCTTGGATACCTACACCTGTATTTACCAAGTTATTTCTGATCTAAATGCAAACTACAAATGTTTGCTTACATGATTTGTTCATCTTTCCCTCTTGCAGACAAAAGCAGAAAACAGTTTCAAAGGAAGAACGAACCGCTAGTGCTAAATCAAAATCATCTTCATCAGAACCGCCCAAATTAGATTCTGGATACGTAGGATTTGTACTTGAAGCTTCTATCGCGACAGTTTCTGCTGTAGATTGTGTTTTAGTCGACGAGAAGTCAGCAAAACAATCACCAAAGCCTTCATCGAGAAATGACCATGGTAGATCTTCGGTAGATTCCACAAGTTCGTCGAATAGCTCTTCTGAAAAAGGAAGAACGGAGGTGGATGTTAAGAAAACTGAGCAGAAAAATGTTGTGGATTTAAAACAAAAAGAACTGATAAGGAAACAAATGGGCGAGAGGAAGAAGTCGGCTGGTAGTGAGAGGACAAGTAATAAACAGTCAGTGAAGGAGAGAGGTGGTGAAGGAAAAGATGTTCCTGTCAGGAGATCTTCGGAGGATGTAAAGAAAGCAGCAGGTTTGGAGGAGAAGAGAGGTAAACCTAGTCCTGCCAAATCAAGAACGCCCAAAGCGGAGGTGAGACTTGATGTACCTTTGTACCGATGATCACGACGATCAGGCTTGAAATATCAACTATTGAAAAGCCATTGTGGTTGTTTTTCTTCCGTTACTAACTTCTATTTCATGATCAAGTCAGTGTTTCATTAGCCCGCACCACATTTTCTTCAGAAAGGTATAACTGTGAATTACTCGTTGAGCTGTTGGGAAAACAGAGGAAAGCAAATCACACATGCATCAATGTAGTCATTTGAAACTCGTATATGGCGTGCGAAACAGATGTTACTCTTTATGCTATTCCGGTGAGTGGAGGAAATATCGAAGCACGTCTGAAAAACGCGAAAGAATAACACTTGTCCCACAGGGCAACTTGTGGAAGGCTCTACTTACCAACTCGTCCTCTGCACTTCATCTAGCAGAGCTTGCGTCTGAAGATCTTTGTAGGAGCTCAGGCTTTTTGTGATCACCATTTGATTTTGTTAAGAATGATACATACTCAGTTGTCCTTCCTATTAAGTTAAACGTATCCAATTATTTTATCCCAATTTTAGTCTCATCAACTTCAGCGACCCTTGCCCCAGCCCCCCAAAAGAGGACCTCCTGGGGGAGATTTACCCGCGTCAAGAAGTCCCAGAGCGAGGCGAAGATACAAAGTAACGTCCAGTTCACACGCGGCCAGATCCCAATACGCCGAGGAAGAGGAGGAAGAAGAGGAAGATGATAAGAGTAACGCGGATTCTGAATCAAGGTGCAATATCAAAACAAAGATTCTCTCAACTACAAATAACTCGTGCTTTTATCCTGAGATCTGAGAATCTACTTGTGGATTAAGTATCTAGAGAGGTTAATGTATCTTCTATACTCATTCACTAAATATCATAAAGTGCGGTGTCTTGTTGAAGTAATGAGAAGTGTGAACTGATCACGTCTGATTCTCTTTTCCTAATTTTTTTTTAGTGCCAAGTCTGTCAGTGAAAGCACACCTTCGGTGAGTATAGCACGGTGTTATCTCTTGGTGCAGCCCATCTTGAAATCTATGTCAAAGCCACGCGAAGCCTTTCTCGCAGCCAGAGTAGGGAGGCCAGTTAGAGAGTTAGAGAAGTCGAAGCCTTCCTCCCCTACGGACTCGTGATTTCTTGGCTGCAACATCCTTTGCCATTTTTACACAGACCATCGAAGAATTGCGACGCGATACTCACTTGAATTATTTGAAAGAGTGAAGATTTCGGTGGAGAATTTTACGCGAAAAGGGGTTAGAACAACAAGGAGAAACTTGTCAAAGAGACCTTGCGCTCTCTAGGTTCCATCAATGACTCAAAACGCTGTCCTCAAGTATGCATTTATGTGATAAATAGTCAAACCTTTATGTATGGTCATTATTGTGTTGACTTGATTTACAGAGTGGCTTATCGGCCCGTGAAAGACGACGGCTTAAACAGAAACAAAAGTGTGACAAAAACGTACCTACCCCACCCTCAGCACCTGTACTTCCCTCACCTAGTGAAGTGATCGCCGCCAAGGTCAAACGTTCTCAAGAGAGCAGTCCAGGAGGTAAGTTGTGGTGCACTAGAAAACTTTGTACTGGTCTTGTCATGGTCGACGTTTGCAATCCGAGCCTAGATCCCCCATTCCAGGGTTCTTTTTTATTTAAGAGTAGGTAACCGCTTGTTGTATTTGTCACGGAAATATTTACCCAAATAGTTTTCCTGTGAGTGTTGCCTATTTCGGAATTTGAAAACCCGTTGCATTCATTTTAAATCTCTTGCTTACCGTCTGCTAACCTTCGTTGTGAAGTTACCAGTTAGCTGTTGTCGCTTTGAAAACGCCTCATGTTTTAAAGAAATCCAGCTTGTTTTGATCTACTCGTCCTTCTTTATCCCTCTTGATAATGTAATCTGGCATACTTCCCTTTTTTTCACGGCTGACCGAGCCTCCTATCTAATTTTCTAACCTTTCTTTATGTCATTTTCCAGCCACTCCTAGGCAGGGGTCAGCGGGCGGCGATCCTAGACGTCAGCTGAGTTCGGAGGGATTTGATATCCCAGATGGAGCCAGGCCTGTCGTGCGACAAGGATCCGGCAATGTTTCAAATACGGTGGGTTAATGAATGAATTATAACAAAATGCGTGTTTTCTTCAAGCCTCACAGAATTTTGTCATTTAGGCCAGTAAATAAGCAGGCCTGAGAGAGATCATGTCATGTTTACAGAAGGAAATCTTGCCACCGAGAGTTGACAAGATTGGATGATACTGCACTGTACTTTACATCAGTACAAAGAGCAAGGATTTTTTTTACGCTGCTATATGCATGTTTCGTGCGTTTAATTCTTAAGAGGAAAGAAAGTTCCGTTGAATGCGAGCAGTCTCATTGTTGGAGTCTTTTCAGCGAGCCCTGGCTGTGTTCGCTTGTCTATTCAATGCTTTCGAAGAAGACGTAATCAAATCAGCATCCGTGCAATAGAGTTGAGGAATGCGACGGATAAGGAAGTGGTCGAGAGGGTAGGGGGTTCCGAGAAGGAAGCAGTCGAGAGGGTAGAGGGTTCCCCTCTCTCTATTTCTTTGACGCTCGTGACAAGTTTGAGACCAGATCGTTCTTACAGCTTCTTGGCTACCATTCAATTGCTCACAATATGTAGGGGAAAAAAATGTTAAATTTGCAAGTTTCATCCTTGTGTCCAGGAATCAGTTGAACAGGACAGCGACTCGGACTCGGAGCTGGAGGAGATTAATATGGATGAACCTTCTGCCTCTGCGCAGAGGTAAGTAACATTTAATCCATAAGCGCTTTGAAAATGTTCCAGCCATCTCTTGAATGTTCAGAGTAATTTTTGGCGTCGCAAAACTGACACCACAATAACAGCACTGGAAAATTGAAAGAAAGGAAAAAGGGCCCCAGTGGGACAATGAGAACTGAAAGGGCATGCAAACTGAGGAGCGTGAAAACGCATGGGATCTCGTCACGACCGGTCTTTGTTTAGCATAAGATTGGTTCAGACGATGGCAAACTTTTCTGCAAACTTATAGCAGAGAGAATCAAAGAAAACCAAATCAATCCGGAACTAATGTGAAAACTCATCAGAAAATTAAACCAAATGATTTAACAGAGGCCTTACGTGAACCACAGACACCCCACAAATCCTTTATTTGCTGTGACGAAGGGCTAACGGTCAAAAAATCAGCTTCAAAAACTCTTTACGGTGGCGAATTTACTTAATTAACTCAGTTGATCAAACCAAATTATCTTGTGATACCCCACTGACGCAGCAACACAGTTTCCTCAGAAAGTGACCCCCATATGTGAAATACTTTGTAGGAATCCGCGCAGACAAAGTGACGTCACGTCTCTGATCACTGCACTGGACACCACCTTGAAAATGTCAAATGCCGGCGCTGACAGAGATTCCCCGGATGTGGATGCTGTGCTTGAAACACCAGAAGAGGAAGAACCCCTGGATGTACCCTTTGGTAAGAAAGAAACTTCTCTCTACTTTCAAAGTTAGTCCGTTTAAAGTGCCGTTGCGAGGAAACTTAAAAGAGTTTATTATATAGATACTGGTGAAATACCAGGGTTTTTCCTTCAACTAAAAAATCATATCTTCATCACGCGCAGTGAAGATACAATTTTTATCTTTCACATGTTAGGGTATTGGTGTCGCCATGGTAACTAACATTAGCCAATTACAAGAGAGCTTCCCGCTCAGGCGCGCGGCCGGTTCTTTTGAAATTTCATTAGTAAAAATAAAATAAACAGAACATTACATGGCCGCACTCGAAGATAAAATTCCTATCCCCACGCAGCCATGTAATATCCTCTATATAAGCAAATCAGTTTTTTTCTTTACTAAAATAAAAACCCTCTCCAAACTCTGAAGGGGGCTATTGTCTTACGTAAGTTGACAACATATTGCATGGCTGATCTTACCATTTCCTCTCTTGTCCCTGATAAAATTCCATTCTGAAGTTTTTCTCTGCCGCCCGGCACGCGCAAGTTTTATAAAAAGATGTTTTCATGTCGGCGGCAACATCACCTTAAGACGGAGCCACTTACTGTACTCTAGCACAAAGAGGGTCCTTTTTTGACCAACCTTCGTGATTTTGGGCTACTCTACAGTGTTTGTATGGATTAAGTTACAGTTTTTTAAAGGATCTTACCTATATTTGACTCGACGACTTGGCTGTATTGGAAAAAATTGATTATGAATCGATCCATCATGGAAGGACCACACCGTGAGCCAAAAAAATTATTTAAGTGTTACTTATCCAGTCAGCTTAGGAATAATCAATAACTTTTTTCCCTTTTTAGGAGGATCGCCCACAGCATCCGGGAGATTACGAGACCGAATAGAGCGATTAAGAAGGTAGCAAATTGAACACTTTTTTTTTTTGCTAAAAAGAGTCCAAAGCGAAGCTCTAGATAGGTGACAATCGTTAAGGATAGGGGATCAACGTCACTATCTGAGCAACTACGCACCTACCGCTCCCCTAACCCAGCGATAGTCAACTAATAACATGTTCGGGTTAATGTTGGGTTAGGGGACGGGCTGGTTGCTCGAGAATGGCTTTGCTCCGGAGTAGGTAATGTACGAGACCATGCAAGAAGGAAAGAAAAGAGGAAAATTAAAGTGGGTCTTTTTGTGAGGTTCGTACATTTTGTTAGCGATGCGCGTTTACATAAAGGGTGTGCCCGAGAAAGAGCCATTGTGATCGAACATACCCATTCCTTTTTTTTTTTATAGGGAATGTTTACGCGGCATCGGCGAAGACCTGCTGATAGAAGCGTATAATATTATTAACACCCAGGAAGAAGACTATGTTGAGGTAAGCTTTACTTCCTGTCATTTTAAGTTGTTCATTGTTTGTATCATGCATGTTACGTGTTTCAACTTGTGTCATGTAACCCGTCGATGGCGATATTCAAAGTAAGCTTGATTGAACTTAGGTACCTTTGCATATGTTAAATTTTTTTCGTTTTGTTTCTTTACCCATTTTTTCATCTGTTCGTTTGTTCTTTAGTTTGTGTGTTTCCTCGTTGATACCATCGATCGCTCGCTTGTTCGACCCATTGACAGTTTTACGTAACTATTCGTTTTAGTTCTTAGCGTGTGTGTACTTTTGTTTTTCCTCTTCAGGAGGCCCTGGTTCGTCTGATGGGAAGAGAAAATTTTGAGAAATATGGTGGAACAGTTTGGCAGCTAAAGTTCCTTGAAGAATATAAAATGCACTAAGCCGACTTTAAGGTCCTTAAAAGAACATTAAACTCCTGTAGATATCTCGATTATTGCTGTTTTTCCATATCGCTGTCTAGAAGCGGAATATGAAGAGCGTAGCTTGTTCCAGCTCTTGGTTGAAGCGAGCGTTGAGCGGTAGTTGATTTTTCAAAGAGAGGCCCGCTTTTTCGCCTGATTTTGTTGACCGAGGGCTATGAATATCGTTGCTCTTTCAACAGAACGCGGGTACGAGGAGACTTCGTCAACAGTCAATACTAAAAGTCATGTACATACTGAAGTTAATTGATCGTACTTGAATACGAATTAAGAGAGAGGAGAAATAAATATGTATCATTTCACAGATCTTTCTGTCGCGATATCGCCTGTCTTTTGAGTGGCTTTCAAATCGTAATTCTTTGAATGTGTGAAGTGGATTGGATTGGTACGCCTCTTCCGGAAATTTCCTTCCATGGCTCACGAAGGCTATTACTTGACTTGAATCAATTGATTAAGTAAGATCACAACCTTAGCTATTTTACAATTGTTAGGAAATGTATTATAGAACTTTACACCTGTCATTCCCGATATAATGGAGGTCGCTTAGACTTTCATCAGCCTCCTTCGATCAGAAAAAAGCGATGAGTTCTCGGTGGAACCAGAGGTTTCGGTTATGTACGAAGCCATTTCGATAGAAGCAAACTTTTTCGAGTGAATATTCATATCATTGTGCAAGAGGCAAAGTTTAATTCACTCAAATTAAATTGTTTATTTATCATCTTGGTTTAGGAAACAAATAGGGATCAATCGAACGAAGAGCTGATTGAAAATAATTTTTCCTTAGTTTCTGAGAGGGTCATAGTTGTTTATGTTTTTGTTTTGGATTTTTTCGGTGGATCTTTCCGCCGAGAGAGCCGTCATGCGTTTTCACAACCTTCATCACGCTTGAATAATTGACCTCTATGTTTTGGGTGTAGTTGGATAACTGTAACTGAGGGCGATATCGTCATTTGAACAAATAATGGCTTAGTTCAAAGCGGATATAGAAATTTACAAGTGTTCTGCACGGGCATTGAAGCTTATTGTCATTAGAGATCAACGTCATACACGCGATTATTAATAACTCCTTTGTTTAGAGAAGGGAAAACCTAAAATTGTTCGGTCTAACACTGAGAGAGGCCGAAGATAACAGTCGTGGCTTCAATCGAAGGGTTTCCGCTTGAGTCAGCTCTTCTGCAATGGAGGAATACTCTACAATTTGTGATGAAAAACTCGATATTCAAATCGGACGAAAAGTTTATAATGAAAGGTGTTTGACAGAGACAAATGGTGATTCAAGCTCTGGAGAACTGGCGAAGAGAAAGAGTCCTTTCTCAAAAGTTTACCACAAAATTGCCTCTTGCTCATGCTCGTGGAATGGTTTCCTTTCTCATCTTGTCCGTCTTGCTCCGATTATTCGCTGGTTGCCGAAATACAGCGTAAAGAAGGACTTATCAGCTGATATTACTGGAGGTGTTACAGTTGGCATCATGCATATTCCTCAAGGTAATCTTTTCGTTAAAAAAAAATAAGCTATAGGTAAAAAAATATAAGAATTACGCTTATTGACCGCGAAAGGTTTGAATAAGGTAGGGAAGCCTACCCACACATTTATTTCGAAGCTTCTTGGGAATGGTCATAACTCGGAAAAAAAAATCAACAATTAAATTAAAAAATACCTGTCAACATCTCGCACTTCATTAAATCGCTTAGATACAGGAAGGTCGAAGAAAAAAAAAACAGAAAAAAAAAAGAACAGAACAAATAAAACTGAATGAGGCCATATTCTAGCGATACCCTCGATTTTCTTGATCTTGTTTTGCTTCACACATCATGCGATCAGATCATCAGAAAATTTTTAGTATTAAAATTAATTACGTCCCACAACTTAGCTATTCTGTAAGAGCTCAAGTCACCCCACGTGAGCTCTCGGAGACTTAACTGAAGTTATGGTCACTGATCAGCAGAATCAAGTTCCATAGATTGCCGCCTAAATTTTCCCAAGTCCGTTTTTGTATTTCTAAAGGCCAAAGTTTGGTTAAAACCAGATTCGTTTTCCAAAGTTTTGCTTTAACATAAATTTATGCAACAGGATAATGCGTCGTCAAGCAAACGACAGTATTGCGACAGGTGTTTTTTTCATTGCGGATACAATGATGTATTTTTTCGTTGCCGTCATAGATATATTTTTCCCAATTTTTGTGGCAACGATATTGATAGGAGCGTCGACCAGGTATTTACCTTACCATCAACGGTTGGGGATATGATATTGCAGACCAGAAAACCCGAGCTTTCATAGTTTAAACAGCCGGGTGCACTTGTCCCGATATTGTCGAGTCATTTTACTGCTGGGATGCAAATTTTTACTCAACAGACCACACTTTGTGATTACCATTGAATGTTAAATTCACGTCCGATCTGCATCTGAAGTACTTTGATCGCACACCGCTTCACTCGCCTACAACGCATACTTTATTTGATGTTATGAGATACTTAAGACACTACAAGGGTCCAGAACGGTCAAAAACATATGATTTACTGTACCGGTTAATCCTTGGAATATCGAAATGTTAAAAACGTATTTTATAGGAGCAATAGAGCGCACTTTCTATCGGTTTACCGTCGCAATAACCCACGCGGGATGTAGTGAGAACACGAAAAAGAAAAGTTTGTAAATACTCACCTTCGACTCGTATTTTACAAACATTTCTCCTGTGTTCTCTCAACATTCCGCGTGGGTTATCACGCCGGTAAACTGATAGAAAGAGCAGTTAATTATCTCTATGAGTAATCTAAAAGCATTTAACAGGAAACAGTAAAGAAAATATTACCTATTTGAGTTTCGTTTTGACTCAGCACACACAAATGATATGCAAAACCGCGAGTTGGTTTTTTTCGATCGCTGAAAAGTCTGAAAAAATATTATATTTTGTCACGCAAATAACAACGTTTCTAGGTTTTTATGTATATTGTGCGTAAACAAATGCACTAAAAGGAACAAACAAATTAACTATAAACCGCGCTTCCTTTAATATTGATCTACTGCGAAGAAAATTTGACGGATGACGTTTTTTGCCGGTCTGGCACGTTGGAGTATTCTGTAAAATTTGCCGAGTCACCTAAAGGCGGAAACGCGAAAGCAATATTCGGTCATTGATGGTAGGGGGTAATATTAATTAAAATAAAACGGTCGCCTTGTTAACCCGTAATCGTATGGTGGGTAATATAGGCCCCCAGAATAAAACCCGCACAAATAAATATTTAAAAAAATAATAAATTGGATTTATCTTATCAATTGTACAGAGAGAAAACCCCATTATTTCCTCAGTGATGGAACTTTGTATAATTCTGTAAACTGGACCACAGTGAAAAACCCCAAGTATTTTTCCACTGTAAGACGTTCATTTTCTTATTCAAGGATTCGTTATAACTTAAAAATTCATTGATCAGTTTATATCATAGATGACAGAAATGAGTCAATTTGTCAGATTGCACTGAATTCATGCATGACAGAGTGGAATATTTTACACAAGCACCAGACAGTTCCGCCGTTATTCGACGGCATTCTTCTACAAACAAAATATTCTCTTTATTTTTGTTGTCACAGTAATTAGATTCTAAACAGCCAAATTTGACGAATGATTGAGACTAACTGTTCCTGTGTGTATGGGCTTAGTTCTTTTTCCGGTAAATAGAGCACTTCAATATTTGTATAAACTGAAGGTTCAACATGGCATTCGACCATATAATTACGTAGCAGTTATTACCGAAGACGAGTGCATATCTATGTTCTCAAAATGCTGAAGAAACAAGGAAAGATTTAACCCTTTCATTGGCTGTAAACTGCAAGACAATAATATCGCCAGCACTGGGTGTTAGCTTTTTCACTCGGATAACTGAGAATTGAATGAAGGGAATAACTTTATAAAGAAACTGTGATTCTGTGTCAGTGGGGTTACCGGTATAGCAAGACAGTCCGGTTTTAACACCCGAGTAGCAAAAGTGAACAAGCCAACATTAGCCATTCTTCAAAATTATATTTTAAATAATTCTCCATTGGTAATAGAAATGACTGCGTAACCGGGCCTCCAGACTGAGAAATCCCTCAACTTCCTTCGCGTGTCCTCTCGAAAACGCATGCTGCTCGTTGCACACGCGAATCGCGAGTGTAACCAAATACCGCTAGTACTCATATTGTCACCGAGTGAATGCTGAAATGTTCCTCGATTACTTTTTCTTCACGTGTGAGTCATAAATGTCAAGTGACTCCCAAGCTTCTACCTAACCTCCTGTTTCCATTGACTGTAAGTTCTATATACGCTTGAATATGGGGTGAATGGCAAAACTCTCGTCTGCAGAGTAAAATGAAATGGAATCGCTTGAAGAGTGGTCAATTTGCCGCCAAAGCCCTGACATAGATATCGCCAGAAACGTTTACGAGGAAAGCTTCTTCACTGCAACAAGACCCCATGGCCGTCCACGGAGTGCAGAGGAAGGCTCATCGAAGAAGAGCCATTACTGGCATGTCGTTCAACGAAAGCTTTTTCCGAGGTCGTGTTCATGGAGTGGTTTGATCTCTTTTCTGTCTCGGCTCATGCCGATTATTCGCTGGTTACCAAAATACAACATCAAAGAAGATTTGTTTCCCGACGCAAATGGTGGTGTTACATTGGCAGTTATGCATATTCCTCAAGGTATAGCAATATTTTACTGATCCATGGATAGTATGTCTCGTCATCAGCCCTTCGTCAGAGCTCGGACGAAGGGCTAACGCTCGAAACGTCAGCCTTCTAACTCTTTACGCTGGCCAATTTACGTTATCAACTCAATTGATAACACTAAATTACCACCTTAAGATATAGTCTGGCAACAGCTCTGATCGATTTATGCGTGATGCGTTCTCGAAACAAACATTAAACAAAATCGGTTCGAACTCAGCAACAGTAAGGAATGACCGACCAGCATTAATATGACTGCATAAAAATTACTTGGCTTTATTCATTTGGGTCGGATCATGATAATATTTTGACCAGCATTGTGTAAGATCCCATCGAGAATGAAATCGAATTCGAAATGAAACGAAATGAAATTCCATCAAAATGCCCATCGCGTGACGTTTTGCATTGTACTTCTTAGCGTGAGGTCACGCACTCTCTGAGGCCGCTGGTTAACACTTTACACCCTAACATCAGTGTACGTTTTCTTCGCAATGTTCTCTATACATTTCCTTTGGTACTGACAAGGAGAATTTGCTTAACAATCAAGAACTTCTTTAGTTGGTGATCATTTCCTTTATTCTCATGACTTCGATGTTTGTTTTAGGGGTGATACTGATGGGAGAAAATAGTTACTTATCACTCATAGGCGTTAAAGAGTTAAACATTTTATTGAAACTGCTCTTTGTTGATGTGTGAGTGTTGTTGATGTTGTTTTTCTATAGGTTTGGAGCAAAGGACATAATTTGGCAGTTCGCTTTCATTGTTATCGCGAGAAATTATTGTCAAAATATCAATAACAATTCATCAAACCCTTCGGAGATTTTGAGTCTCTCTGCTGAAATCGGCGTTTGTTATTTTGTTTATTTACCTCGTTTTACGTCATCTATGACCAGCATCGCGCGTTCATTTTCGTTTCTATCGACGGAAGAATTTTGTCGCAAATGCAAGAGGAGGTGCATGCGCTGTGAGAAGAATGGGAGATGGTGGATCACTGCCGGGGGTTAGTCGACAGGAGCTATCGGCTGCACAAATTGTGTAGACTTAATTAATAGCCGTTGGTAGTTTGCGAAAATTATCATGGCTTTAGCATCTTTGAAAACTGTCACATGTCAGGAGCTCATTTTTGAGTAATGGCGGGCTGCTGCACATGTCCTTTTCTGACGTCATTTTTTTCTCTTCTAGGACTCGCATTCGCCATGCTGGCTTCTCTTCCGCCGGTCACGGGACTTTACACCGCCATTATCCCAGTTTTGGTTTATATGATCATGGGTACATCACGACACTTGTCTGTAGGTACGGTGGATTTTTTCCTTTCCTTTTTTTATATTTCTGCAGCTTGAAGGAATGATGCTATCATTTATGCACCAGTCTTTGGTTGTATTAACCATTTACACCCCAACATCAGTAGGCATATTCTCCATACTGTTCTCTATACATTTCCTAAGGCGCTGACTGGAGAATTTGTTTACCAATCAAAGGCGCTTTCCATTGGTGATCATTTCCTTCAATCTCATGACCTTAATGTGGGATTCAGTGGTGAGATTGTGAGGAGAAATTAGATTATTAAAACTGAAAATTAGAAGCCAGTCATTCACAAATGTTGATAGTGAGACAAGAAATCAGTTTAATGATTGGTGTTGTTGTCACGTGACAGGTAGTTTCGCAGTCATTTGTTTGATGGTGGCTCAAGTTGTTGAACGTGAAGTGGGTTCCATGCCATTATCACCCAGTCCCACACCAGGTAATGGCTCGATGTCCAGTCCTTCTCCGACAGGTGCAAGCACCGGGTTATGGACACCCCTCGAGACAGCCAAAATGGAGGTCGCCATTTCCCTTTCCTTACTCGTTGGTATCATCCAGGTAAAATGATATACCATTTGCTTGCTACAAAATGTAAATAATAGTTTAAAAGAATGATTTTTCACGGTAGGTTATCATGGGAGTGGCGAGGCTGGGATTTGTGGCGACTTTCTTGTCGGAGCCATTGATCAGCGGTTTTACTACAGGATCAGCGGTATTCGTTGTCATCAGCCAATTGAAGCATATACTAGGACTGAAAGTTCCTCAGATCACTGGACCACTTGCTTCAGTGAAGGTAACTATGCCATGAGCCCACTGTTCTTTCAAACCATCTGCCGAATTCTTGGTAAAGAAATCTCGAAGTTTGAAAAAATCATTAGCTCATGTTCTACCAAAATTACTGTAAAATCATATCCCTCAGAGCAGCTTAGCTGAAAGAAAGCTCAAATCCAGGTTCTTTAGGCTTTAGATTCTTTGTATCGTTTCTCCGCACTACTTAATTATGAAACTTCGCGTATCTATTTTGTTGCTTCTCGTGCTCCACTAAATTTTAATATTGGATTCTTTTCCAAGATAGATTTTACGACATAAATCCAGAGCGATCAAGACGTAGTGTTAGACTTAACCTTTTCAATGATTCAAACCAACGATGGTGATAATTGCTTTCAGATCTTCACGTATATGATGAAAAACATTCCCTCAGCGAACATTGGAGCCGTAATTACAGGCGTGCTCTGTCTTGTTCTGTTAATTGGACTAAAACAAGTCAATGAGAGATTCAAGCAAAAACTGAAAGTTCCCATCCCTGCAGAACTTCTAGTGGTAAGAATATTTATTTCATCGGGTTGCTTGTAGGAAAGTAGCCGTGGATATGAAACAGTGCCTTGGGCATTTTCTATTCTTCCTCCAATTGAGATTCATTTACTACAGAGGCGTAGCCAGGATTTTCAAAGGGGGGGACACACTGTGTCAAACTGAGGGTACTCACCAGTTTTCGCCACCTGAATATTGTTGGTTGTTTTCTTAAAAAAAGGCTTACAGATGGGGGGTTAAGGGCACTCCAGGTTCCCCCCCCCCCGTAGCTACGTCCGTGGGAAACAAGGAAAACTTCGAAGACAAAGGCGCTCAAGAGACACGATTTTGTCACTTGCGTAAATTCTGCGGACATTCTACAAGTTACAATTGTTCGCCAAGCTTTTCGTAGTTTCATAAACTTGAAATAGGAAACAACTTGAATTAAGAGACGCGCGGGAATGAGGATGGGGAGAACTACGATAGCAAGACTACCTGCCTAGCACGCCTCTTGATTGTAACCCAGTAATAACGGACTAAATTTCTTCGTCCGCCCTTCCGCTTCCCTCCGTCAACCTTCACAATACTGTTTTCTCGAGGACCGGCCTGTTCTCACCTTTATTTCCTTTTTTATCTGATCAGGTTGTTGTCGGAACTGCCATCTCATATGGTGCGGCCATCAATGCGAACTTTGGTACATCGATCATAGGAGAAATACCAAAGGGGTATGTAATATGCATAGTGGTGTGCCAGACACACGTAACACAGTGCTTTGCAACGATTTGTCTTTGAACACAGAGCGGGAACAGTTTCCCTTATGTGACATTCCTTAAAATTAAACCTTCCCGGTAACGATATTTCGGTTGCAACTACGTATGGCTTAAATTCGAAGTCTGATATCATTTATGGGCACAAAATTATTTTTATAGGCTTTTAGTAGCTACGTTGTCTACGAGAAGAAGTTCATTTGTCTTCTAACAAACTGCGTCTTTTGTGCAAACTTTTGTCCCAAGTTCGAATTGCGACGAAGATTTTTCCTGCGTCAGCTCCCGTACAGACCAGTGCTCAAGAAATTCTTCACGTTTATTTGGTGATTCATTTTCTTGATTTGGTTTCAGACTTCCTCCTCTGAGTGTGCCATCTTTATCCCGGATGTCGAACATTTCCTCAGACGCCTTTGTTATCGCAGTAGTGATATTTGCCACAAACATCTCGCTAGCCAAAATGTTTGCTAAGAAGCGTGGTTACACAGTCGAACCAAACCAGGTTTGTTTAGCAAGCATTGATGGGTGTTGGGTTCTTGGGAAGACACTCTTTTTCACTGCGCCTCCCCCCTCCCCCTCCCCTGCCAGGGAGTCTGAACGGGTGCTGGTAAACTGTCAGGGAAAACTATAGAAGATATCTCCCTGTGATGGACTAGCATCTTACCTGACTTAACTATGCAGTACAATTGATTTTGAACTGGGGGAAGTAGAAATACACCTAATCGCTTCATGCTGCTGAAACTGAGACAAACTCCGCCGGGACGGCCCTTTGTAGCTCATAAGCCAACATAACCTTTGCCAACACATCAATTATTGGTCTTGGTATAAATTGGGTGATGGAAGACTTTACCTCAACCCTTTAAAGAGGCAGGCGTCAGCGAAGAGATTGCGATGTAGAGTATTCAGATCATTTTTTCTGTCGAAACGTCCTTATACATAAGTGTATTTCAACTTTCGATATGGGCGGCAACTGTAAAACAGGTAACATCAGATTTAGCGTGCGTTGATCCTGCTCAGTCAGACTGAGTTGGACATTAAGGCTCTTGTTTAACAAATCACAGATCCCTGTAATCATACTGCTGTTTTTCTTCACTTTTCTCATCTCAGGAGCTGATTTCGTATGGAGCAGGAAACATTGCTGGCTCTTTTTTTTCGTGTTTCCCGATCTGCAACGCTTTAGCACGTACAGCGGTACAGGAAAACCTTGCAAACACACAGGTAACCGAACTAGCCGAATACAGTTTTCTTATTATTTTTGAATCATTCCTTGAATTTGAAAGGCCACTGACCTCACGTTAAGTGCAACAACCGTCGTGTTGATAAGTAGCGTCATTTTGTTCAGCATATCAATGTTTTACGAGGTGTAGAGTGAGTTCTTCTTCGTAGCGCACCGATTTAGAGCAATTATGAAAAGAAGTGTTCTGCGCGCGCAAAAGGATGTTTCACGGATTGATTGTTTCTTTTGTGTTATTATTTCACAGCTTTGCAGCGTGGTTGTGATCGCCTTGATCCTTCTAGTTCTACTGTTTATTGCTCCACTTTTTTACCATCTTCCAAAGGTGAACTATACGTTTCAAAATTTTCTGCGCTGGCACATGCTGTTGATATGTCATTTCTTGGATTTGCAAACGTTATTTTTGGTTATTATTACTTTTGAGTCCATCAAGTTATGTTTGCTTTAATCCAGGCTATCCTAGCCGCAGTTGTGATCGCCAATCTCGTTGGCCTGCTCAGACAATTTTCAAGGCTGCGGGATTTATGGGGAATTCACAAACCTGATGCGGTAAATAGTTCTCTCTTAATCCTTTATTCCTTAAGATCAGTATACATATTCTCCTTACTGTTCTCTATACATTCCTTAAGGTGCTGACATAGAGAATTTTATTCAACAATCAAGGGCTTCTTTAGTTGGTTATCATTTCCTGTGTGATTCATGGATGTTATTGTAAGGAGAAATTGGATACTTGTCACTTTTAGGCTTAAAGGGTAAACGTACCTCGATAATTACATTACTAGTGGAATTAACAGCTAGATTAATACCACAAATAGTAAAACAAGGTCAGCATGCGAATCAATTGAAGTTTTCAAAAAGATGTGTAAAAAATGTTTATTCCGTTTTGTTTTGAAATCTCACAGGTTGTATGGTTTTTCACTTGTTTTGGTGTCATACTGCTGGGAGTTGATGTTGGACTGGGTGTAGGAGTGATCTGTGCGTTATTTGCAGTAGTTTTATCCCTTTCCAGGTAAAAAAAGACTACATCTATGTTGATTTCTTTCCTTTTCCTTATTTTCACTTATTTAGCATGGGTAGTGGTCAATTGTAGTATGCAACACGGCTTTATTGACAGCTTGAATAACGGGGTTAAGTTTCTAAGAAAAACCGTCGTACTGCGTCGGCGGGAGATCATAACAGGGTAATTTATTATTGTCAATTGAGTTGATAACGTAAATTAGCCACCGCAAAGAGTTTTGAGTTTTAAAGCTGACGTTGCAAGCGTTAGCCCTTCGTCAGATTCTTCGCTCTGACGAAGGGCTAACGCTCGAAACGTCAGCTTTTAAACTTTTTATGGAAATCTTATCGATTGATAAGAACAAAAGCTCGCCATGAGCTCTTGATTTTTGCGTAGAGATCTAGAAGTTCTATTTCTATAAGGCAGGACCCTCCGTTTCTCCCTACATCAGACTCTGCATCCCCTCTGATTTAAACTGTATTTTTCAAAATTTCTCCATTTTAGATCCAGGCACACAATCCTTGGAAGAGTAAAAGCAACTGAGTTATATCGTGACATCAAGCAATGTCCCTCGGTACGTTATTTGTCTAAATTTGAAAAGTAGCTTATTGTAGTTACTTTCTTTCTCCCTAGCGCTTTATATGTACTTGTTGTAAATTCGAGTTCCAAAGATCAGCGTTATCAATAGTGGATTCAGGTTTATAGGCTAAAATATGTCTGAAATGTCATTTCCGACTTCATTTCGATTTGATCACCAAACAATAACGCTTGCATGTGACATTTTCCCTTAAAGGCCTTCGAGGTCCCTGGTGTGAAGGTGCTAAGACTCGAGTCCCCTCTTTACTTTGGTAACGTGGAGCGCTTCAGAAATGCGCTGGTTAATGCCTCTGGACTGGATCCCAGTTCTCAACAGAAAGCGCGCAAAAGGGTCAAACTGGGAAACGACGACGAAAAATATGATCTTCTCGAGAGTGAAAACGGAGGAAACTGTAACGGAGAGATTCCTAATGGTGTAAGTTAGATTTAGTAACTCCCTTATAAAGTATTCGCAGTAATAAGTCGAATACTGGCGCAATATCGATTGTCCAAGTAAAGTTACGTTCCCTTTCGTTCGTGGAGAACAATAGTGGACCTTAGACAGACCTCGATATTATTGCGGTTGGTGGTTTCTTTGGAACAGTATTTAGATCTAGTTTCTTTGCGCGATAAACTTTCTACATTCCAACAATTGGATCAATCAGGGTGTCACCACCAGCGTCACAGAATAGATACCAACATCTTTGAGTCAAGGATGTTGACAACACTTTTTTTTCAACCTTCTGTTTGCTCCTCTGCGATGCTGGCATAGTTGTAGGATGTCTACGTTTAGCACCAAAGCCGTTAATATCTCTCGAGGTTCTTCCCCTCTTGTGATCATGACGGGAAAATTCTATCGCATTGTGTTTTGAACATGCGCGTAATTGTCTTAACTGTCTAAATGTTTAATTATTTCCCAATTTTTTAAATAGAAACCAATTCCTTTGGAAAACAAAAGGACCTCAAGGACAACTGCTGTTGAAGTTGACGAGCCGCAAACCTGTATTCACACTGTCGTCGTTGATTGTAGCAGTTTTACTTTCATCGATTCGGTTGGACTTCATGCGCTTCCATCTGTAAGTACCAAGCTTAGGGACTTGTCATTTTTTATCGGCTGGATGGGATGGGAAGGGGGCTCTGGGGGTCGGGGGTCCGGGGGGGTTGAAGGTTAAAGGATTTTGGTTTTGTCACGATTGAATTTACCTGATATCTCCCCATTAGGCTCTATACGATTCCCTCCTCATTGGCAGTTAATTGGAAGTCAATTTTCCATAGTCTCCCTTTTACACTCTTTTGGTGACGACTGATCCCCTTTCTGTTCCTTCTGGAAACCATGTGATCCCCAAAAATCCTCCACCCTTACCTGTCAGTATGATAGTACCAGACTCGTTCGCAACTTTTGCAGACGTAAGACGCGCTTATAACACGTGTCAGTTGTCTCTTAAATTCCTTAAGTACGTTGGAGGCACCTTCTTCCTCTCTCCTATGAATAGTTCATTTGCATTTTTTGTGAGCCCCGCCGAAAGGCAGGGCGACGAAAAATTGGTTTATATACTCATTCAACTGTTCTCCTCCACGGAAATCTTTAGTAAAAGGCGAAAGATTTGTGCGTAATGAAGGGAAACCAGAATTAGCGTCAATGTGATTGACCGGGCGTTATGTAGAAAGTAACATCACAGAGCATATGGGACAGGGAATTCCGCTACAGTTTCGACTCACTTGGATATTAATGACACGCATGCAAAACATTGCGTTTAGTTTGTTTAAGCTCCAGCTCTCGTGTTACCTTATAACGATAAAACTGCGGTGAAACTTTTGAAAAACGCAAGAAAAATCTCTTTCCACGGCGGAAAGGAATATTTTCCGTCCACTGACCGACGATCACCGGTGTCAGTAAATCCTTGGATACGCGCATAAAAAGCTGTCTTTTACGTCGGCAATGGTTGCTACATAGTACTACAACGGTGATTGCTAAACCCTGCGTGTATTTATCAATTGTTTCGCATTTATTCGAGAAATCTTCTTTTCATCCTCTAGCTTCTATCGGAGTTCAAGAAAGCTGGAGTTCAGATATACCTGGCTGGTTGCTCTTGTGAGTATTTCCTTTTTTCAAGTTTTAAATCATAGTTTGGGCGGAATTCACGATAAAAAAATTACTCTTATTATTATTATTAAGCGTGATGTCCGATTCTCTGACTTAAGAATTTAATTAGTAAGCGTAATATCGTCTCTCCACAGCAATTCTCATTAAAAGGCTCGCAAGTTCCACTAAGAAGGCCGTCATACCGGCCATTCCACATCACGCGATGTTTCCATCCATTCATGACGCTGTTATATCTGCCATAAGATCACGTGACTACGCGGTAAGTTTCACAATCATGCGACGGCTAAACAAAACTGATGCGCATGTCTTTTCCTTGATAGCGAAGAGCGAGTGTACCATGAAATACTATGGAGTTTCTGACCTTTGATACTGTCACCTCTCATTCTGATCTTTCGGATATTTTTAATGTTTTTACTTACGTTTTGGGCACTTTTGCGAGTGTTCTTGAGACTTAAAATAGATATTAAGGTTCATATCATGGATCGTTGTTTTTGGTTCATGTCCGCACGCTGAGTCATATTCTGACTATCACATGATCTTAATTCATTTGGAAGTGCGCGGGAAAATGCATTCTTTGGGACATCCTGGGGTACACATATCAATGCAATAATTCACGTTCCCACTTTGCAACTTTATATATTGCAGTATGGGTAAATATATCCCCATTTTGCTTTCCTTGCAGCTTTGGGGAGAAGACTTGGAGAAGGAGACATGTTTGTAATACTGATCCTCGCTGATATTTCTGTCGTGGAAAATTTCAGATCGTTAGTAGTTCTTTTATCACTGGCGAACGAAATAAACGTTTTAAAAATCGGTGACAGAGAGGGGCAGGGTGATGAACTCCTCGTGCAGAATAGAAGGGCCTTTCCGAGAGGTCTAAATGAGCGTACCCCAAGAAAACAATGAAGGTCTATAGACTTAAAAAATTTTTATTTTTAGTGGATACTCCGTTGTGGGAGGGAGTTGGGCTCTTAGCCTCTAAATTTCCATATTACCTTAACGAATAAATTTTGTATTTTTCTTCCGTCGGACGGATACTGTAAGAGCGAAATTCACAACGTGATACATAGATATTTATATATATATGTATATATTTTTTTCAATATTACGATTCATGACGTGAATATATTCCAAAAAATTCTCACTTTTCAGTGGAATATTAATTTGTACTCAATTTGAATATTATACATGTACTTTAGGGAAGTAGTCAGAGGAAGGAATAAATATTTTTCCTCAGCCACTAACCCAACATATTTAATCTTGCTTTATTTTATTTTTTCATTATATATATGACAAAGTATCATTAAACTTGAAAAGTCAAACAAAATATGAAATAGACTTTGTGGTTACAGTCCGTTTGTTCTCTCAGCAGAAGCTCTTTCGTTAACATCCGCTGGATACAATGAGTGTAGGCGCAATTTGAACGAGAGGTGAACGATTTTGTTGACCGTTCGATTTTCGCCTGGAAAATTAGGACAAATTAAGATAATTGATAGTATAGAAACAGTGTTGGTTGATGATGATTGATCTCTAATATGAACGAAATCCAAATGCACTGAGAGACCAATACGCATGATGTTTCAATAAAAAGGCCATGTAGGACTTCATGTGGCTACTGATATGGCACAATTTTTATAACCATGAAAAGAACTAGAGGTTGTATAATGACGTTTGAAGGTAGTGTTACAAAATATTTGTATTCACATGCAAAACGGAAAACCTGCTGCATCCCAGATATTTATGAGTATCATGTTCCACAAGAGAAGATGAAAATATAGCGACTAATTGACTTCAATAAATAATGGTAACAAACAATCATATTTTAAAACAATAAAATAACAATAATAATAATGATGATGACAATTGTAACAGTAATCATAATTAATAGAGGCTAGCTCAATAACCTCACTGTTCCTCTTTCCTCTAAGCTCCAATAATGATTAAGCTTTGCTTCTTTCACTTTCGCCTGTTAATTATAAATAATTTCCACATTTCAAAATATATGATCGGCCACTAGTGTGCAAAATCCAAAATTGGCCAGTAACATCCAGAATCGGCCACTTCTGTCCAAAATACAGAATCGGCCACAAGTTTCCAAAATCCAAAAGCGGCCACTGGTGTTCAAAATCCAGGATCGGCTACTAGCGGCCATTATTGTCTTTAATCCAAAATCGGCCACTAGAGTCCAACTTCTAAAATCGGTCACTACTATTCAAAATCCAAAATCGGCCACTGATGTCCAAAATGGTAAATCGGTCACCAGTGTCCAAAAAACTTAAATCGGCCACTGGTGTCTACAATTCAAAATCGGCCATAGTGCCCAAAATCCAAAATCCTCCAAAAATAAAAAATCGGCCACTACCGAGTGTCCAAAATAGGCCACTAGCATCTAAAATCTAAAATCGGCTCCTAGTGTCCAAAATCCCAAATCAGCCCATAGAGTACAAAACCAAAACCGGCCACTACTGTGTAAAAAACGATTATCAGGCACTACTGTCCAAAATGATACATGGGCTACTAGTGTGCAAAATCCCAAATCGGCCACTAGCGTCCACAATGATAAAACGGCCACTAGTGTCCAAAATTCAAAACCGATTACTAGCGTCCAAAATCTAAAATCGACTACTAGTGTCCAAAATCCAAAAATCCAAAATCGGCCACTTGTGTTCAAAATGATAAATTGGCCACTAAGGTCCAAAATCCAAAATCCAAAATTGACCACTAGCGTCCGTAATGATAAAACGGCCAGTAGTGTCCAAAATCCCTAACCGGCCACTTGTGTCCAAAATCCAAAATCGGCTATTTGTGTCCAAAATGCTAAATTGGCCACCGCTGTCCAAAATCCAAAATCGGCCATAAGCGTCCAAAATGATAAGTCAGCCATTAATGTCATCCAAATGGACCACTAGAGTCCGAATTCCCAAATCGGCCACCAGTGTCCAAAATGTAAAAGCAGCTACTTGTGTCCATAATGATATATTGGCCACTAATGTCCAAAATTCAAAATTCAGCTACTTGTGTCCAAAATTCAAAATCGGTCACTTGTGTCCAAAATGATAACTTGGCTGCTCGTTTCCAAAATCCACAATCGACCACTAGTGTCCATAATGATTAAACCGCCAGTAGTATGCAAAATCGCGCCCATAATGATATATCGGTCACCAGTGTTCAAAATCCAAAATCCGGCTACTTGTGCCCAAAATTCAAAATCGGCCACTTGTGTCCAAAATAATAAATTGGCCACTGCTGTCCAAAACCGCTACTGTCCAAAACCGCCAGTGCGTATGCAAAATCTCAAATCGGCCTCTAGTGTCCAAATTCTAAAATTGGCCACCAATGTCCAAAAACCTAAATCGGCCACAAGTGTCCAAAATCCAAAATAGGCCACTTGTGTCCAAAATGATAAATCGGCCACTGCCGTCCAAAATCCAAAACCAGCCACCGGCATAAATTAGCCATTAAAGTCGAAAATCCAAAACCGGCCACTTGTGTCCAAAATGATAAATTAGCAACTGGAGTCCAAAATCCAAATCGGCCACTAGCGTCCACAATGATAAAACAGCCAGTAGTATCCAAAATCCCAAATCAGCCAACAGTTTCCAAATTCTAAAATTGGCCACTAGTGTCTAAAATCCCAAATCGGCCACCAGTGTCTAAATCCAAAATCGGCCACTAGTGTCTAAAATCCAAAATCGGCCACTAGAGTGCAAAATCCCAAATCGGCCATTACAGTCCAAAATGATAAATTGGCCACTACTGACCAAAATCCAAAATCAACCGCTAGTGTCCAAAATCCAAAATGGAACACTGTGTCCAAAATTCAAAATTTGGCCACTTGTGTCCAAAATCCCAAATAGGCTACTCGTCAGCCCTTCGTCAGAGCGAATGACGAAGGGCTGAGACTTAAAACGTCAGCTTTTAAACTCTTTACGGTGGCCAATTTACGTTATCAACTCGGTTGATAACCGATTAAATTACCCTTTTATACTCTACCACCGACGTAGCACCACAGTATTTTAAAAAACTTACCTCCTTAATAGGGATGTGCTACTGGATGGTGTCTTATTCATGAAACCGTGAATAAATAGATAAATAAATAGGTTAGTATTAGTAAAAACGAAATATCGAATAACTTGCGAGAGCCATGGCGGAGCGGTAGAACGGCGGATAAGTTTAGAGGGGCTGAAGGTGATAATTGCCCACAGTGTCGCCAGAGGGGAGCGAGCGCTCCTAAAAGCGCAGTATGCGCATGCTTCTCCTTCTCTGCTTTTCAATTCCTTTGCAATGCTGAGGTGTCGGCTGAAGTATTCAAGAGCTTCCTTAAAATGGCAACGACACATATGAGCGTTCCTAAGATTGCAAGAGTGAGTTCCCTCGTAACGTCTATCGTTGGCATTCTTACAAATGACTAGTACTTTATTGAAGCATTCTTTCGCTGTGCTTAACTTACCAGTAAATACATAAAACATCCCAAATGGCTATACGCCAACCTTTTTAGCAATGGAAAGAGATATCTTGCAATACTGTTCGCCGGCCATGCTCAAATTGTCCGTATAAGCCCGCTTAAGTGCACGGCAGCAACGTCCTTCTAAGGCGCAGTTTCCTGCTTCTTGGGCGATTTTAGGACCTTCCATGTAATAGTCCAATGCCTGTTTAATATTACTGAGGCTCTCATAATACTGGCCAAGGATCAAGATTGTAAATCCTTCATTAACCCTGTAATTAACTTCTCTTGCAATGAGTAGAGAATGCTTTAAGCATACTATGGCTTGTGTATTATCACCGATGTCCCTATAGATGTGGCCCAAATTGAAGGACTCAGCTTGTTCTCCAGTCCTATCACCTGTTTCTTTGTGAATGATTAGGGATTGCTAGAAATATACTATGGCTTGTGTATAGTCACCGATGTCATGATAGGCGCGGCCGAGATTGTTGGACCCTCGTGCTTCTTTAGCCCTTTTGGCTGTTTCTTTGGCAATGATTAAGGATTGATATAAGCGTGCTATAGCCTCTATATTATCCTCGAGACAACTATAAGCGAAGCCAAGCTGGTGGTACATGTCTCCTTCAGTAACCCTTTCACCCATTTCTTTGGCAATGATTAGAGACTGGCCTAAGTGCGTTATGGCTTGTTTATAATCACCAAGGCAATAATAAGCACTGCCAAGCTTTTCGTACACGTCTCCTTCTACAGCCCTTTTTATCCATTTCTTTGGCAATGATCAGATATTTGCTAAAGTATATTATGGCCTGTTAATGGTCACCAAGGAAATGATAAACACGGTCAAGCTTTTCGTACACGTCTCCTTCTCTAGCCCTCCTACCCGTTTTTTTGGCAACGATAAGAGATTGGTAGAAGTACGTAATAGCTCGTCCTGTGTTTGACCTTCTACCCATCGCGACGCGTTGACTTTTCCTTCCGCCGTTCGAGATTATATCAGTAACGAGATTTCCCTCGGTCGAGTGGCAGAACCTTTCGCTGCACCGCCTTTTCATGACGGCTTTCTTGTTTCTCCTCTCAACACGGTGGTCAAGCGTGACTCTAACGAACGAAGAGTGATCGTCGATTTGAGCTGGCCTTGTGGCTCATTAGTTTATGATGGTATTCCTTCTGGTTACTTTCTCAGAGAGCTTCTGGAATCGATTTATCCCACTATTGATGCCATTGCCTCGGCGATTGCTTTACTCGGTTGGGGTTGCATGCTATACAAGCGCGATCTACGGAAAGCGCACTGCCAATTTCCCATCTATCCATATGATTATCATTTACTTGGTTATACATGGAACGGTCAATTTTACTTTGACACAGTTTTAACTATGGGCCTCCGTTCTGCCGCGTGTCAACGCTCCCCTTCTGCAGTTACTTGGATTCTCAACCGGCGCGGACTTAAAATATTTAATTATCTCGATGACTTTATTGGTGCTTCCCCACCGCCAACGAAGTCGCAATCACTGCGCTGAGCTCGGGCCGATGTAGGGATGCTTTTGTTAATTCTTGTCTGCCCGAAGTCTGTTTCTTAGCGGCAGCATGCGAGTTTGAGAATCGCGCGGTTCACCTTCTTGGAGTCTTGAACAGTGAAGCTGACAAGCTTTCACGCTGGAATGTGACTTCGTGTTCAAGGGAACAATTCCTACAACGCGTTAACGTTATCAACTGGTTGCAGTTTCTGTGCACATCAACTTCTTCCAGTTAGACAGTCCTTTCAATGGATCGTTTTGTTTGTTTTTATTGTACATTTCTTAGTATTATCTGCATTCGAAAGGATTTGAAGTACACGCTTCGTTCTGCCTACAGCGCTAGAACATTTGATATTTTAAGAACCCAATTTAAAGCCTTTTTGTTATTTTGTACGTATTTTCGATTCACACCCACGCCAGCTACGTTGGATACTGTTTGTCTTTATGTGCAATTTCTTAGTCGTACGCTTAGTCCTTCCCGCAATTCGTAACTGTTTGCCTGGGGTTAAACTGCTGCATTTATTTTCAGGGTTTGAATTTCTATTTAATAAGGATTTTCTTCTCTCGCTGACGTTGCGTGGCATTGCGCGCAACGCGCTGCACACCCCACGAAGAGCTCTTCCGGTCACTCCTGATGTTTTTTATCATATTTCTAAGGTTTTAGATTTCGAGAATGATCCTCTTTCGTGCTCGCTGTTTTGTGCCTTTTTATTTACATTCTTGTTAATGGCGCGGCTAGCCAACATAGTGTCTCGGTCCCGTCAGTGCTTCGATCCTTCGCGTCATCTTACTCGCAGAGATATCGCAACGAACCAACATGGGCTAATTGTTACTTTTTAATGCACCAAAACTCTTCAGTTCGGAGAGCGTAAGTTACATATTCCTTTGGTACGTCTGCCCGGCTCTCCTTTATGTCCAGTCTCTGCATATCACCGTATGATTCGCCTCGTTCCTGCGAGTTCCGTAAGTACTTAAACATGGAACGACCTAAAACCACCTAAAAACACCTAAAACCACCTAAAACCACCTAAAACCACCTAAAACCACCTAAAAAACCACCTACAACCACCTCAAAAACATCTACAACCACTCGCAAACAATCTAATACCATCTAAAACAAAGCATAAATGTCTAAAATAAGGCGAGACGATAACATGTCACGTACATAAAATACGAGAATCGAACAAAATCTCCACCTCCCCCTGAAATCTTACTCTCCCTGGTCCATGTCTAATCAACCATCTCACGAAATGAAATGCGAGAGCATGCTAATTATATTTTATATTCTCTCAGTAGCAAAAGACTTAAAGAACTTTACCAAATGAACTATCAGGTTACCAAAAATATGAAGTAAAATATAAAAATATAAAGACTTCGCTTTTTCTACCTTGGGTACCAGCAGACGTTTTGGCTCACGTCTAGAAAAAGTATGAATAAGAATGGTCGTTAAAAATATTTTAAGCGAACTGTGCGTACCTTCGGGATCTTCTTTTGGCACGAACGGCATCGTGCTGGCATTCATACAGCATGCCGTTGTGCGCGTGGTGCAACTTACGCAATAGTGACTCACGTTTTGCTTCAATTACATTTCCGGTGCTGAGATTGTAAATGGAAAAAAACACTACCTTGGACCTTTACGTAATCAAATGAAACGTGAGCCAAAACGTCTGCCTGTAAAGTTCTATCAACTACTGAGTTAATGTAAAATATTTATCATGCTCTCGCATTTCATTTCGTGAGATGGTTGATTATACATGGGACCACGGAGAGCGAGATTTCAGGGGGAGGTGGAGGTTTCGTTCGATTCTCGTATTTCATGTACGTGACATGTTGTCGTCTCGCCTTATTTTAGACATTTATGCCTTGTTTTAGATGGTATTAGATTGTTTGCGACTGGTTGTAGATGTTTTTGAGGTGGTTGTAGGTGGTTGTTGAAATTTTTGAGGTGGTTGTAGATGGTTGTAGGTGGTTTTAGGTAATTTTAGGTCGTTCCATGTTTTAGTACTTACGCTGCGAGTTCTCGGTCTGCCTTATTCGTTTAACCCAGTCATAACGGTTCCACTGTCCTCACTCAGACTCGTTTCATCGTCGAGTTCTATCTGGCGATTTCTACTGCTGGTCTCTCAGATGCTTCTTCCTTCCAAGGTCATTCTTTACGTCGCGGTGCGGACTCTTGGGCCTTTATTAATCACGGTGTACCAGGTGACCTCATACAGATAAACGTAGACTGGGCAAGTAATGCGCATAAGGCTTACTTAGAATTTAGTGTTTAATCAAAGCTCGCCTTCGCCCATCAGCTTCGTTTTGCGGTTCTTTCTAGTGCTTCGTGGTTTCATATGGCACAGTCCGTCTTTGTTGGGCGTTCCGTTGGGTGGCAGAGAGGTTTATCAGGCATATCATAGGCTTTTTTTCCCTGTTGGTTCGTATTCTTAATAAACTTCTCGCTGTGCCCAAAAGCGAACTGTGTTTTACCTGTGTCAGAGGGCGTAGTTGGGGAATCTACCTTCTTGGGACAAGCACGTGTTGAAAGGGTTTAATTGCGTAACACACACCGTCTAGTAACAGGCCATAGAAGTTTCGTGTTTAATTTCACGTCCGTGTTCACGTGGGGCGTGCACCAGAGATTTTGTACTGTTTCGTTTTTCTTCCCACCTTCTCTCCCTTCCTGGGTGATTTTGTGTGATGTCACAGAGTGGCAGGGAGGTTTATTAGGCATATCATTGGCTTTTGTTTACTGTTGGTTCGTATTCGTAATAAACCTCTCTCTGTGCCCAAAAGCGAATTGTGTTCTATTTGTGTCAGGGGGCGTAGATGGGGAGTTTAGCCCATTTGGATAAAGCACGTGTTGAAAGGGATTAGTTTCGTAACACGCACTGTCTGATATCAGGCCATAGGAGTTTTGTGTTTCATTTCGCGTCAGTTTTCCCTTGGAGCGATTTTGCACTGTTTCGTTTTTCTTCCCACCCTCACTCCCATCCTGGGTGATTTTGTGTGATGTCATAGTGTGGCAGAGAGGTTTATTAGGCACAACATTGGCTTTTGTTTACTGTTGTTTCGTATTCTCAATAAACTTCTCTCTGTGCCCAAAAGCGAATTGTCTCTTATCTGTGTCAGGGGGCGTAGTTGGGGAATTTACCCCATTTGGACAGGCACGTATTGATAGGGATTAATTGCGTAAGACACACTGTCTAGTATCAGGCCATAGGAGTTTCGTGTTTCATTTCGGGTCAGTTTTCACGTGGAGCGTGCACCAGAGACTTTGTGCTGTTTCGTTTTTCTTCCCATCCTGGGTGATTTTGTGTGATGTCATAGAGTGGCAGAGAGGTTTATTAGGCATATCATTGGCTTTTGTTTACTGTTGGTTCGTATTCTTAATAAACTTCTCGCTGTGCCCAAAAGCGAACTGTTTTACCTGTGTCAGAGGGCGTAGTTGGGGAATCTACCTTCTTAGGACAAGCACGTGTTGAAAGGGTTTAATTGCGTAACACACACCGTCTAGTATCAGGCCATAGAAGTTTCGTGTTTAATTTCACGTCCGTGTTCACGTGGGGCGTGCACCAGAGATTTTGTACTGTTTCGTTTTTCTTCCCACCTTCTCTCCCTTCCTGGGTGATTTTGTGTGATGTCACAGAGTGGCAGAGAGGTTTATTAGGCATATCATTGGCTTTTGTTTACTGTTGGTTCGTATTCGTAATAAACCTCCCTCTGTGCCCAAAAGCGAGTTGTATTCTATTTGTGTCAGGGGGCGTAGATGGGGAGTTTAGTCCATTTGGATAAAGCACGTGTTGAAAGGGATTAGTTTCGTAACACGCACTGTCTGATATCAGGCCATAGGAGTTTTGTGTTTTATTTCGCGTCAGTTTTCCCTTGGAGCGATTTTGCACTGTTTCGTTTTTCTTCCCACCCTCACTCCCATCCTGGGTGATTTTGTGTGATGTCATAGTGTGGCAGAGAGGTTTATTGGGCACATCATTGGCTTTTGTTTACTGTTGTTTCGTATTCTCAATAAACTTCTCTCTGTGCCCAAAAGCGAATTGTCTCTTATCTGTGTCAGGGGGCGTAGTTGGGGAATTTGCCCCATTTGGACAGGCACGTATTGATAGAGATTAATTGCGTAAGACACACTGTCTAGTATCAGGCCATAGGAGTTTCGTGTTTCATTTCGGGTCAGTTTTCACGTGGAGCGTGCACCAGAGATTTTGTGCTGTTTCGTTTTTCTTCCCATCCTGGGTGATTTTGTGTGATGTCATAGGGTGGCAGAGAGGTTTATTAGGCATATCATTGGCTTTTGTTTACTGTTGGTTCGTATTCTTAATAAACTTCTCTCTGTGCCCAAAAGGGAATTGTGTTTTATCTGTGTCAGGGGGCGTAGATGGGGAGTTTACCCCACTTGGACAAGCACGGGATTAATTGCGTAAAACACGCTGTCTAGTATCAGGCCATAGGAGTTTTGTGTTTCATTTCGTGACAGTTTTCACGTGGAGCGTGCACCAGAGATTTAGTGCTGTTTCGTTTTTCTTCCCATCCTGGGTGATTTTGTGTGATGTCATAGGGTGGCAGAGAGGTTTGTTAAGCATATCATTGGCTATTGTTTACAGTTGGTTCGTGTTCTTAACAACCGTTTCTCTGTGCCCAAAAATGAATTGTGTTTTCTCTGTGTCAGGGGGCGTAGTTGGGGAATTTACCCCCTTTGGACAAGCACGTTTTTAAAGGGATTAATTGCGCAACACACACCGTCTAGTATCAGGCAATAGGAGTTTCGTGTTTCATTTCGCATCGATTTTCACGTGGAGCGTGCACCAGAGATTTTGTACTATTTCGTTTTTCTTCCCACCCTCTCTCCCATCCTGGGTGATTTTGTGTGATGTCATAGGGCGGCAGAGAGGTTTATTAGGCATATCATTGGTTTTTGTTTACTGTTGGTTCGTATTCTTAATAAACTTCTCTCTGTGCCCAAAAGCGAATTGTGTGTTATTTATGTCAGGGGCGTAGATGGAGAATTATAAGTGGAAAAGTGCTCAAAAGAAGACTATTTTAATACCAATCCTGTGAACGGTTTTGTTTATACAAATTTGTATGTGCTTTCTTAAATGTGTGCAAGTGATTGACATGTAACTTCTCCCTTTGATATCCATATATGATTTAGCATAAAGGTAATGAGAATACTCAAAGTTATCAGGTAGAAGTTGTTAACTTGATCTACACCAAATTCTTGTCACTAACTTACAAGGAAGGCGCAGCAGCTTAAAGGAGAAATGACAATTAGATCTTAGGAGTTAAAGGTTCAATAAATGCGGAAATGTTAGGCCTTTTTTACTTTTCCTATCACCTAATTACTTGACAAAAATTAGTCCTTAATAACCCTCATTACTTTTTTATTTGGGGAAATATTCTCTGGAAGGCAATTTGAAACAAGATATTTGATTGCTGCACAGGTAGGATTAACTTGATATTTCTTTATTTTTGTTTTCTTGTTTTTGTGAAATTTTATTTTCTTTGTTGTAGACCTACATAATCAAGTTCAAGATTATTACTTGTTCTGTACTGGGATCAGTCATCACTGGGGTTGTCTGTATCCTTGTCTTCATAGCACTGAAATATATCAGCGAGAAGCTGAAGCACGGAATGAAATTTCCTATACCAGCTCAGTTAATAGTGGTAAGTGACTGAATCCTCTAGACCCCAATATCAGTATGCTTATTCTCCATACTGATCTGTATTCATTTCCTAAGTTGAAGACAAGGAGAATTATTGTATCAATCAAAAGCCTCACTCCAAATCAAAGTCCTGGCAACTAAGTACGCAACTGTAAAATGGCCCATTGGTGCTCATTTCCTCCATTCTCATGAGCTTAATATTTGAATCAGGGTTGATACTGTTTGGAGAAAGTTGGTCTTTATTGGTCCCCTCCAAGGGTTAAAGGGTTAACTTTGTTTGATCTGTGGCATAAATGACACCTCCCATGAAGGGTTACCATGTTGCTTTTGCTGTTAGTAGCTTCCTTCTACTTGAATGCCCTGTCAGTGGTACCTCCTAAGAACAATAAATAAATTATAGACTGGAGCTGTTTTTCTCAGTTAGGGCAAAAATGTGGAACACTGCATTATTTACTGAGAGCTTTCTTTTTGTTGTCAGAAACCCTGAAAGATTGATTTGTCTGACATGTAAATCATGTTGCCATGATTGTAGGTTGTTCTCAGAACAATGGTGTCATATTTTGTTGGATTAAATGAAAAATTTCAAGTTTCAGTTCTGCATAACATTCCTAAGGGGTGAGAGACATTGAAGTACAGTCAGGTGATCATAGTGTAATTCTGTTTACAGTTTGAGCAAAGGCACCTGGTCTTCACTATAACTCCTCTTGTACATATCCTATGTTTTGTACAATTAAATTTCAAGGTGTGATGTGTTTTGTTTTTTATACTGTTATATATGTATAATATCCATTTTTTGTCATAATTCAGTGTATGTCATACATTGTATGTATATGTGAAACAAACAAACAAGCAAATAACTAAAAGAGAAAAAAGCTGTTGAATTGTAGACATGTTTGACATGACAGATAAACTTTCATTCTGATACATCTTTTGAATTTCATGATACTAACAGTGATTTTACCATAATGTTTAATGGCCTACTTAGGTTACAAGTACCATCTGCTCCATCCTTCATGCTGATGGGAAACATGGTGACAGATGCCATTGTGATTCTATTGTTATATTTGCCACAAACACATCTTTGGCCAAAATATTTACCAAAAGAAACAATTATGTGATTGATTCAAATTAGGTTGGTAGATACAAATGTTTTTGTTGGTTAAGCTGACTAACTGATTTGGGATGATCATAAAACTTAGTATTGGTAACAACATGATTTTGAGTGCAATTTGGTATTAACATAGGCACAAGTAAATTTTTCAAAGACAACAGAATTGCATGAGCCCATATGGCAAGTGCAATTTGTAATTTGTAAAATTTACAAATGCATATTACACCAAATTGCAAAAGAAATCATGTTATTTACTTGTTAATTATGTACATGAAAAAAGCATCACTGAAAGTCAAGACAGAAGAAATTTTGCACTTGTGTTACAACTTTGCACTTGTGTTACATGAGAATGCACTTATTTTCAGCCAATTAGAAGCGCATAATCATTTTTTTTGTTGGAACATTCTGTAAAATTGGCCGAGTCACCTAAAGGCGGAAATGCAAAAGCAATATTGGGTCATTGATGGTAGTGGGAAATATTTATCAAAATGAAACAGATGCCTTATTAAACTGTAATCATATGGTGTATTATATTTTTCCCTAAAATAAACCTGCACTGATAGATATTAAACAAAGTTAAGTTGCAAAAGCAATTTTGGGTCATTGATGGTAGGGGGCAATATTTATTAAAATGAAACAGACGCCCTATTAAACTGTAATCATATGGTGTATTATATTTGTCCCTAGAATAAACCTGCACTGATAGATATTAAACAAAGTTCATACATTGGATTTATCTTTATTATTATTATTATTATTATTATTATTAATGAACTTTATTCTACACACATCAGTTACAAATGATACTACTCACAAAAAATACTACAAATAGAAACGCACTTAAGATATACTATTTACAAAAGGAATGGTTACTGACATTTACACTACCAATGGGAAAATTTCGATTACTTACATGATATTTGCTTGATACACATAAGCAAAAAAAAAAAACAAGAAAAAACTAATTGAACTTACATCTATAAATTTGTTTTCTTGTACTTACAATTACTTAACTTAATTCCTTACTAAAACAAAAGATTGATTGGTCACATTACTTATGAAACATTGTTATAGGATATTATTTACTCTGTTCACACTATTTAATTGGTGCTATTTACACTATTGGTTTAAGGCTAGAGAAGCATTCACCAGTAATACTGTACAAATTATAGTAAATTTTCAACACGAAGTTTAAGGAGTAATTTCGTATTAAATTCATTAAAGTCACACTTTTTTAACTTAGTTTTTGACAATAAGATGTATTTGGCGAAGAGTAAGCAATAGTTGAATTTAGATAGTTATTTGTCATTTCCATTATGCAACATTCCAAAAAGTTTCTCGCCCACTGTTGGTGAATATTTCGAATTGTTTGTTTTGTTAAACCAGGAACTGAATAACTTTATCAAAGAAGGACTTAGCCTCTTCACATTCAACAAAGGAATGTAGAATGTAGTCGGATTCATTCCAATAAAGACATTTACTGTCTGTTTCAATTGCATAGGCATATAACTCTTTCCTGGTGACTATTATTCTATGGATTAATTTGTAGTTAAATTCTCTAAGTTTATTTTCTTTGCATGTTTTGCTTATCTAGGTGAAGGCAAGGTTCCAATTAAAATTTTTCAGGTTAAGATCTTTTTGCCATTTCTTTAGACCGGTGGGTTCGATTTTGGTCGCATTAACGTACAGCAAGTAGTAATCTTTGCAATTCATTTTCGTTCAATCTATGACAATGGAGTCAGAGAGTTTGTAGTAAGTGTTACCTGAGAAATTATGCATGTCGATGGGAGATACGGTTCTCGCCTTCTCAAGTAGATATTTTGGTATCGCTGTAAGAACTTGAAGATAGTTTAAAAAATTACATTTGATGTTATATCTTTGTTGGAATGTTTGAAATGATAAGAACTTTCCATTGCAATCGTGAAGATCCTGAATTGTTAAGACCGCCTTTTCTGACCAATTTGAGTAGAATATTGAATTGCCATCGATTTTAATTTCCTTGTTGTTAAACAAAAGCAGGTCTGACAAGTAGTTGGGTCTGTACAGGGTCTTTAGTTCAAGAAAGTTCATCAGGATTTGCCTGTAAAAAAGTGGAAGGCTGAATTTCGCTAAAAGCTTATTGTCATAATTACAATGAAGGAGAAAGTTGAGACCGCCAAACTTTTCAAATAAGTGATTCGGGATTGATTTCCAAGTCTCAGATGAGTGTCGATAGACTGTCAAAAGTCTAGAGATCCAAGCTAAATTTAACGACTTAAACAGGATTTCGATGTTCGGAGCACGTAAACCGAATATCGAAATCCTGTTTAAGTCTTTCAGCATGAATGAGCTAAAAAAGGAATTACATATACGTTAGTATGATGTAACTGAAGATTTAGCATGAGACAAGGAAACCCGTAGGGAAGCCAAGAGGCCTATGCGAGCTACAGGCTCCTTATATTTTACAAAAGCGAGGTATCAGTTTTATGGCGTGATTAAGGTACAAAATAAAACAACAATAACACTAGCAGGCACTCGAACAAACATATACTTAAGTAGCGTAAGAAAAGTAAGAAAAAATAATTAAAAAAATGAAAATAAGCAAATGAAGAATAAGAAGGGAGACAAGTTAGGAGTTATGTTTGCAATTTAGACTTAAACAGGGAAAGTGTGCAAACATTTTAGATTTTAATATTCAGAAAAATGGAAAACTTAAGTCCTTTGAAACATAACGCAAACTGTTTGATATTTATTCGGCAAGGGTATGTAAAAGGAATTGCATTGTCTGGTGTCATAGCAATATTAATGAATGCTACTCGAAAACAAAAATAATCTTTTAAGAGCATCTTGAAAAAAAACATGATCTTTCCTATTTTAAATCGATATATACTGTATAGATTGAGAATTTTCGACTGCTTAAATATAGGTTCAGTATGAGTGTTAAAGAATACTTCTTGATATGATTCGTATCACCTTTTTCTGGAGTAAGACAATACGTTTCAAGGTGGATGGATAAGTGGAGCCCCATGTCGTAATGTAATAAAGTAAGTAGGGATAAACAAGACTATAAAACAGAGTACATAAAGTTGAAGTAAGTAGGCAGAGACATGGCCCGAGTTGTTCAAATCTGGGTTAAGTCCAGGGTTAGCATGGAATTTGATTTCAGGTTTGAAAGCTTTAAAAGAAAATTCAGTTCAAATCTTTTTGCTTGCAATTTGATCATTGGATGTTCTAAAAAAGAATAGGGAAATTTTTTCTAAAAGGTTTTTGAAAAAAGAAATATATAAACCTGCGTTAACATTTAACCCTGGGCTAGCACTAATCGGCCTTTGAACAACTGGGCACATAGCTTTATAGATTATACCAGTGGATTTTAAAACTTTCCCTAGCGATATTAGTAATGTGCGGTTTCCATAACAAATTTTCGTAAAAAATAACATCTAAAAGCATAGACTCTTTAACTCGGTCAATAGTAAATTGGTTAATCTCTATTTTAATGTTAAGATTTTCCCTTTTCTGTCTTGGTTTGCAAGACGACAACATCGGTAGCATTTGTTTACTTTTTCACTTGGAGAACATGGAATTAAATGAAGGGGATAAATTTATAAAGAAACTGTGGTGCTGTGTCAGTGAGGTTAGCGGTATAACAGGACATTTTGTTTTTCAAACAGGACGTTATGGACATTGCTGATCCTAGCAGTATGCAGCACGCGTGTCATATGAACTTCATAATGGACTTCGCTCACCGTAGAGTCTCTAGCCTAGCAGTATGCATGGCATATGAACTTCATAATGGACCTCGATCACTTTAGTCTCTATCCTAGCAGTATGAATGTCATATGAAATTCGTAATGGACCTCGCTCACCGTAGCGTCTCCATAGCCAGAAATCCGAGACATCGATCATACTTTACCTCTCTAGGCCTTTAAACATGGCGGGAAAACAATTACAAAGAAATATATGGGATAAAAAATAAATATCAGGATCTCTGACTCATAAGCGAGACTTTCTCTGGTCTGTTATTCAAAAGTACTTACAAATGTTTACCTTAAGATTGAATGTCATCTTGTCCAAATTTTATGGGCAATAGGCTTTGGTGGAACGTAAACAGTCAAATTGTTCTTGTGTTAACACACAAGGCCATAAGTGAAGCAGTTTTGTGACGGTTAAAAAGTAAACGAAGCCAAAGCGATTACTCTAGTCAGTAGGAGTAGTTTTAAACAAGAAAATGAGCCAATCATGCAGATGTGGACGAGCAAGTTGGCCACATGATGTCTAAATTTACTTCTTCTCATTACATTGGCGATACAGGGAACCAGTCTAACCCACGTAAACGCAAATATTTTATCCTCAATTGAAAACTAACTATTTTCTAGCAACTGAGTGCAAAACAAGCACACTAAGCATAATTTGATGGAGTAAACTTATACAATTAAACTTTGCCTAGTTGAAAATTTATTCATAGTTTTTACCAAGCAGTGTTACAATCACTACATTGCAATCGACCGGCGGTGACCTGCCGCTTTAATTCTTGTGTTGAGTCTTCCGGTGGAAAAAGTTAAAGGTCTAGCCATGAAAAAGCACTGCCGGAATATTAATGTCGTGCCGGAAAATGAAAGTCGTCTTAGAAAATTAAAGTCATGCGGGAATGTTGAAGTCGTACCGGTGTCACAGCGGATTTCGACCCCGCCGGTCCAAATCCGCCAGCGGATATGGACCCCCCTTCGCAGATTTGAACCCCCTACAAAAATTTCCTTTTAAGCATCGTTTGTGTCATATTTGGTAACTAATTCTATTTGCAAGCTTTTCATCGATGTTCTTTTCAATCATAACACAACATTCCTCAATAAAAGTAAAGAAAAACAGCTATTTCGTTCCAATTCTGCCGCATTTATTAAAGCGAGCCGTACAGTATGCGCAAGAATTAGATGCGAACAAACTACTGCATTCGAACTATTGAATTTGTTAAAATAAATCTTTGCTTCTTTTGATGCGAATCAACGAAACTTCATAACAATAGTGGAGACTATTGCGTTCAGTCTAAAAAAATAACTCAGTCTGATTTTCTAATGAAATAACTTTAAACAGTTTCTGAACAAGAACGAAGTAACTTCTCCTGCTACAAGTCGTTTGTAAAGCCTACGATAGCCTACTCTCAGCTTATTTTCAATACCAAATCAGCATTAATGTCTACTTCTTAACAAAAGTGGAGACTATTGTATCGAACTCAATCTTATTTTCTAATTTTAACGATCATTAACCGTTGAGGGTCTCGAAGCAACACCTTTACGAAGACGTCTAGAGTCTGGCGGTCTGCAGACAATGCAGAGCCACTCGCCCTCCGGGGCAGTCTTAAATCCCTCGCAGCTCATGTGCAACCATTCCTCGCACAACTCACACTGTACCATGTTGTTCCAACACTCGGGCATTGAACAATAACAAAATAAATAAGTGCCACAAGTTTGTCTCTTATTGAATCTAGCGGTGTTGGACTATCGCGGAAAAGGTTCAAAAACGACCTTTCTCCAAACATTAATCTAAATGCTTGCGCATTTTCTCTTGGTCAAAAGAAACATCTGACGGTCATTTCCAGCTGTCAGTTCGCATGCATTGGCGATACGCATGTTTTGAATTAGAAACATACTTTCGTGCGCACTGGAACGCAAAGTATTATCTATTTCTACTAGAACGATTAGGATGATGTTTTCACTCAGTTTTGTTGTAGGGTCCAAATCCGAGGAGGGGGTCCAAATCCGCAAGGACACCGGAGTGTTGAGGTCTTGAAAAAAAAAGTTTAATGAGAAATACGAGATACTGGGCTCCGTATTTTTTCTGCTAGGCAATATGTAAAAGGAATTGCATTGTCTGGGGTAATAGCGATATTAATGATTGCTACCCGAAAACGAAAATAATATTTTGAGAGCATCAGGAAGACGGCCTATCTTGAACAAAAACATGATCTACTAGCAGTATGTAGGACGCGTGTCATGAACTTCGTAATGAACCTCGCTCACCGAAGGGTCCCTGTGGCTCAGTGGTAGAACATGGGAGCGCGAAATCCGAAGGTCTAAGGTTCGATTCTTCATGAGAACTCAGCGTTTTTTTCTTTGTCTCACATGCTTCACATATTCTGCACGTGGTAGACGCGACTCGGGCTGATACCAAGTGTTTACTGAAATGTTCCTCGATTACTTTTTCTTCACGTGCGCGTCATAAACGTCAGATGACTTTCATGCTTCTACCCGACTTCTAGACTCAAACTTTTCTTTTTTTTGTTTTTGTTTTTTGCAGTAATTAGATTCTAAACAGCCAAATTTCTCGCTAACTACTCTCTGCGTGATGAATGATTGAGACTAATAATTCCTCTATGTACGGACGAAGTTCTTTTCCCATAAATAGAGCACTTCACTGTTTTTATAGACTGAAGGTTGAACATGGCATTGATCATGTAATTACGTATTCAAAAATAGAAGTAATCGACCTTAGCGAGTTCTCCTTGACCATTCTTTCGTGCATTGAGACTACGATTTGGCGGCCAAAAAGTGTCCCCATAAAGCGCGCGGTCAAAACGATCATGTGTTACATAGCGGTGACGTAGAAAACAGTGATGAAGACACGTCGGTAACTATGGTGGAGAAAGGAGAAATCTAGAAGAAAAGACAAGGGTATTACGTGGCCGGAGCGCCAAATGATGTTAGCTACAAGAATAATACACATATAACGGATATTCCTATACACTACTTTCCAAAGGATGTAGCTGTATGGCCAAAATGGACGCGTCTCGATCGTCGACATCGAGGAGATTTTACTCTTCAATGTCGTCGGTCTCATGCTCTGTACCGGCTTCGAAGACGCCTGCTACGAACACATGCCACTAGTCAATTCAGGGGAAGATAACCAAAGAATTCAGCTAAAAAGAATGCTGATTAAGGCCTGTTCAGACACTGCACAGTATAGAAGAAACCCGTTACTATATTTATTGTGCACTATCTCTATTTACTTAGGCCAAGAGGATTGTCCGCCTTCAACTTTCGGTCTCTTTGCGAACGGTGCTGCGAAGCTCTTAAATATTAAAGCGAGTTGTTTCTTGCAGCGATTCTTTCGACTGAGAGAAGAATCGCTCTTTCTTCACGCTTGCAGCATAGCTATCTCTTAAAGAAATCTGTAAAAACCTTGAGATTCTGAGGCAAATGGTCCAACTTCTGTCAACGACCGTAGCACTGTTTACAAATGAAAGCAGAAACCACGTGGACTTTGAACTCTAGTTTCGTGAGCGCGACGCTAATCGAAAAACGTCGTCTTCTTACTCTTTACCAAAAATCGCTAATAACCTTTCCCAATGTCCTTAAAGTGCCATGACACTAAATTTGGTCTTGCATTTTCTGGCTGATAGCTGTATTTAAAATCAGAAATAATCGACCTTATCACCTAGCGAGTTCTCCTTGACCATATATTTGTGCATTGAAACTGAGTGAGATTTAGCGGCCAAAAAGTGTCTCCATTAGCGCGCGACCAAAACGATCATGTCACATAGCTGTGAAATAGAAAACTAGAAGAAAGGACGGGCGTATTACGTAGCCAGAGCGTCAAATTATGTTATCTACAAAAATAATACACATATACAGGGTATTTCTATACACCACATTCCAAAGGATGTAGCTGTATGGCCAAAATGGACGCGTTTCGGACATCGAGGAGATTTTACTCTTCAATGTCGCCGGCCTTACGCTCCCTATCGGCTTCGAAGACGCCTGCTACGAACATATACCACTAGTCAATTAAGGGGAAGATAACCAAAGAATTCAGCTAAAAAGAATGCTGATTAGGGCCTGTTCTCGCACCGTACACAATTGTTCAAAACTTTTTTCGGCTAACATTTCCCTGGTGAAGAATGGTGAGCTTCTTATTGTTTATTTCACGCGCTTGAGATGTACTCATACTCCTTGTCTTTCCACATGACTAAATTTGCGCTTTTCTCATTGTAAGAAAATCTTATTGTAGTGTCTATCGTATTTTAATAACAGAGATGCATCATTTGTAATGAAGTTCGAGCCCTTTCCTGAGCTTTCCTGACCAATATCACGTTGCGTGAAAAGTGCGACAACTTTGGCAGATACCGGCATAAACACAGGCTCGAAGGGGCTGTGTATTCTTCTAACCTATGATTCCGAAAATCCATCCCACGAGCCATCAACTCCCTGCCCTCATGAAACTAAAAGTAGCAATGTAATTGTGATAACTGCACTGCGACGAGATAAATAAAGAAACACAAATGTGACAGTGAATCCAAGTGCCGTGTGAAAGTCGATGGATACGAAATAATCATTCACAATAGCGATATCAGTTATCATCTTTGAGCGGAATGGGTCTCATGGCATTGCTGCACTTAAACTAAAGAATATATTTCTTTATTAAAATATCTATTTGAGATGAACTTGAATCAGATGACCGTAAACTCACTCGTTTTCCGTTCGGTTTGGCCGGCTCGACGACCGCGAAGATAGCTTCTGCCTTTGCCATCACTGAGAAAAAGAACAACTTGCAGTGAAACTGCCCGATGACTTCTCGTTTAAAAATCATCTTGCCTCATGATACAGCTGATTATTTCCTTAAAAGTTAGCTTTTGGTTTACCAAGGAAATTTCACAGCAAGGAAACTCTACAGCACTGATCGAGGGGAACCTTCGCCTCACATAGTGCGAAGGAATATAATGTTATGGTAACAGAAACGAACACAGCTTCCCATTCTTAACATAGATTTTGCCATAGAAGACAAAACACAAACGCAACAAACTAAATATTCAGTAACGGGTATTTTTTGCTCTAATCTTGACCTGAACACTGCAGGCGAGAAACCGTTTTTATCAGTCTTCGTCGAAATCGTTTGATCCACGCGGTTCTCCTTCGTAGGGCTGAACCGTACTCGCAACTTCCATTTCTTCTTTACTACTTAAAAAATGCTTTATTAAACTGAAAAAAAACTGATCAGGGTATTCATCATAAAAAACGCTAGTATAAACCGGTGATCAGTGAGAATCACTTGAGATATATACTTGAGTATTACAACTCGCGGTAGAGCTTGCTGAAGGTAGGTATACATAGCTATCGGATATTATTTCAAGAGTATTTCAACACTGACTGATACAAAATTACAAGAGATTTGAGAGATTTGTAAGTGTCAATTGAGAGTTTTAACAGATTTCTACGTCATTACCCGCTAATTCGTTACCAGTCCACGGGACACTTTTAAGACAACATAAGAGCACTTTAGCGCCCGAAAAAACTAAATTTTAAGTTTTTAAAATTTTTTTCTTCTGTCGGAATTGGTTTGTACAGATGATCAGCTAAATGCTTACGCAAAAAAAAAAATTCGTGCCACAGGCACTTTAAGTTAAGAGAGGAACCGTTTAACATTTGAACACGTTATAAGGAATAGTATAGGGAAGATATATGGTCGATTTACAACGATAAATATTTTGAAATATGAACATTTTACACGTAAAATCAACAAAACTTACTCACATCCTGTGTGTCCGTTGTAGTTTCTGGCGATTTCTGCCGTTTTAAGCTTGCTTTACCTTCACTGTCATTCCTGTCAAAAGACGAAGTCAAGGCTGCACACTCCGGTTTCGACTGTTGTCCGCGCGGAGGTGCAGGTGGTTTGCGCCCCGAAAATCCTACCGATCGGCATTTTTCTCAGCCATACCTTACGATCGTTTCTCGGTTCACGTTTCACATGCTTCACTCTTTCATCCCAAGAGATCTGTTATAATTGCGCCTGAGGTAATTTTCGAAAACGAAGTTAACGATTCGCTACTCGCTTTTATCAGCCACACTGTGGCTTTGCACGTCCTTAGCAAAGGTAAGGTTCCCCTCAGCATAGTCATAATTTGAAAGGAACCTGCCACGAAGAAAATTTTAAATATATTTACCTGAATTCCGGATACTGAAATAAACTTCACATGGGGACATTCAAGCGCGAGACATATTAAATTCCGAAAGACACTTAAGTGCTTCCTCGAGAGCGGAATCGAAACAGATAACTTCACAATCAGAGTTCGCCATCTTTCTCTTTCTCCCACAAGAGCGAAATGTCAGATGACGCTCAAATGACACATTTGACGTGTAATTGACAGCTGGAGCTGAACTGCACCAACCAGGAACTTCGTTCGCCCGCGAACGGAATTTTGCAAAAAAAATAATGATTTAGGGAAGGCTTAATCTTTACTCCTAAGCCCTCACCCCTCTCCTTAGTTTTGACCGTCGACCTCCCCTTAGTACAGATTTATTTCTCTCCCCAGCCGTCCACTGCCATTAAAATTAAAGAAGGCGGCCATAATTTTCGTTATGAAATTACCGAGCACTCGCACGCCAAAATTACGCCTGCTCTGCAGGCTACCCGGGTGAATCCCTGGGGAAATTTTCGCGGCAACCGCTCGTGTTGGAGCTCGATTTTCATGTTTTTTCCATATTTTGTTTACATCGCACACTTTCCTACTCACACGTGGAAATCTTTGCTCATGGAAAAATCAAAAGCGGAAGAAAGTCCTTGGAGAAAAAAAGTAAACAAAAGTAAAGAAAACAGGCCCAAAGAAGAAAGAAAGAGTACCAAAAGTTTCTCTGTGAAAGCGACTGGTTTGGCAGAGCTCCACCCTGACGTCCAGATTTCGAACAAAGAAGTCGCTGTCAAACAAAAATTTGCCAAACATGATGTTAAAAACGAGAATTCCTTTTCTTTAAGCAAGTACCAGCCTTGATACAAAAACATTAATAATCGTCTCGAATCGTAATTTTGAAAGCTGTCTGTCGACTCGTTGTCTTGCTCCTTAGCACATTTTCCGGTTTTTCCTTTTTTGCAGCAGGTTTTTCCTTTGCCCTTGGTAACTTTGCTCATTATTGTGTCGTCTTCCTCCACACTCCGCTGAGCGATCGAGATAAAAAGAAAAACATATCTGCAATGGGTTACTTTTTCCGGGAAATCTTGATCCACCGTCATTGACGCCAAGAGGTCCCGTTGTCCTATTTGGTTTGCGGTTTCAGGAGGCGTGATAATCTCCTGGCGCGCGAGTTGTTTGCGAACCATTATGAGCTAAAATCTCGCATTTGATTTTGGGAGGAATACAACCACTTAGAGCCAATTTATAGGGTATAAAGATTTGACTGATGTTCGTCAGATTTTCGCCAAAACATCCTGGGAATAATGACAAACGAAAGTGAGTCAAGAAATTTTTATATTTGTACCGTGGCGTCCATTTACGCAACACGACTCGCATATTTTTAAAATATTACAATCGCATATTTAGATGCCGATATCTAGACAACCAATCAGAATATCGAAAAAGCCTGACATCCTATTGGTGATTGATGCCTTGTGAATAAGACTGTGCACCGACTTTGCTCGTGCTGCGGCATCCAATACCCGATAAATTCAATAGAAGAATCTTCTGTTGTTTCACGTCTCACCGGCTCCTGACACTTCCTTAAAAGAGAAGTCGCTTAAATTATATTTTTGTGATAATCTGCAGTTATTAAGCTTTCTTCTGATATATAGTTTGCTAGGATTTTAGTGAAACTAGCGCACGTACGAGTTTTTTCTTGAAGAGCACTCGCAAAGGTGGGAAGTAACCTTAAGTACGTAGCCTTGCGATCGTTTCGTGGTTCACGTTTCACATGCTCGACTTTTTCACCCCAGAGATCTGTTATAACTGCGCCCAATGTAATTTACGAAAACGAAGTTAACGATTCGCCATCCTTTTTATCAGCCACACTGTGGCTGATCACTTCCTTAGCAAAGCCTGAGGCTCCCTTCAGGATATTCATAATTGAAAGGAACCTACAACGAAGAAAAATTTCCAATACTTTGCCATTTTTATGATTCGCTTCGCGGTTAATTTCACCGCAATTGCTAGCGAAAATAATCCCAGCTTAAGTGCCCACAGCAAACCCCGCAGAATACTCAGATTTTGTCCGTTGTTTATCTGTTTTAGCTTCACCTCGTTGTCTGATTGGTTGTTCAGAGGTGTCTCTGTGAGGACGGGGTAAGTACTGTACATTAATCGACCATACCACCCGCGGTAGAAAGAAAATTGACCTCGTACCCAAGTCTCTTCCGCGGTCGCATCCAGTTTGACTGTTCAGAGCATAGCCAGAGAGAAGCGAACTTGGAAATGGAGGTAGAAAACGCTCGTTTCCAGTGAAATGCGCGGGGAATTTTAGTAATGAGACATTTCCCAGGTGCAGTGATCTTAAATCATAAACTACGGCCGAGAAAAATGCCGATTGGGAGTATTTTCGGGGCGCAAACCACCTCTGCGTGGATAACGGTCAAAATCGGAGTGTGCAGCTTTGACTTCGTCGATATGACAGGAATTACAGTGATAGCAAAACACGCTTAAACGGCAAAAATCGCCGGAAACCACAGCGGATTCATAAGATGTGAGTCAGTTTTATTGATTTTACGTGTAAAATGTTCATATTTCAAAGTATTTATCGTTGCAAATCGACCATATTTCTTCCCCATACTATTCCTTATAACGTGTGCAAATTCTTAATGGCTCCTCTTGTAACTTAACACCGAGTCACACAACGCGTGACGATTTCATGATTTAATCGTTTGCTTTTTCTCGAAACGTGAACTTGGGCTGCCTGTAGTCATATGAACTTTGTACGCACACCGTGGAGTCTCGACATTGCCGATACTAGCAGTAAACAGGAAGCGTGCCATATGGACTTTGAAATGGGTCAAATTTTGGGGCCATCACGCATCACGCAAAAACCCTTTGCCACCCTCTCTTGAGTTTCTAGAGTTTCGTTGCTGTAGAGAATTCCCTTAGTAAACCAAAAGCTACCTTTTGACGAAAGAATCAGCTGTATCACGATGCACTGAGAAGTCATAGGGCAGTTTCACTGCAAGTTGCTCCTTTCCTTAGAGATTGCAAAGGCAGAGGCTATCGTCGTGATCGTTGAGCCGGCCAAACCGAACGGAAAACGAGTGAGTTTACAGTCATATGATTCAAGTTTATCTCAAATAGGGATTTCAATAGAGAAAGACTTCTTTAGTTAAGGCGCAGCATTGCCATAAGACCCCTTTCCGCTCAAAGGAAATAACTGACACCAGTATTATAAATAATTACTTCGTATGCATCGACTTTCACACGGCACTTGAATTTGCTACCATCTAATTCAATAAAATTTGTGTTTCTTTATGTATCTCGTTGCAGTGCTTTGATTACAATGACAATACTACTGTTGCTACTTTTAGTTTCTTGAGGGTAGGGGGGAATTGATGGCTCGTGGGGTGGATTTTCGGAACCCAGGTTAGGAGAGTACACGGCCCCTTCGAGCTTGTGTTTATGTCAGTATCCGCCAAAAGTTCACGCAACAGGATATCGGTCAGGAAAGCTCAAGAAAGGGCTTACAATGCAGTACAAAAAGAAAGGCGTAAATGTAATCATGTTGAAAGACAAGGAGTATGAGTACATCTCAAGCGCGTGAAATAAACAACAAGAAGAAGCTCACCATTCTTCGCTTGCGAAATGTCAGCCGAAAAGAATGTTTAACAATCGTGTACAGTGTGGGATCAGACCCTTAATTAGCTGAATTTTTTGGTTATCTTCCCCTGATTTGACCAGTGGTATGAGTTCGTAACAAGTGTCTTCGAAGCCGGTACGGAGCATAAGGCCGACGACATTGAAGAGTAAAATCTCCTCGATGTCCGAAACGCGTCTATTTTGGCCATACAGCTACATCCTTTGGAATGTAGTGTATAGAAATACCCGGTATATGTGTATTATTCTTGTAGATAACATCGTTTGACGCTCCGGCCACGCAATACGTCCGTCTTTTTCTCTAGTTTTCTTCTTCACAGCCATGTGACATGATCGTTTTGGCCGCGCGCTAATGGAGACACTTTTTGGCTGCTAAATCGTACTTTCAGTGCATAAAAATATGGTCAAGGAGAACTCGCTAGGCACTAAGGTCGATTATTTCTGATTTTAAATACAGCTATCAGCCAGAAAATGCAAGACCAAATTTCGTGTCATGGCACTTCGATTAGCATTGCGCTCACGAAACTGGAGTTCAAAGTCCACGTGATTTCTGCTTACATTTGAAAACAGTGCCACGGTTGTCGATAAAAGTTGGACCATTTGCTGCAGAATCTCAAGGTTTTTACAGATTTCTTGAAGAGATAGTTACGCTGCAAGCGTGAAGAAAGAGCGACTCTTCTTTCAGTCGAAAGAATCGCTGCAAGAAACAACTAGCTTTAATTCAAGAGCTTCGCAGCACCGTTCGCAAAGAGACCGCATGCCTTTGTAATGTGTAGATTGGACAACTGTAACTCTCTGTTATATGGACTTCCGAAACACTTAATTCATAAACTTCAGTTAGTTCAGAACTGTGCGGCGCGTCTAACCTTGTGTGGTTCTAAATATGGCCGTATTACTCCTTTAATGAGAGAACTACACTGGCTTCCCGTGGAGCAGAGGATTGTTTTCAAAATCCTACTGTTGACTTTTAAATCTTTAAATGATTTAGGTCCCAGCTATATTCGTGATTTGTTGCAAACTTACAAGCCATCTAGGAATTTACGATCATCAACCATGAACTTGTTAGTGACAACAAGATTAGTTAAAATTTTAAGGTGACTGTGCTTTTTTGGTCTGCGCCCCTAAACTTTAAATCTTACATCTTGTAAGAGCAACCTAAAACGTATCTTTTTGAGCCCTATTTTAATTTGTAATTTTGCTCTAATATCGTTCGAATTTTTTATTTACTAAGCTACTGCCTTAAACATTTTATTGTAAAGCGCCTTAAAGCTCTAGAATAGGGCGCTATAGAAATTTTTGTATTATTATTATTATTATCATTATTATTATTCTAGAGAAGATAGGCGATCGATCACTGGCGCTGCTTGATATATTTAAGATTTTCCATAGACAGTTGGTAACGAAACGGAGACATTGTTACCTTCAGAAAACATATGTATGGCTTTCTACTGTTGTTCTTGACATGTCTCTATCCAAAAGTTGTGCAAACTTGCCTTAAATCCTTGTCGTAAATCGCTGATAACTGAAAAGTTGACCATGAAAGCACTTTGTTCACCATGTTGTTCGTTAGGATGAAAACAAATTACTAACTCTAGCCAATCAAAATTAAAGAAAGAATAGGCAATAATGGATAACCAATGAAAAGTCATTACATATTTTCTTGCAAAAGAGTGACGTCACGGAACACGATTAGTGTCAGGTTTCGCCTCCGTTTCACCTTGGGGAGAGGGGTTCGGCTACACGTATACCAGCTCAGTGGTAGACCATCGTAGCACGGAATCCGAAGATCTAAGGTTCAATTCCTCATGGAAACGCAGAATTTGTTCTTTGTCCCACATGCTTCACACATTCTTCACTTTGTAGACGCGACTCGGGCTGATACCAAGTGTTTATTGAAATGTTCCTCGATAAAGTTTTCTTCACGTGCGAGTCATAAATGTCAGGTGACTCTTAAGCTTCTTCCCGGCTTCTAGACACGAAATATTCGCGTTTTTTGTTTTTGTTTTTTCTGTTTTTTTTGTTTTGTGTTTTTTCGTGTGCAGTAATTAGATTTTAAACAGCCAAATTTCTCGCTTACTACTGTATGATGAATGATTGAAAATAATTACTCCTGCATTTGCGGGCTAATTTCTTTTTCCAGTAAATAGAACACTTCACTGTTTTTATAGAATGAAGGTTGAACATGGCATTCGACCATGTAATTAAGGTTATTTGCCACCTTCAGAGGCCGAAAAAATCGTTTTTTCTTTCATTTGATTTAACTTAAACCAAACATTTAACCAAAAGTTTCCATTAAAAAAAAAATTTCTGAAATCTTTAAAAGCGCCCGAGATATTGACGCCAGGAGGTCCCGTTGTCCCATTGGTTTGCGGTTTCTGAAGGCGAGATTATCTCCTCGCGTGGCGCGTGTTGTTTGCGAACCTTTATGAGCTTAAATCTTATCCAACCACTTGCAGCAAATTTATAGGGTCTATAGATTTGATCGATTTTCGTCAAATTTCGCCAAAACATTCTAGGAATAATGACAAACGAAAATGTGTCGGGAAATTTTGGTATTTGAAATATTTGTACCGTGGTGTCCATTTACGCCACATGCCTCAAGTATTTTTAGCTACTCCAACTTTAAATGCTGATATCAAGACAACCACTCGGAATATCGAAAAAGCCCGACACGCGTTCGTTGATTGATACCTTGTGAATGAGACTGTGCAGCCAGTTTGCTCGTGCTGCGGCATCCGATACCCGATAACTTCAATAGAAGAACCTTCGGTCGTTTCACGCCTTACCGGCTCCTGATGCTTCCTGAAGTAAAAATTCGCTACAATTATATTGCAGTTATTAAGCTTTCTTCTGATGTATAGTTTGCTAGGATTTTAGACAAGACAACAATATCGGCAGAATTGACTGGGTGTTAGCTTTTTCACACGGAAAACTCGGAATTGAATGAATGGGATAAGTTTACAAAGAAACCGTAGCGCTGCGTCAGTGGGGTTACCGGTATAACAAGACAGTTTGTTTACAAACATGACGCTATTGACATTGCTGATCTTAGCAGTATACAGGACGTGTGTCATATGAACTTCATAATGGACCTCGTTCACCGTAGAGTCTCTAGCCTAGAAGTATGCATGTCATATGAACTTAGTAATGAACCTCGCTCACCGTAGAGTCTCTATCCTAGCAGTATGCATGTCATATGAACTTCGTTATGGACCTTGGTCACCGTAGAGCCTCTAGCCTAAAAGTATGCATTTCATATGAACTTTGTAATGGACCTCGCTTACCGTAGAGTCTCTATCCTAGCAGTATGCACGCCATATGAACTTCGTAAAGAACTTCGCTTACCGAAGGGTCTCTGTGGCTCAGTGGTAGAGCATCGGAGCGCGGAATCCGAAGGTCTAAGGTTCGATTCCTCATTGGAACTCAGTTTTTTTTCTTTGTCCCACATGTTTCACACATGTTGCACGTGGTAGACGCGACTCGGGCCGGTACCAATTGTTTATTAAAATGTTCCTCGATTACTTTTTCTTCACGTGCGCGTCATATTCCATCGACTATATATGACGAGACTACATATGCTTGAATGGCAAAACTCTCGTCTTCAGAGTAAGATGGAGTCACCCGTAGAGCGGGCAAGTTCCCGCCAAAGCCGTGACATAGCTATCGCCAGAAACGTTTACGACGAAAGCTTCTTCACTGCATCAAAACGCCATGGCTCTCCATTGAGTAGCAAAGAAGACTCAACGAAAAAGAGTCGTTACTTGAATGCCGTTCGTCGAAAGCTTTCTCCGAGTTCGTGTTCATGGAGTGGATTCATCTCTGTGCTGACTCAGCTCATGCCGATTATTCGCTGGTTACCAAAATACAACTTCAAAGAAGATTTGTTTCCCGACTTAAATGGAGGTGTTACGGTCGCTGTCATGCATATTCCTCAAGGTATAGCAATTTTGTACTGATCAATGGATCGTCTACCTAGTTATGTCTTAACATCATCCGACTGACAAAACAACACGTTAAGATTTAGTTTGGCAACAGCTAGAATTAATTTGTACGTAATGCGTTCGCTTTGGAGAAGAGGGCATGATTTGGCAGTTCACTTACTTTGTTATAGCGAGGAATTACTGTCAAAATATCAGTAAGAAGAATAGGGAGTGGTCCGGATTACTGCTGGGGGTTAGTCGACGGGGACTATCAGTTACACAAATTGTGTAGACTTAATAAATAGCCGTGGGTAGTTTGGGAAGATTATCATGGCTTTAGCATCTTTGAAAACTGTCACATGTGAGGAGCTCATTTTTGAGTAATGGGCTCCTGCACATGTCTTTTTCTGACGTCATCTTTTTCTCTTCCAGGACTCGCATTCGCCATGCTGGCTTCTCTTCCGCCGGTCACAGGACTTTACACCGCCATTGTCCCAGTATTGCTTTATATGATCATGGGTACATCACGACACTTGTCTGTAGGTATGGAGGAAATTCTTTCCTTTTTTTTTTTTTTTTTTTTTTAGTACCTCTGCAGCTTTGAAGGAATGATTCTATCATTAATACACAAGTTTTTGGTTGTGTTAACCCTTTACACCCTGATATCAGTATGCATATTCTCAATACTGTAAGCTATATATTTCCTAAAGCTCTGACAAGGAGAATTCGTTTAACAATCAAGAGCTTCTCTCGTTGGTGATCATTTCCTTTATTTACGTGACCTTAACGTGCGATTCTTCGGTGAGGAGAGATTAGATGCCAATCTCTCTCAGGTGTTAAAGGGTTAAATGACCGACAGACTATAGTGAGACAAGTAATCAGTTTAATGATTGGTTGTTTTTGTCACGTGATAGGTAGTTTTGCAGTCATTTGTTTGATGGTGGCACAAGTTGTTGAACGCGAAGTGGGTCACATGCCCGCAACACCCAGTCCCGCACCAGGTAATAGCTCGATGCCCAGTCCTTCTCCGACAAGTGGAGGCTCCGCGTTATGGTCACCCTACGATTCGGCCAAATTGGAAGTCGCCATTTCCCTCTCCTTACTCGTTGGCATCATCCAGGTAAAGTGATTTACCATTTGCTTTCTACAAATGTGAATAGTAGTTTAAAAAGTATGTTTTTTTAACGGTAGGTTATCATGGGAGTGGCGAAGCTGGGGGTTGTGGCGACGTACTTGTCGGATCCATTGATTAGCGGTTTCACCACAGGATCAGCGGTGCTTGTTGTCAACAGCCAATTGAAACATATACTTGGACTAACAGTTCCTCGGATCACCGGATCATTTGCCGCAGTTAAGGTAACTAAGCCTTGAACACATTGTTTCAACCATCCTCTAACCATCTGCCGAATCCTTGGAAAATAAATCTCGAAGTTTGAAAAAAATCACTAGAATACACGAATTGTATCCGATTTCCGACCAAATGGTCACAATATCTACCTTATATTCTACCAAAATTACTGTTAATTCATATCCCTCAGAGTGGCTTACCTGTTAGGGAGCTCTTTCTTTATCTCCTCTAGGCCTAAGATTCTTTACATCGTTTTTGAATACTATCAAATTGTTAAACTTTTCGTATATATTTTCTTTCTTCTCGTGCTCCGCTAAATTTGAGTATAGGATTTTTTCCAAGATAAATTTTACGACCTAGATCTAGAGATGCCCGAACCAATAACCGAGAATTCGTGATCGACCTAACCTTCTCAATGATTCAAACAAATGATGATGATAATTGCTTTCAGATCTTTATTCATATGATGAAAAACATTCCCTCGGCGAACGTTGGAGCCGTAATTACAGGCCTGCTCTGTCTTTTTCTATTGATTGGACTGAAAGAAATAAACGTTAGATTCAAGGACAAACTGAAAGTTCCCATCCCTGCTGAACTTCTAGTGGTAAGAACATTTATTTCATTGGGTTAATTTGTAGGAAAGTAGCCGTGGATATGAAACAGTGCCTCGAAATTTTCTATTCTTTCTCCAATAAGGATTAATTTACTGTAGGGGTGTGGCCAGGATCTTCAAAGGGGGGAGGGGGGGTCCATGCTATGTCAAACAGAGGGTACTCACCAGTTTTAACCAACTGAATACTGAGGGTCGTTTTCTTAAAAAAAAGGCTCACAAAGGAGGGGGGGTGGTTAAGGGCACCCCAGGTCCCCCCCACCCTAGCTACGTCCTTGAACTGGTAAGGCTCGAAACTTCGTAGCTAGTTACCCAGAACGAGAAAGCCCGGAACAAGAAACTTTTTTTTATCTTTTTAAATGCATTCTTTAATCTATTAATTTTTATATTCATTTTTCAATCAAAGGATTCACAAACAATCAGAGAAATCTTTAGAAGCCCTGTTTTCTCCTGTTCAGTCAATTTGATCGAAAGCTTGGGAAACAAGGACAAACGGCTAGTTCTCACATTTGTTTCCTTTTTTATCTGATCAGGTTGTTGTCGGAACTGCCATCTCATATGGTGCGGCCATTAATGCGAACTTTGGTACACCGATCATAGGAGAAATACCGAAGGGGTTTGTAATATACCTTGTGGTGTGCTAGACACAAGTAACATAGTGTGTTGTAACGATTTGTCTTTTAACATCGAGCGGGAGCAGTTTCCCTTGTGTGACACACCGTAAAATTGAACTTTCGCGGTAACAATATTTCGGTTGCAACTACGTATGGCTTAAATTCGAAGTCTGATATCGTTTATAGGTACAAAAGTATTTATAACTAGCTTTTAGTAACTTCGTTGTCCACGAGGAGATGTTCATAATTGTCTTTCAACAAACCACGTCTCTTTGTGCATACGTTTGTCCCAAGTTTTTTTTTATCGAACTGCAACGAATATTTTTCTTCATCAGCTCCCGAGCAGGCCACGTTTTATTTAGTTCTTCATTCACTTGATTCGGTTTCAGACTTCCTCCTCTGAGTGTACCATCTTTATCCAAGATCTCGAACATTTTCTCAGACGCCTTTGTCATCGCAGTGGTGATATTTGCTACAAACATCTCGCTAAGTACGATGTTTGCTAAGAAGCGTGGTTACTCAGTCGATCCGAACCAGGTTTGTTTATTAAGAATTGTACATGAATGAAAAAAACACATACACACAATAAAAACCGAAGAGGAATTAGTGGGTGACGCAGTGGTATTTTGGTCCGTGCAAGGTGTTGGGTTCTTGGGAAGACACTCTTCTTTCACTGTGCCACCCCACGCTCCCCCTCCCCCCCCTGCCAGGAGTCCAAAGGGGTGCTGGTAAGCTGTCAGGGTAAATTGAAGAAGTGCGGAAGATACCCCATTGTGATGGACTAGCGTCTTACCTGAGTTAACTATTGCCTGTAGAAAAATTGATTTTGAACAGGGGGGAGCAGCAATATTCCTAATCGCTTCATGCTGCTGAAGCTGAGATAAACTCGCCGGGATGGCCCTTTCTAGCTTGTAAGCTAACATTACCTTTGCCAACACATCGACCGACTGGTCTTAGTATAAATCGGGTGATGGAATACTTTACCTCAGCCCTGGTAACGAGGTAGACGTTAGCAAAGAGATTGCAACATAGAGTATTCAGATAATTTTTCTGTCGAAGCGTCCTTACACATAAGTATATTTCAACTTTCAATACGGGACAGACCTCTTTGAGATGTGGGCGCCGACCGTAAACAAGGTAACATCAGATTTAGCGCGAGTTGATCCTTATCAGTCAGACTGAGTTGGACATAAAGGCTCTTGTTTAACAAATCACAGATCCATGTAATCATATTGCTGTTTTTCTTCCCTCTTCTCATTTCAGGAACTGATTGCGTATGGAGCAGGAAACATTGGTGGATCTTTTTTTTCGTGTTTCCCGATCTGCAATGCTTTAGCGCGTACAGCGGTACAGGAAAACCTTGCAAACACTCAGGTAACCAAAAATAACCAAATGCGGTTTTTAAATTGTTTTTTAATCATTCCTTGACCTTGAAAAGCCACTGACCTATCGTTAAGTGCAAAAACCGTCGTGTCGATAAATGGTGTCATTTTTTTTTTAGCATACTAAGTGTTTTACGGGGTGTAGAGTGAGTTCTTCTTCATAGCAAACTGGTTTGGGGCAATTATGAAAAGAAGTGTTCTGCGCGCGCAAAAGGATGCTTCACGGATTAATTGTTTCTTTTGTGTTATTATTTCACAGCTTTGCAGCGTGGTTGTGATCATCTTGGTCCTTCTCGTTCTACTGTTTATTGCTCCACTTTTTTTCCATCTTCCAAAGGTGAATTATACGTTTCAAAAATTCTTGCGCTGGCATAAGCTGTTGTTGTGTCATTTCTTGAATTTGCAAACGTTTTTTGTGTTATTATTACTTTTGAGCCCATCGAGTTATGTTTGCTTTAATCCAGGCTATCCTAGCTGCAGTTGTGATCGCCAATCTCGTTGGCCTGCTCAAACAATTTAGACGGCTGCGGCAGTTATGGGGAATTCACAAACCTGATGCGGTAATTCTGTACATTGTGTACTGTGATTCTGTACATTTCCTAAGGTGCTGACAAGGAGAATTTATTTAACAATCAAGAGCTTCTTTAGTTGGTTATCATTTCCTGTGTGATTCAGGGGTGTTATTGTAAGGAGAAGTTAGATGCTTGTCACTTTTAGGTTCAAAGGGTAAACGTACCTCGATAATTACTTTACGAGTGGGATTAACAACTAGATTAATAACACAAATAGTAAAACAAGTTCAGTATGCGAATTCATTTAAGTTTTTAAAAAGAAGTTTAAAAGATTTTATTCCATTTTGTTTTGAAATCTCACAGATTGTATGGTTTTTCTCTTGTTTTGGTGTCATACTGCTGGGAGTTGGTCTTGGACTTGGTGTAGGCGTGATCTGCGCCTTATTTATAGTGGTTTTCTCTCTTTCCAGGTACAAAAAGACTACATCTAAGTAGATTTCTTTCCTTCCCTTATTTTCACTTATTTACTTTATGTAGTGGTCAATTGTAGTATGCAACACAGCTTTATTGACAGCTTATTTAGTGATAAAACGAAAGCTCGCCATGAGCTCTTGATTCTTGGATAGATATGCTAAGGAGTCGAGAACTTTCTATATTCTATTTATAAATCGGAAGCAGCCTGACTTAGCGTAAGATTTTGGAATGTTCTGGATTATTCTACAACATTACTCTGCAGAGCACAATCAACTGATCTAACTTCAGGGCATTGAGCTTTGATCCAGAACCTTAAAGTCTTTCGAAGTACACTGGCATTTTGGAAATTTCCTGTGTTAATCGATTCTAAAGCACTTTTTAGCATTAACATGGCATTAGCCAAACATTTGGCGGGACTTTCCGTCTCTCCCTTCATCAGACTCGGCATCTTCCTCTGATTTGAGCTGTATATTTTTCAAAACATCTCCACTTTAGGTCCAAGTACACAATCCTTGGAAGAGTAAAAGAGACTGAGTTATATCGTGACATCAACCAATGGCCCTCGGTAGGTTATTTGTCTAAATTTACAAGGTCGACTATCATAATTATTTTTGTTCTCCCTGGTGCTTTGTGTAAGTTTGCGTTCCAAGGATCGGTGTCATCATTTTTGGATTCAGGTTTATGAGCCAAAGTTTGTGTGAAATTGTGTTTCCGACTTCTATTTTGTCACCGAACAATAACGCTTCCATGTAACATTTTTCTTTAAAGGCTTTTGAGGTCCGTAGTGTGAAGGTGGTGAGACTCGAGTCTCCTCTTTTCTTTGGTAACGCGGAGCGCTTTAGAGAGGCACTTATTGATGCCACTGGAGTGGATCCCGGTTCTCAACAGGAAGCACCCAAACTGGGAAACGACGGCGAAAAACATGATCTTCTCAAGAATAAAAGCGGTGGAAGTTACGGAGGAATCCCTGGCGTTGTAAGTTAGATTTAGTAACTCTCTTATAAAGTATTCGCAGCGGTAAGTCGAATACTGGCGTATACTGGGGAACAATAATGGACCTAAGACAGACATCGATATTATTGCGGTTGGTGGTTTCTTTCAACAACACTTAAATCTAATGTTTCTTTGCGCAATAAACAATTTACATACCAACAATTGGATTAATCAGGATGTCTCCGCCAGCACCACAGAATAGATGCCAATATCTTTGAATCAAGAATGTTGACTACACTTTTTTTAACCTTCTGTTTGCTTCTCTGCGATGCTGGCATAGTTATAAGGTGTTTCGTTTAGCACTAAAGCCGTTAATTTCTCTCGAGGTTCTTCCCTCTTGTAATCATGACAGGAAAATTTTTTTTTGCAATGTGTTTTGAACATGCGTGTAATTGTCTTGACTGCTTAAACGCTTAATTGTTGTCCATTTTTAAATAGAAACCAATTCCTGAGGACAAGGTTAGGACCTCAAGGACAGCTGCCGTTGAAGTTGATGAGCCGCAAACCTGCATTCGCGCTATCGTCATTGATTGTAGCAGTTTTACTTCCATCGATTCTGTTGGACTTCAAACGCTTCCCTCTGTAAGTACTAAGCTTAGGAACTGGTCATTTTTTAGCGGCTGGATCGGAAGGGGGAGGGGGGGGAAGGGGGTTGGAGTATTTTGGTTTTGTCACGATTTAATTTAAATGATATCTCCCCGTTAGGCTCTATGATATTCTTGCGATTCCCTCCTCACTGGCAGTTAATTGGAAAGTCAATTTTCCATAGTCTCCCCTTTACACTCTTTTGGCGACGATTAATCCCCTTTCTGTTCCCTCTGGAAACCATGTGATCCCCCAAAAATTCAAGAAATCTTCTTTTCATCCTCTAGCTTCTATCGGAGTTCAAGAAAGCTGGAGTTAAGATATACCTGGCTGGTTGCTCATGTGAGTATTTCCTTTTTTCAAGTTTTGAATCATAGTTTGGGCGGAATTCACGATAAAAAAAAAAATCACTCCTATTATTATTAAGGGTGATGTCTGACTCTCTGACGTAATAATTTACCTGCTAAGCGCAATGTCGTCTCTCCTCAGCAAACCTCATTAAAAGGCTCGCAAGTCCCTCTGAGAGGTCCGCTATACAGGCCATTCCACGTCACGCGATGTTTCCATCCATTCATGACGCCGTTACATCAGCTGCACGATCACGTAACAACCCAGTAAGTTCCACAATCACGTGACGGTTAAACAAAACTGATTCGCATGTCTTGGCCTTGATAGCGAAGAGCAAAATGAAGGAAGTGTACAATGAAAAACTATGGTGTTTCTGACCTTTGAAACTGTCACCTCTCATTCTGATCTTTAAAATATTTTTTCAATGTTTTTACTTACATTTTGGCCACTTTTACTGGTCTTCTCAAGACTTAAAATAGACATGAAGGTTCATATAACGGATCGTTGTTTTTTGATTCATGACCGTAAACTGGGGCATATTCTGACTATTACATGATCTAACATTCATGTGGGAATGCGCGGGAAAATGCACTTTAAGTACATCCTGAAATACGCATATCAGTGCAATAATTCATGGTCCCACTTTGTTACTTTATGTATTGCGATATGAGTAAATATTAATGATGACTACCTACAGTGATTAATATGTCCTCATTTGCTTTCCTTGCAGCTTTCGGGAGAAGACGGTGAGTCATGTTTGTAATGCTGATACTGGCTGATTTTTCTGTCGTGGAAAATTTCAGATCGTTGGTAGTTCTTTTATCACTGGCGAACGAAATACACTTTTTAATAATCGGTAGCAGAGAGGGGCAGGGTGATGAGCTCTTCGTGCAGAATTCATTTGATTGATGGGTCTTCAAAGAATGATAGAATTAGCATCATGAACGATTCATAACGTAAATATAATCCAAACATATCTCTTTTTTTAACGGAATATTAATTTGTACTTAATTTGAATATTAAACATGTACTTTAGGGAAGTAGTCAGGGGATGGGATGAAGCCACCAACCCGCCATAGTTAACCTTGCTTTATTTTATTCTTTTCATTATACATATGTATCATTAAACTTAAACAATTAAACAAAATTTGAAATAGACTTTGTGGTTACAGTCCGTTTGCTCTATCCGTAGAGGCTCTTTCGCTGACATCCGCTGGATGCAATGAGTGTAGGCGCAAATTGAACGAGAGTTGAACGATTTTGTTGACCGTTCGTCCGGTTTGCGCCTGCACTTATCGCGTTCAGTGAACATTTAGTATAGAAACAGAAATGTTCATCAGAAGATTATCGATCTCTAACAAGAACGAAATCCGAACACACTGAGAGACCAATACCATTGACGTTTTTATAGCGATGAAAAGAACTAGAGGTTATGTAATGACGTTTGAAGGTAGTGTTGCAAAATATTTGTATTCACATGCAAAACAGAAAACCTGCCGCATCCCAGATATTTATGAGTATCATGTTCCACGAGAGAAGATGAAAATATAGTGACTAATTGACTTCAACCAATAATGATAACAAATAATCATATTTAAAAAATAATAATAATAAAAAATAAAAAATAAATAAATAAAAAAATAATAATAATAATAATAAATTAATAATAATAATAATAATAATAATAATAATAATAACAATTGTAACAGTAATGATAATTAATAGAGGCTAACTCAAGAACCTCACTGTTCCTCTTTCCTCTAGGCTCCAATGATGATTAAGCTTTGCTTCTTTAACTTTTGCCTGTTAATTATAAATAATTTTCACATTTCAAAATATATGATCGGCCACTAGTGTCCAAAATCCCAAATGGGCAATTTGATCATAAACGATACTTTAAAGCAACAAACAACTGCACGAAAGTTTACCCGCCATAATTTGTTTGATACAAACCGGCATACTCAAGTGAAACGCTGTGGCTGTTTTTTTCATAAACGAAAAAATTGGCTTCATAAAAACGTTCTCTGCTGACGCAAATACAAGTTGATATTTGCCGCACTCTATATCCTTCAAATAAAAATCAGTGAGCGTAAGCTACCGTTAATCCGATCGAAAATGTTTATTCCATTTGATCATAAACAATACATTTGAGTGGACAAACAACAACTGTGGTCAAAGGTTTTCCGTCATAATTTCTTTTATAAGAACCAGTAACTGAAATATTAGGCTTTTTCTAAAGCGCGAGACATATCAAATTCCGAAAGACACTTAAGTGCTTCCTCGAGAGCGGAATCGAAACTGATAATTTCACAATCAGAGTTCTCCATCTTTCTCTTTGTCAGAATGACGCTCAAATGACTCATATGGCGTAATATTCCCTCCCCCACCCCTTCCCCTCTCCTTATTTTTGAACGTCGACCGCCCCCTTGGTACAAATTTCTTTCTTCCCCAGCCTTCGCCAAAATTACGCTTTCTCCGCAGGCTAGACACAAGTGGCCGATTTCAGATTTTGGACACTAGTGGCTGATTTGGGATTTTGAACACTAGTGGTTGATTTGGAATTTTGGACACTAGTGGCCGATTCATCATTTTGGATGTTAGTGGCTGATTTACCATTTTGGACGTTAGTGGCCATTTTATCATTTTGGACACACAAGCCGATTTTGGCCGACGCTTTTTTAAAATCGGCCACTTTGGAAATCGGTCCAAACGTTAAAATCGGCCCACTAATATCCAAAAATGATAAATCGGCCACTAATATCCAAAATGATAAATCGGCCACTAATATCCAAAATGATGAATCAGCCACTAATGTTCAAAATCAAGAATCGTTAAGTAGTATCCAAAATTTAAAATCGGTTACTTGTGGCCAAAATAAAAAATCGGCCATTGGTGTCCAAAGTCCAAAATCGGCCACTAATGTCCAAAATCCAAAATTGGCCTCTGGTGCAGTTTCCTACTTCTTGAGAAATTTTAAGACCTTCCATGTAACATTCCACTGCTTATTTAATATTTTGAGTCCCCCATAACACTGGCCAACGATCTACTTTGTGAATCCTTCATGAACCCTGTCATTAACTTTTCTTGCAATGAGTAGAGAATTCTTAAGTATGTTATGGCTTGTGAATAACCACCGATGTCCCTATAGGTGTGGCTGAGATTGAAGGACTCAATTTGTTCTCCAGCCCTCTCACCTGTTTCTTTTTTGAAGATTAAAGATTGCTTGAAATATACTATGGCTTGTGTATATTCACCGATATCATGATAGGCATGGCCGAGATTGTTGAACACTTCTGCTTCTTTAGCCCTATTGGCTGTTTCTTTGGCAGTGGTTAGGGATTGTTTTAAGTGTACTGTAGCCTCTTTATAATCATCGAGACAACGATAAGCGACGCCAAGCCTGTGATACACGTTTCCTTCTGCAGCCCTTTGGCTTGTTTATAATCATCGAAGCAAAGATAAGTATTGCCAAGCTTTTCGTACACGTCTCTTTTTGCAGCCCTTTCATCTGTTTCTCTGGCAATGATCAGATATTTGTTTAAGTATGTTATGGCCTGTTTATGGTCACCAAGAAAAGGCTAGCACGGCCAAGCTTTCCGTACACGTCTCCTTCTGTAGCCCTCTCACCCATTTCTTTAGCGATGAAAAGAGATTGGTAGAAGAACGTTATAACTCGTTTATACTCACCAGGGCGAAGATAAGCAAGGCCAAGCATGTGGTACACATCACCTTCGTAAACTCTGGCGTGTTCTTGCTTGGCAATGATTAGACTGTGTAGAAGGTTGTCCATTGCTCGTTTAAAATCACCAAGCTCTAGATACGCCCCAGCGAGATCGGCGTAGACGTGCATTTCTGCCTCCTTGTTACCATTGTGTTTTGCATCGATAAGAACTTGCTCCCTTAGCTCTCCAGGGTCAGAATTTTTTCCAGCCATGTTTCAACTTGTGTCTCAACCACTACAAACTTAAGGATCAGACAATGAAGTAGTGTGGATTTATATGTGTTCAGTGATTGGTTTAGAGCTGAATAGGCAGAGCGTGGCATGTTATAATCGAACTTTCAATCAGGGGACTCCCTTGTGATCAGAGAAAGTGTCCCCTGAGGAAAGCTCTATCTCAAAGCGAGGTAACCATTATAAAAAGTGGAGAGTCACTCGGTCTTTTTTTTTTTTCGTTCGGGAAATTTGCCTTGAGTCGAAGCGTCTTGAAATTTAAACTTCTGACAAAGTGACCAACTGAAATTTCACACGGAGAGGCTGATACTCAAAACTTATAAGTAAGAGAGGCCAAAAGAAGAAACTCAATTAATTGATAGACACGGCAGAAGAACATAAATTTTTATGTTGTACACAAGCTGAGTTTACAATCGTATCTTTACCGTAAAATTAATCAAAACTTTCACACGGGCAGGTTGAAAGTTCCTTCGTTAGGCCAGCCGACATTTACTTTTTCAGAAAATAGTCTCGAGGTGGAATTCTTACATTTTACATGCAGAATGCTGTAATTTTGATGTAAAAAAGGTGAACAAGCTTTTGACTGTTTGGGAAACTTGATATTTGCGACGAAAAAAAAAAAAAAAGTTGAAGATGGTAAGCGGTAGACCTTTTATTTACCGTTACACTCAGTAAGTGGTTGCTCCGAGGATTGACAGCTGTACAATTTACCCTTCGTTCGGTTTCACGATCAGCTCTCTCTGCAGCCCTACTGCTTTTGCCGGCACGTATGGGTCAAAGATTCTGTAAACTAACCAGCTACTCACTCAAATGCACGAAAAATAGATGTGTGGGAAATAAAAATGCCGTGGGAAGAAGTGAAATGGAGCAAGGATATTTGTGCAGGAAGAACAGGATGCGGGAGCTTACCTCACCGGCCCGCGATATTTCGTCAGCTTTTAACCAATTGATCATCGAGTTGTTTTTGAAACACAGTCTTTAGAACTCAACAGAAAAGTGAACTGAGAGTTACACATATAGGACTATGAAGGATTTAGAAGAATCAGAACCCCCGCCGTTGATAACTCGTCGAAGCCGAAGGCGATACAGGATTAATTTGTCTCGACATGTTTACAATGAACGAGAATTTACTGAGTCGTTTATCAACCAAGAGGAATACACAACGAGTTCTGAGTTTGAACCCTCATCCCTTGCAAAAACATTGAGGCGAAATTTCTTACCATCTAGATGTACGTGTAAAGATATTTTGCAATCATGGTTTCCCATTGTGGAATGGCTACCGGCCTATAATGTTCGCCGTGACTTGGCGCACGACATAGCAGGGGGTTTAACCGTGGCGATTATGCATATTCCTCAAGGTTAGAGAAGTGATGTGCAAACAGGATTAAATATTCTTTTAAAAAAGAACCATTTAGTGTTTATTTTCAACAAACAATTGGTAAATTTTGGCGAGCTTTCAGCGCAAATCACTACTTCATTATGAATGCAGTTCATGGATGAAGATCTCTAACGATAGCGAAAACAATAGACTATCTTTGGGGACTACGGCACTGTTGTAGACTAATATAGGGTTATATGGAAATTTTCCTACATTTTTTGTATGGAGACCACCGATCAAGACAATTGTTTCCCCCCTACAGTACAGTGCTCCCTCTGCCTGTATGAGAATGAATGCACCCTCCCCCATGTCATGACTCCATTGAGGATGACCTACATACGAAACTTGTATTGCACTAAGCCACCCCCATATGAAGTTAACACCCTGTATACAGAAGACATTATATCAAGTTGTACATGTAAATTGTCTCTCCCAGTAATTCACTTGAAAATGCAGTCCTTAGTAAACCCCCCTTTTGGTAGCATTTCTGACTTGAAACCTTAGTTAAGCTGACAGTGCATTAAAAAATTAGGATTTCTCTTTTGCCTGGCTACAGTTGAAGATAACATGCTTTTATTAAAATTTTTTTTCTGCTTATTAATTGTCATGCTATCTTTCCAAAACAGCCAGGTAATGGAAAGTTTCCCTCTCTCTTTGTTCCATTGAAGTTGAAGAATAAAATCAGTGGCTAATTCGTTCAATTTACTGAACCTGTATCAATCCTTGAACTCCCTGAAGTGATGAACTGAAATTTTTTTTTCTCTTAAAAAGCCACTTGTTAGAGGACACACACACACACAGCAACTCTCAAATGAATATAATTGCAGTTGTCTTGTTGCTATGTTTGTTGCAGGTCTGGCGTATGCATTACTAGCATCACTTCCAGCTGTTACAGGACTTTACACAGCTTTTGTTCCTATTCTTGTTTATATGGCCATGGGGACCTCCAGACATATATCTTTAGGTAAAATACTCAATATAGACTCAAAACGTGTCAATTTGAATGATGTCAAAATTTTAAAAGAACAAAAACAGACATATTACTGCAAATTCTCAGTAAACACTTAATACCAAAATGTAAGTACATGTGCCTCTCCAGTTAATTGTCAAAGAATAATTGATGTGGAAATTTAACCAACATAAAGTGTTTAATTTGTATCAAAGTAGTCAATTTTCTGTTACAAATATTCATGTTAATAGAAAGGCTCTGTATAACAGGAATATCGAACTGAATGGAGAATATAAAAAAATTCCTAAATTCAAATTTTTCATTTTTTTGAAAGTAAAATTTAACTAATGATAAATATAATTTTACAAATGTTGATTGTTTTGAAATTAGAATCTAAATCATGATTATAGAGGAATTATTGATCACTCTCTTTCTAGGAACATTTGCTGTGGTTTGCCTCATGGTTGGTCATGTTGTTGACAGAGAAGTAGAACAATCTTTGTCACCCACCCCAACAGCACCAGCTCCTACAAATCGGCCTCTTGATGGCTCAGTTAATGAAGTATTACGGAATTCAATTTATAAACAAGAGTCCAATGGCAGTTCATCAAATGAACAGGACTTGCTGGATGAAAAGAAGTTAGAGGTTGCTGTAGCACTGTCAATGCTTGTTGGTCTTCTACAGGTGGGTTCCCTGTGAACAGATTACTACAGCTTGTTTGTTATTGAGAGTTATAACTCACCCATTCATTTTTGTGGGATTTTATCAGCTATTTTACATCATGTGATTAAAATCATTGGACCCTTTTTTTGTAATATGGAAATCTAAGGGAGGGTTATTAATTAAATAAACCCCTTTCTAGCTTGCTGGTGTGTCGGCTGACAAATGAATGTCCTTGGCAGAGAGATTGTTTTCAAAATTTTACATTTTCCCTGACAGCTTCACTTCTCAAACAAATATTCAATTTTTGGACAGTCTCTAAGCCACAGATACCAACAGTCAACATACTAGCAGCCTAATAAGGGGTTTATTTACTAGTAAATTTGTTCTCTTGAGACTTCATAAGACTTTATTTAAAATGTTTAGTACTCTCACTTAACAACTTGTTTCAGGTATACTAGTACTAGTAAATTGCAATAAAATTACAATAAAAACATTACAATAAAAATGTACAGTTATGTTCTTACTAAGAGACGTGTGGATTTCAATTTTTTGTCTGAATTTTTTTAGAGGTTTTAATGTTTCTCTTCACATCCGGTTAAAAGTTTCATAGCTTCAGTGTGCAAAATCTTCAGGATTTAAGTCCATAAGTTGTTGAATTGGCCTTTGACTGGTCCAGTTTTATTTGATATATTTACTTTGCAGCTTTTAATGGGTCTGTTGAAGCTTGGTTTTGTTGCTGTGTATTTATCTGATCCTATCATTAGTGGTTTCACAACTGGTGCAGCAATTCTGGTTTTCACAAGTCAGGTGAAACACATCCTTGGATTGGAGGTTCCACGATACTCTGGAGCATTTGCTGTAGTAAAGGTTTGCATTCAGCTCAAGCATGTATTTGGTTTTTTAATCTGTTTTTCACCATTGGAAGATGTCAACCGACATTGAATGAATTCATTATTGTTCAGTGAGGTACAACAATGTAAATTTTAAACTACTTGGTTGGTTGAGATATCCACTCGGCTGACTAGCACCAGAAAGTCATCTTCATCTCATGATTTTATCTGTGGAGGGCGCTGGTTGTATTAGTTTGTAACTGAATGGGACAAACATTACAAGAAGACAAGTGCTCAAAAGAAGACTGTCTTTTAATACCAACCCTGTTGATGGTTTTGTTGGAATAAATTTGTATGTGCTTTCCCAAATGACTTTAATGGAAATGTTAGGCTTATTAATTACTTTTCTTATCACCTAATAACTAGACATAAATTAGTACTTGATAACCCTCGTTACTTTTTCATGTTGGGAAATATTCTCTGGAAGGCAATTTGTAACAAGATCTTTGATTACTGTACACACAGGATTAACTTGACAATTGTTTATTTTTGTTCACTTGTTTTTCTGAAGTTTTATTTTCTTTGTATTTTTCTTTCAGACCTACATATTCATGTTCAAGAATATTACTCTTGCTGTACCAGGATCAGTCATCACTGGAGTTGTCTGTATCCTTGTCCTCATAGCACTGAAATATATCAGCGAGAAGCTGAAGCACAGAATGAAATTTCCTATACCAGCTGAGTTAATAGTGGTGAGTGACTGAACCCTCTAGACCCCAATATCAGTTTGCTTATTCTCCATACTGTTCTCTATACATTCCTTAAGTCATGGACAAAGTGAATTTGTGTTTCAATCAAGAACTGCTTTAATTGGTGCTCATTTTCTCTGTTCTCACAAGTTTAATATTTGAGGGATGATATTGTAAGGAGAAACTTGATCTTGGTCCCTTCTAAGGGTTAAAGGGCTACCTTTGTTTTGATCTGTGGTGTAACGATGCCTCCCATGAAGGGTTGCCATGTTACTTTTGCTGTTAGTAACTTCCTTACACTTGAATGTGCATATCAGGGGTACCTATAAACCAAGAACAACAAATACATTTATCAACTGGAAGCTGTTTTTCTCAGTTAGGGTGAACATCTGGAACACTGCAATATTTACTTAGAGCTTTTTCTATATTGTTAGAAACCCTGAAAGATTGATTTATCTGACATGTAAATCATGTTGTTGGTCATAGGTTGTCCTTGGAACAGTGGTGTCTTATTTTGTTGGATTGAATGAAAAATTTCAAGTTTCAGTTCTGCGTGACATCCCTAAGGGGTAAGAGACATTGAGGTACAGTCATGTGATTATAGTGTAACTCTGTGATCATAGTGTAACTCTGTTATCAGTTTGTGCAAAGGAACCAAGTCTTCACTATAACTTCTCTTGTACATATCCTGTGCTCTGTACATGTAAATTCATGGCAGGATGTGTTTTGTTCTTCCTGTTATATATGTATAATTGTATACATTGTACATTGTATGTATACCTGAAACAAACAAATAAATAAATAAACAAGAAACACCTCTTGGATTGTAGACATGTTTAACTTGACAGATGTACTTTCCGTCTGATACATCTTTTTAATTAACAAATTGATGATACTGACAGCGATTTTACCATAATGTTTTATGGCCACTTAGATTACGAGCACCATCTGCTCCATCCTTCATGCTGATGGGAAACATGGTGACAGATGCCATCGTGATTTCTATTGTTATATTTGCCACAAACATATCTTTGGCCAAAACATTTGCCAAAAGAAACAATTATGTGATTGATTCAAATCAGGTTGGTAGATACAAATGTTTTTTGTTGGTTAATGACTAACTGATTTGGGATGATCATAAAACTTAGTATGGGTAATAACATGATTTTTGAGTGCAATTTGATGTTAATAAGCACAAGTAAATTTTTCAAAGACAGCAAATTAAATTGCACAAACCCGTATGGCAAGTGCAATTTGTAATTTTTGAAAAATTTGCTAGTGCCAAATTGCAAGAGAAGTCATGTTATTACTTGTTAACAATGTAAATGAAAAAAGCATCACTGAAAGTCGAGATGGGAGAAATTTTGAATGCTTGCATGTGCTTTTTGTAATTTGCACTCGCGTAACAACTTTGCACTCATGTTACATGAGAATGCACTTGTTTTTAGCCAATCAGAAACACGTAATGTTTTTCATGTACATTATTACATATTAAGTAAATGTTTGTTTGTCTGTAGGAACTGATTGCTTGTGGATCTGCAAATGTGCTGGGATCCTTTTTTTCTTGTTTCCCTGTGAGTGGTTCACTTTCCAGGTCTGTGATTCAAGAAAGCATTGCAAGAACACAGGTAAATAAATACAATGTACAATTATCATAATAAGTGAGTTCTACAAGCTTTGTTATTGTCCTATTGCCTTCTCCTTTTTGCCAATTTGCTGACTTTCTTGCTTGAGTTGTTTATTCCAATTCAACTACTTACAAATTAAAAGCTAAATATACAAGGTTACTATTTTCTACTGTAGTCAGCCATTCTTTGGCATGTCTTGCATTCAGGGTAATGTTGTATGAAATCCAAAAGATAACTGCAATTAGTCAGCTCAACTTTAACACTTTAACTCCCAGAAGTGATTAACATGTAACTTCTCCCTATAATATCCATACATTATCCAGCAAACAGGTAATGAGAATACTTGAACTCATCAGACACAAGATATTACCTTGATCGAACACCAAATTCATGTTACCAATATACAAAGAAATGTCTGGCAGGTAGAAGGGAGAATTAACATTCGGATCTGGGAAGTTAAATGGTTAATGTGTGGCTAGTTATTGGTCCAAGAAAATGTTATAGCACATTAATCACACTTGAGAAAGAAAGAACATTTCCAGGGTCCTTAATGAGGGCTTGATTTTATTTGTTGCATAACTGTTGAATTTCAGTGTGCAAAAAATGACTGTCTCATTAGATTTGCCAGAAACTAATAGACAAAGTGACACGCTTCATGTGGTTTTTTTTTTTTTTTGTAGCTCTGCAGCATCCCTGTTGTTGTAGTTATTATCTTGGTTTTACTTTTTATTGCACCTCTCTTCTATCACTTGCCAAAGGTTAGTTGACCCTGTACGCAGTGCACTCACAGTATGGAAAAATGTGCAAAGGTTTGCTCCATTGAAATGCCATGTAACTGTAGAATGTTCTGTGTATTCCCAGTTTTCAAAGTGATGTTGCTTGTTGCTCCAAGCCCCTTCCTCGCTAAGTTCTCTATATACATAAATGTGCAAAGCACACCACAATATTTAGTCTTGGCTCTTGGAGAGAGGGAGGGTGTGGAGGAAAAGAACAAGAAGTAAAAAGCTAGGGAACAAGAAGAGCAAGGATGAGGACTGAGTCAACATAAAGTTATGTGATGCCAGGTTCTACAGATCAAACCCAGGTCACAGCGTTGGAAGCCCAAGCCCTCTCAGTGTTATGACATTTGTGCTTTCCTCCTCTGTGTTCCACTCCACCCTCATTTTATCCTTTGTGGAAAATGTTGTAGAATACGGAACAATTTCTTTTTTTTTGTTTTTGTTTTTCTCTCACTTGTCAGGCAATACTGGCTGCTGTGGTAGTTGTTGCACTCAAGGGGTTGTTCCGACAGTTTAATAGACTAGTACAGCTGTGGAGAATGTGTAAGCCTGATGCTGTAAGTTTACTTAAATTCTTGTTGTTCCATTAATAATAATGATGATTAAAATAGTACATAATTTTAATATTGTTATTCTTCTTGTTTATATTTCTAGTATTAGTTTTATTAAGTTAAACATGACTGTTGTATTATAATTTTACTTTAATTTGAATTTTCAGTAAGATTATTACACAATTACTCTATGATTTTTGATTTACATATGATAATTCATTTGATAGAACAATTTCATATAATGTATTTTAATAATTAATGATTGATGTGATTTTGTAATTAACATTTAGTTCATCTGTAAGCACCTCTTTGTAATTTGAGTGAAACTACAAATTTACATCTCACTGTTTCATAGTCATGAAAAGCTGTCTTATCTCTTAAATTGTTCCCCTCTAGGTTGTTTGGTTTGCAGCATGGTTAGGAGTTGTATTGCTTGGTATTGACATTGGGTTAGGAGTTGGAGTAATCATGGCTCTGGTAGTGGTAATCTGGAAGTCATCCAGGTTAGAATAAAAAATTTTCTGTTTGGAGTGATTTCTGTAATCACCCAAATAATGTGTGGCTGCATACTGAATTTCCAAGATCTCACTAGTAATTCTCCTTACTGTCTGCCATACAATTCTTATGATGTTAGTCTCCCAGAATTTGATATTGGATCAAATGATAATCCTTATTCTCATCACTTACCAGTTTGATATTGTTTTGATATGGTAAGGAGAAATTCTGTCTTGATAACTTATGGAACTTATGGGAGTAAAAGGGTTCACACTTACCTTCATATACCTTAATGTGGTGGTTCTATCAATTTGTTGGCTCAGTCTTTTCTTTGAAGTGGTTCATGAATGCACTGAGACACCCATTGCTTGAAGCACAGCCTTAAAAAAAACTCTTGCATATAAATGTTGTTGAGTAGTTTCATCTTTATGTGTGAACGTTCCATGTTTGAAAAGTTACGACAACGATTGCATGTTGTTGACATTTGTAGACCTCCTGCTTCACTTCTTGGTCAGATTCCTAACACCGGAATTTACAGAGACATCCAAAGAATGACTTCGGTAAGCTGGAAACTGACTGCTTTGTGGTTGAATTTGTTTGTTTTGTAGGGGGAGTGGGGAGGGGGATAAACGTAGAGTCCGGAAGCGAAGTATTTTTGCCTCTTTTCAGGTTGTTTGCGATCTAAGAGATTTATAGTTAACTGATTATTGACTTTCATTTTTTTTCCGCAGGCAAAGCCGATTCCAGGAATAAAAATTTTTCGATTTGAATCTGCGATGTTTTACGCCAATTCAGAATACTTTCGAAGCACTTTGATAGAAATGACTGGAGTTGATCCACAGAATCCGAACAAACGCAGCAGGCTTGGTAGCTCAGCAGTGCGTTATAGGCACAATGAGGAGGATACAGGGAGTCCGGCAATAGAAATAACAAGGACTGTAACCGTTTCAATCAATAGTGCTCTGGAGAATGGGGTAGAGTTAATTTTAAGTATACATGCATATTATATATAAAAGTAATTATTGCTTAATTTGTCTGAGTGACGTTTATCATGACAGCCAGCAATCAATTGGAGCTCAAAGAAAACACAGGAGAATTGGCTTAAGCGCGGGAAGACCGGAGTGGCTAAGTTTCGATTTGTGTCATACTTAGTTTCTAAAGGAACTGTGGTGCTCTGTCAGTGGGGAGGGGGAAGGGCTATTACCAGACAGTCTGGTTTTAAATGTACTCTGGCCACCATTGATGGTTTCTGAAGCTGACGTTTCGAGCGTTAGGCTTTCTTCATTCGCCCTGCCCAAGGGCTAAAATTATGAGGAATGTATGACGGGCATTGCGGAAACTATTGAAATTTAGATTGAGTGAGATGGTTAATCATGTCTTTGTATTTTCAGGATGTGGAAGTTTCTCTCAGTGATCTTGGAAATTACGAAGGTCCCTCAGGATATGATCCAACCCCTGTTCACGCCATCATAATTGACGCCAGTACGTTTAATTTTATTGACACCCAAGGTGTGAACACTTTGTTGCAGGTAGGAAATTGATGTCGAGGAAGGTGTTCGTTGTGGTCACAAAGATAGAGCTCTTTGCGATTGAGTGTCGTAAAACCAAATCCAAAGTAATCTCAATGGCCTGTCAGAAGAAAAGGAAAATACCCTAAAGAGCCAATGAGAACTCAAAGAAAAACGAACTAAATTCCCTCAAGCGCGGGAAGACGCGAGCGACCGAGTCGTGATTGGTTTTAATATTTCATCTGATTGGTGGAGAGGAGGCGCGAGTTTTCTGGCCAATCACAAAGCGAAGTTAATTAAAACCAAAGCAATTCCGAATTACTTTCGACACTGGATTGAAAACTTATTCTAAATGAACGGTTAATCGTTTGTCTCACGAGGTGGGGAACTTTTGTCTTAGCTTTTGTGAATTGACCCTTGATGTAAGGTGTTGCTTTGAAGTCCTTAAATTGTTAATAGTCGTGGTATAAAAGGCAAAGTCTGCATCTTAGACTGAGTGGCATAACTGCTGGAAATCTATTCGCAGACCTAGTGGAGTGCTTTTGGATCGACTGCTGCAAAAGAAACTAGGGCCGAGAAAGAGGTTTCACTGAGAGTAAAATGGGAATTGAATGAAAAACAAGCGAAGTGTTTGAAGCGCGGGAAAACATGATTGGCCAAGTCGCGATTGGTTTTAATTCTTAATCGGATTGTTTGAGAAAGTGGCGCGAGTTTTTTGGACCAATCACATAACGAGGTACAACCAAAGCAATTGCGGACTACCCACGACACTCAACCCTAAACTGTTCAGTTCTCTTTGAAATTATCTGCCAAAGCACGAGCCAAATATGTTATGCTGATATGCTTTTATTTCAGCTTGGTCTAGAGTATGAAAAGATTGGAGTAAAATTCTACTTGGCGCACTGTCGATGTAAGTTGATGTTAAGAATTATGATTGTTCACAGGACTTAAGTGCTTTGTCGCCGTTGTATTATGAGGTTATTCTCCGTTATTTTATTTACTTTTTTACTGCAAATTTTATGATGAAATAAAGAAAGAGAAGCATGCAAATTGCCAAACTAATTTTCAACTGAAGTAGCGAATCCTGAAAAAAAAAACACTTTCTGCCATTATTTTATAGATAACATACGGGAAATGTTAGAGAAAGCTGGCTTTACGGCGAGAATAGGAACAGAACATTTGTTTGTGTCTGTACATGACGCAGTGATACACGCTGTTGGAATTCACTCTGAGGTAAGCTTAAGGATTTGAATGAACCCTTCCGTTCTTAGATCTCACAAGTAATTCTCGTTACTATCTACTGTACAATTCTAATGATGATAGTTTGGAGAATTTGGTATTGGATCAACTAACAATCCCCTAATTGTAAGTTACATTTTTTTTATTCTCCTTTTTCTCATCACTTGTCCGCCTGGTATTGTTTTGATATAGTAAGGAGAAATTCTGTCTCTATGTATTTTGCGAGAGTGTTTGTATTTAATGGTCAATTATGGCGTTAAATGGCTTTTTTTAATCACTTTTTATGATAACCCTGTTCTGTGGAACCTACATTAAGCGGTCATTCCCTGTAGGTGACTGCTTCATACAGGTTTGACTATACGTACATCTTGCTATGAGCGAATTCTCCATGTTTCGGAAAGTTGAGTGCAATACCTCTGTGAATGTGATACCAGGATGCCTAAGGGTGAGATAAGGTGAGGATTTTTAGCAATATGCTTGATCTGGTGTAAGGGTGAAGACTTCTTTCTCGCGAGGGATTTTTCATTTGGTTTTTTGTGGTCGTAGGACGCGTCCTATTCGACTCCTGTGATGAGTGACACTGAATCAGCACTTGAGGCTGGACCTTCTAATCAACAGGTTTGTAAACCTGATTGACAATCATGTCACGGGCTTCAGATTTCTATCGTTTAATGGCGGGGAGCGTAGCCATTCAGACTGCAGCCTATTGTCTCATTTCTGCTGAAGATTGTTCAGGTTTTATAAGCGGGAAACGACTCTAGTTTGCTGAACCTGGGTCGATTTCTCCTGTCTCTGATTTTCCGGCACGCGGAGGCAAGCGTCAGTCGTGTGCAAGGCGTGAGGCGAACTCCGTTCGGTCGATAGCTCTTAATTGTGTTTCCTCTGGTCATGACATGTTCATTCAATCCAAACCTTTTTTTAACTTTCCTCAGGTAGAAGAATGAATGGGAGCAAACGATTTGAGATGACTCGCGAAGCTAATCAAAGAACATACAACAGCCCACGCACGGAATCTTAACACACCGTCCCTAAAAAGAAAGCTATCCATTATGCAACGCTTAGATTCCCAGAAGTGGAATTCAATCATACCGAACGAAAAGTGTCCGATTTTTATTTTTTATAATGTTTCCAATGATAATTTTTTACGTGGGGCAAGTTCTACTCATTTGACTCGCGGTAAGCAGGGTTATTAATTTCGCTTGAGCTTTGGACGATGATTTAACAAGAAAAAAGAAGGTTCGCAAACAGAAAAGAATTGGTCAATTGAGAAGCGCTAACCCGGACCTCTCCAACAGTAACATCCTTAAATCAAATATAGGATCAATATCAGTATCTGGGCAACTGCCCACCTTCCCCTCCCCTAACCCAACATTAACCCTAACTTGTTAACTGTTGTTTAGTTAGGGGAGGGGTAGGTGGGCAGTTGCCCAGATACTGATATTGATCCCAAATATATATGTCATGAGTATAATGAAATGATCACCAGTTTAAGAAGCTCCTGATGGTTAAACAAATTCTCCTTGTCAGTAGCATAGGAAATATCAAGGCGATAGTGTGAAGAATATGAATTCTAATATTAGGGTTAAATGTTAAGAAAGAAAAGTGCCAGGATTGTTAGGAAAAAAAAACTGCTCAGGGCATTGCCTTTGGTAGATACCACATTGTTTACACCTTAACATCAGTATGCAAGTTCTCTTTACAGTTCTCTGTACATTTCCTATGGTACTTTTAAGGAGAATTTGTCTTACAATCAAGGGCTACTTGGAATACCGATTATTTCATATATTCTCATGACCCTATTGTTTGACTCAATGGGTGATACTGTTGGGGAAAAAAATTTAGATGCTTTCCACTCTTAGAGAAAGGGTTGAGGTTGATGATTCCAACATCTAACTTCTTACAATAATACTGCTGAATCAACCATTAATATCATGAGAATAAAGGAAATGATCACCAATCAATGAAGCATTGATTGTTAAACAAATTCTCCCTAGCTGTACCGAAGGAATGGAGAAGAGTATGGAGATCAAGGATACCGATGTCAGAGTGTAAATGGATTTTAAAGGCAAGGTGATAACTGACATGAAAAAGTAGCAACTATGTTTCCTCTTGGCGATACGTTATCGCATTTTGAGCCTTGGAATGGCGCACTATTTAATAGAAATAGTCATTTGACAAATATGAAAATGAGGAAAATTTCTCACGACTTGGAAAGGAAAGTAACATTCTGATAATTTTTTTTTATTTCTGAGAGTGTAATATTTCCCACCCTGTACGAAAATAATAATTATAATTAAATATATTTTTAAGTACTTTTTTTGCTTGTCGAGAGTTCCATGCAGGCTGGAGATAAGGAACGAGCGAGAAAAGTCTCTGCACCAATTTCCTTCTCGTGAAAAATTTTGTTCCTGGGACACAACGAGTCGCACAGAATCAAAAAAACATGGCTAAATGTCGAGCGTTCGATCACAGTGAGGAAATGAGTGGCAGCAATTTAACTGGCGAAAAAACAACACGTCACTGTCACTTCTTATCCTTGGTAAAATCCTTAGAAATTTCAGTTGTAAACAGCTGACATCCTCTTTCCTTGATTGGGTTTTGTTTTTTGTTTCTTTTTTTCAAATGTGTAGTCGTCTCCAACGTTACTCTTTACAGGTTTGCTCAAAGCGTTATCTTGTCACACTCGCTCTTAATCTTTGAACATGAATTTTTTTTGTCATCAAAATTGTTCATTTCCGTCACACCAACTTACACTGCGGCTGATTGATGTTGTTGTAAAGAAAATCATAAACGAACTGAGAGTTTCCGTCAGTTTAATGTTGTGGCGTTCGGAGGCGTATAAACCCCATCAGAACTTCAGTAGTTTGGTTCTTTGTACGGGGGAGGTGGTTCATCTGCCTTAATTGAACCAGTGCTGTAGGACGGAGGAGGAAAAGCTCTCAGTCGTTCTTCGTACAAAGGTGGAGGGTTGGGTGTTACTTCTTTCTCGTGGTAGGACGGCGGGAGCCCTCTTTGGTGGGGTGGCCTTTGTTCGACTTCAACAAAATTCACTTCGGCAGCTGCGACATTGGATGGGTTTTGATGTCCCAACCTGTCGTAAGGAGCCCTTCTCCTATAGGTGCGAACCAACCAGACGATGGCAAAGATTAAGCAAATCAAAATGAACAGTCCAAGTACCACACCAAAGCTTATACCATCAGGAGTGGAGAAGTGACAGGAATTTCTTGTGTCGACACAAGAACCAGTACAGCATATTTGTGCATGGGAACATTCAGAGTCCAATGTACAGCTGTTTGTTCTGTTCGGCGATTTCCGAAAGCCTCCGAAAGGGACTGTCACAGTTTTCTGAACACACACAGCGAGTATTATCACCCAAATTATATGCAGCATAACAACTTGTACCCTCATGTTTACTAATATTGAAAGGAAAACTTATGTCCAAGTTAGCTCACCGGTGTTTGTTGTATTCAGAGTATGATGAAATGATATTCCTGTTGCGTTGCGTGGAAAGTGGTGTGTTTGTCACGTATCCCCCATTCGGAAAGGTCACATGAGTTCCTAAGTCAAGAGTTCCTATTTGATGACCAAACATTATGCAATGATCTTAAATACAGCGCACACGTAGTGAATAATATGGTAAGTTTCTCTATCATAAATAACAGGACCCTGCCGAAATCTTTTCTTAAACCAACTCGTGTAGCAGATCAGCTATGATATACTTGATCATATAAAAGATTGTACAACCCTAAAGATTGCATAAACAAAATTCGAGATGATACTTAATCCTGGGTAATTTTAGTTTGTTATGTAACGCAATAATTGTGTAATAGTATTATGTTATGTCAGAGCGTAATTCCACCCGTGATAAAGGAGGAAATTCATTTAACTCCTTGCCCATGCCTGCCTGCCTGGGCAAACTGTATTTTGACACTGGACTGGATTTCACTACAATGGACTGGGCTGGACAGGAATAGTAAAACGAGAATTAACAAAACGCGGACTAGAAAAAGTAAAATGCAATGAAACATTTCCTGGAAACATTTCTTAACCGTTTTGCTTCGGCTGACTCGCCTTCATGATTTTTTCTCAACGACATTTAGATGGTCTCCTGTCTCACCTGAGACTTTGGAGACAGAACCAAACGTACAATTTATCTTAAACAAGACGAAAAAACATCTTTCTTAATTCTTCACGGAGCTCAAAACTTACCATCTCTACTATTTCTATCAAAAAAACATTACGCTATCGACATTGCTGATCCTAGCAGTATGCAGGACGCGTGTCATAAGAACTTCGTAATAGACCTCGCTCATCGAAGTGTCTTTGTGGCTCAGTGGTAGAGCATCGGAGCGCAAATCCGAAGGTCTGAGGTTCGATTTCTCATGGGGACTCAGAATTTTTTCTTTATTCCACACTCGTGACAAAACGAAAAAACATCTTTTTTTATTCTTCACCGAGCTCAAAACTTACCATCTCTACTATTTCTATCATGATTGAAGTTGTGTACCGAACGGAAACCACTGCGGTAAACTTACATTTGCTTTAAAGAGAGGGAAAGTGATTTCCTTTGTACTTATATCAAACTATACTTGTAAGGACTGTCAGAAAATTAAAAGCATTGAGCCATATCGTTAAGGGAGTTTCAATAAACCTATTTTATTGCAATTGTGTAATTATGATAGGGCAGTGGTCAAATAGTAATTAGTATAACTATCCTGGATCAGAATTGTAAATGTGCAACGATTTAAAATCTAATTACGACATTATGTATTTCGTAAAGCTCATTTGTACAAATATCTGTGAAATCTGCATACAGTTCAATTGAAAACAGGACATATTTCATAGGGATGCAGTTTTTTTTTTCATTATATTAAACGTTCCATAATATTTACAAGCTACATGTAGATACGAGTCGGTTCGGTTCTGATGAACCGTGCACATGAGTGCATAGTTATTATCGAACTGCGCTTATCAGTTTTATTTCCAAATTTTGTGCGCTGAATGGCAGGTTTAAATCTCGTCGACCAGGGCTATGAAGTTAGTGACTAGCTGAGATCCTACGCACGCTATGATTGGTCAACAATCTATCATTAACAACCCATAGTCATTATATAAGAGCATCTGACCACCCTTGCAATCGGTTTTCGGGCTAAGAGCCCTCTTGATAAGGCGGTGGAACATTTGGAAAGTTGTGTATCAATCGCTTCATAGCCACTCGAATTTCAGTGGAAGATGGCTGGTGAGAAAGGAGAAAAAAGCTCGTTAAGTAAGAAAACCCAATACTTATCCTGCCTGCGAATGCCCTCGCTTGATTGGAACAATGTTTTTAAGAATTTGAGTTTTCTTTCAGGAAACCGTCAACCAACTGAGATGGGGCAACGAGATAGAGGAGAGAGTGAAACTGAGGTAGAGGTTACCGCGTTATGACAAGTCGAAATATTTTTTGTTCAATTATGTCAAGTTTTTGGAAAAATGAATAATTGAGTTTTGTACTTTCGTAGTATGCCTTCAGTACTGAGGAAATTTGCCTTATGACTTTCACAGCTCAGTACACTGGGAAGGCACTGTACGCTTTATATCTCATACTACTACAGCTCATCATGAAAAATTTAAGCAATTCTTAACGAAAATTATAAACGGGAATCTGGTCAGATTGGTCCGTGTTATTTCATTCTTACAAAGAAAAAAAAAAGTGAGTCATCAATTTCAATTAAGGCAAGGCTCGGAAAGCTATCAGCTGCCAACATCTATTTATTGAACATGAGATTCACGCTGCTATCAAGCGAGTTGAAACACAAACTGGAAATAATTCATAAATATAACAAGGTCAAAAACCAACTGGAGAAAAAACTTGGCCCAAAGATCAATGTTTGCGGTTGAACACAGAATATAGGTTGTGCCAATTTACGTCGTACCTCTTTTTAATTTGTAAACAAGTTAGACACGTTAAGTTTACGAAAATAACTACGAGTACCACCATAAAGATTTAAGGATCATCACAAAATACAAAGTTCGTGTTGTTGTTGTATGGTATATCTCTATTACTGAAAACGATAATTGTGTCACATAGCCAGGAATTGGGGGAAATTGAAAAGGTGCCTTCCCCGTTTCGTTAAGGCTTCGCTGCCAGTTTAATTAAAGCAACGCCTATGAGAGCCTTCAACACAGCGGTCAAACGTGTGTGCATGCGTAATAGTGAGTTGATCATCCAAACTGAAGAAAAGTTGCTTTTCGCGTGTCACCATTTCTGGTTTAAATCTCAACCTCATATGAGTGAAAGCTTTCATATCACACTTGTAGCTTTTTTTATTCAGCCCAATGGCTGTATTGAAAGATAAAGCGTGGAAAATGACCGTACATAAATATGACAAATACATTCTTACCACTCAGAGAAGAGACTTGTCGAGAGAAGCACCATGTAAATCCTTGCAACACCTGTTGGAAGAACTAATTGCAAAGGCGGATCTAGAGAGACTAAAAGCAAATCACGATAACAGAAGCAACGTCGAATGACAGATTTTAATCAAAAATTATTTGAAACTCTGTAGGAACGTGCTCGTGCCGTACGGAGCTCGTACTTAACGTAGAATTCTGAATCAAGTATGGAACATATAATAAATAAATCATACTCCGCCATCGTTCAAATTGCACTTCACTTAGTATAAGTAAAAACCAAGATTTATGTTATCGCTAACGACAAAATTAAACTACTCTCGTGGGAGAGAGTTTTCTTTCCTAGGCTTTCTTTCCCAGATTTAGAGGTAAACACATTTTGTTCCTCCATAAGCACAAAATTTGCCAATATTCCAGTCTTGCGACAAACCTGAAACTTCCAGTTAATTCCACAAACTAATTCCTCTCAGGGCCCAGTTGTTCGAAGGCCGATTAGCGCTAACCCAGGGTTAAATTTTAATCTGCGTTTCTTTATTCCTTTACTCAAAAGCCTTTTTGGGAAAATTTTCAGTGTCCTTTTTAAAGCATCAAGTAGTCATACTCTAAACAAAAAGAATTCGACTGAATTTTCTTGTAAAGCTTTTAGATCTGAAATCGGATTTCACACTAACCCTGGGTTATCTTAACCCAGCTTTGAACAACCCGGCCCAGGTTTATAAGTTAGCGTTGATGACGAGATGGAAGTTGTTTTGATCACTCAACCAGTTGCTATAATACTGTGACAGACGGAGCAAACGTGGAGCTTGCAAAATACTTCAAACTTGATTCAAGTAAAGCGGCCTAAAATATCGCATCTTCTTTCCATCTTATCAAAACGGCGGGAAAAGACCTCTTAATCACACGTTACAAAGCTTCCGTAACCAGTAGGAGCGGTCAGCGGGTGCATTAGTGATCATTTGGTACTTCATTGTATATTGTGTTAAGCATTAAATAAAAGAGGTAAACAGATAAAAGTGAAGAACGATCGATATTTATTTATTTATCCACCGATATTCATCCGACCCTTAAAACATCAAACCGTAGAAATAGTTGGAGAGCAATAAGTCAAAGAAACTTGCCTTAAGTCATACGTTGTTAACTTGGGAAAGGAGAGAAATTACTACGCCATGTAATTACCTCGACAACAGCATTCGTATCTGACGAACACGTCGAACTACGATATTTAAGCACAATCTCTCACTTTAAAACGGTGTCATAACAGTAAGCATAGTTTATAATCGATAACTTCCCTTTGTGTGTACAACTAAGGGGTCTTAGCCAGGGCAGAGCAGATCGTTGCCATTCTTAGCCGCGCACGGTACCCGGAAGTGAATATTCCTTCCATTCTCTTGTGTCCGACAAAGTTTATATACATCTGTAGCATCAAGCAAAGGCTTCTCCGAGTAGCTGGTGCGAGTTAATTATTAAAAATTTTGCATCGGAAATTGCTGTGATAGAATGTTACTAACTTGTGGAAATGCATTATACTACAACAGCGACAAATGCATTCTCACGCCCTAAAAGGGCATTTTCAGTAGAAGAAACCATTCCATTTCATCTTGACAACGGTTCGCCCACGAAATTTATCGCGGAAGACTTCAAGATAAATAAGTAGCCTCGGGTCATGACTTAAACTTCATGGAATTGACGAATCAGTCTGCCTTTACTGGTAATAAGGTTTGAAATAAAGAGTGAAAGAAACGTTCAAAAACGTATTTCATCCAAGAAGTTGCCATGCTGCAGCAGGTCAATAAACTTGCTTGCTGTTTGCTCGATTGAAACTCAATAGAATATGGCGCTGACCAACAGAATCGTGGCCCCAAAAATCTATGTGACCATATAATGCGCGTGCGTTTAGCGCACCCCAGCTTAGGCGAAGACTGCGTTTTACCATAAGGAGAAACGAGGTTCAGGCGAGGTATATATATACTTCTCAACCTTTCCCATTAAATTGGGGCGAGGAAGATGGAGCACGTTATTATCCGCCACATACATCCTGTAAAATTTGGGAAGAGTTATTTCCTGTCGCGAGATGTCATAGAAGTGTCTAACTTGGTAACCCAAACAATTACACACCCTGATCAAATACTTACACATAGAAGTGATAACTATAAAAGGGTTTATAAAAAGAAATTTCCATACCAAACAGGTATACACGGTCGTAATGGCAAACCTTGTTATGGCGTAATTGCCGTGGCAAAAACTACAGATAATCGCCTAATTACGGCCTACCCGGTATTAACCTGACAGCTCGACTTCTGAGCCTTTACATCCTCTTTTGCTTCGGGACAGAGAATTTAATTAACAATGCGGATTACAGAGTAAAATTGGATTGTTGTGATCATTATGCTGGAGTAACACAGCGGGTCAAATAGGTCAATCTACTTCTGATGAGAATCAATTTCATCCTTAACTGAATTTTTTAGCTATTAATTTATTTAATTTTCATGTATTTTTTTTAACGTGTGGTTCGATTTGGAAAACTAGGTCAAGCAAGTTTGAAAAATAAAGTAATGAAACCAGAACCAGAGAAAAAAAACTAAACATGACATACTCATTTTATTAAAGCATCCGACCATCCTTGCCATCGGTTTTCGGGCTAAGAGCCCTCTTGATAAGGCGGTGGAACATTTAGAAATTTAAGTATCAATCGCCCCATAGCCGCTCGAATTTGAGTGGAGGATGGGTGGTGATAAAGGAGAAAAAAGCTCGTTAAGTAAGAAACCCTATAATTACCCTGAGAAAATTTGCCTTATGATTCTCACAGCTTAGTAGACTGGGCAGGAACTGTACGTTTTATATCATACTACTACAGCTCGTCATAAAAAATATAAGCAATTGTTAGATAAATATTGGTCAGAGGATTTTTGGTGCAACAGCTGTCACTTAAAAATCTCAATGTGAATGTCCGCTATAACAACAATGCATTAGCACAGTTAAACGATTATATTCAGGCCTTTAACACCCTCCATCTTGTCCACTATTCACCTAGTAACTCCAAAATATCAAAGCTCATGGTTTCGTATTTCATCACCAGCGCGATCGTCTTCTCTTTCACTGGACTCGTCAAACCAAGTCATGATTTTATCCGTTGCCGTAACAGGATTTTCACCTTTAAAGATAAAAAGTGGTATTGGATCTTTAGGACAAGACATCTTTATCCTTATGATGTCTACACCCTTTTCTCGGTGGAACCACGATTGCAAACTCCAAGCAAACAAGTGGGTATGTGATGCGAAAGAATTCGATATCTTAACCAATACAGGCCCATTCTCAAGTTAACTGATTGGCTGAAAAAAATGATACAGCCCTCTCAAGACCTGAGAGTGATAGCAATTTGATGACTCACTCTTTCGGGAAGATTCCATCGTTGCTCGAGACTTCCTGATGTTTTTCAACGAATGTCACGCAAATGCCATTCTTATCCTAGATGCTTGTATTTATGCGATGAAACTCCGGTAAATGATTTTTTTTTGTATATGACAAGCTTCCTGCTAACTACTGAATGCTTCATTAAAGCTATAAATTGTTAGTCCCCAATAAAAGAGAGACAGACAGACTGAATAAAGAATGAGGCGAACAATCTTGATTTTCTTACACTGAATGATTCGACTAACTCGGAAAATTGAGATTTAAAAGAATCTCTGTGCTTCACTCAAAATTCGGTATAATTTAGTAGATCTGTAAAATCACCAAGTGATGGGTACCAATCATACCAATTATGACATAATTAGTGAACTTTTGGCAAAACAAACGATTTTACTCGATAAGCCAAGTACGGCAAACAAAGTGAATCAGTTGTCCTTCCCTCTTATGTGTGTCACAGATATCAAGCTCGTTGCGTCAAGTTTGAAACACTTTGAACAGTCTCTCCAAGAGATTGATGCGAGTCAAACAGTGCCAAACCTGAACAAGCAGTCGCTTCTTAGCGGTCACCATACCAGGTTTAAAACAGTTCACATGCACTGTGAAATGAAGAGTGTATGCGCGTAAGTTCTCATATTTATCAGCAGCTGCCTTGACTATGATACGAAATCTCAATTGTCATTTTATTTTATTGTCATTCTTCTAAAAAAACAGCCGCGTGAAAATCACACGCGACATCAAACCACTGAAGTTTGATAAATAAATTGAGAAGCTGAATACTGAGAAAAACTGGGATCGTTGATTTCAGGCATTGACTTCATCCGTCCGCGACACGTCGTTTGATAAAATTCTTAGAGTTTCAAAGTAAAAAACTGTACTTTTATAAGGACCAGAGAAACATCGAATCGAGTTGGGTTTACGCAGAACTGACGGACCAAATAACCACAAGGCTTCCTGTTCATTCCACAACAACCTCTCGATGACATTTACCCCAGAGGACAAACTTCAAGAAGATTCTTATTCGTTATTTCGTAATTGAATTTAGACACTTAGTAGAATTGACGAATTTGATCGCCCTTTCGTTGATAAAGCATTACGGGACATGCTAACACAAAACGAAAAAGCACATTTTAACTAAGAAGTGAAAGTGGTTGCAGGTAAGTACCGGTAAACGCACTAGAAGTTTCAGACACTATTAAATAAGAAGGCGCTCTGGCATATCGTGGCTCTTAGAAAGTCCTTTGTCATACTAATGTGCGTGCGTCTGGTGAATCTAACGCTAAACGATGCTAAACAAAGACTTAGTTGTACCACAGGGAAGACCAATGATTAGATAAAGTAGAACCTATGAGCAGAGTAGACTAGAAATTTGGATAGTACTGGATCCTTGGGATCAAGTGTAGTGATACTACGGATGTCGTACTAGTATACTGAAATAGTGAGCTCAAGGCTGGCCAAGGGCGTACATCTACTTCCAAAAAAGTTGTCATCAGGCGATAGGTGATTGGTCAATTTCCAAGACAGGAAGTAATCATGGGTATACAACTTAGTAAATAATTCTTGCTGAGTGTTGTACATTTGTCTTTTTAACTGGATAGCAGCTTTTCAGTGTAGTATTCTGTTACAAACAGAGCAAATATAATATGCACCTTCCCTAATCTTACTTTGAAAAGCTGTGCCATTAGGAGTGAATCTTATAATATAGTACTTAACACTTTTTGCTTTTCTTTTCATATTGTTGTGCTGAAAAATACAGCTGAAGCAATAATTTGAAATCCACATTAAAAACCCAGTATTATCCTTAGTATTGTCTGTGATTAACTTCTGAAGCAATAATTTGCTACCAAGAGATGTAAATCATAGTATTCCTTGTTTCTCCAAATTGAAGGCAATATTTATATCTATATCATATATTTGAAGTGTCCTTGGGAAATTGTTGATAGTGAATGGATTGTTATTGCCATTGAGTTTTTCTTCGTAAAACTTGTTTGCATGGTCAGTGATTCTATCTAGAGTCTGTGAATTCCAATACCCCGGCAATATTTAATAATGGAAAAACAAATGCTATAAAAAGATGTGGCACAACAGCATAACAAGGGAATATGAATGGTTGTAATTTCAGCATCTGCATGATTTGCTTTGAGGGGGACAGCTGACAACTGTTGATCAGAATTATCTGTCATATCACATTGTTTTTCATTAATATGTACACCTTTGAGTTCAAATGAAACATTTGGATTTTGATAAAGACCTTCAAAATAGTTTATCAACTCATTTAAGGTGTTAACTTCTAACAGCACACAAGTTCCTTAAGGATGGCACATACCATATGAATCTCTAACATGAGAATCAAATATCTTAAACTTACCATCACATTACTGTAAAAACCTACTGTAGTACTAAGGATTGTTAAAAGAAAGGAATTATAATTTTGTCCCAGCAAAGCCTGCATAGCATTAGCAAATGACACACAATAATTGAAATCTTGTACTTCACAAGTACCATGTAAAGTACCAGTATAGCTTGGACTATATTGAAGCTGATAATTAATATTAAACATGATTATCATTTCAGGTACTTCTGTCAACAGTTAGCCCTTTAAACCCTGAGAGTGACCAGCATCTAATTTCTCTGTACAGTAATATGGCTAAATCATTTGTTGAGATCATAAGAATAGAGGAAATGATCTCCACCAAAGAAGCTATGATTGTAAAACCAATTCTCCATGTCAGTACTAAAGGAAACATATAAAGAAGAGAATGGAGAATATGGATACTGATGTTGCGGCATTAAGGGTTAATAGGATTGCTTGGATAGACTAGATAGACCAGAATACAATTCATCATCGATGTTCATGATATTAACCAAGTCCACTGAGGATATAATACCATTCCTCTTGTTATATATGAGGGAAAGCAAGTGACATGGCTACACACTGTGTACCAGGATTTAACCCAAACATTGCCATATTGTCTCAACTGTAAGGAGCTTGAATTGTTTCAGTAGAATTAATAACCGGACCAGGGTTTGTTTCTATATCCCCAGAAAGATTAGACTTAAAACGATTTACCCTGTGATTCAGATTTTTATAAACATTTGGTACTGAATTAGACCTCCATGCATTCAACTGCTTTAGCTTTGGACTGTTTATTACATGTGGATATTGGTTTTGCATTTGCATTTCCCTGTAAATGAGTTACAAGAATTTGGTGTTTGATCAGGGTAAAAACTTCTCCTTGGTAAGTTTGAGTATTCTCATTACCTGTTTTGCTGGAAAATGTTTGGAAATTATAGGCAGAAGTTACATGTTAATCACTTCTGAGAATTAGAGGGTTAAATTTATAGAGTGGAAAGGTAAGGCTAAAAAGTTCCAACAGAAAGAGCCACCCAAAAAAGATTGATACTACTATAAACAAAATTAATTCAATATCTCTGCCTACTCCTTTCTCATAATTGGCAGACAACCAATTACCCTTCTAAAAGTCACCTATCAGCTAGAGTATACTTTCAGCTACATGAGCCAGAAACTATCAGTGTTACAAATTGAAGTAGCAAACCCATCAAACAGATTGGGAGTGAGTCCTTGAAAAATTGACAATTTGAATGCTTGGAGCCCTACTATTTGCTACAAGTTTGAATAATTGATTTTGTAATTTAATTATATTTCAGTTTGTATTAGGGCCAGTTTGTTACAAACCTGTGCCAAGTTCTCAAAGAGAGAAAAAAAGTGAAGAAGTGTGCAAAAGTTTCATGCCAGTGGAAGTAACAGCTATATATGTAAGGAAAATGGCTTGCACTCCTTTCTATCTACTGAATGCTGTTTTTGCCCAACCCACTCTTTTGCTTTTCTTCACTGATTGAGAACCTGGGGCAGACTGGCTGTAATATTAACAGTTCTTTCATTTAAAATCCTATGAAATTACAGCCACCAATTATAGAATGAGGAGGTTCACTAGCCTTAGCCCACAGTTATAACAAATTGATTTTCAAGTTTAAAGTTCTAGCTTTTTCAAACAACAATTCCACTAAACAAGTACACTAACTCATTAGCCAGCTAGAATGGACCAAGTTAAATGTTCAATTCAATCTCTATACATAAAATATTTAAATATGCAATTTTAACACAAAGGATTCAAGTAGCTGAAGTCAATTAAAACAAGAAAAATGCTTTTACTTCTTTCATATACTACCATCCTAAATTCAGTTTTTAGGTTGAATTTTGACCATGGTGCTACTAGCAAACAAGACTGACAAGAAAAAAATTAGTTTTCACTTGCACAATTCCTTGCAAAACTTCATTTTTCTTTGATAATTCATAATTCAAACTTCAAATCCTGAGCCAAATTCAAATTCAAAGTGTACATTTGAGCTCTAAACAGTGGACTTCACATGAACTTTGAACCCTACTCTTAGTTTCAAACAACATTAATAAATTTCCCACACTACCTCACTTTTCACCTGTTGTTCCAATGGCTTAGTCACATATTGACTACAAAATGATCAGGTTTTTCTGTAAAAGCTTGGCTGAGGTAAAGTAACAGAAGCCACACCATTTTACCTTTTCCTTTTCATCAGTTGCATAAAAAATTCTATCAAAATAGTTTCAGATAATCCAAGGGTTTATGTTCTTAAAGATATTTAAAAGTTTTTAGAGTTATATAACCAGGTTGAGGTAAACCAATTCATTGCCTTACATAGGTGGTGCTGATGCTACTGCACCATATGAAGGTTTGGGAGTGTAAATTCTCCCTGCTCCTCCCTGTGGTCCTTCTGTATAAGGGGGAGGTTGCTCACTCGCTGTGCTTGGTCCAGGGTTGTAGGGTGGAGGTCTGTTTGTCTGATGCTGCTCATACTGTGGAGGGGGATAGTATGGGTGGCCTTGTTGGTAAGGTTGTGCCTGTGTGGGGTAAGGTTGGGTGCTCGCTGGTGCAGATCTTATCGTAGTTGTCGTTGTTACTCTCTGCCCAACAATAATTCTGCCACGATGAATTGTTCTTCGACGGCGACAAGCGCAGAAAATGCACATAGTAATGATGAAGATCACAGCTAGAAATCCAGATGTTAACCAAATTATAGGGTTCCAATCAAAGCAATCATATTGACAAACTCCGTTGCAACAACTTTCCGTGCTATCACAGTCGTACTGAGAAGTGCAACTCAATCCAACACAAGAAGAGCCGAATTGACACTCATGATTACAGCAAACTTGGTTGAAAGAGCATCCAGATCCCCCAGATGAGCACCAAGCAAGAGTCACTGTAACAAAGTAATGGCTAACAAGGACAAAAACCACGAAAGAAGATCTGATCATCTCTCGAAAATACCGTATTTTCCCGTTAACACGATCTCTTCTTGCTTCCTTTTCACTTTGTGGAGTGTCAACACCAGATGTCCCACAATTCCTAGGGGATTCTTGTAAGACTCTGACGTCACTCCAAGCGGATTTTGGACTTTGACGTCATCGCATATAATTTTGCAGTGCCATCATACGACTCTGTGCATCACTTTCGTGAATCCCCCTTCCCCCGTACCACGTGAGAAAAATTGGTTGAAAAAGAAAGAACACCTCATTACAGTTTAGGCGGAAGCTATTTTGGAAATTTGTTTTTCGCATTCGCGATAAATAGTACTGCCACAAAAGTTGTCGTCCGTTCACTCTTCTCTAGATGTGTTCATCTGGTTGTAATCAGCGCTGTACTTTCAGTTTGCGACTCGGGCCTCACTTTTGACCAACAAGCGTTGCAAGATCAAGGTAAACTGATTGATCTTTGAGAGTTGTGCTATACTGCACGTGTCTCATCTGCGTCGCTTCGTAGGCAGCTTACGCACATTAAGCAATGTTATCCGCTCAGTTCACCTTACAAACAGAATAGTTTGTGACCATGTTTATTTATAGAATAATACCTTAAAAAACACAAAGTGCTCTATCTCTAGCCATATTTTTGTCTGTGAATATGTCAGTACCCTGATGAATGAAATCTAAAACATTGTTTCTGAGCAAAAAACAAGAAAAATTTTCATAGATTCTGGAAAACTGATTCATACAACTAAGAAACGTATGCCAGAGATTCACCTGGGTTTATTCAACTATTTATCGTGAATTATTTCTCGGTCACTGACGACCATCACTGCGTTTCCTTCGGCGTTTGCGCCATCCCTTCTCAGTAACGCATGTCACTTCAGTGGCCGGCCTGACTAAGAAATGGACGACCTCCGTGGACTTGAAGCACTACAAATGGAATACTAGCATGATCTACACTAGACCCCACAGTTTAGAGAGAAGGGTTTTTGTATGAAAGCTGGTACTAACTAAAAATATATTAAAGTTCACACGGCAACCAGGTGGACAATCAGACATAGTTTGATGCTACTCTGGTTTGCAGATTTAATGAATGTAACCGAAGAAGTTACAATTCATAAACCCAACGTTTCGACACTCCTGTCTAGTGCCTTCATCAGGGGTGATCTAAACGCTGCAACAAGAGGTCCTTTTGGGGGTTCTAGAACCTTGAATACCATTTCATCTATTCCTACACCAGAAACAACTATTCATGTCACTACACGGGTGGTAGTTATTGCACAGAACCATAAGAAGGTTTACGAGTGTAAACTCCCCCTGAAGTGCCCTGTGGTCCTCCACTATAAGGGGGAGGTTGTTCACTTGCTATGCTTGGTTCAGGGTTGTAGGGCTGAGGCCTGTTTGTCTGATGCTGCTCATACTGTGGAGGGGGGTAGTTTGGGTAGCCTTGTTGGTAGGTGGGTGGATTCTGTTCGGGGTAGAGTGAGCTACTCTGCATTGCAGATCTTACTGTAGTAGTCGTTGTCACTCTTTGGCCGACGACTATCCTGCCACGATCAAGTGCTCTTCGACGACGAAAAGCAAAGGAAATACACATAAGGAACATGAAAAGCACGACAAGTGATCCAAATATTGAACCAAAGAAAACCGCGGCGTCAATGCAGTCGTTATATTGACAAGTGCCATCACAACAGTTAAGATTAAACTGACCACAATCGCTGTCGGCATTACAAGGGGACCCATTGCAGTCACTGCCATATGTGCAATCACTGCCGCAACACACTTCCTCGCTCGCACAGTCTGACTGAGAAGAGCAATTCCTTCCGACGCAAGAAGAGACGTAAATACACTGATGGCTGCAGCAAACGTAGTTGGATTGACAGTCGCTCTGATATAAGCACCCAGAATGACTCACAGCAACAAATAAATGTAATACATAGACAAAAAAAGCGAAGGATGATTTAACCATGTCTCAAAAATTCCTTATTTCTGTTTTTAAAAGATCTCAGTGTAGTTGTGTGCTTTCGACATCACTGGGATGTACCGCTTACTTCAACTTTATAGTACAGCGGTCAAATTAAAAATACGTCATGTAAGCTCCAGCACTTGTTCTCCACGAAAAGTTCAAACCTGATATGTACAAGATCGTACTGATTAAAGGAGCCTTGAGGTCCTGCAGCAGTTTCTTGATTTTGTTTAAGTATTTTGTGGTTCTCAAAAATAACTACCGAGATATATTTCTTTTGAGTAGTTTTCGCGGAATTTTTGCCAGTAAGCTAAATGTGAATACAAATCTTTTTAATAACGGCACATAAAATAGCATTATATCATTACTATTTTCTTCCACTATCAATCATTAGGAGAGGAAGAAGTATTATTAAATGCATGATCGCGTAGTTCGTAGCGATTCCCTAAATCCTAGATTCACTAAAACAAGACAGCAATCTATACTTCTCTATTTTTGTATACTCATATGTGGCTCACAGATAAAGATATACGAAAACTAATAAAAATGTCTTCAGTATGTTTGAACTATTTACAAGGTTATCAATGTGCCAATAAGCCTGACAATAACGTTTGAATTTTAGACGGTAACGTCGTCTCTTAAAAGGTAAATTTTGAGGGAGATTCTCCTTGCAGCGTTAACTCTGTTGAGAGAAGTTCAATGTTTTTTTACTTGCATAATACGAAAAACTTGTTAACACTAAAACGTCAAATGATTCGTGAAATAACGAACGGGAATTTCAGGGATTGTACACACCCTACGTTTATGGGGAATTCTGAAGTAAATGGATGTAAATGATTTTGTGTCGACAGGAAATGCTTTAATGTATGCGAATGATACTACTTTTTATTGTATAGGCCCTAATGTTGAACGTGTTGTCTCCAATTTAAATTCTGTAATGGATCAGATCTCATGGAGTACGGGAAAATAAGCTTATCATTCACCCTGCTAAAACAGAAGCTATGATTTTGAGGAAACCTCCTTTTATTGGCCCTATCCAACCCATACGTTTTGACAGTCTGGTTTTGGTATACTAGATTACGCAGCGTTCTCCTTTTCAGGCAGTAACCGGTAACATTTACCGCCTGTAGTGCCTCTTATTACCGTTTAAAATTGCTTGGAATTCTTGAAAATTCAACGGGTAAAAGGATTGCTGTACCGGTTTGAAAATTTATTTTACCTGTCATGCTTAAAACAAGGAAGAACACTGATTACGTACCTAGAGTGTTTTCCAAGGGCTCTATTTTATATGAAATATTTTTAAATATTTCAACACCTTTCCGCCCGGTCCATTGCGTAAGTTTTTACAAAAGGTCAAAAGATCAGGTCTCTACAAGGCCCACACCGAATTGATAAAGGCAAAAAATCAGCTAAAGATAAAAGAAACTGCCTACCATTTTTCGAAACCCTCTTGTGATTTAACCACTTTGAGTGTAGGGCCTTCTTCACAAGGCATGTGGAACTAATAAGAACTTCCCGCACATATTCTCGAACTCCTTTCTTTTCCCATCGAAATAACCCAAGAAGCACTGGTTTTCAACTGAACAATTTTCAAGGTTTTCCTCAAGGAAGTCAATTTAAAGACGATTGAATAGTCGCCGCCATCATTGCGCATTCTAGTGTCTTAATCAAAGCTTGTCTTCAGTTTTTAAATGTCATCCTTTCGCGGGCTTTCGCAATTTTCCCACATTTCATAATTTTCCTGCTGACCAAAACTACCGTGTACTCATACTCTCGACGAACGCCATCGATATAGCGTCACCCAACTTTTCCGGTCACGAGAATAATCGGGAGCTCACGCAACTGCTTTGTTAAGCATGAAAAGTTGCGTTAAATTGGTCAATCAAGCTGTGTATGCGCTCCAGCTATCCAGGTCATTTACCTTTTGTGCTGGGGTTTTCACATGCTTGAAAATCAGTTCTGCCTATACTAGTAGTTTCTGGGTGCTCTTTTTTTTTTCTTGATGTTCTTATTTAGTTTTACTAAACTGGATTTGGACCACACATGTCATATCACATTGCGTGAGAATTGAAAGCTGCGTTTCGTAATTGCACGCGCCCAGGTAACTCCGGAACCGAAAACATCTATAACATTTCTATCTATGCTACGTCATGTCTCTCGGAGGATTTTGATTGTGTCGCGATAAAATTTATCTAATCCACACACGTAAGGCTCTGTAATATTCTTAGGATCCCCGTCAGTCCCTGGGCAGTCAGTTCTCTTTAATCCCACCAAAAGGCTGTTCGCGATGACTGATTCCCCCTCAATTCCCCATGAAATTCATTAAATCCTTCCAAAAATCCCCACAAGGATCCGATTACTGGCAACTCACTCGTTATAGCCTGAAATACCATTTCGCTTACTTGTGATGAAAACAACTGTCTCACTTTGCGTAGAAAAACCTTGTTTCTAATTTTGTGGGATGGGGGCATTTGAAACATATATTTAATTAAACTCAAAATTCATCTGTTTTAAAAGTGTCACTGTTAGAGTTTTACTTGTTGTGTTGTGCTTATATTTCGTGGATAATTTGTTAGTCCCTTATCAAGAAGAAATGCTTTAGATTTGGTTTGAATTTACACTTTTTTTCGCACAGGTGAGCTAATTAATTAATAAACCCCGAGAGAAGCAAGACTGGATATGGGGGAGAATTAGAAAGGCCAGAACTACAGAAGGGAGGGTCAAGGAGAAGCGAATTACTTGTGTTATCAGAATTTAGGGGACTGTCTCCTGTCTCTGTTTACCGCCTGGTAATGAAGGGGGGAAGGGGGGGAAGGGGGGGGGGGAGAGAATCGGAGAAGTTTGAGGGGCATTCTGATTTTATTTCGTTAAAACTTACCCGACCCCTCTTTAGGCTCTGAAGTATTCTATTGATCCCTCATTGGCAGTAAATTCTCTATTATCCCCATTTTATACTTCGTCAGCGAGAACTGACCGTTCCCCCTGAAAAAGATTGCTTTTTAGGGGGAACGGTCAGTTCTCGCTGACGAAGTATGAAAGGGGGATAATAGAGAATTTACTGCCAATGAGGGATCAATAGAATACTTCAGAGCCTAAAGAGGGGTCGAGTAAGTTTTAACGAGATAAAATCAGAATTATCCGCCCCCCCCCTCCACTACCAGCTGATTGACGAGTAATGATCAGTCCCTTAGACAGCCCAGAGCTGACATTTTGTATTCAAATAATGCCATTTTTTTTATCTCGAGTAATAAAAATGCCAGAGGTTTGAAGCAGCTCTGACACAACAATTTCTAGGGATTAATAACCGATATAGATCACAGGCTTTCAAATACAAATACATTTTTTGTGTCTGTAGCTAGTATCAATGCCTATACAATATTAAAACCTTTTACTAAGGACACCAGAGCATAAACGGAACCATTAGAGATGCACTGGGTACTATTGAAGTGTGCTCCTCCACTTAGAGAGGGGCTGGGTAGCCTGTATTTCTACAGTATATTTATCGTTTACAAATCAGATATAAAGAACAAGATATCAAGTTTGAGTATATTATAAATGGGTTCCATCATACTGCACGTTTTTATACTTTCACGATAAATCCTAATCCTCTGGAACTTCCTCCCTGGTTTGGTTTGCGTCGCCTTCACCCCCGGATCTCTTCTCTGCTGTCTGGTTGTAAGGGGGAGGTTACACATATGCTACTATTTAATAAGCACATAGATTATACGTTGCTGGCTTGAAGTACTTTCTTCAAACACTGTGACGTGGTTTAGTCGCGCTCCGGACCCTCCCCCCTAAATCTTTCCTCCCCTACCTCACTGTAGGGGGGAGGGGAAGGTAGTTCATTCAATTCAGTTACAAGGTGATGCATATGTGTAGGTGATAGCTGACTTCTCTCCAAAGGTAAATCTTCTTCCAACACGGCAACATGATTCAAATAGCTTCCTGAAAATCCAGTTCTAGAGCCCTCCTCTACTACCTCATTGTAAGGGGGAGGGGGAGGTAGTTCATTTGCTTCGGCTGCAAGGCGATGCATATATGTAGGTGTGAGCTGACTTATCTCCCTAGCTAAATCTTCTTCCAACAGAGCATCATGGTTCAAATAGCTTCCTGAACATCCAGTTGTAGAGCTTTCCTCTACCACCTCCCTGTAAGGGGGAGGGGAAGGTGGTTCATTTGATGCGGCTATAAGTTGCATACATATAGATGCAAAAGATAAATCTTCTTCCAACAGAGCATCATGGTTCAAATAGCGTCCTGAACATCTAAGTCTGGAGCCTTCCTCTACCTCATTACTGGAAGTCGGAGTAGGAACGTGAGGTGGTGAGTAGCCGAATATTTGTTGGTTACAGTACCCTTGCTCGTCGCTGCGAGACAACTGAGGTCGACCCAAGTAGTTTGAGTGACCTTGTGTTGTTTGTTCAACTTGTTGTTCCACGATATCTATATCATGTGTATCTGTTTCTCTCTCCAAGTCAATTATTTCTATGTCTCCCGGTAGGTTTGCCCTACTTCCTTCCGGCTGTGATGAATCACTCTTACAGTTGCATACGTGACAAAGTAGCGTCTGAACGCAACCATAAAATATGAACGCGAATAACATTATTCCAAAAACCGCCAAGGTTGTTAAGAAACTGCATAAGGCATCAGACCATCCGCACATACCATAACAACACTTTTGACATCCACATGCTTTCCAATCGCCATAAAGACGAAAATTTGAGCAATTATCTTCTCGATGGCATGTCCAATTACAACAATGTTCAGATGAGCCGCAGTCTAAATGAGACCTACAGTGGTAACCGAGACAGCTAGTATCATTCACACAGTTCACACTGCAGCTGAAACTTTCAGTTAGGTTTTCAATACTGCTCCAGGTCAAATAATCGTTGGAACAGGTGAGGCAGCAAACCTGATCGTCACCGCAACCAGTTTGGCAATCTCGACCCCGGACATTGTCGCTCTCGATCAGAATGGGGAACGTTGCAAAAAGCGCCAATAACGGCAATGCATTTGATTCGAACGATACGAGCAGAGTGTGAAGAAGTGCTGTGTTGATCGTCGCCATTACGTACTTTGTTTGTCCTGAGATGATCAGCCTCCGGAATTTACCGCTAAATATTAAAGGGTAGCTGACGGCTAAAAAGTCACTTTTTCGGAATACTGTCTAAATGCCTCAGGTAACACATTGAAACAGATAAAAGTTACTTCGAATACCTCCTTGTACCTTTTTCCGCTCGGAAAACTGTCCTAGTCGCAACTTCCCGATTCATCCGCCATAAACGCTTCGAAATTTGATCATCATGATGACCTGTACGTCACACGTCACTTCACAAAATAAAATATGGCGGACAGTATTTCGAGTGAGAGCAGTTCAATTTCGGGGTCTGATTATTCAGATTTTGATGACGGTGTAGGGTGAAAGTAATGATAGGGCTTATGAGCCTGTTGGTCTAATCAGGCCCTGGCGATTTGAACCGCCAGGACGAGCCGAATATAGAGCGCGAGAGTCAGAAGGAGATCAAGAGCCCATGCGTAGCGGCCGCCTCAATCAGGAAAGCGACAAATGGTGACTGAGTGCATTACGCTTGTAAACAAAGTATCTGAAAATCAGTCACTTATTGAAGATAGGAGAGATCAAGTAAATAAAACCAAATGTGCAGACTCTAGAATTCCATAGGAGCGAAGTGTTTTTGTGCTACACGCACGCACCTTCCGAAGCCTGTGAAAATATAAACATACACGCTAGTGGAGGTGCATTGAACGGATTCATTTTTGAGGTAGTTTCCCACATTATACACGTTTAAACGCGTTTGTATCGGTTTTAAGTGTCCTTGTATTGAATTTGGCTAACGATGAAAGATTTCTCGGCTTTTACTGTAAAACACAAATTAACAAAAAATAGCATTCGTACTTGTAGAGTCGAAGGTCGATCCTCTTGATATTAATTTATTGTTAACTTCGTTTTCCCTTTACCCCAAGGTGCCAGTGTGGAAACTGCCAATCAATGTGGAGGGAGGAAGTAAACAAAATAAAATAAAAATTTGAAGGCTATTACAGAGGAACAGCTGCAGGCAGAACCCATATGCATTGTGTAGCATTCAAGAGTAGAAGACGCTTGATTTGAAGAAACTCTTTAATACTAGCTTGGAGCTAAAATTCAGCTATTTTTGCACAGAATCCTTTGTAGTTTTCAGCTGAGAAATGGTCGCTGCAAACGTGACCCGAACCTGGTGTCCAACTGCTAGGTTCTCTTTTTGTTCGAACAAATGCAATCCACTGTCGCCGTACACTTTCATCAGCTGGAAACTGGCGAGAGCTTACTCCGTCTGTTATGTTATAAAACATCACTACACAGCGCTTCCCTGGTTTTCGTTTTCTTCGCTCGAAATCCTGTTGTTTAAAGTTCAGGTCGTAATTTGAGAAACATTACGTGCTTGTTATTTCCGTCGCACGATTGTGTCGCAGACTCGGTTCGTTTTTTTAACTAAGACACTGCGATTTATACTGTGGGTGCTGGGCAGTCTCATGACATGTGCTTTAATGGTTTCCTCTCTCAGGCTATAGGCTTTTTTTAATTTACGATAAACGAGCGTGAGTAATTTACTGTTCACCCAGCCGACAGTTGTACACTTTTGAAATCATGTTTTCCGGTCGCAAATGAGAAACATAACAAGGCGCTTTTATTGGAAGTCAAACTTAGCCACTCGAATGTGCTATATATGCTGTTCAATGTTAGTTGTAATCATTCCTGAAGAAGTCTCAGCTAGAGACGAAAAGCGTCGGAAAAAATTAACAAAAAGTTACAAAAGCAAGAAGTCTTCTTTTGTACTGCTCATTAGTCTCATTAAAACAAGATCAAGAAAGGATAAATCTTGAACATTTCCGGAAAGGGGAAGACGAGTTTCGTTCACGAAACCAGATAAAGACCCCCTATAATTTGCGACAACACTTTGCGTTTATGTGACGCTCACTCCAAAACCGATGGGTTTAAGGTCACAGAGATATACACCGGACAAAATCTTAAGTTAAATGCTTTTGGGCCTGGACCAAAAAAGATTTCTATAAGTAACAGACTCGATAATGGTCGAGAGGAAAAACAAAATTTCTTCTTTTTGTACCGCTGTTTGGCATGGCATGCAATTAGTTACCTGTAGCTGAATACAAATACGCGATCCGTCGCGTTTCGGATAATTCAGCCTTTTCAGAGAAAGTATTTTATTTCTCTTTTCGTATTTCATAGTCTCTAAATGGTGGATTGAACCAAAATGAAACAAATCTTTTTTTATCACCGCTCGGCCGGTAGCTGGACAGCGAGGGCGAAGTTGTTACTTTCAGGTCGTAACATAACCCTTTTCACTGCCTTATACACATGTGACGTACACATCACGTAGCCTGGATCGGAACTTTTTAAAAAAAATTTGTAGAAAATTTGGTTTTGCACAATATCGCCTATTTGCTCATCAAAGATTCTGTAACGTAGGAGGAATGTATTGGGACAATAAAGGGGGAAAAATTTGCCGTCAATTACCCTTTAATAAGGACAGTTATGACTTCATAGTTGTACCCGTTTACTCGAGTACAACTTTGTTGCATGCGACGAGCTCGAGACAGGCTTGTAACGCTAATTGTTTTGCGCAAATCAAACTTACAACTCGCTTGCGACTGACACATACGTCTGCAAAAATGTCGTAGCATGAAAACATGTCTTAAAACGCTGCGACAGTCGGAGCCGAAATTGATTCAAATGACTATTTCGTAACAAATTTCCACTGAGTTAGGAGAGGAAGGTAAAGTTTTCTTACATCAAAATGGCGGGCGAAGTTGCTTTTGTTGGCCATGATTAGTCACTGAATAGAAAAGTAAAAGAGGAGAGAGATAAATCAATTTCACTTTGTAGTGAAGAAGTCCTGCTTAACGTGCAAGGAGTATTTTCAGAGGGAGTGGAATTGTATGCAATTTTGACCAGTTTGGCAATTTCGACCCCGGACATAGTCGCACTCCTGAGGTCAGAATGGGAAACGGTGTGAAATGCGACAATAACGGCAACACGTACGATTTGAACGATATATCGTTGCGAGCAGATCTTGAAACGCTGTATTCATCGTCGCCTTCACGTACTTTAATTGCACTGGGGGCATGGGACCATCAATTCGGAATATAATAATTCGATAATCATTAATAAGGACAGCTATGAATTTATCAATAAGCTATTGTTGATAGTTTTTAATCACTTCACAGCACATCAAATTTATTAAACTTATCTTAACCAGACCCATATGGCACGTTAACTGTTCCGCTGTTTCATAATCAACGAAAAATGAGGGCATCATCCCCCATATGTTCTCACTAGTACTGATTTTGGAGATAGGGAATGAAGAGAACGAGCTCTTTTTTGTACTTTTAAAAGAGCTACTTTGTATAAATCTAATCCCAGTCAATAATTTTTAAGGCTGAATTGTGCAGAAATGTACCAGAAGGATTATGAGCTTAAACTAATTTAAAATTAGGTGACAAAGCAGTTTTATATTTACTATAACAGAAAAAATAACTGTTCTCTGGTATGCAATAAGATCAAGAGGTTGAATCTTCAATTAAGAACTTCTGGAATATGGTTGTGCAACTTTCCTAATGAGTAACATCTGCTCTGATATTTGAAATTTGAAATCTGAAATTTCAAAGATTTTGGGGTCCTCAAGATGTTGTTCTTATCAGAACAAGCCTTAGATAGATGCTTGTTTTTTAAAATACCAATACCAGAGTTTCCTTAGAAAACAAAGGAATTGCTGACTTTTGAAAATCAGCCCATAACTACAGCCTCATTGACACCTCATATGCCACTTCTGATAAGAAGGCATTGAGTCTTTGCAAGGGCACTTAACTGGAAATTTACCAATCAAAAAAATTGATTAATTAGTCATAATTTTATCCTTGTATCAAGTTTTGTGAATATTTTACATTCTCATTTCCAGCTCTTCAACTTTGTCAAATGGTACATAAATTTGGCACATTTCTTGGCAGATGATACATCCAACCCATCAGTTTCTTATTCTACTCAGCCTGATGGTTGGCAGGAGAGCTGAGTGCCAATGCTTACTTTTAAATCAGAATAAAATTTGGGGGGGAAAAGTTTACGAAGAAGAGTTAACAGTAGTTCCAATCATAGCTTTGGAGTGCCATAATCCTACTAGTTACAAAACAGAACTAAATGAAAAACAAAACTAATTAAAAAACAAAAACTAGGCTGTAGCTTTCCACTAATAAAATTAGCTTTTAATAACTTGCTTTTTATTCAAACATGTCTGCTATAAACAACAAAGCCTTAGAGATCTCTTACAATCCCTTCCCAATGTGATTAATAAATATTACCTTAGAAATCCATGAAATCCCTTATAGGTTCAGTGCAGTATGCTATTGCCTTTTGCCAAGTTTACAAATCAAAATTAGTCCTAACTCACATTATTTGCCACAGCAGCATTTTTTTTATCTTTGTTTTTTGTGCTAACCCAGGGTTTGCACCAATCAGGTCTTAAACAACCTAGAATCTGGTTCCTACTTTAATTTTTTGCTTCACACTCAAGGTCAACATCTAAATAATTTTGAAATTCAAACAGTTCAATCAGGAAATTAGACAGAGCAAACTTGTTTTTCAGCTCTAAGCTGCACTTTACTTAGTTTAAGTGGCATTTTCATGTATGATTGATAGAAATTTCAAGAGACAAGCTTGAAGAAGGAATTCGATTATTTATCTGCCATTCATATTGATATCAAGAACCTCAGCCCTTATTTCTTCAAGTAACAACCATCAAGACATAAAATCCTATTGAATTACTTTAGCTGGAACCTTTGAAAATAAATTTTGAAAGGTCAAAATTCTGATGCTTTTCTAAGAAAAAAAATCCAAATTACCTAGGAAAAAATATGACAACCCTAACACTTTAAACCCTATCATCACTGTGCATAATCATCAGGTTGTTTTCTATAAATTTTCTAAGGTTATTGACATGAAAGATTTGTCTAACAATTAAGAGCTTGTTACACTGACAATCATTTGTTTTGATTCTGTGAATTTAATGTTTGATTCAGAAATGTTACGGTGAAGAGAAATGAGAAGCTAGTCACTCTTAGAGATTAGAGGTTAAAGGCAAAGAGTGAAGATAAAAAATGGGATCAAAGTTCCAAGTGCATGGCTTACTTGCGTTTTTCTAACAATAAGAACAATATGTTCCTCAGTACATATTGGTCCTTTGATACACTGATAACTTAAATGAAATCAAACCTTCGCGTTTCTATAAAGAATTTGACACAGCACCATAGTTTGTATGAGGTGTATTCACCACCCCTGATGCCTCCTCTGAGGTACGGTTGTAAGGAGGGGGTGCTTCACTTGTCTTTGCTGGGCCAACATTGTTTGGCGGATACTGAACGTATTGTGGCGGTGGACAGTAAGGATAGCTCTGTTGATAGGACGGTAGATATGGATAAGACAGGCTGCTGTCTCCCACAGTTGTTACCGATGGTAGTCTTCCTCCTTCTAAAACTCTTCCGTAGTACCTTCTTCGACGTCGACAAAAGCAGACAACAAGCATGAAGAGGACCAAAATGATAAACAGACAAGCAAAAATTGAACCAAACACGATCCAAATAGCGAAATCGTCGCAGTTTACTTCATAGCTACATATTCCTCCGCAGCAGTACTCGTAAGATGTACAGTCGTAATTTGCCTTGCACAACAATCCAATGCAACCATAGCCATCTTTACAGGTTCCGCTACAACATACTTCACTCGAGGCACAATCTGATTCCACCGAACAGCCTTTACCAAGGCAGCTTGTTCCATTCACACAAATATTGTTGCAACAAGTCTCACCAGAAGAACAGCCGTCATAGTTTGAACAACGAAGACCCACACAACTGGATCCCTGGATACAAGCGCTATTACAACATACAAAACCTTCTTTAAAGCATCCACCAGCACACCAGGCGGCAGTAACGGAGAACATCGACGAAAAGATAATCACTGCAAATATCAAGTCTTTCAAAGAAGGGATATACACTACAGATGCCGTGTTTGAGGCCATAATCCTTGCGGGTTTTCCTCAACATAAAATTTTCCCTTGCGCTCGTTTTGCACAGCTGTCAGAGTCACAAGACATATGACGTAATGCTGTCTTCTTCCCCGAACCAGTCTCTTTCGCTCTTAATCTGAAATTCTAATATGGGAGACTGGAAATGAAGAACTTGATTGCGTGACTTTGCGTGACTCGGTTTCACCGACGTGGACGTGGACAATATGGCGGACAAACACCGCGCCAGGAAGAATTGGAGATGCACTTTAGAAAGAGCGGAAAAATTCATTTCCTCGCAATATTTCGCTGATGTGAACTTGTTTAGTAGGTAAATCTACTGCATGGGTTTTGGTGTATTTTGCTAGATTCATTCCTGCTACATCATCGTTCGTTGCTTTTCAGATTAGTAATCAAGTATTACAGTATCTGTCAAACCACTTCCCGTACTTGATATAGTTATACATTTGATATATTATGTGGATCTATTGAAAACAATAAATCCTGACGTTCTATTGAGTGACCTACGTGATTTAACGCCAGGTTTAAATTATTTAGTACTATTTGTGAAACGAAAGAAGTTTGCGTGCTTCTTAAATCCCGCAATTTCCAATGATAATTAAAAGGAAACTGCTTTTATTGTAATGTTCATGGATCCATTTTTTTATAATCATCCTTTACAGCTTTAGAGTCTCAGACGTATTTATTTAAGCGTAAAACATGTATTTTGAGTTTGAATGAATAAAATCTTTGACTCTGATATGACATAGAGATTTGATTGTCTATGAGCAGGTATTTTAATTAAAGCAACCATGGAAATAGCCACTAATTTACTTTTAATCTGGAGCTGATTATCTACTCTTTCCCAGGTTATATCCTAAGAAACTGCCTGTAAGTTCCCTGACTCACTACGCAGCTCCTGGAAGAGTCCCATACAATGAAGCTGTTTGTGGGAAGTTTGCAGAGGCACAAGTGGGAAACAGTTATGGTCCTACGTGAGTCATGATCAACCGCTGACTGCAGCAATTTACTTTAGTTAGTTCAGCTAATGTACAGCAGATTCCTAGAGAAGAGGAGTGGCCTGGGGCTAAGTAGGTTTCAGATCCAGTATATTTGGCCGATAAAAAATATATTTTAGCATTTAAAAATAAAAGAACACCTTTTCTGAGTGATGAACCCATGGTTAAGGCTCATCAACTTATTGTCAATGCTTAATCTTAAGCAAAAGAAAAAGCAAAAACTCAATTATTTAAATCTAAATCAGTAAAAATAAAATAAAGAATCAAGGCATACTGTCATTTGTGATAGATAAATACCAAGGAGACTACTTCATGATCAGTGGATTGAGTCCAAAGTTGGTGCAAATTAGCAGATTTACCTATATTTGACTCCAAACCCCTCCCTTGATCTTATATAAGATTGAGGCTTTCACTTCCAAAATGTATTCTTAAATCCAACTCCTCACCCTCCTTATACAGGTGGTCCACTCATTGGTTCAAAATTGTCATTGACATTCCAGAAGAGTGGACAGGAGAAATAGTACATTTCAGATGGAACTCTGGATCAGAGGCTATGGTAACTTAGAACTCAGATATTAATTTTCTTATTTGATTCAATTCTTATATTTAGGAGAATGCTTCAATGGTAGAAATTCAGTGCTGAACCCTTTGACTCCGACATCTGATTGTTTATTCTCCCCTCTAGCTGCTACACATTTCTTTGTAAATTAGTGACCAGAATTTGGTGTTAGATCAAGATAACAACTCCTAATGAATAAGTTTGAGTAAATCTCATGACCTGTTTGCTAGATAATGTATGGATATTATAGGGAGAAGTTAAATGTTAATCACTCCTGGGAATTAAGGGATACAAGGTCTTAAATTTGGTAGAATCTTATCAATTATTTATTTTACAACTCCATTAATAATTTTTATCAGTAGTTGTTGATAATAACTGTAACAATGGTAAATATAATTTGTTTTAGGTGTGGCAAGAAGGAAAACCCAAACAGGTACATGTCAAAAAATTCACAATAAGCAAGAAAAAAACTTGGCTCTGTAAAAACTCAGAGAGCACTATATGTTTTTTACCAGGTACAATTCACTCCCAGAGTTTAAAGTATGCTGACTTATTTATTGGTATTATTTTGGTATTATTTGTATCACAAACTGCACTTTGAGAAAGAGGCAATTCATGCAACCTGTTTTATGAATGCATAGATATGGAATGTCTGGATAATGATTCTGTGGGAGGGGAACATGACTGTCTTCTGGCCAGTTTTAGTGTCTGCTAAACATATGCCTCTTCTAACCTGAGAATTTATTTTTCAAAAGTATGAAATGGGTACCAGTAATCCTCAAGGTTACTCCAGCCCATACCACTGAAGGTTAGGCTTTTTCTGTTGTTGTATGAAGCAACCACAGGGTGTAGGAGTATTTTCCCCTCCATCCCTGTCATGAATGACCCCCTTCCCCCCCCCCCCAGCATTTCATCAAGTTCACAATTAAGTGTCCATTCATACTCATGAGTAGCGAAGTGCTCTTAGGGTAAAGTGCCCCACCCAACAACACAACAAAACAACAAGGGCTTGAATTCACACCTTTAGATGTACAGTAACTAGCCAATCATGGTCTTCTTTCATTATGTCACATACTTTCATATCAATTTGTGCAATGCATTTTTATTCTATTAAAAAGCTGCTGTCAAATCTGATAGAAGTTTTAGCAAGAATCAGTTTTTTTGGTTCCACTCATTCTCATAATTCTATTAATTTTTTTCTGTATTCTGTAGGGCCTAACAGGTGGAGATGGACATCAACAGCGTACAGACTATATCCTCTCTACCAAAGCAACTCCTGGAAGGTACACATCAGCAACAGAGACATTATTAATTATTTTATGTGACAATATCTATAAATGTGGTCCAGGACAGTGAAAAAGGCAAATGCAAAAGACTCGCTGAGAGTGCTGTCAGTATAACCTGGTTGAGATTGTTTGTTCTCTTGTTTGTTTGTTTGGTGTTGTTTCACTTTCTTCACTTTTTTTTTTTTTTTTTTTTTATTTTTTATTTTTTTATGTCTTGCATTTTTAGCCTGAGAGGGGATTTGAATGTGGAAGGGCTCCAAATCTCTTTATTCTTACCAATCGGTGATTGCTGTGAGAATTGCAATGCTAACATTTTCAATGATTTATATTTGTTGTTGTTGTTGTTCCAAAGCTGTACCTTGTACGTGGAAATGGCTGCCAATGGTATGTTTGGTGCTGGAAAAGATGGCCTGATAAATGCACCGGACCCGAAAAGACATTATACGCTGTCCATGGCTGAAATTGCTGTGTTTGACGCTGAAGTTTACGAAGTTTTAATGGATCTTACTGTTATCATTGACCTGGCCAAGGTGAGAAATGAATTGAAATAGCAAACAGGCGAACAAACAAGCAAAGAAAGGAAGGAACGAACAAGTTTATAATCAAACGCACAGTCGAATAAACGCACGCTAAAACGAAACAAACCTTAACCCTCTAAACCTTAAGAGTCACCAGCATCTAATTTCTCCTTACTAAAATACTGCCGAACCATTTATTAAGGTCATGAGAATAAAAGAAATAATCGGCATCCTAAGAAGCTTTGATCTTCAAATGAATTCTCCTTGTCAGTACCAAAAGACGCATATAGAGAAGAGTATGCAGAATATGGATACTGATGTTAGGGTGTTAAGGGTTAACAAGCTGGGGAATGAACAAAAGGTTTTGCAATCAAACCAGAGACAAATGAACGACCAAAAACAGTCAAACAACAGTTTAACTTTAATTGAACAAGGAATGATCATTATCCTGTGTAACTGTCTACCGCCTCACTACTTCGGCAAAAATGATGTCCAGGTACAATTGGGGTCACATATCCGGCAAAAGGCCGAATGTTTTGGAGAGTGCTTCAATTTTTTTCTTCTTCAGTGACTGTTTGATTTAAAATTGGACTTCATCAATTAAAATTCCTGTTAATTCTGACTCGAAACTATACAAACAAAACTATTGTTTGTTATCTCAGTTCTATCCGCCACCACTGTACCCTTGTGATAAATCTTTCGTTTACCCCATGGTAGAAACTTTCCTAGCCGCCGTGTGATTTTACTTTGACCTTTGTTTATTTCGCTTCGCCAACAGAATCTCTCTCAAGAGAATCCGAGAGCCTTCCAAGCTCTGTACACAGCAAATGATATTGTAAACGCTTGCCAGAATTTGTCGAATGAAGGATCACTTCAGAGGTATAAAGCGGCTGTTTATTGTACGGTCAGACAGAATATGCTCAGGACGAGGTGGGGAGGGAGGATACTCAACAAAAGTTTTCAAAGGAATGTACCTCCCCAAGTTTCAAACTGTTAACCCTTTTAAACCACTTTTGACAAGAAAACTAGGTACACCTGTTACGCACTCGTAACTGATTAGCCGTAGTAGTAAGGCACTACTACACATCAATTAAAAATTTTTACCTCTCTATGTCTCTAGTCAGAATTCCCTGCATGTGTTGCCAGGTATCTTTTAGTGAAGGAGCATTTTAGCCAGTTCCAGGCAATCAGTTAGTATAACGGAGCGAAATTATAAACGGCGCAGTGGTAGTGGTTGGGGTCAACTTTACGCGACTCAACACAAGCCTTCCTCGCTATTTGGCTCCACTACTATCGTGCCGTTTGCTACTGTTCTTGAACGAACTGATGTCTGAAACAGGTTAGATGCATTTCGTTATAGTTTACGATAGGAAGTACTTCCCGCTCGGACTAATCTGCCTCTACATGTCATGAAGGACATTTAACGAGAACTGTAAAAGTAGGAAAGAGATGTTGCCTTACAACCGCTTGTAGTTCACTGATTTGGTGGAAGAGATGTTAATTTATCTGTTTTTTTAATAGTATATGATTGGTTCTATCCATCCTTATATAATTCATTTCGTTAGGACATCATCCAATCCTTGGCCTTCAGTATAGGTTTTGTATTTTATGTTTTAACTTGTCTCATTAATGTTGTTACTTAGAGCAAACTCGGACCTTTCACCTAACTACGAAAAGTGCTCTCTTTGTGAGAGAGATACAAATTTTTGCCCTCCCAGGTATAATATATAATAGCATTCTCTAATGAGCTTTTTTCTCGTGTTTTTGTTGCCTCGGTTCCATGCAGAGCTCACGAGATCGCTACGAGATTCTTCAAGCAAACTAACGGTGAATCCCAGCACCAGGTTCACGCGGTCGGTAACTGCCATATTGACTGTGGTAAGCTGCTTCATCTGCTGCTCTTACATGTACCACACATATACTCATTACTGTAACCCTTTAACCCCTGAGAGTGACTGGCATCTTATTTCTCCTTACCATATCACCCCTGAATCAAACATAAAGGTCAGGAGAATAAAGAAGCTGATCACCGACTAAAGAAGCTCTTGATTGTTGGATAAATTCTCCATGTCGGCAACTTAGGAAATGTCTAGAGAACAGTATGGAGAATATGCATATGATGTTATGGGTGAAAAGGGTTAACAGGCGTGGCCTTGAGGTCAAGGCTGGGACTTTTTTTTTTTTATTCTTAACGTATAAAGGATCAACTCTCAAAAATTCAGTTTGCAAAATTCGCTACTGTGGCTAACCTATCTTTATCGATATCTAGTTGATAGTCAAATTACACTGATTTGCCCGTCGATGCCGCTTAACATGTTCTTTAGGAAATAGTAGATTGAGTTAAAGGCAATGAATTATTATTATGTTCAGCATGGTTGTGGCCTGTTGCTGAGACAGTGAGGAAGTGTGGGAGAAGTTTCGCTACTGCTGTGCGCTTGATGGAAAAATACCCTGACTTCAAATTTGTTTGTTCACAGGTGTGCTTTTAATTGTTTATTTTGTTTTTGTTGAAAATGTACTCATTAACTCTTATCCTCCTCCTCCTTCGCATCCCCCCCCCAACCTATATGTTAGTCACTGCTCAATTTAAGCCAACACCAAGTCTCCTTCTGTGTAATTACAACGCGAGCGCCTTCTTGGTTTTGTTAGTAACATAAGTAGCATTTAATCCTTTCCGGCAACTCTTAATCAGTCGAAGGGCCTAGTAACCAGACTAAAACAACAACAGAAATAACTACGATGGAAAGCGAAAATGAAAAATCTCCTCGCAGCCTGAAAATAGACCTTCATCCGTTGTGTCTTTCTATTCCCAATGTTTTAACATTATCCCGGTTACGTTAGCTGTAAGACGGTCTTAAACTCATTTAGTTTTGCAGTCTCTGACTGTCTCGTATATTTTTTATTCCAGGCGCAGCAACTGGAGTGGGTTAAAATCCATTACCCGACTTTGTTTGACGAGATTAAATTATTTGTTGCCAAGGGACAGTTTATCCCTGTGGGTGGAACTTGGGTTGAAATGGTGAGAAATCTCTAGAGTGCTATTAATTGTCAGTGTATGTAGGTAATTTTAAGCCTTTGAGGTAATACCAGATCATTGACAAGACAGTCAATATGTTAGTCAGGTTAATATAATTCTTTGTTGTGCCTATTCCAGGATGGTAATATTCCGAGTGGAGAATCTTTCATTCGCCAGTTTTTAGTTGGACAAGATTTTCACCGGAAAGAATTTGGGAAAGTTTGTCAAGAAGTAGGTTATAATTATACTAACAAAAAAATGAATGTACAGAAAAATGAATAAGTAGATAAATAAATAAATAAATAAATAAATAAATAAATAAATAAATAGATAGATAGATAGATAGATAGATAGATAGATAGATAGATAGAATAAAAAACAAAATGATAAATACATAAATAATGAATCAATAAATACTTTTAGTATGCTATTGGAACACCCGATGAGTAGAGGAAAGGGAGAGCGATGTTACCTGAAAGTTAGCCCTCCTTTACATTCTGATATTCTGGGAAATTTGAGTTTGAAAATACAACTCTCTGGTCAGAGATGACAAGAAAAAAGGCTGATTCGAAGCCTTGTTAGGGCACAGTCGTAGGTTTTTAGGAAAAACCGTACATTCACATTACCTCCTTTTGTGACTGGTATTATTTCACTTTACTTTGTGATTGTTGTTTCTTTTCAGTTCTGGTTACCAGACACATTTGGTTATTCTGCTCAGCTGCCGCAGATTATTCGCGGAGTAGGAATGAAGTACTTTCTAACGATGAAACTGAGCTGGAGTCTGATAAATAAATTCCCTGTAAGAGACCTTTTTTTGTTTTGATTTGTTTTTGTTCTTTCACCAACTGTCCCTTGTTCGTTAGCCAAAGTGAAACTTTCATGTATTTGATATGAGCTCACTTTTTCCGTTCTTGCTTTGTTGTAATTTGTTTTTTTTTTTTTTTTTTTTTTTTTTTTTTCAGTCAGTAGTGTAACTGTATTCATGAGGTGTCTCATATTGATTTCAACAGCTTACTCGTAGATTCCAACTTTAATTTTTTTTATAGTTTCACACGTTCTTTTGGGAGGGAATTGATGGATCAAGGTACGTTGCTATTTATAGCAATGTAGACGAGCAAGAAATGATGATCTTGTTAGGGAAGATGGCAGTTCTCCCTCATCTGCCTGTGGGAGACGTAGTTGCTTAATGGCTACCATGCTGAATTTCGGTGTAAGGTGGAGTTAGGGGGGAGGGGGAGGGATAAGGGGGAGTTAGGGGGAGGGATAAGGGGAGGGATAAGGGGAGGGATAAGGGGGAGGGATAAGGGGAGGGATAAGGGGAGGGATAAGGGGAGGGATAAGGGGGAGGGATAAGGGGGAGGGAGAGGACGTGTACTCAGGTTTTGAACAGCCGCACACCAGAACAGAGCACAGTAGCAATACTCCCAGTCGCGTTATACGACAAAAACTAAGATTACATTTTTTTCGTTCACGACTAACCCCTTAATGTAATGTATCCCTTATTTTCTCCTTAATTTGTTGTGGACTCACTCGGCTGTATGGCTGCGCGAGCTCGTGAGTCCACAATATTTTGACAACTGTGATGACGAATACCGTTGTCAATAAGAGTATAGACCACCCTAAACCGCTGTCGACCTTTTTTTTTTACCTCAACATCGACGTCAAAATTAAATTCCCGATTCATCCATGTTTGAGAGCTGATAAAGGCATTGCGTGGCAAGTTGATGCGAGCCGCGTTCTCTGTACTCTTAGCGACAACGGCAAATTCACCAATCAGATTGCCTCATTACTTCCAATTGTTGTAAAATAACTCGGTGATCTTCAAATCACCAGTATTCTATCTAACTGTCATTTCGTTTCCCTTATGTTTACAGATGTCTTGCACACTTTCCTCCCGCAGACACGTACGAGTCTCGTGCAAACGCTGCTGATGTAAGTCAGTGATGTATACATCTTATTTAAGTTACGTCTTTTGCTCACGCTTCACGTTTACCGCATTATGCGAAGGATTGCTTTAGACTCAGCCGGAGTCCCTTACCACACAATTTTGGATTTTGGCCAAAATTACATCTTTGCCGAGTTAATCATTTACTGTTTGAGCTCCGGTTTGAAGACGAAGCCAAGAGAAAGAATGGATTTTGAATTTACTCCCCCCTCCTTAATAACTAACTGGTTGTCTTCACAGCCGCCTTGTTCTTCCCTTCACGGTCCATCTATTTTAATTTCATTGTAGTGATGATTTCTTCCCAATGCTTTTTGAGAAGATTGCCAGAATCAGATTTGTTTTTGGTGTATGTTTGTTTTTATTAGTTAGAAATGTTTATCTCTATAGTCATAGTGATACGTTTTTCTTTTCATTTCAGGTTTTAAAGACAGTAAGGCAACTGAAAGACAAAGGGCAAACTCACGCCAGTATGCTGTTGTATGGCCATGGAGATGGCGGCGGGGGACCCACGTGAGTGACAGGAATCCACCTGAGCCATACGATTTTGTTTTTACCAGTTTATGAATAATTTTTAAGTCTACGGCTGCAATACTTTTCCTGAGATACGGCATGCAGCAGTCTCTTTAAGAAAATATACCTGGACCTGATCAACGCTAATCCTGGGTTAAATATAAATAAAAATTAGATGTTTTTATGTCTGTTAGATCAGCATTTTACCGAACGTAAAATTTATGCAAATTTGTGTCCTTGCAGTGAGGATATGTTACAAATGTTGAAGAGAATGGAAGATGTAGATGGCTGTCCGAGGTACGAGTTACTATGATTTGTATTTCATGGTTCTTCTGCATAGATTTCAGTCCGTTTAATTCTAGAGTATTACATCGCGCGAGTCATACCCTTACATTATGGAATCACTTTTTTTTCAGGGAAGCGAAGGCGCAAGGCGAGCGCGAGGACGATTAGCCACGCGTTCGAGCTTGTAGTTGTTTGATTGTTCATGATGTGATTTTCGTTGTTAACTGACTCAGGGTGAAGCTGTCAGACCCTCATGAATTCTTCCATTCCCTTGAATCACGTGACGGCGGCAAGCTGTGCACGTGGGTTGGTGAGTTGTACTTGGAACTCCATCAAGGAACATACACCACGCAGGCGCAGGTGAGAACTGATAAAAGAAAAAAAGAAAAGAAACAGACAAACAAACAAACAAACAAACAGTACTAATAGTTTTATTTACATTCATTGCTTTAGATCAAACGAGGAAATCGCCAAAGCGAATTCCTTCTTCATGACGCGGAACTCATGGCAACTCTTTCTTTCATTTTGGGAGGTTACAATGCGGGTTAGTTTTTTTATCCATTTTCTTCTCGATAAATTAATTTATCAACAGATTAACAACAGTCAACTGATAGCAACGAAGGGTTAATGTTGGGATCAGGCTAGGGGTTGATGTACAGTTTCTCAGAAACTGACATTAATTCAAATTAGATTTCAAATCTTTTTTTTTTATACCAAGTTAGGGAAATGTCGAGACTTACACAACCGATAAAACTGGTTGAACGCTTGTTTTTCGATATCTGGTATTTGCAAACCTTTGTATGTACGTTATATCTATATCTAGGTCTGTGATAAATTTCCGTCAATACAACTTTTAATTACTTTTGCGATTGATCAGAGGTCTTGTTTTTCTTCTATTTTTTGCTCTGTTTATCAGAATTTTATCCAGCTGAAGAATTCCTTAGGATCTGGAAACTTATGCTTTTAAATCAATTTCATGACATTTTACCAGGAAGCTGTATCAAAGAGGTAAAAATGTCAACTTCTCGGCGTGTAATTCTTAAGCAAGGGAAGTGAGTGATACAATCTAAGGTCTTTTCGTGTCATTTTGTGTCATTGTCATTTAAGCTCACGCTCCCAAGGTGACTGAAGCGTGTCACCACCACAGGTCCCTATCACATGTCACTGTCGCTGTTACATGCGCTTGTTAGTTGCTGACACGGGTCACTTTCACTTAAAGATCTCTATTGCTTGCCACTGACATTCTCACATAACCTCTTCACCATAACTAACAGATGTCACTGTCGCCATTACTGTGAGATGTGGTGGAAGTCACTTTTGCAACTCTTCATAACGTGTTACTGCTTGTCACTGCTTCATGTCACTTTCAAAATCCGTATCACTGTTGCTGTGCATGCCAATTAGTACTAAGTGTTCCCTACACTGAAAGCACATGAAAATATCAAGCTTCTAAAGAGAGTTTCTTAATGTATAACCCTTTCGCTCTTCGTGTTTAGGCAGCCGACGACGCTCTGGCAAATTATAAAGGTACGTTTCTACTGAAATGAAAACTCGTATTTTATTTAAATGAGCCAAATTGTGGGGCTGCAGTGTTACTAATGTTTAGTTTCACAATGAAAATTTGCAGAAATTCTTAAAAGTACCGCTCGCATTTTCGACGACAGTTGCTCAAAGGTTATATCTCAGGTATGAAATGAACCTTTCACTATCAGATGTGACTAACCATTGTGATGTCTCTTCATCTTGCAATATCAACACACCATTCATCAAAGATGTGATTAAAGGGGTGGATCCAGGAGTTTTATTGATAGGGGTGAAGGGAGGGGGGGGATGGGGGAAATGTAAACTTGAATTCAGAAAACATATAATTTTTTTGTTCACATTCTGTCTTAAATTAGCTAAGAAATATTTCAAGATGAGTGAATTTTAAGTACTTGATATTGAGGAGTAACATGAGATCCTGCCGTTGCACGAATTTTGGTGTCTGACAAGAAATAAAAATCCGATCGATCTGATGGGAAGGGGGATCTGGACACGCCCAGTATCACCTCCTGGGGCAAACATTGCTATCTTGTTATTGCTCCGAAGCCTTTTCAACGTTTACAAAGACATGAATGGCAGCTTAAGGGAGAATTTCGAATCAGATAATGGGATCAAAGAGCACCTTTAGCTGGAAACTATCGGTCAAACCTTTGTATTATCAGTATTGTCTGCAAAATTATTCAATTCTTATATTAACTTCTCTGTTGTGATGAATTTATTTACCCAATGCCCCACTACACACAACAAGAAGGGTAGCCATCGTTATGCGCTCACTCACTTATTCTTCTCGATAAAATACAGTTGAACTCGGGGGAAGAAAATTGCCTGATCAAACCAGTTCTTGTTAACACGTTCAGTTGGCCTCGATCTGAAGTAGTAACCATTCCTAAGGAATTGTGGGAACGCTTATCTGCAAACGAACAGTCGTCCATGAAAACGCAGAGATCAAAGGAAGGAGAAAACCTTGGTGAGAATAACACAATGTGATGCACCCCGGAGGATTAAAGCCCTAGACTACCACGAGAAACAAATCTATTTGATTGAATAGGAAAGTATCAACATAACTCTACAATTTTTTGAATACCGCGGGACCTCATTGGATTTGCTTTCAAGCGTTGAAATAGATCTCTTCTTGCCGCCAAAGGTTTTTTTTTTTAACCAGTTCGGTAATTACATTATCCCTTTGGAATTATTCCTTTCCGTTCCGTTCTTTTATAGGAACTTGGGGAAATGACCAACTAGTCTCTTGTTTTTTCTGTTTTGCACCCCTGAAGAATTCTGTAGCTTGTTTTACTCATCTTGCTTACTATTCATCTTGTTTCAGTATCGGTTTCTGTTTCAAGCACGAGCATATCCAACGCAGTTGAAAAAACGAATGAATTCCATCCAGTTTCTGTATCATTTGACGAGGTTTGGCTAAATTCAGTTTAGAAGTTTTCTATATTGCAGATCCTAGAAGAATGTGTCCTTGTGGTGAACAAAAAGCCCTTTTCAACTTTGTATTGTAAATCTAAAACTGAAGTTGTTACACAGGCCTATCTGAGCAAAAGTAAATATTACCAGGGATCAATGAGATCTCCAGAAAAAACAAACAAACGACCTAAAGCGCAGGAAAACGCGAGTTAACATGTCGAGTCTGGCTGTATTCCTAGTGTGTCCATCTAGCAAAAACGTGCTTAATACTTCAACCCTTAAATGAGTTTTTGACCCCAAAAGCCTGTCTTCTTGTATGAAACCTGACAGATGATGTGAGCTTTCCAGTTTTGATTCAGCACAGCTGCCCGGGTAAAGCTGTCTTGTTCAGATTTTTTAAATTTATATTTCAGACACAGGGATCCGTCACATTGGAAAACACTTTAATTCGAGTTGAATTGGTCCGAGGGGGTCTGGTAAGAAGTCTCGTACACAAGGCGAGTGGCAGGTAAAGGTAGTCGTAAGTGCACTGAAGAGAGTTGCTCGTGTCTTTCATTCATTAAATTTTAACGGTTTACCGGGGAATTTGGCACGAAGTTACAAATAACAGTGACCTCACAAACTTATTTTTTTTCTTCACCGTTTTCAGGGAAGCGATCAGCCCAGGGTATTCTGGAAACCAGTTTGTCCTGTTTGACGATGTTCCATTGTTTTGGGATGCTTGGGATGTGATGCCATATTACTTGGAAACGAGGTTTGTTTAAGAATTAAGAGAAACGAGAAAGAAATGGCCGAATTTTTATTCTACACAAAATTTGATTGTATGCTCTCGCTCTCCATGTTAGTTTACTCTACTTGCTCAATGATCCTTTTATACTCAAATAACTTTAATAATGAACGAGCTAACGACTGAAAAGTGACAGTGGTATGGTGGCTGGAAGAGTAATGTGTTAGTGGGGGAGATGGGGAACGAAGGACAGGCAACCACGTTAAACAGGACTAAATATTATGTTCCGAGTCTCATCCATCGCTTCTAACCACCTCGACTTTTAATAATTACAGTAAAGAATGAGTAAAAGTGTGGTGATTGTTCTCGGAGAAGTTCAGGGAAAGGCTCAGTGTTCACAAAACAGGGCCAAGCAAGTAATTATTCAGCTTTGTCGGAATGGTCCTGACGAGTCTCGCTCTCCTCGATGACGTATCTCAAATGAAAATTTAGTGATAGTGATAATAGTAATGATAATGATAATAATAATACTGATGATAATAATGACAATAAAAATGATGATACATGTTAAAATGATTTATAGTGATAATAATGATATACCTGATAATATAATTTTTTCCAATCGTATTAGGAAACTATTACTTCCAACATCCTCTGAAGACTTCAAGATCTTGGAGGAAGGGCCACTTAGAGTCTCAGTCGAGGTAGATATAATAGTTGTTACTTATTTGCGCTTACTTGCGTTTGTTTCAAAAGGACTTTAGACTACCAAATTAAAATTTTGATTGGCTGACGTTGATATAGACCGCGTTCAATATTGCCTCAGAACATTATGGTTTTCAGTTTGTGGAAGGGAACACAAAAATTTAAACGTAAACGATATTAACTATGAATTAAGGAATATTATGTCGGTGATGCGGAGGAGAAATGAGGTCATAGCATGTGATAGAGCAACCCCTATTTGTGAGGAGGGGCCTGGAGTGAGAAGAGGTCAGTCGAGAAAGCTGTGATATCATAATTGTGGTGCATCTAACAATTTGTTATCGTTAAGCTTTCGACTTCCTACAGCCACGAGCTTTCCTAACATTTCTTTTTTCTTTTATAGTTCTCTATAAGGATCAGTAAGCACAGTTCTTTGAGGCAAACAGTATCTTTGGATGCTGACTTACCATATGTTAAATTCCACACAAAGGTAAATCTCTGGGAAAACTGAGGCATCTGAAGAGATTAAGTGAAGGCCGAGTAAGGTAAAGGAGAGCGGAATGAAGTAAGCGTGATGAAGAGATCATGTTTTCGAAACAGAAAAAAATGTTCGTATTTCATCAGTATGTGTTGAATAAATAACATTTTCTGGCTAGATGAAGTTAAACCCAAAAAAATGCGCGATCGGCGAGACATACTTGGTTCTGTAAAAACAAAACTGACAGACAAGTACAAAAAGACGTGAAAATAGATGATCAGAATTAGTCGATAACCACTGTATGTGCAGCCTCGCACTGTCTTACGGTTTGGTAGCGAAGGGTTTGAGAACACTGAAAAACATAAATATAACATAAATAACTTTGTTCACTTAACTGGTTGACATTGTTTGGTCTATGTTTGATGATGGAGAGATGGAGCAGAAGTTTCTCAACTCTATTTAAAAACTGTCGGAAATGTCTTCCATCATTGCAGGTTGAATGGCACGAGAATCGAAAGTTTCTTAAGGTTGAATTTCCCGTTGATGTTCACTCCATGAACGCTACTTACGAGATTCAGTTCGGCCACTTACAAAGGCCTACGCATTGCAATACTTCATGGGACTGGGCCAAGTATGAGGTAAGCAAATTTGTTTGTCTTACACAGTCTGGCCAAGTGCCGGACCATTCGCCTAAGCTGCGAGTCTATTTGCTAGGAAACAAAACCTTTTGTGAGAACCAATTTAAAATTGGGGTCATTCGACCCTCTGATAATTTTGTTTATACCAATGTACGTTATGAAGGGACGTGTTGATTACAAAATTCGACAAAGTGCTGAGAGACAACTTATGTCGGATCAGTATTCCATCCATGGGAGTTCCAACATCACTAGTCGCTTCTTATTAATGAATAAAGGGGGTAAGTTTCTGAAGAAACTACGGTGCTGCGTCGGTGGGGGAGTTTAACAGGGTAATTGGGTGTTATCAACCGAGTTGATAACGTACATTGGCCACCGTAAAGAGTTTCAAAGCTGATGTTTCGAAAGTTAGCCCGTCGTCAGAGCGAATGGAGGAATTGTGGGTTATCTGTGGGTTTACATGCAGAAAATGGAGCCACGCTATTGGTGGGAATATGGTGACGAGAAAACAATAATAAATTAGTTTAATTCATTCATAATTTATCTCATTAATAAAAAACCGAATCAGGTTGGGCACTGTTAGCCAAAGGGATTTTAAATGCAGACCTATTTTAAAAAATCCATTTACGAAAAAGGAGGCTTGAGTCCAAACTCCGTAGAAAATATGTATTAAACTTGTTGAGTGAACCGCAACATTTTACTGAAACAAAAACTCCGAAACTTCTTAAAATTCCAAACAAAGGAGTAACAAATTCACGCAAACGAAAGCTCAAAAACAACTAAAACTCCGCGAAAACAAACTTAAAGTACGCGAAGAATGTCCACGTCAGGTTTCCAATGTCATGGTCAGAGTACTTTGACGTGATTGGCTGATTTGTGAAATCACGCCGCGCGTGAATACACAAAGAATACAAAGGGAAAGAGGAAGAGTAAAATTGCCACTTGAATTTAAGAACGAAGGAGATTTTCTACACTTATTATTTTTCTAATGTAATTTGTAATGTACATCATTCAGACAACCACAGTACAAAAAAATTTTCGGATATCACGGTGTGCTTTGCAGCTGATTGAGTAACGACTACATATTGATGTTATGAACATTGTGTCAGGTCTGTGGTCACAAGTGGGTGGATTTGTCCGAGCACGACTGGGGCGTGGCACTCATGACTAACTGCAAATATGGCTATTCTACTCATGGGAACGTCATGTACATCTCACTGTAAGTTCACTGTGTTCTCTCGTAACGTGCTTGAAAGTGCCACCCCGACAAAATTCGGTTATTGTTTATGAAATTCTGAGTGATTTTCCATGGTTTCCTCGCGATGCGATGACAATCTAACATTTCTTCCACAGACCAGTTCGAAGTCTGTTTAAAGCTAATCCTGGTTGAACTTCATTCCCAAACTGTATATCACAGTAGCAGTTAAACCATCATTCTGACTGAAATTCGGGCTTCGAAAACTTCAGCTTAGGACTCTTCTTCAATCGATTAAGAGTGCACAAAGGTTTCTCTACTCCCCCTTATTTTCTACGACCTGTTCCCTTAAATGTTCATCTTCTGAGTAACTTTATACAACGATAACTAAAGAAACAGAATTTTTACTATCGTTGACCTTATTTACCAGGCTTCGTGCGCCTAAAGCCCCGGATGAGGAAGCTGATATGGGATCGCATGAGTTCTCTTATGCAGTTTATCCTCATACAGGTATACATCTTTGTTAATTTCGGATCGTGTCAACTTTTTAGACCTTAAAAGGCTGATGAATATTTTAAAATGTCTCTGTCTTGTTCTTTCCATCTTAAGGTACATTTCAAAGCGCTGGTGTTATTCAGCATGCTTACAACTTCAATCAGGCAATCTCCGTTATACCTGGTTCTGTTTGTGAAAGTGAGTGAAAACTTTTTGGATTATTCGTGTTCAAATAAGTGCCTGGAATCCAGTCGTCAAAAACCCTGTTCGATTTAGGGCCGCTAAGACTGCGCGGGAAAATGCGAATGGGGCAAGGTACGATTGTTTTTAGCTTTGCATTTGATTGGTTGAAAGGATGGTGCGAGATTTTTGGACCAATCATGGAGCAAAGTTTAATAAAACCAAAATAATCTTGTATTTCTTTTGCCACTCAATTGAAAATAGCTCTATAGTGCAATATATTAAACCTGTTTGAAAGGGACACTTGCAATACTCCAGCGAGATTTCGCTTAAACAGGTTTTATGGTCAGTGAATTGTGAAAATTGATTGATTATACCGAATACTGATAACTTCCATTTCTTTCCTTATTTCTATCTTCTACACTCTATGACATTTGGTCCTTTTTGTAGGAATTAAGGAAAGGTCCTTCTTTAACGTAGACAATCCAGCCGTGATATTGGAAACAGTGAAAAAGGTAAGGAAGTTGTGCGACGTACTAGAAGAAATTAATGTCCTATCCTGTTGCTTTGTATTTCATTTACGTCGTCTCGTGATCTTAGCTAGAATACCACAAATCGTGGCTTAGTGAAGATTTTTCTTTGGATTCATTCTCCTAATTTTTCAATGAAAAATTGAGGAAGATAGCTTGAATAATATTTGCTGTTCATTGTTTAATGTTGTAACCGTTAGCCTTTGATTTTCACTAAAACTTCAATGTTAAAATTCCTTATGTTGTTAAATAGCAATCCGTTTTAATCCTCTTCTTTCGAACCATCCTCGTTTCGTTCTTCTTTTTCTTTCTCACTTAATTGACTTTCTATCTTAACAATAAAATAATATTTTGAAGTTCCCCTGCCCTCCTCCATTGTAGGTAAATTTGCGTGTCGCAGAAGAACGACACAAAGGACTTTTCATAAGGACCTAAAATTGAACTGTTTTATGACTGAGAAACAGCCTAGGTTAACAGATAAATAAATTTGTTTTGACAGGCAGAATCAATTTCATCAGCAGCGGTTGTTCGACTTTACGAGGCTTTCGGAGGTCGCGCTCGTGCCAGACTCACGACTAGTCTTCCGGTCAAGAGAGTCGTAAAGTAAGTGATAACGAGGTACTGTGGCAACCCACTAGCTTACATCAGAATTTACAGCTAGCCGTTCTTAATGTAAGAATCAATTTGGATTTCCTGTGTTAAAAAAAAAAAGTAAAAACAAAACGAAACGAAAAAAGAGACAAAAAAGACAGATTTTAGAACAGAACAGGCTTGTTGATACATGGTTCCAGAATTTATACAATTTTCAAAGAAGCGCTTTAATCGTAGCAGTGTCGCACATGCGTACGAATTGAATAACGTGTAATCGCTACATTGTTATGTTAACTTTTAGATATTTTATTTAATATTTTCATATTGTTTGATCTTTTAAATTTCGTCAAAGTTGATTATGGCCGGAAAGGCACTGAACTATGCACGATTGTTAGTTTGAAACTGATTAAAACACCTTTTTATCAACCGTACACTTACATTTACCTGGGTAGATTAAGGATGCGGAGTGTCGTAAGAGCAAGTCACTATAGTTTACATAATATGTTCTTTCATTTGCGAGCACTAAAACTGAGACGTCAGAAACTTCAAGATGTCCCAACGACGTCGCCTAAAAAAAGCGTTGATAAAAATTTAATTTCCATTCTCGTGAGAAGCCCGGTACCGATGCCGTTTCCAACGACGTCAGACCTCCCCTTAAGTATATCATATGAAGGTTGCGTTGAGTTTTTAAGCTGAAACGAAATGGGCCACGGGACGCTGATCCTGGGTTTTGCAAAGATGTTTTGCAGAGTACAGCCAGGGAATGTACCAAATTTTAAAACGCACGTGCACAGCTTTTTAAACTCGGTGTTTTCTTCTTCAGGTGGACAATTTAATTATCTTAATACGTTCATTAAGAAGACCATAGCCGGCTTGAAAAGGCGTTGATTGTCTGTTTGATGTTCTATTTTTCGGCTCTTGTGATGAATGTTCACGGTACTTTTCCGAAGAATACATATTTTATATTATGTAAACAGTCAGCCAGTCAGTCAGTTTTGAAAGAATGGGGAACTTCCTAACGATTTTTACACTATACAGGATTGAAACATCAGTATCAATCGAAGGAACAAACTTTTTCACGGTGAAAGAAACTTATCGCTTAATTGTTAATTCATGGAAAGTTTTATCCAGTGACTATTTTCAATAAACGTTGACTGACAGGTGATAACGAAAGAGCAAGTGGATTAAATTTCCAAACTGATTTTAACTGCAAAGTAGCCTCTTTTGCAAATTTACTGGATAGTACTAATTTCATCCGATAAATGAAGAGGGTTCGCGTCTTGTGTTACGGAAAGTCAAAATAGGCAGAATGTAAGCCGTCGTTGCACGAACCTAAACGAATTCACGTTAGGCATCGGCCATCGATGGTTATAATTTTTGCCATGCTGTTTAACTTATTTCAAGCGATTGGTCCATCACTCTTGTTTATCCATTACCTGCCAGCCCGTGTTTTACATTATTGGCAAGATGTTCTTCTCGCTGATGAATGCATTACTGCGAGTTAACGGCAAACGTGCTTGCTTGTACTGATACGTTGGCCTGGCCCGCTTACAGAATCGAGTCTTTTACTTTATCCCTTAGATATTCCGTCAATATGTGTTCTAAAAGTTTTGGCGGTAGTGATTACCTCTTAGATGAAGTGCAAAAATGATAGTTGCTTTTCATGTCAGTCTATATGTAGCGTCTTTGTCGTTAAAACATCATTCGCTCCTGAATAATCTATGGGGTTGCCAAATATTGGTTTTCTCGTGTCTTTGGCCAGTTGATTGGCTGCAGAAAGTTTTTCACTTAAATCTGCGTTCGCATTGCCTTTACAATTTCATGTCTTGCGAGTACAGAATATTTATTTCTTGCATTTACTGAATCAGATTGAAGATCTTCTCGTCATAAGTATTCTCAAAGATTTAGTTATGTTATTATTTCCCACAACATGCTACACGGCGCTGTCTGCTTTTCGTCCAAAAAAAAAATTTGTTTAGTACTAAGAGAACTCTGATACTGGTAATTTTGCCGTATCTTGCTGTTGGCCTCTGGTGCACCTGTCATCTGAAAATTATATTCTTTGAAATTGTTAAAAGTGTATTTAAATACTCTTTTAGGATAGCCGATATCGCTGTAAGTCAGGAATCCGTGTCAAAATTCCACCTCAAATTTCAACCTTTCATCTAGAAAATTCTAAAAAAGAAGTAAATCCATCCGTTTATTTAAGCTGTTTCCCATTTTTGGTTCTCACTCCCCTTCGCGTTCATAAGCTAAAGCTGCAAATCTATTGTATTAGTTTAATTTCCTCTGATTGAGAGCGCCCTAGGGTTTTTTTGCATTGTCAACTTGTAAATTTGTAACCCTGGACATGGCGTGTGAAAAATGAGCGGTAAGGAATCATTTGTTATTCGCCCAACACTCGTTAACACCTGCAGCTCCCGTAGATTTTCAACAATGGCTTTAATTAAAATTCTTGCCAGTAGCAGGAAGAGACGCAATTTGTAATGTATTTTGTTGGCGAGGAACGTCGACGTCTTCAAGTCGCTTAATAATATTTTTCTGGTACATCTGATCTCACACCTTTCTTAAGTTTTGACTCCTTTGCAGGAGATCTGGCGATTTTCCGATCATAATTTTGCACAACGCCACGTTAATAACCAGCGTGGATTGGTAGAACTTGGTAGTTTATTGCATCGAAGGCTATTTTTTAAAGCGATTGATTTACAACGACGTGTTTTAACTGTCGGGAGGCATTAGAAACTGAAATGTGCTATAACTCAACATCTTTCATCAACTCAAGTGACTGTAACGAAACAGTACCTCTTGTAAAAGAACCCTCATTTGGCAAGGTTTATCGACTGGTAACCACTATTCTGTTCAGCGCCATCCTTGTTGCAAGTCTGGCCGGCAACAGCCTGGTTGTTTTTACAATCCTTCGACAGAAAAGCATGAAAACTCCATGTAATTATTTTATCATGAATATTGCTCTCGCAGACCTTGGTGTTGGGCTGATCGCGGCACCCTTACGTATTCTGGAAATATTTACCTCCTGGCCATTTGGAGATTTTATGTGCCGCTTTCTGTGGCCGATCCAAGATGTTTTTGTGTGTGTGTCCGTTCTCACTCATACTACGATTGGCCTAGAGAGATACAGGGCTATCGTCAAACCTTTTAATCCAAAAATATCTTTGTGGAAAACCAGAGTTATCATTACTATTTTATGGTTAGGATGTTACGGCGCCAGCGGAATACCACAAGCCTTTTTATTGGAACTGATCGAAGTTCTGCCAGGCTGGAGAATTTGCTCGCTTCAATGGCCTTCGCTGATGTTCCGTCGCTGTTACATCGCGTATCTAGTCCTTGTTTTTATAATGGTTCCATTGGCTGTTCAAACCTGTTGTTACATTAAGATCATCACTGTTTTAAATAGGAAAAGAGAATTTGGGGCATCTACTCGCATCGTTTCCAAGAACAGCGACGAACATGAGAGACGGAAAAAAAATAAGCGGCGTCTTATTCGGATGTTGCTCACGAGTTTGGTTATCTTTCAATTCTGCTATCTCCCTCGCGGTACTTTGATGGTTATTCTCGAATTCCAGCCAGTTGAAGTTATAAGGAGCAGCCGGACTATCGCCTTTGCAGATTTAATTTGCCTAGTTCTGTACTACTGCAAACATGTTGTAAATCCTGTTATTTTGTTTCTAATGAGCGCTGATTTTCGAAAAGCGTTTGTAGCCAGTATGACGGAGTGTGTCGGAAAGCCTGATCACAGTCTCTTTAGTCAACGGGAAAGCATCGGCCCAGAATCGCTTCAAGAAGCGTCGGTTTAGAACGAGTCGTTGATCGAATATTTTGATTTTGTTTTCTTTCGGTTGAGATAATTTGTAGAAAATCGCGAGAAATTCCCGATGGGAATTAAGGTAAGCGTTTTGACTGGGGCTTGCTCACTGTAAGTTCAGTATTGTTCGAAGAATGAATGTCGCCATGACTGTACTCTGATGTGAAGAAAAGGTCCAGAGGGAATGGCGGCTGAAACTGGCATTTCTAATGATTTCTAGTACAAAAATTGTCTCATGCTTTTATGCGCGAGTACTGCAAGCTCCGTCGCGATGTTTTCGATTCGCGCGAATTTTTTTTACGAACGTTTTAAAAAATTGATGGAGGAGAATTTTTGAAAGTTATTCACAGCTGTCTCGAGTTGTGCCAACCCCCTCGTGCTTGAATATAAAAATAAAGTGTACAACAAAAATATGTGAAGAATAAATTTTTTCGAGAGGTATTCCACTTTTAAGGAAACTAAGCAAATTAAATTGGCCACCAAACATGGAATGAGGCATTCTATAGGGCCTCTTAGATGCTATAATGAAATCCAGGAACAAATTTCTAAAGCAAGTATTTGAATCATTCAATGCCAGTGCCACTTACACTATTGTATTTAATCCGCACGTCTAAAGTGTTTCTCTCTCAATAGAAAAAAGTTTTCTTTTATTTGCAGACAGAACTATGAGACAAAGTTTACGCGTGAAAACATGTTGATAACATATGGAATCTTCTTAATTATAAATCGCTTCATCGAATATTTGCAATTTATTGATAAACACTCCATTATTGTGAATTATAAAAACTATTACAGACTTTATTTGTCTAATTTACGTTGCTTTTGATTCATCTTCTTAGTGCAGTAAAAATTAATAGCCTAATATCAGTATGCATATTCTCCATACTGTTTACTACAATTCTTAATGTGCTGACAAGGAGAATTTGTGTAACAATCTAGAGCTCCTTAAGTTGATGTTCATTTCCTTTATTCTCGTCGATGACGAAGGGGGGTCGTAATAGGAGGATCAGGGTAAATGTTACCGTGACACACCCAAACTCATCCGATCAAGCCTCGCCATGACACAATGACAATAAATTTTTGTTGGTTTTTTTAGAGCGAGGAGGGTTTCGTTTTATCGCCAACCCACTCCAGATTTCTTATTTTTCCTTCCCCAGTTATAACCTACAGGTTTTCTTTTTTTTTTTTTTACCATGTAGATGCAACCTCCTAGAGGTCCCTGATGATGGTGGTGAAGTTCCGTTGTCGCGTGGTCGCGTGGATCTTAGTTTTCGACCATTTGAAATAACAACACTGCTGCTCTTTTTTGAATAAAAGGCCCTCTGTCGTGTAGTTAAGGTAACCCAAGCTGTTCCGGCATTTTTCACTAGGTAGTATTTCAGTTCTTTAGCTTCAGCCACATTTTTGAGACGTTTCCTGGCGCGACGGCACAGTGGAAAAAAGGTGTATAATCCATTAACTGTGCAAATATCGTTGATATTTTAGGCTCTCCCCTAGAGAGTATTTCACACCCTTCAGTTTCGTCTCTAATACCATTTAGTTGGTTTAGAGGTCATGAGAACTTGCCAGTTAAAAGATATTTAAGTTTACTTGCCGCTGGGAGTTTTAGGAGGGGGTCACTCTCGTGAAATTTTTAATTTCCTTTTAATTTTAAATCATTTGCGCTACGGACCTCTTTCATAAATGGCGGGCGTGTACATAAACCCCCCTAACTTGGACGATATGGTTTGAATAAAAAATTTTCTCGCAAAAGCGGGGCCAACAGGGCTAATTTTCACTTTCACAAAAGAATTATAATCCTGCCTATGCTTATGAAAAAGGTCTTTAGGTTCGTCTTTAGCCCAACACGTTCTTTAGCTGAAAATAGATGAGATTAGACATTCTTGTCACTTAGGGATTGTTCTACGTGTATAACATCCCATTCTCTTGCATAAGTTACCTCCAAGGTGAGGCATATGGACGGGAGAAGTGCTAAAGTGCTTCTTTCGGGTATAAGTCGCAACATTTTTTCAAAATTGATATAAGATGTTTAGTGCCGCTCTCGCTAAGCGCTCGTGTCAAAGACATTTGCATAACTCTGAAAATTGACCAAGATCTCCTATTGACCGTTCAAACTTCGTTCTTTTATCTTCTTCGTTGAGAATTTTAGGTTTTCATAACAACTGAATAGAGAATAGATGCCAAGTTGTCCTAAAACGTTGCGTAAATGTGATCGATCGTGATGCTTGCGCGCTTGTGTGACTTACAAAGTAAACAAAGGTGATCGGAAGCGCTTCCTCGATAATTTTCGTTGAAATATCAGGTCATGAACTACGCACAAATTGATGAATTTTTGATGTGCAAACTAAGGTCGAAGAGAAGGGTCTCCTCTGATCACGCTGGTATGAAAAATATTTCAGGTGAAGTTTCCATATTTTGTCTGTGAACTAACTGAATACATCTTGTAACTTGTAACAATTCCGTAAGCCATATTATTACAGTCGCTGCGCGCTGGACAAAATCTGTGTACTTTACATTTTCGATTACTTTCCATACGGGTGGTCTAGCCAAAAATCATTTTTGGCTTGAGGCGACGCAAAAAAAGGGAATTGGAGAACAACTAAACTATTTTTGAAACATGTGTCTTAAACCCTTTTCATAGGCAAAAAATGAAAGAAAACGGAAAGTGGAGAGAACTCCTCTTAGCGAGAGCGGCACTTAGTTTACATACACCCGTTTCTGGCAAAATAGCGATGAAAACATCGTGTGAGAGTTCATACAACATTGAGGTAAATAGGAAGTTTAATACTATGTAAACGGGAAATCTTTTTTTTTTTATCTCTTTTCATTAAACAGACGTTGAGTACCTTATTGTTTTTCTGCGGCCTAATGAAACCCTGGGGTCGAGCTGGAGATTTCTGGTGCTTTGCATTGTCATAGAGCATGTTTTCTTTGTTTTGTTTTGTTTGTCAGGATCACAAAGTGATGAATACCTCGGTGTATTTGCTGTTTTTATTTGTTTTGTATATACATTTGGCTTCTACTCAATGTCGGGTGGATTCGTATCTTAAGACAAATGATCAATGATCAGCACATGGCAGCTGTAATGTAACCTCATGCTTGACCCAATGAATAAGAAGACAACCCGACATATTTTTTTTTTGACCTTGAGTCTTCCAATTGCCGTTGTACGTGCCTTGTAAGGCATTCCTTGTTATTGTTCTCAGCGGGTTTGCCCGCCCTAGCCCTATCTGGGTTTCCTTTCGTGGATGTTATGTCGTGGCAATTACCTTCTAGCTACTTAGTACTAGATCAAATGTCAGCGTAAAAAATCGACATTTGGATTGGATTCGCCCTTAAGGCTCTAATTAGCTCACCAAAGTGAACTTAAGTGGGTTATCCTAACCAACCCTTTTGGAGTTTTTTTTTTTTTTTTTTTTAAAAAGAAAATAACTCTATGTTAGCGTATACAGCGGTATGTTGCTCGCACCAATCAAATCACCGCATTAGGGTATGTATCTCATTCCAATCAGATTGCCGCATTGGTGTATGTATCTCGCATCATTCTTATCACAGCATCTGGATATCTTGCTACAATCACAGCGTTTGGGTATTGTTTTCTTGTAAATGATGTCCTGGATCAGGAGGCTGTGCACAAAGAATGACATTAATCAGAAATTTTGGGCTCATATGTTAAGTGTAATGGTTTGTGGCTTTCGCGAAAGCCTCGTCGACTCAGGTCGAGATTTATCTGGATATGAAAGGTTCGCATTTAAATCTTTTAAGTTAGAACGTATTTTTTCAGTTCCTTTACCCACAAAGTACACACCAAACAACTTAAATTCCATCACCTACCATGAAAACAGCTTTTAAAGTCCAATCAGAACATAATCATTGCACCACATGAACATTAGGCATTTTTTCACGTGCTTGAATTGTATTCCACCAATCAAATTCCGTTTTGCCACATAATACTTCGCTCTATCACGTGTCATTTCCTTGTAAACAACCTGCATTTTATCATGTATTCTAACTGCATTGTCCAACCCCACTGAAAAAAATTCACATGGAGCTAAATGCTACTGATATTGAATTGTCCACGCAACTCTCCCTCGTTTGACTTTTTCTGCCAATTAAGGTCTCTTTAAGTTAGCTTGTACTTAACCCAATTGCGTATTAGTTCCTTCTAATAACAATCTGCATTTTATCACGTATTTCACACTCAGAGGGCAAAGTCCAGATAGGGAAAAACCAATCAAGGAGCCCTCTTTGAAATATTTTTCTCTTGCTCAATGTATCTTCACTTATTAAAGATCGCAATATATCTTTTATTGGGGTCTGTTAGAGGTACAACAGAGTTTCAGTTTGCTTTTCGTAGTAAAATAACGTGAAATTATATTTTTGAGGTAACAAACTGTAGACGAATAATTTTGATTTTCTCTCTGTTGGAGAAACGGCATCAGGCGTAGTCTCTTTTCGCAATGATTATTTGGTCTCGTCACGCAACGCGCTCTCTTTCAAAATAGAGGGCGTTGTGTGACGAGACCAAACGGCTGCGAAGAAGACAACAGTAAGCGTGGCACCGATGCATTTAATTTTTCTGTAGAAATATTTAGGCAATAGAGACAGTAGACCACATAATATCTGTGTGAGTTCAGATAAATTAGGTTTTTTCTGCCCTTCTTCGATATTTTCGTTTTTTGAAACTTGTGCCCTTTTCGATGACAAAAATGAAAACATTAAGTACTCACTGTCCCACCTCAACCCACCCGGCCAAGAAAAAAACTTGCATGCTACGCATGCCTATGTTTACATTTGACTCCGATCCCGCAAAGCTCTGCTTTCCATGGTTACTATCGGTGACATTCCATGGAAGCATTTCTGAATGCTAACAACAAATATGATTGATTAACGAATGGTAACTCCAAACTCACGAACTTCAGTATGGCAGGGGTCAATTAGTTTCCCGCAGGGAAAATGATCACCAATTCTTAGCAGGCTTCGGATAGATTGGGAAAATATTTGGTTTAGGAATTTGAACTCACTATACACAGTCAAAACGGTGATAAATCATATCGGGCTTGATGCGAAATTAAAGCTAATCATAGCTTATCCGATATCGTTTTCGTGGCTATCTTTTTATTTTTTAATTTGATCCTGAGTTAAAACTGTTAGGACTATTTCTAGCTCTTCTGACCTCTCCCCCTCTCTTTCTTGTATAGATTTCGCTCTGAGCACGCAGACAAAATTGCTATTTACTGTTGGGTGAATGCACTAAGTGACCTCAGACCAAAAGATAAAGCCTGACAAGGACTTATCCTTCTAATTAATAAATTTTCTGCTGCTCTTGAGCCAGAACATACAAAGTAAAGACTAAATGACATAAATCCACTCGTAAGCGAGCTGGTTTGGGCTAGATTTTGTGGAATAAACCGCTTTTACTGCTTAGGAACGTCAACACTAAAACCAGCTCGACATGCATCGTTGTCAAGAAACACGAGAGATTACGAGACTTATATTTAAGTTTTGATAGGAATCTTGACCTGTCGATAAGATTCTTGTTTTGCTCCTCCTCTAACTGCAATGCTTTTGCGTAAGTGGTCCCGAAAGTTTGCGCATTCAACATCATTTAACCATTTGCCATCAAAGATTATTTTACAATCGTGTATAATTTAAGGTATTTCCGGGTCTGAACGAATATACCCATGGAGAAACCTTTTGAGGCAAAAAAGAAAAAAAAAAACACCAAGAACCGTGCTAATAAGGTTTTCTAAGTTGTTTATTATTGCGTCAATGAAATAAATCTTGGCACTTGGATCCTCATAGTAAATTGACCACGTAGCCACGTATTTCGAGGTGAGAAGTGTTCCAGCATGTTTAGTTACACTTGACCTTGGCGAATTGTTATATTATAAGGGAGGGGGGGAGTGGTGTCTTGAGTGTGGTTTTAAGAGGGGAGGGAGGCTTAGTATTTGTTTACTATGTGGTTACTAAAAACAGTACAGATTCTGGCGGAAAAGGAAATGAGTTTTGCCATTCTTTTAAGGAAACATTGTCGCAATAGAGGAGACGAACTTAGTTGGGAGGAAAAAGTTTTATATCTGATCTTCAAAAACATGGATAAAAGACCTGGGTGGAAGGTTAGCCAAATTTGCACGACAAATTTTTTTTGAAAGGTAAATCTAAATGAGTTCGTCAGGCAAACTGACGGCCCCCCCCCCCACGCTGGGAAAAATTTATGGAGAAGTGACGGTATTCGTGGCATGTAAAAAAAAAACGTATCATATTTTCTGTTCATGATAAAATGAAAATGAGCTCTTAGAGAATCATAATAATAACACTGGGTGTTTGTTTTTCATATGGTTTACTGCTGCTGGCTGTGGCGAATTATGCCGCCATGTGTCATTAAGCAGAGTATCATATTTGTTTGATGAAATATGCCACCGCTGCAAATCAGCCTAATTGAGTTCACTGGCCATCATTGACTTCTAGATAAAAAGATAATTCAGGATTGAAAACAGTTTAGCCCGAAGAAGGCGATGGCTTCACCCACTTCGACCGTCTTGTGGAATATTTCCTCCCCCTCTCTAGAGAAAACGTCAGCGCAATCATTGCCAACGCCGACAATTGGATTTGACGTGGATTCGTACGAACAAACGTATAACACCGCCTTGGCTATTCTCTTTTCGGGTGTGATCTTTTTTGGGGTCCTGCTCAACTCTATCATTGTCTTTACTGTGTATCGCTGGCCAGAAATGAGGACACCTTGCAATCTCCTCATCGTGAACATAGCTGTGGGCGATCTGGCAGTTGCTTCCTTAGGAGCACCTCTGATGATCATCGAAGCGTTTGTGGGATGGCCGTTTGGAAACTTTCTATGCAGCGTCCTGCTTCCTCTTCTCGAAATGTTTGTTACTGTATCGGTTGTCACGCACACGACTATCGCCCTGGAAAGGTTCCGTGCCATTGTGCGACCCTTAAAAACGCGTTTATCACTTCGAAACACCAAGTTCGTTATCTTCGCGATATGGCCGGCGTGCTACGTAACTTCTGCGCTTCCGATAGCCCCCATTTTAAAGGTTCAAGAGATCGACGGTTTGGATCGGTGTTATCCACAATGGCCATTTGAACTCTATCGCCCGATATACCAAGTATATTTAGTGACATTGTTCATCGCCATTCCCCTTGTCATACAAACTATGGCATACTTTAAGATCATGAAGGCACTACAAAACAGATTGACGCCGATGTGTGCCATCGCGTTAGACCGAAATATACTGTCTCGCGCGATACAATACCAAAAGCGCCGACGTGTTATCAAAACTCTGGCGATTATGGTGTTTGCGTTTCAAGTTTGTTATATTCCTCGAGCGGTGATGCTTATGTTGTATGAGTTTGGCATAAAAAGCGTGGACTGGACCAGCTTCAAATATGCTGATCTTGTGATTCTTATATTCTATTACTTAAAACACGTCTTGAATCCGATCATTCTTTTTGCATCAAGCAGAGACTTTCAACGCTGGAGCTGTCTTCAAATTTTTTGCCGTTGATATCTTTGCATGCGGCAGAAGAGATCATTCTTAAAAGCTCGTGACCTTTTGCACGTGGATGTTTTTAAGACTGACAGAAACTTTTCGTCAACGATTTAATTTTTTTTTATGAATGGTTAAAGGTTACTTCGAAAACTTGACTTAGCGAGCAACACTTGACAAAGAAATGAAACCATTTATTATAATCAAACAGATACTGTTTTTCATCGAAAAAACAATGGTTAAAAACATTTAAAACAACTCGGGATGGTGTTTCCTTAGCTGTTTTGAGCTATATGTGGATTGACATGTTCGATTCGGATGGCCGGATACGATTTGATTCCATGGTTTTTGGTTTCCTTCTCTTTTCCACAAAATGCCTTTTTATGTGGTGGCGATTGCGGTCGAAATTAAGTTGTAAACTAATACCAGAATCAAAGTTTGAACTCTTAAAAGTTAGAAAACTAAAACCCAGAGGTGAAAAAGAATAAATCTGAGATTGTCTGTCTGAATTTAGCGAGGAAGGAAGTTTATGTCAGATGAAAGTCCTATTACATAACGCATTAGACCTTTCAATAACTTCAGTCTTCTGGGCAAACAATTCACTAAATTTTTCCTCCAGATTATCGCAGTCGTCATGCTATGGCGCTCTAATTTGGCTAATCTGTAATTCTGCAATCGTTAAGGGTAACAATAGAGCATGGACAGCGCAATGAGACGCATTTCCTTTGTTCAATATGTTAACACTTTGCAAAGTAGTTTTTTTTTATGATCACATGTATGGCGTTATAGTGCACTTGCAGCAACTTGAATCTCTCAGGGGCTTAACAGTTTCATTCAAAGCTCGTTATAGTCTTAATTCCATTTCTTGTGCGTGGCAGCCCCATGTAAGTGTCCCTGATTGACGCTGAAAACTTAACCCCAGCGAACTTTGCATTCTTTTAGGACTCCGGACTACTTTCTTTATGATCGCCAGGATTATTGCGATATATACCCATGATTTTAGAAACGATTGAACACATTAAGGCGATCACATTATCCCGCTTCTAAATTATTTTATTCCTTTGAACTTTTTGCGCCGTCATGGCTGATTTTCGGCGTTTAGCTCCGGGGGGTCGCAAATCAGTCTGGGATACTTGCAAGATTCAAAGTCTAACTAAATTAAAACTCCTCTGCCCTGAGGCTTTGTAGACAAAACCAAATCGTTTGACATCAATTATTAATAGATAGAATTGCCACAAGAATCTCGAAACAATTCAGCTTTTATGTGAAATGTGTAGAGGACACTGCATTATAATCGGTCAAAGATGACCTAGATTTAGCATAGCCTGTTGTATAGAAGTTAGAAGCGAATTTAGCAAACGAGCATACTGTGTATAATATTATGGTGGTGCTGTTTGTTCGTGCAACTTGCACAATCGACAGACCACCTGCAGGTCTTTCAACTCTATAGACGCTTCCGACTGACGTAAGTGATGTACAGTAGGAATGAACGCGATGAGACTCGATAAACGGTACCCAGACAGCGATCGAGCGAAAGGCATGCGCAAATGGATCAGCTCCAGCTATCCGAGCACCCTGCACATTTCAAAGGTAAATTTAAGAAACAACCGCTGTCGCCCCCCCCCCCCCCCAAAAAAAAAGGGGGGGGTTAAAGGAAACAGAACGAGGGAAAAGACAACTCAAGACTTTTCGAATACAAAGTTTATCAGCTATGGGTTTTCTTTTAATTTCCCATTTTGTATCCGTCTAACATGACAACACACCACCCCAGCTTTCTGCGGTTTTTGCGGAACAAGTAAACAAATTGATTTAGCCTGCTTGACTGTGTCATGCAAGTGACATCCATTAGCAACAAACCACGTGAAAAATCAATTGAAGTGCACCTCTTATCAATGGTGAATCAGCGAGATTAATGGTCACCATTCAAATTTTAGACAACCTGTATTGTAAACAATGTCATTTCTCTTTATTGTTCTGTCTTATCCGCTAATTATCTTCCCACCCCCGCTTTGCAGCGGCTTTCAACAAACAGGTGAGCACTTAATTAATTCACCACAATTTAACGCGAACAAACTTCCTTCAAGCTATTAATTTTTCACTCAAACTTCTTGTCCGACTTCAAACTTCTTTACATACACGAAATTAAATATGGCTTTTGATAATGGCTTTACATAACTTTGAAAATTGTAGAAATCATTTGTCTTTGAACAGTTTGATATAATATATTATACCATGGAGGAATTAAACTTTTTTTTTAAATCAAGTTAATGAAACTTTTCATGTCAATAAAACCATAATTTAGACTAGGAAGCGAGTATTGGTCAATTTCCATAGCGAATGGTTTCATTCGCATTTCGAATTTTGAATAGAATACAATTTTAAATTTTTCTTGTTACTTAATCTTGCTTTTGTCGCTAACACTACGTCGAGAAAGTTTGATTTTAGACTGTTGTCTCTAAAATGTTCACTCCTCTCTCGAGTGGTGGTGTGTCCTCTAGCCGCCTTGTAACAAGTTTTGTCGATTCGGTTTCACTTTCTCTTCGCTCTCTCTTTTTACAACAGCCGAAAATTATTTCGATTCCACTTCTAAAGTCTCCACTCATCGTGAACAAAATCAATGGGTTTATGACGTGTTTGAGATAGTATAGCGCCAAAGCTACAAGATCGATGTAATAAAACGTAGGAGTAATCAGTGAAGGATCAGCGAATTCTCGATACAACATCGTAACTCCTCGCGGAAGGTGACAAATCTGAAAAGCTGTCACCAAAACCAGAAGCATTTTCACCAGCTTTCGCTTCCGTTTCATCCGCGCGACCATTGCTGCGCACGGGGCGCTCGAGTTAAACGGAATCGACGCGCCTGAAGCCGTTGAGATTTTCCGATCTTTTTCGGCTATCTGAAGTATATCACTCTTTTTCCTGAGGGTTCGGATGACGCTCACATAGGCATAACTCTGAATGAGAAGCTGAGCCACGATGAACACCAGCACCAGATAGATTTCATATATTCTGCGATAAAGGTCGGACCAAGCCGGAAGGCAATGCAGAGCTCCCTTAAAGGGCTGCAACTTCAGCGGAATCACCAGAGGCAGTCCGCTGAAGATGTAGCAAGATACCCATATTCCCAAGATGACAAATTTGATCTTCGTCGCTGATAGCCGGGGCTTGAACGGAGTTACAGTGGCTCTATACCTCTCCCAAGCGATTGTTGAATGAGTCACCACCGAAACGCACACCAACACATCTTGAAGTGGGACGATAAGTCTACAAAGTGTATCTCCGAATGGCCATCCCTGAAGGTACAATTCAGCAATTCTTAAGGGAGCAGCTATTAAGGCGACACCTAGGTCCGCCAAAGCGATAGTGCCAATTAAAAAGCCACAAGGATTTCTTAATTGTTTCAATTTTAAAATCGTTCCAAGCACTGACACATTGCCGAGAAAACCAAACGCAAAGATCACAGAAAAGAACGTGATGACCATAATTTTGTACGTTAGAGGGTCGAAGAGTTCACCTTGATGCCCTCGTACACTGCTGTCATTTCCTTGATGCTTCATGGTTCGATTTGGAAGCGAAACTTCGGTGCTGGAGTTTCTTGAAGGCGAGGATGCCATTTATTATTTAAAGGATTAGGTCGCTTCGTTCAAGCTATCAATGACTTCGGCGTATCATTAATTTACGAGCTCGTTTTGTTTTCCAAAAAATCCTGCCATAAGAGAAAAGTAAAATTGGTACTTGTGTCAAACTGAAATATTCATGAGTAATTAAAACTCAAACTCTTCTCCACGAACACAATCTTTAAATGAGGAATTCCTGTTTTTCTTACGGTAATTTTGCCCTCGGTAATATTCAAAATTTCTTCGCCGGAACCCTACCAAGCGAACGTTTTGAAACACAGCAGTAGGAAACATTTATACGCAAGAATATTAATCAGTTTTTGGAGACGCTAGCCTTGGTAATCTTTGTAACGATTAACCATGCTTTAAAAATCGCAATCTGATGTCAATATAGAAAAGAAAATTGAACAGCGGAAAGAACGTTGCAGCGGACAGAAATCGGCTAGCGTCATGTGAAATAAGAAAAAATCAAGCTCGACCCCATAAGGGGTTTTCTGATGCGGAAGAAGTTTCCGGCAGTCTTCAAGACGGACGCTTTTGCGAAACCTGTGCAAAGCTATATTATATGAAAAAATGGTTCATGATCTTCGACCGCTATTTCTTACCTCCTTATAACAAAATTATGTTGTCATAAAAAATTACTAAGGAAAAGATATAAAATCTTTAAAAACCGTTTTTTATCGTTTTTTCGCCGCTGTCTAAATAAACAGCTGCGGTAAAACCCATAAAAGACCGAACCGCTAATATACAAAAAAGCAGACTGACGTCAGGAGCATCATTCGTTTAAATATTTGCACTTTGCCCTAAATCGCATAAAGCTCTAAGAAAAAGAAACTTCCCCCACAATTTCTTTAAAGAGGTTCAATTAAAGTGTTTTGAAATCGTTCTCAAATTTACTTACTTAATATACTTGCGTCGTCTGCGGTTATAATTACGCTAACTTCTGGTAGGCCGTGAAGTTTATCTTTTGGTTTAACACGCAGAAACAAAATCAATTTAAAACGCTTTTTTTTTTCTCCCTCTGTCGTTAGTGAATGCTTTTGCTTAAGTTATCCTACGGTACTAAAAGTTTAAACTACGCCCACCTCACAAGATTTTCCAGTTTGACTATCCGAAACACGTTGCTTCAGAGTTGGTTCATAATCCTCATGAGTGATTGGTGTTTGAAACGCTAAGTTGCCGATGTTACGAGAAACTTAGCCACTGTGTGTTCAATCCACCTGGTTCCATTTCCTCCCCTATTCAGGCTATCTGTTAATCAACAGAAAAGCGGCGAATCAGCATTCTTGGCCTTTATTATTTACCAGAGTCAGTTAAAGGAAATGACGATCGTAAACATGGAAAATTAGCTGCGGTGAGCCAATTCTGAAAGGCATGTTTTGTACGGGCTGCCGTTAGCTGACAAAGGAATAAGTGAGTATGATTTCCGACTAGGGCCTGCAACAATCCGTCTTTTAATTTATGATAAAACTTTTATTTTACAGCTATCCGTCCTCTCTACGCGCTTACATCATGGTTTGTGTTGCGTTTTAAATTTCACTTCAATTCAAACTTTGCTCAACGGAGATAGATAAAATATTATTATTATCACTATCACTATTATACATTCTTTCTCTCCCTTTGGTGGTCACCTGTAATTATGAATTAGTAAAACCATAATTGTATTAAATCAAACAGTTTAAAAATGATTTATCCAACATAAACACGGTGACAACATAGAGCGACCATGGTCAATGCTAATTTCTTTCTTTATTTATTTATTTATGATTTCTTGGCCGCGGCATATTGATTAAGTTTAGTGTGATGAATTGGCCATGCGTCACTCAATAAATTTTCTGCCTTCAAAAAGCCCTTCGCTTCATATTTATTCTCCGTGACGAGTAACTAACTCAGCGACGTTAACAAATAAAAAAAATTTAGTGAAGACAGACATAAATCCGATACCTTAATTTTACAGTGTGTTTCCCAGTTTCCGGTCGTTATACGTTAAGGCCAAAATGTTTCCGCCCATATATTTCTTTGGTTATTTCAATTTCCTCACAGTGGAGTATTCCGAAAGAAATCTGAATATCTCAGTAACCGATGGATAGTTTTGGCAAGCTTTTGGGCAAAGAAACTGCGGAGGACTAAGTAATGTTATCGAGTTGAGGTAAAGTTTTGCTGCTGATATTTATGTGTTTCCTTTCACACCTACGTTACATTATAATGTAAATCGAGAAATTTGGGAGATTTCATTGGTTGACAGTATCATTATTTCAGTGTAATAGCGGTATAACAGCAAGAATGGATGATAGAACAAGGTTTCCATGACAATACTGAACACAATTACGTCTTTGCTTTTGTCTTCAAAAAAATTGCCGGTAAGATTCCGGGAAATCACCGGTGAGGAAATACAAAAGCTCGCCGTAAAAAGCAATAAACAAAAATTCAATCAAAACGAATGAGACGTGAATGGATTTTGGTAAGTCGTGGGCAGAAAGCAAGGGTCTTAACGATGACATTGTCAAATACGAAGTTAAAGAACAGGACGAATCGTCCCTCTCGATTCTGTCCCGAAATTCGCAAAAGCGATTGTAGTTTGCCCATTCAGCGCAACCATACAGCGACTCCAGCCTGCCAAACAGTAGTCCACCACTTTCATGGTCAGGTGACGTTAAATTACGTAGCTGGTGTCGGTGTTTATTAATAGAGCAGCAATTAAAAAGCTTGCTTGTAGCAAACCGAATTTGTGGTTTCGCTTCACCGCTGCAGTTACTACAAAAACCGTGATGTAAAACTTTCTTTCATTAAAATATTTCATGTTATTTGCCTTCATTGGTTTGTACTGTTTTCACAAAAAAAACTGTCCATTTTTTTTGTTCATCGAGTTAAAAAGATTTTTACGGATGCAGACGCCTTTGTTCGTTTTTGTAACCGTAACGAAATAAAATTATCTTGGGCGTTACCGAAAATGTCTTAGAAAATGTCTACTATTAAAAAATAATAGCATGACCTGTATTTTTCAATAACAACGGCTCGTAATATTTCAAAATTGTCAAAAATACCACTCACCGCCTGGCGGCCCGTGGTATTTTGGAAAATTTTTAATATTATTCACGGTGTTATTGCCAAATATCACTACAAGTCATGCTCTAACCTACACTAACACACTCAGTTGGAAATATAAGAGAGGCGGAATGTTAGATTTAAGATGAAAATGCGCAGCGAACCGTTCTCATAGACTAGTTTATCTCTGTTATCTAGTCTAAGAAGAGAGATATTAGCAACAATTAAACTTTGATCTGACAGATAATTTTCCGGTCAATAAAAAGTTCATTGCTCAAAATCTACTTTGGAGAATTTTTATGAACTGATTGCATAATTTCCAAATTAATTTGTGATGTGGTTATATGGAGAAAGAGTGCACAAACAGCGATTACCAAACACGACCCACTTCAGGGATGTTGCTTGTCCCCTCACCCCGCAGAAATGGTTTTGCTTCGAGTGTCTAAAATACGGTCGCTAAATATCTTTGCGAAGAAATAAAGAGAAAATGATTTGAAGTGCATCTGCGAGCTGGCATCCCGATTTTCTTCCCACAGCGGTGATGATGGCCAGAAACTGGACTATACATACAGTTGACCTAAAATTGACTAACGTAGAAAACATTCGTCAAAGAAACATTACTCACAAGAGGCGTGGATAAAGAGGCGTAAATAAAATGAACCGTCTGTTCTCGGAAAATTTGATACTATCTACAAAATGATGGAAAATTATGGTGATTTCAATCTAAAGTAATCGGAAATTGGGCAAATCAAGGATCTTATAATTAAGGATAGTTTAGTGTTATCAACTGAGTTGATAACGTAAATTGGCCACCGTAAAGTGTTTCAAAGCTGATGTTTCGGGCGTTAGCCCTTCGTCCGAGCGAATGGAGGTATTGTGGGTTGTGTGTGTGTTTATATGCAGAAAATGGAGTTAGTGTGGAAACACGAGGACGAGAAACAAGAATAAATTAATTAGTTGAAGGATACCTTGGGAATTATGACTTCCGATTTGAAAGATAATTTTTTGGTCTAGCAACTGCTCTCTCCGTCTGCTCTGAAAAACAGTTCTAGTAGCTCTAGGTTAAGTTGATCTTGGTTTGCTATGCTGTAATTTCTGTTTTTTCACCAGCTGGTACAGTGCTCTGTCGCGCTTTGTAATAAAATTGTCGCACTTTGTAAGACCTGTCGCACTTTGTATGGGTATTAACCGATAATTTCGAGTGCAATTTGGTGTTAATAAACGTGAGTAAATTTTCCAAAGACAATAAAATTGCACAAGCTTGTAGGGGCAAGTGCAATTTGTAGTTTTTGAAAAATTTGCAAGTACTTGTTACATCAAATTGCAAGAGAAATCATGTAAGCACTTGTTAATAATGTACATGAAAAAACATCAAAGAAAGTCAAGACGGACCAAATTTTGAAGCGTGCGCGCGCGATTTGCAGTTTGCACTGTTTTATAACTTTGCACTCGTGTGACATGAGAATGCACTCGTTTTCAGCAAGGATGGTGGCAAGGATTGGCAAGGATGATGGCTAGTATTGGGTCTTCGTGCTCTCCGACCGTCTGGACCAAGTTTATTACAAAGAGTGACATTTTTTGTTTTTTTTGTTTTTTTACAAAGTGGTCTCTACATAGAGCCACAACTTTTTTAGTACAAAGTGCGTGCCGAGAAGCTACGACGAGCATAACAAAGTGAGACGATTATTGCAAAGTGCCACAGAACAAGTCTGCATTTTTATTTCATGTAGATGTCGATACGGCTACAAAAGATAAGAAGAAGACTTGTTTACAACGTCAGTGTTTGCAAATGAAAGCCTCTACTGATCAGGAAGACATCAAAATTTAAATGTTCGATAGTGGGTGTTGAATGTTGTGCACACTCATTCGTATCGAAACAACAGAAATATTGCAGCAACTAATCAACTGAAAAGAGCGTACTTCTTGTTTTCGAGCGTAATTAATCCGTAAACTCAGGTCGAAATAGAACACTGATAACGACTTCATCGTATTTAAATATTCCTCAAAAACCGGATCTTACTTTGCTCTATTTGGCCTTTTCGTGTTTGGAGCGGTAATTTTTAGTTGAGTATTGTATAGATATAGACAATACATTTCGATTAAGTAGATATTTCCACCAATTTATTCGGGTTTAATTTATTTTAAAATCAGTGGTACATATAGTACATAACACCAATTTCTCTAGGCGGTTTTCGAGCGCTTCGTAGAAAGTTAAACTTGGTACAAAAGCGCGCCTATATTTGTCATCTGTGTTTTGTTTGTGGCGGCCTAGGTGCTGAAAACTTTCGTTCCACGATGGCCTCCTCATTGTACAGTTCAAAGCCAGGGGAAAATGGTAAGAACTCAACAATGAATGGAAAAACATACAAAGGCGAATCGCACACCATCTCGCTTCTTATCAAGATCAGTGATTTTTTTAAATGCACTTTTGACGACTTTTTATCATCATCATTCAAGAACTTGGTAGTGCTGCTATGAAAATACTAAGAAGACGTCTAAATATCGCCAATTTTTTGGTTATGATAAGAGATTTATTGAAGTAAAGACTAGTAAAAAAAGGTTCAGGTGAGAATTATTTTCCGAAGTCTCGAAGTCGGTGATGCCCTGATTGTGAACAGCAAAGTGGCAACTCAGGTGAACTGGAATTTCAGAAGTTTTTATAAAATAAATAGTAGCCAAGCTAGCAAAGAGCTACCATTTAGCCGTGATTGATGTTATGTCGTTAATTTGGTGTCGCAATTTTACCGAAACGTTAAGAGATTTTTTTTCTAAAAATATCTCCAAACCCCCCGTTATCAGAATCAAAAAAAGGTTCATTGTAATATATATAAAAAATAAACAGGCATACAAAATACCGTAGAATAAGAAAAAAAACCAACACTAGATTCGTTTTACACCGTTTTTGAGAGGGTGTATGAACGAAGAAAATATATCCAGCCATTTTGCAAACGCAAATGCATACATTCCGATTTTTATTATTTTTCGTACAATTTATTAATTTATTTTCTGGTTGTTTCATTTTGTATTTGCCGATTGCATAGCAGGGATTCTAGTTTCTATATTGGTCACCACTGTGATATTTTTACAATCCAAAGCTGCACCGACAAACCCCGAGGTAAAATTGCACTTTAAGTGATGCAGCTTCAACTGATTGATTACACAACCCCATCACTCTCGGAAAATCACAGAAAAAGCAACTAAAATTAAAATTAATGAAAGATTATGAATGATTATTACTGAGTAACGAAAAAGAACCACGTTGTAATCGGGTTCAGTGCTTTGGGGAAACCTGCAATCAAAGACTTTGGAACAATCTCGGATGGTGGTTAACTGATTTGGCTTTAGACGCGCAACGGTCATTATCACAATCCGTTTTTTTCAATTTTTCCTTTCAGGTGCTTTACATTTCCTTCAAATTATCGGAGAATTTGGTATTAAAGGGTCTCTAGCAGATATGCTTGTCTCCTCTGGTCACCTTTGTAGTGAATATGTTTGTGTCATATAGCACACTGTTTGAAACACAAACCCAAACACCTAATCTTGTCTGTCCTTGTTTTGCCTAATAAATATGCGCATATTTGCAAATTTGTAACTCGCTTAGCGTGCCGTGTCATGCATGACACGCGCGCGTGCCCGTGCGTTAACCTTGGTGCTTTTTTCCCCATGGCGGGTCATTCGGATCACTTCGAATTCTTGTATACTAGTGAAAAAAGGTAAAAGCACGACTACTACTGATACAGAACTGGCTTTAAAACGTGTTTGCAAACAAACAATAGGAAGTAAAACAAAATTGAATCGTTTAAGTTGGGACATTCTTTGCAACTTATCAACCATTTCACATCTATTTTAGGAAATTTAAATTTCTTGGAATGAACAAGAGCCTTTGATCTGTTTTTTTTTTGTTTTGTTTTTTTCGGATTTGAAGTACAAATCTTTCTTAGAATTTTTCTTTTTCCTATATTCCAATTTTGTTTATTCCTAAAGCAATTTCCTGAGTAAGCGTTTTTATCCGATAAGAGAGATTTGGTGGGCACAGGGGGTTAGCGATTCTTTCGTCAGTCACAGTCACAGTCACTGGGAAATAATTGAAAATATACGTGCAATGGTTGAAGAATTAAATGAAAAAATTCATTGATCTAATTCTCTTTGTATTTTGAAGAGAAATAAAAACACCCCAAAAGATCAAGGTCGACAGGTTTCTGCATGATATACGCGCACGTGTGCCAAAATGTTTCATAAAAAAAATTTTCCAATCATTTCGGACGTCCTTACAACATATTCTTTGGTTCTCTAAACTTAACATTCACACATAATATACTGATGACTGAATACCTAATATTTTATGTATATGACGGAACTAAGTAAATTAGTTTTCATGGCTTAGTTTTACCGAGCAGCTTAGCAACGATTCGTTTTAAATTTCGATAAAAAATCATTCAAGTTGAATTTCATCTTTCTTTTTCAGCAACACATCCAAGGGTTTGGGGTCGCAGTTTAAATTCTAAACTTCTGTCATATATGTGAGAGGTAAGGTTTTAAATCCGCTGGCATCGTTTGTTATATTAAATTTTAAACAAGCTGATTACTTTATTGGAAAACAAAATCAAGTGGTTAAAATGACAACCTGCTGGGATTCGCGGCGTAAATGAATAAATGTCTAGTGCATGAAATTTTATTTATGTTCTTTGCGTGATCAAGCTGAAAATTTAATTCAACTGTTTCTGTAATCTATCTCCAACCCTGAAGTGTCAAAGATTTTTAAAGTGGATCGTACGAAATAAGGTACCTAAAACTCATTAAGATTATTTTTGCTGCTATTAACCTTCATTGCATTTGCAGATCACCACTTTTTTTTTTTTTTGCAGTCTCCAAGCTAGTAATAACCTAATGGGCTGCGTTCTTTTTTTCGTTAGCAACGGTGAGATCTCCTCCACGATGGTTCACCCATGTAAACAGCCTTCTGCTTTCAAAACAATGGAAGTCACGGAAAAAGCTTTTAGGCAAATCGCGAAGTAATTGTTCTCCTCACAATAACAATGATCTCACAAAGTAATTATTCCGCCGACGTATTTTCGTTTTCAATTTCATGAACCGGTAGATCTACTGTTTGGAATTTGAAATTATTAAATCCATCCAGCATATTGACATTGATTTTTGAAAAATTTGACGCTCTCTGCGTGCGCCTGATAATGTGCCTAAGATTGTTATTTCGCGTCGGCAAGAAAACAGACTATCGCCGCAAAAACTCGGAAGTCGTTTATCGGAGCATTACAATGAATTTACGCATTTAAAAGATCGATTTCAATCGCTTTCTATTCAATCCTTTGTTGATGAATTGACGACACCGTTGTGAATAGTTTCCGCCACGAAAACGCGAAGCTTTTCGTCTTCGAGCATTGAAGAACAGTGCGATTGAAAGCCCATTTGTTTCAGTGTTTGAAACGCAGAGCGGGACCCCAGCATGGATGTGAATTCGTCTTTACCCGACAGTAACTCGACGACTTCCGAAGACCAGCCAGCAGTATTACCCACAGTACTTTTTTCGTTTGTAATAGCCACTGGTTTTCCAGGGAACTTACTGATCGTGATCGCGATCATCGGTCGCCAGCAGTTAAGAGCCCCATGTTATTCGTTGATCCTCAGCATCGCTGTGGCCGATCTTGGCATGGCTCTCATTGCTGCCCCTCAGCGGATTATTGAGAATTACATCGGTTGGCCTTTTGGAAGTTTCATGTGCAATTTCCTCGCTTCCATTCAAGAACTCTTCGTCAGTGTTTCGGTGATGACACACACAGCCATCGCTTTGGAGAGATACCGCGCAATCGTGCAGCCGTTTAAAGAGCGAATGAGCTGGAAGATGGCAAAGATCACGGTAGCTGTCATTTGGTTAGCCTGCTATATAAGCGCCGCTTTGCCTCAAGCTGTTATGCTTGATCTCTATCAAGAACCCGACGGGAAAGTATACTGCATTCCGGAGTTCCCATCCGATGAAGTCCGCCGCGTGTACGAATTTTACCTCGTAATAGTGTTCATCGCAGTACCTTTATTCATCCAGTCATGGTGTTACGTAAACGTGTTCATGGTTGCCAACCGTGAACTGGACCGACTTACCAAGAAGAACTCGATCAGGAAAGATATCCTTGAACGAAGCAAGAAAAAGATTCGCTTGGTCAAAGTCTTGGTGTCTCTTGTAGCAGTTTTCCAGTGCTGTTCAATTCCTCGAGGTGTGTTGATGCTGATAAGAGAATTTGAAGGCGACGAAGCGATGGAGGAAAACCAGTTTTACTGGTATACCGACGTAATCTCTCTTTTCGCTTATTATATCAAACATATGATAAACCCTGTTATTCTTTGGAGCACAAGCAGCGAGTTTCGATTTTGCTGTTGAAAGTAATCTGTCTTTTTCTCCCGAACTGGGAAAAGATGCATGCCATTTTTGCATTCCTAATTGTGGTGAAAACTAAAAAAAAAAAAAAAAAAACCAACAAAAAAGTCAATCAATCAAAACAAAAATAGAAAACTTTTAAACTCAAACATTCAATTACTCTAGTCTTTGTCACCTTGAGCTGAACAATGCAGCAGAAATAAAGGAAAAAATATTTAGACGCCGCTTGAAGATTTAATGCGGCGCCTACAAATTTTTGCTGTTGTTATGGTTTTTTTTGTTTTCCCAGACGGATTAAGCTGGAATAAGATGGAATTCTTGTAGTTCATCAGTAGGCACTACACACTTTAAAAGCGGTTTGTACAACCTAAACGACAACTCAAAAAAGCCTTGTAATTCGTTCGATTCGTGTTCATTTATCAGTAAAATGATGTAGTTTGTAGTGTTATTTTAAGTTCTCCTCTGACTGCAATGAAGTAGCTGTTATAAGAACCTCATAGGAATAAACGAGGTATTATTGTAATTTATGACAGATCATATTTTAAAGAACAAGGGCAAATTGGGTTGAAATTTCAGCCTTACTACTTGAATTTGCTGAAAGAATAACTGTACTCGCAATGATTGATCAACTAACTAGCATCATTCATTTCTCTGTTAACCAGTCATTCAGTCTGGAAAATTTGAAATTAAACAGTATTTTCGATAGTAATTATCTACATTCTCAATGCCGGTAAGCTCGACAGTTTTGGTAGAATTCGACGGAAAATTTCCATAATGATATCGGGAATCCGCTCTCGCCCTAGTCTACGCTCATCTGTCTCTCATTGCAAACTTCTTTCCTTTATGACCTTGAATGACGTTATAAGAAACTGAGTAGAAACTTAAAAAGTAGTGTTATTGAGCGGAATATTGTCAGGTAATTAAAAAAAAACGCCCTTTGGGTCTATCGCGCAAATATTAATGCGGTGAGGAACACGCAACGATTCCGCTCCGATAAGCATAAATTAACATGCTATAGAAACCTTGCGCAATAAGTGGAGAATGGATTTGCCGTTAAATTCTATCACTGCGAAAAAAGGAAGGTATGATATTGAATCAAATCACGGGTGTTCATAGTTGAATAACCGGAACAATTTTGCATGCAATAAAAAAAATATTTATTTATTGTTTTTATGTTCCTCAAACAAAATGATGAAGATATCCGAACATTTATATTTCAAATTAACTTACGTTGGTATCATCCATAAAAGTGGACCAAGAACGAGGGGAGATGTTACATCGAGAAAGAGCAAGCCTTGCTCACACTTAGTTTGACGTGCAAGATACTTGAAATGTGTTGAAGTGAAAATTTGAGAAATTCTTGTGCTTTATAAAACACCTGCTCTGATATTTGTACATGTAATGTTGTTACTCTCGGGAGCTTTTTTCTTTGAAATCAATCATTCTGGGAACTTTCACGAAGGAGGCAAAGATTTAAATGACCCTTCCGTGTTTTTTCTTCTTTAAATTAATTTCCTTATTATTATTTTACAACTTACAAGGATCATTTTTAGGGCTGATGTAATAAAGAAAGTTTAGTTAGTTAGTTTAGTTAGTTGTTCTTAAATATCTTGACGGTTTATTAGTTTTATGTCAGAGCTGAGGCTACACAGAGAAAAAAAATAATTTAATGGCTACAAAAGTCTCCCCTTTCATTTAACTTTTTGTTGCACGAGATCAATTTCTATTCAGGATAGAAAAAACCTTTCACATCAAAGTGCATTAACGCCTTAATCCTTAAACAGATGGTCAGAATTATTGGTCAAAATGAGCGGCATTCAAAACAAAACAAGATTAATTATCATATCTTTCAATAACAACTACTTCTAAAGACTTTTCAAATATGGTTGTTGTTATTGCCTAATTGGGAGAGAATTATTTTATAATTAGTTATGCAGACTTAGTTTGCGAGAGTCTGTTTGGCGCCTCGTTAATTCCCCATGCAACAAGTAGGTTAGATACTCGACACACCAAAGGACCTGTGCATTATGAAAGCTTTTAACAAGGTATTTAAACTCCCTTCTCAACGGTTGTTGTTTTGATGAGTTAATTACGGTGTACCATTAAGTCAATACTTGAGCTGATTTAAATTACCAACTGTTGTGACAAAAACCTGTTTTATTATTGGGTTTTATTAGCAGTGCTCTTCATCTTATCTTTTTGTCATAGCAAATGATCCTTGGAAGATTTCGTCACTAGTAAAAAACACATAAACTTGTCTAATTGTTCAAGTCCCGTGTTTTCTCAATCAGTTCGAGTTCTCTTATTTGACTTGCACTGTACGATGGTCATAATTATGTCGATGCGAAAACCTTTCGTGAATCCTTTTCTTTCATAAAACTAAATCCAAATTGTTCGATCAAAACTTGAGAGATAGGATTCTCATTTCTTTTAATCTGGCTCACCAAACAAATGAAAAAACAGGCCTAGTTTGTGAAACGAAGCTTTACATTTTATGGATGACAGAGTTCTTGTTATAAAGGTCGCTGAACTGCGTAAATTTACTTATTGTATGGGATGGATATGGCTATTGTGTTGTAACCAAAGCAATGGTTCTAGATCAAGTTTGCGCATTTTTGCAATGTTTTGCATCAAAATTCCTTGCCAAAACGACAACTTGCAATTTGAACTTTTCTTGGAACTATACTCTTCGCTGTTCCGAAGTTTACCGTCGCACAGAAATTTATTTCACCTAGACCAGGACAAAGGTCTTTCGGAGGAAATTGGTCGTAAAGTAATTATAACAGTGTATTTCAGGTAAAGCTAGTTGTATCTTCTGCATCATCGATGGCGTCGATATTCACGTTATTCTCTTCATCTCGTCTTGGTTTGAGCAAAACGTTATAGGTATGTCCTGCGATTTCAAAAAATGCCAAATAATCATAATGATAACGATAATAAACAGCAGTAATGGCAATAATATATCTGAGATACTGTGGACATTCACTGTAATCGGTGCTCTTTACTAAATGGCTTTGCAAAGTCGGGTTTTTTTTTGTAAATAGACTACGTTAATCATAGTTACCGTAAGCTTGGAGAAAGACAAAAAAGGGGAAAGACCGGCTATGAAGTGAAATTGGAGACATTACGGAATCTTGGACATTCCACCGATATTGGCTTCCCACATTCTACATCAACGTTATAAATTACAGCATTCAGGGGTAAGGAAACGATTTGTTTCTGTCAGTTATTTAGGAGCAGTTTTAATATTCTGCGTAAAAACTATGACGGACAGTAAATATGAATTCCTCAACTTCTTGCAATTAATATAGCACTGACCGTGAGGAAACGTGATGACAATCCAGTGGTGCGACTACTACGCTAGTGTTCAGCTCGTCTACATGTTCACATAAAAATCTTCATGGTATTACCAACGGCCTATCCTTCTCCAAGTTTGGGTTCTAGCGCTCTGATTGGCTTTTCGCACCATTTCAAGACTTTTAAGCCAAAGCTGGTCATTTACAAGATTTGTGTCGACTTTTCAGTGACTGAGTTTTCTTTTCTATTCATAGCTCAACTGTTCAGCTCAACTAAAGCCCCCACTTACGCCAAATATACTTGCTTATTACTTAGCGGACATTGTTCGTTTTGAGAAAGGAAAGTTTCCCGGAAAGCGAAGCTCAAGTCAGTGAGCTTCGAGGAGTAAATAATGTCCAAGGACAAATACATAACCACATTTTCGCATCAAATGGAGGCTATTGTGTTCATTATCCTTTAAATATTTTGCAATTAACGCACGGGTAAAAATTTCACTAACACCTTACTCTTTGCTGCGTGGGATGGTAACTTTTCAGACTTAATGAAAAAACAGGTACGACTTAATGAAAAAAGAAACATGTCCCTCTTCTGTAACAAACACAAAATGCTCTCTCGTCTTGCCGACTAGATTTTAAACGAAGACTTATCGTAATGGACGTAACGTTTGAAAATTAGGGAATATCACGTGGAGTACATTCTGGGCTATTCCCCTGTTTTAGCTGAGGAATTTTCGGATACACTATGCGTCTCGACCAGTCGCGCGCGAGCAAAGAAATCTGATGGATTGTAAAACTTGGCATTCCCCAGGTTTAGCTGCGGCATATTTGCATTGGTCATATGACGCGTCAAACCTGAATCCTGCACGTGCGAGAATATATGATAAACTATAATCATGTTTTTCTCAAATGCGATCTAAAATCGCTGCTACTGGCAAATATAATCAACGGATTGAGGACATGCTTCATATAATATAGTATCAATGCAAACACATCCATGTACATGAATACCCGACTATTAGAGAGATCACTAAATTCTCGTATCGTCATCAATATCCCACGCGGAATATAACAAACTTGAAAAACAACAACCAGTATGATGAGGGTCCTAACAAGACTGTTTCTTCGTTTATCGCGAGCCAGGTCGAAGGATCTCTTTTGCCATCGAAGAGTTTCTCGTCGATCATGTGGAATATTTTTCACCTGGTCAGTTTTATGATTGTCATCTTCGAGTGCATCACCTTTGCTTTCCTGAGCCGCGAAACGGAGAAAAATATTTTCGCTTACTTTTTGGCCCATGCAAACATACGCCCAGATTTGAACGCTTATAGGCAAAACAATGAAAACGACAACCAGGTAGACTTGAAAGAATTGACGAAATGTTGTCGACGGAAAGTTGATTACGCAGAACATTTTACCGTTGTACGGTTGTATGCCAGAGATGACTGCAATGGGTAGAGCTGTGGCGAAATAACAGCTAAACCAAGTGACACAAATCACGGCTCTAGTAACAGTCAATGTTATTTTTTTCATCATGGGTTTCACAATTGCTCTGTATCTCTCCAAAGCTATGGTCGTGTGAGTAACAACGGAAACACAAACAAACACATCCTGAAGTGGGGTCAAAAACTTGCACATAAACTCTCCAAAAGGCCAGTGATAATAAATTTCCAAAATGCGCAAAGGCGCTGCTACAAAGGCAACAGCGAGATCGGCAATGGCGATGTTCATAATTAAAAAATTACACGGAGTTCGCATTTCTTTCCAGCGAAGGATCGTTACGATAATCAACAAATTTCCAATGAATCCACCAAAAGATATAAAACTGTACAGAGCCGTTGCAATGGCTAAAAATGGCCCTTGTGGAAACACCATTTCCTGATAACGTGCCATCTGATGAAATACAGCCCCCGAGGATGACTTAAACTTAAGAATCTGTGATTTTCAATTAGTGAGCGTTAATCTACTTTGCTGCACAAATAAGAAAATAACACCTTACTGATCGGAAAAGCTCCAGATTCGTTTAACCATAGCTATTGGTCAGTTTACTTTCTTGAAGTGTTGATTACAAGACCACGACGTCCACGATGGCGATTTTTTGTAATTAAAAAAAAATTACATGGGGTCCGCATTTCTTTCAAGCGAAGAATGTTAAAAGTAATTAAAGAATTTCGAATAAATCCACTGATAGAAATAACACTGTAAAAAGATTATTTCCTTACCAAAGTAACGCCTTCGCGGGAAAAGCTTTTCTTGTTGGCTTTTCATGTGAGGGTGGCCGGACAACCTTAGAAGATGTCTTAACTGATTCAGCAATTGTTATTCCTGCAGCATTAACCTTCCTCGTTGTGTACAACGTAATAACACGTTATCGACCAGGACGGCTATAGATATCATCAATGATCGGCTTACTGCGTTTGAAAAGTGTTAATTAAATGACCAGCGGATAGACACAAAATAATGTTTTTGAATTATTGATCACTGCGGTAAGAAACATTTGAAGCGAAAGAGAAACTTAAGGATAATTTATATGATTGATAACTGTCATAGATTCAGAATTTAAGCTGCCTCGTTTGAAGAACAGGATAATAACACGTTGCCGGTCTGGAAGACTTTAGATTCCTTTCACGATTGACGAGTTTGCTTTGGTAAAGTGTTAATTAAATGAAAAACAGAGAACACAAAGAAAATATAACATTTCTGAATTATTTAACACTTCCGTAAGAAACAAAAAAAAAATCACAAAAAAAACAAATTAGAATTTTAGTGCATTTTCAAAAGGAGGAGTACGGTATTAGTTTTAGAACTTAAGAGGAAAAGAACGTTTTCAAAAATAATTTTAAAACGTGGCCATCTTTTTTTCGGTAAATACGTGCAACAAGAAGCGAAAACTAAGGCTTTCTTCCGCGCTTCTTTCCCGAGACACCTGGGCGCCTTAAGTGTAAAGTGTTTCGCCACCAGTTTTTTGGATCTACTGTAAATAAGCGCTTTGATTTTAGATTCCTAGAAATGACAAGAAATTATTCTAGTGCGACGTACAACAGGATAATTCCATCTTGAGAAATTTATCATTTGCCACAGTTTGTCATTGCCGTCCATTCCAGCCTTATGCATCTTTAACTGTCCACGTTCTCAGTTAGTTTACTCTTTTTCGTCTCTAATATCTGTTTACTTCAGCCAACTGTTATTTTGAGATTTTTTATGTAATTTAAACATCTCTATGACGCTATGATATTGTGACTAAGCTTTTCCCAAGACCTAAATACTGTACAAGGAAATTATCTGCGAATTCTCCGCGAAATCGAATAATATCCACCGGTTTAATATGTATGAATCGAATATATATATGTTTTGTATCACCTCTTATCTGCTATAAAGTTTATTGATATTTGTAGGGAGAAGTTCCTTTATTGCCACTCCTTGGAAGGAAATGTTGAAGAGTCAAACGCCTCTTCACTCGTCCTTATCGACACTACTACAAAATTCAAAATTCAGGAATTGTGGAAACATTAAAAACAGAAAGTATAAGGTGTCATTTTGGCTGAGGTTGGATATTATTTTAAAATGTCGCTGGAGAAACATTTAAAAGTACTGCGGTACGTTTCTCGACTTTGTTCTTGTCATTAAACATGAAAAATTGCTTCAAAACAAGTTTCGCGCTAAAATAAACATGATAATGTATTTTTGAGCAAATTTAATAATCCGAGTATATGCTCAGGAAACATGTATGATTTACATTTGCTAAATTGATTCGCTCCGCCCTGATATTTACCCCAATTTTCAACAGCCAGTCACCAGTTCACACTGTCCGTTGATTTTGTTTTTTCCCACTTGTCTGTTTGGTTTGGGCGCATTCTCTGCAACCTCTCCGTTGGGACAGCGAGTCATTTGAAAAACGCTTATCATTTGTTTTCAACTACGTAAAATGTACGGAAAATAAGCAAACTGGTCATCAGGAAAATAATCTTTTTCTTCGGTAGGAGCTCTCTTGTTAAATCTCGAGATAGCAGGTATTTTTATGTAAAAGTTAAATATTCATAGATTGATAACGCTATGGAAGAAAATTAAACGATAAGAAATATCTACCGCGGAAAAGGAAAAAAATAGCCCCGGAAAATATTCCCCGGCTGTTTTGTTTTCTCGTCTCTTTGATAAATGAAGTTTTACAAAAATTTTAACGTTGTCTAAGTCCCATTGAGTTTCATTGTGTTCCAAAGCAGCAGCTGCAGCTGACTGCTTGTTGTAATTTTAATGGACCGAAGCATGGCTCTCCAATTGCATCTTTTATTTTCTCGTCTTCTCTGTAAAAAAGCAAAACTCCCATGCAGGTTTATTTAAGACTGATGTATTTTCCAATCAGTTTAATTTCATGTTTGTAAACGGCTGTGATATTCGATCGCTTGTTAAGAATTTTTTTTTTCGGAAGGGTTCAAAGAAAGAGAGGCCATCAAACCACGGGAAAAGAAAAGAAAAGAAAAAAAAAAGGCGAAAAATTGAGATTAAGTTTATCTCTTTCTTCAGCGTATTTGTGATAGATCTAGGCTTTTCTTGTTAGCGTCGATATCAATATAACTATAGGATGTTATGGTTTATCATAGTTTATTAATTTTTTAGTTATTAAATATGATTCTGGGCTCACAATTCGAGTCTAATGAGAGAAGGGAGCGGGAGGGGAGGGTGGGGCAGGGAAGGGGAGAGCGGGTGGGGGGCTGCGGGGGAACTAAAAACAAGTTTCATGTAACGATATCCTTCCCTCGACAACTGTTGCAAATTTTGACCCGGTTGACAGATTAAGAACAAAAAACAGAGCTCTTTCTAACCTGATAAATTTTGATACAGACCAGGGTGAGGGAGAGTTAAAAAAAACCCCGGCTTGATTTCTGAACCTTTTCAAGTACTTCACATGTTTCATCCTTTAGGAAACACACTTTTCGTCACCCTTTTCTATACCACGACTTGTAAAATCCTTTCCGTTGATGGGAAAAAGAAACTTTTTCAAACGGAATATCATCTCAATTCGTAAAAGCATGAAATATTTTCGGGGCAGTCAATTTTTACGACTGATCCTTGATCCGCATAAGTTTAACGAGGTCTTTGATGTGAGAAGTACTGGTACAGTGCGCTTTGCCACTAAACAATTATAATATCTGAGAAAATTATACGTCCTTCCTTGATTGTAACACATAAACTCCCAAGGTCTGGATGTTAGACCTCTCCTTTAGCTACTAAACATCTCCTTTTAAAATGGTAACGAGAATTTGGTGTTAGATCAAGATAACAGCTTCAACTGATAAGTTTGACTATTCTCACAACCTGTTTGCTGGTTTATGTACGGATATCATTGGGAGAAGATATATGTTAGTCACTTCTGGGAGTTAAACGGTTAATCATGTTCTGCTTCTTAAACATGAAATAAAAAAAAATTTAGTTAATCCCATCTAAAATTTTAAGACGCAAATAGGAACCAATCTGCAAAACAAACCTCCCGCCAAATTTTCATGCCAAATAAGCAATGGCCCTTCCTTTGTGAAAAGGAACGTTCCCCTCGTTTCGGGTCTATGACAGAAGTGCTCGTTCTTCAACGATGGTAAGTCTTGGCAGTTTTCCTGCAGATTATTTTGCCTTTTTTTGCCATTAATTACCGCCTTCAGACAAGGATTACCAGCCCCTCAATTTTCTTGTTATCGTACGTGCTTGGGTAAAATTTTGTTGAGCTGCGAGGTGTCTCAGTCACCTGTGCTGGTGTTTTAAGCTGTCAGCCGCATTTTGCGAGATATTTATATGGTAGCTCTTGGACACCCTGCAATACATGCTTTGTGTTGATTGGAGACTTCAAAACCTCTTAAGAACCCTACACCACCAAAATATACACTTATCAGATCGTATCTCATGCATTTGCCCACAGACCCTATAGTCCGTATATTTACCGTGAATATATCCTAGATACTGAACGTAGCTATTTTTTCTAGACTGAGTCAGACGATTCTTCAACAACACTTGCCTCAGGGTAAGTAAAACTAAAATATTTTTTTTGCAAAGATTTGCTTGAAAATTTTCTTATTTTCCTTTGCTTAAGTGCTTCCGATTTTTTGGAATCTAAAATTATCGTGAAGGAAATGTTTTTTATACGTTTCTTGTTCTGCTGTTACTTTATTTTTATTTGTATGGATAGTGAAAGATGAAACAGCGGGGAAATAACTAGATAAATCGAGTCTGAGATAACTTGCCTCAACGTAAGCTTTTTTCTTGCATTTTTATTATATCGTTACAATTCAGGGGTCAAAATTATCAACTGGTGAATTCGACAAATGCCAAATCGCTCAAGGTACTTATTCGGACTGTAATGACCTGGCCTAGCAATATCCTTTCCTCATTTGGAATTGTAGCTTCATTTTAAATACCTATTTTTTATTATTATTTTTTTTTATGTTGTCGACGTTTTTGGAACGTCGCGCCTTTTAGCTTTTCCCAAAGTTAATGACTGAAGTTATATTTTTAATTCAAATCAAGTAGAAACTTCAAACAGCGATCGAGGAGCATACGAGAAAAACAAGATTGAAGTTCGTCGCCTTTCAAAACCTTTCATTTGTTTCGCGTGGGTTCTTCTTTGTTTGCGGATAACCTCATTTGCCTGTCAGTCAAAAAAAGTGCAAAGACAACATTGTTTGCCCTGTAAAACATTTACAATGCCTTAAATATTAAAGAATGCTTTATGTGTTTCCAACATGTGACACATGACAAAAGCGGTGAACAATTGATTCGGCTATGGAGCAATAAATTTTATCTTTATTTGGCCAAATTCCGTAAACGCAGGACAAGCACTTATTGCAAGGATTTGTCGAATTTAGTAATTAGCGACGAAACTTTTTTTTTTTCAAGGTTTCTTTACAGATACGTAAAACATGACGATAATTTACTCTTGATGTGGCATTTTTCAGATAGATCTCGTTCTCTTTTTGATTTCGTGTAATGAAATGATAGATTTACAGAAATAGAATGATATATCTTCACACAGACGCTCCGGATACTTCTGCTATCAGTCTACGGAGGTAAATGAATTTGCCGCCTTTCCGGTAGAAATGAAAAAGCTCTTTGCATACTAAATCACGTTAAGACTGAAGTTTGCTCAAAGTTCGTGAAATAGCGAAAAACAATTTAGATTGCAAAATTCTAATGATCATAATTGTTTCTTTTCATTTATCATGAAACGCGAATAAATCCATATGCAGGGACAAAATAATTTAACCTTGTTAGTTTCCAATCAAGGTAATGAAATGATAGCAGTCCGATGATGTACACGAATTTTGACATGGCCTCAAAGTAAGAAACGTAAATAGCTCTTCTTCTTGAGTAGAAATGTAAAGGGATGGCGGAATCTAGAGAGTACAAATCCCATTTTCATAACCTTTTGTTCAGATCTCAATGTTGGATCAAGACATGATGGCCTTATGACCAGTTAAATGGACGGAAATACGTGATACATTGAAGTCCAAAGAATTTTTTACCTAATTTATTTTTTCCTAATTTATTGTGGAAGAGGAGCTCCATGTTCTGCTACATTTTTCTCAGAAAGGTTAAAAAGCGAACATGAGGATAATTTAAATTTTCTACTTTCTGCATGGGAACAAATGGTGGATAACATGTTTGCTGATCAGAACAATAATCCAACGCAAACATGGCGAGGACCATTTTATTCAACGATGCACTGGCTATTCAGTTGAGCTGTGGGTAATTTCTTACGATTTGCAGTATGTATTTCAGGATACGCAGCAGAATAAATTTTCTTTTTTATTAGGAACCAGACTCAATGTCTCTAACAGAGACAAATGTGCCGCTGCACAAAATGGATTGTTTTAAAACACACAACTAGACATTTTTTCAGCCACCGAGACTCAATTTTGATTGATTAAAAGTGTCAAAGATCTAAGGAATAGTTTTAAGCCAATAGAAATAATAATTGAGGTGCGCCACTTTAATTTCGTCTCTTATGTTTTTGACAAGCATTACACTGATCAAATGATTCTCTTTGTGTTGAATGGGCAGGTGGTGATACACAGCTGCAAATACAAGATGCATGGTTGTTAGATAAAGAACTTATATCAGCACATCTTTCTGCTTGTTGGACAGTTCCCTCTGGCGTTAAAAGTCACCGGTTGAGTTCGCTCGACGTACAACCAGAATGCAGGGAGGAAATTTTACGCACCCGCAAAACGTAACTCAATTTGACTCGATATCCAGCTATACAGAACTTGCTCCACCATTGTTCACTGCTATCATAAGTGTGGGTTTAATCGGAAATTTAATGTTGATTTACACCGCGCTCCGTTGGCCAGAAATGAGAACACCGTGTAACTATCTGATCGTCAACAACGCATCTGCTGACCTCTGTGTGGTTCTCATTGGAGCACCTATGCGGATTGTTGAAGTGTACCACGGATGGCCTCTTGGAGAACTAGCCTGCCAGATTCTTGCACCAACTCAAGATGTTTTCGTCGTGGTGTCGGTGCTAACTTACACTTTGATCGCGTGGGAGAGACACAGAGCTGTCTTGACACCGTTCAAACCTAAGCTAACATTGAGAACGATAACAATCGCCTCCGTTTCCATTTGGATTGTCTCATACCTGAGCACAGGACTACCAATTGCATTACATTGCAACTTGCATACTATTCAAGGAACACCACGATGCTTGGCAACGTTTACATCAGACATTACTCGGCAAATCTATGAGTCTTACTTGGTGATCTTTTTCATAATATTGCCACTCCTCCTCCAGACATACGCATATTCTCGTGTAGTTCACTGTCTAAGGCGCAAAGGAGTAGAGAGATCTTTCAGTGGCTCCACGAGAGGAAGCGTTAAAAGAAAGAGCAAAAAACGTAAGCTCATTCGGGTGACAATACTTATGATGATACTATTTCAAGTTTGTTACATACCAAGAGGTGTGTTAATGCTCCTTTACGAATTCGCGCGCGAGCTAACGACCCATCCATTTTTTGGAAGGATCGATCTTTTTTTCATGGCGCTATATTATGCCAAACATGCCATCAACCCGATAATATTGTTCACTGTAAGTACAGATTTTCGCACTCGATTTCCGTGTAGATTAACCAACGTAGGAAAGTGGAATTTTCCTATGTTCAAAAGCGTGTTCTTAACTCGTAAATCAACTCTGAATACTCCCTTCATGGAAGCTGAACAAAAACAGCCTATCAATGTTGAGGCGAAACTTTAACGAAACCATTACAAAGACAAACATTTGAGTTGGGGTCAATTTTAAAACATCAGTGTCTACAATTTTCTTTTTTCTCCTGAGATTTTTGAAAGAAAGCCTAGAGTAGCAATAAATTTTGCACGAGACATCTCCCATTACTTTGTGATATAACCATTGCATTCTGAGAGAAAGCGAAGCGAATTTTTGGCTTGGGAGATTTACATATATCTGTCGAGGTAATTAAAATCTATCCGACATATACAAGTACTAGGATGAAGAATGGACCACAAAAAGTAAACATTAAAACAAAACATAGCGTGTCCAGTGTCAACATATATCTAAGTTCAAGTATGGAGTCGTTTCTGTGAAAACATTCCTCTCCAACACGTATCACTCTTTGACGGAAAATTTCTACTGAAAATGAACCAGAGTTTACGAACTTCCAGCTGGTAAAACACGTGGCAGCAGATTCGTGGGTGGGTGGGGAAAAGTTCTCTCATAGTAAGTTACCTTTCAACGAAGTAAATTTTTGAAATAGCTTCCCCGATCTCGTTGACGAACATGAAACACGCGCGTGTTCGCTGCTGTGATTAATCGTACCATTTCCTTTTACCAACTGGCGATGCAAACACTAACGTAAGAGGGTGAGTGTTCAAAACTAATTTAGAGTGCAGCTGTAGAAAATAACTGGACCTCATGATTATTTCATCGGTTGGTTTAACTGGGGTAAACAAAAGATTACCAGGATTAGCTACAAGCGTTCTCAACACTTTTTAGAAAAATCAGCGTTTAGCTTAATCTTACGGAGGCTTAGCTGTAGATGGTTTCGAGCGCGCGTTTGCAAAACAACGGCAAGGCCTGTTTTAAAGAGGGTAAGTTGTGATAGTTTTACCGCTGTATTTCCTTACAATGCATAGTAAGGAAATGTAAGAACAGACTGAAAGAAATGATGAACATAAGTTATTCATGATGGCTCAGAGTGGTGGTGATCGTAAGCCGAGATTGAAGCATGTGAAACTCCGGGCCCTTTCCTTAATTTTTCTCCAACCACCCAAAATGGTTCACATTCTGACCACCGGCGAGATTCACTTTTGAATTATATCACGTTCCGCGTAGATCGCGCCAAGAGCAGTGGTGCAAACCCTTAATATTATATATTTGAGTTACTATACTATGAAAACACTGATGATTGATCGAGAGCATTCAGTCAATATACAGTAGCGTGTGAAGTTTACATCATAAACCAATATTGGGTTATTATGTCGGGTTCAAAGTCTTTCCAAACCCGGCTTAGGCCTCGTTCGTGTAGTGTTCTCAGACTTTAGCAAACTCAGAGAGAACTGTCCTGTCTGTGTTATCTGTCTCAGCCTCCGACTTTGGCAGATAACTCACACCTCGGCATAAATAATTCATGATATCTTGCTCGACTTCATCTGATAACTGCTTAAAATATATTTACACCCGCTGCAAACAGCTTATCTATCATAACAATTTTATTGAGGTTCAGTAATCTCACACCTCATATCCGACCACAAATCTGGAAAGTCTGCAATAGATAACATTAAATTGACAAAGAATTGATTACAATAGGTGCACTGCAATTTAACTCATCAAACAGAAAGCTTCGAAAAACAAAACTACTAAAACACAAATTACAGTTAAAAGTGCGGTCAAATCACTGATAATGAGTTTTTTCAATGCCTTTAATAGGCTTTTATGCAGGTTCAAGAAAAGTATTAAGCCATTCATCAAAAGGGACTTTAATCAGTCATGACGGCAACGCTATGGATGACGTCGATAAAAAAATGAATTTCAGTTTTTAAGCTAGAATTTCGGAAATGGCCACACGCGTCCCTTACGGCGCCACACTTCAACTTCAGCATACGCAAATAAGCAGCGTTGAGTTCCAAATGGAAATAAAAATAATTTCCCGTCGCGGTTTCCGCACGGAGACGACGCAACATTTGGTGCATTTGGTGTTTTCACGTTGTTGTTTTCAGAGGACGGCTAAGAAATGTACACAGTTTTAAAACGCACGTGCTAAGCTATTTTTCTGCACATTAGATCTTTTGTTTTGCCTGGTCCTCGTTGTCGTCGCCGTTGTGGTTTGCTTAAGGTCCCTGATATATTATCTAATCAACTCCTTTACCCCCAGAAATGATCAACTTGTGTTCCAACTTAGCTGGTAGGGGTTTCTATCATGATCTGACAACAAATTCTCATAACTAATCCATAGGAAAATGTGTAGCAGCTAGAAGGGAGAATTAAAATTCAGATCTTGGGTGTTAGAGTTTCACAAAAGTTGGTGCACGAGTAGGAAGCTGCCACTCTACCATAGTCTTAGTTAACAACTATGTACAAGTTATTTTCGGTGTATTTGAAGTGTGCTCAGAAAAAGTTCACTCGCATAGGTGTCAGAAATCTGTTCACAGCAGGTCACTTTCATTAAAAGTGATAAATATTCGGTTCTGCGAATCATTTTGATCAGTTCAATTCCATTTTTTTAATTAACCCTTTTGCCCGTAATAGCGACTGGCATCTTATGTAAATGTATCGAAAACAGTATGAAGAATACGTTTACTGATATTAGGGTGGAAAGACTGAGATAAAGAACTTAACTTCTAAAAATTCTTCGTGATGACAACTGATGTTAATAAAGCTTCAATGCCTTTCCTTTCAGTTTTTTCTTTAACTGTATTCAGGGAAAACACCCACAAATATCGGGCAAGCGTGCAACATGCTGATTAACAAAACATCAAGTCTGGATTCTGTTGAATTATGATAACTGGATGAAATGGGACAATTTGCTATCGATAGACCGAAAAGGCAAAACATTACGAATTTTACCAATTAAAGCACCCTTCCTAAATATATAAATATTCATTTCTTTCAACATCATTAAGTAATAGTTACAAAAAAAAAATTCAATCATGGCCAAGAGTCTTCGGACACTACACAAACGCAAGGGAAAATAACGCGTCTTTATCAGGTCATTTTCCTCCCCTCCTTCCCCCGGACAATATTGATTTTATCCTCTTTGATCGCTGACAACATTGGTTCTGGAAAGGGAGGGAGTGTAACCATTGTTAGGGCCCTAACAGCGCATAAATATGTATAGGTAATGTATTGAGTACGTACCGAATGGACTCTCGACCAGGATTGTAAATTAAATGAATGAGATGCAATTATATTAACAGCGTTTCGCTTAATTTTTTCTGAAGGAGAGGAAACGAGTGAAGTAATGAAGAGTGTTTAAAAGAGATAACTAAGTCAGGTTTGACGATACACTTCCGGTTCATACCAGTTGGTGCAGATAAAAAGCTTATAGTTTTTCTTTTCGTTTCTTTCTTATTTCTTTCTTTTTTATTTCGCTCCTTTTTCTCAGAAAGTAATCATAAACTGGTGAAATGAAAATCAGCAAAGCTAGAGGTTGAGTTGAACACAGCAATTAAATCAACAGAGGCAGCGATACTTCTGCTCTCTACCTCTCTGAAAAAGAACATTCGCTCAACCGCTGACCTCTCGTTGCATGCTCGTCTTTCCCGTCATCGCTAATTGGTTAAAAACAAGAAAAGTAACTTAGCAACGATCAATCACAGATATAACACAACAATTTACGAAGCAATGTCATAAGTGTGTTTTTTGGGAATATTTTCGGCGCGAATTTAAAAGGAAAACAGGCGACCTTTATTAGACATCTGTTTCTTCCAAATGGAACTAGTTTTTACATGAACTGTGCATTCCTTCCGTGTTGAAGATCACTTCTTTCTTCGTTTTAACAATGCGTTACTTGACTTGCCAACATCTTTTAGCTTGGTCACCTTGTCAGGCTCAAATCTCATGGAGGCTAAGGCATTTGTCATCTCATCCTGAAAAACAGAAAATAGAACTCATTCGTGAATGCAAGACTAGATGCTGTTTAGGTAGACTGATAGTTTCATTGACAACTTGGACACCTATTATTGAATTAGGACACAAGAAAAGGAAGACAGGACTCAAACCACTCTAGTTCCCTCGTTCATCTCCGTTGGGTGATGTTACGCGAAGAACAATCGCCACATCTCAAAATCCTCGTAGATCAAATTTCATCAATTACCAAAATTTACTCTTGTTATTAAGGCTATCGATAACACCAAGAAATTGTAGTGGGGAATTGTCTAACACTACGACTCTATACCACTCCAAATGCATTTCGTACTGGTCATGGCTTTTATGGCTGTCACGCAAAGTTCACCCATGAAGTATTACTATCGGTTGAGATAAAGAACTTCTTCACATGACAAAGAACTCCTTACCTTGACATCTTGCCAGTTTTCTTCCTCTTCTCTCAAAACAGCTGCCGTGTGCAGTGGTGTGGATGGAACCTCTGTGTAAGCCTGTAGAAACAAAAAAAATAAATCTTAAAAATTAAGTGAAATCAGTTGTCTGCAAGTCATTGGAAACTCTCGAGCGTATTTTTAAGAAAAAAAAAACCGAAACGATGACTTCGAAATTACAACTTTACGTCGCTACTCGAGTTGATGAAATGTCTCAGCACTGAAGTATCGTGTACATGAAGGTTTAGCGAAAGCCATCATGCAACTCTAAGTCGCTAGGCAAAAGACGCAAAATTTCCTCTCAGATCAAGTAAGCGTTCTTGCACACTTGCTTTGCCCTTCCTCGCTTAGTTGTAAATAATGGTGTGAGCCGACGAAGTAGGAGGGGAAACAGTCTTAGATCTAGAGATTATAATTTCTTGTCTTAGATGTATTATTGCTGTAAAGAAGTTCACATCATTAATTGATATGCCGGCAGGTTACCCAGGCCCTGGGTGACTCACTTTGAGAGAAAAGGGCACAAAGTCAGAGCAAAACAGACGAGTTTCCATCGCATAAAAGTAGTCTTCTTAACATACCTTAATCCAAGGATTGTTCATAACTTGCTCCACAGTGAACCTGTTCTGCGGATCTGTCCTTAGAAGGCCTCTTATCAATTCCTTAGCTGTTGCAAAAAAATTGTTCACACATTTAAAAAGTAAATAACGACTATGACACATTTATAACGTTAACTTGAATTTCGCGAAAGTTACTAGGAGAGCTCTGACTCCAAGTAGTGTGCTTATTTCGTTTTTCAAATTTAAAACCTTAAAGAATTTTTTTTTATTTATTAAATGGCTTTCCTGATTTGCTTTAAAAAACAGTTTCCCAACCCTATATGTAACAACGTAACATACATTGGACCAGCTTGCAAGCAAGTGCTGATTATATACGCTGCAGAACGCGCGTCTTTTCCGCCCGCGGGAAGTTTTGAGACGCGCCGGGGAGAGTTTTCAGTGCCAGACCCCTAGCAGACCTCTCATTCGCGTTGCTCAAAGACTCATACTTTCCCGCGAAAAAAGAAACGCTCGTGCTCAGTGGTAATAGACCGTAACAGTGAGGGCCTGACTGGAGCGATGATCCTCATAAGGTGGGGAGGGGTGGTTAAGGTGTCTGGTATTCTTGGCTAGTTAAGCATTACGTAACTATACTAAACAGCTATTCTCGAATGTTCTAGTCTTCGATGAGGGCTTTTTAAAAGAAAAGGAAAAACGGGTGAGTAAAACGTTATTCCCATCCATACCTTGTGTAGACACCCTGCTCCACTCTGGGTTAGGGAAGTCATACTGGCCTTGTCTAATCCGCTTCCGCATTCCAGGAGAAATGGCTGCTCCGTGATTGCTATAGAAAGGCGGAAACCCACAAAGGCTACAAATAAACAAAAGACAGACAAACTTAATTAGGCGCAACCTTTCATGTACGTGTACATCAATGGATGTCGCAATATCTCAAACGAAATTAAAAGCATATATTGTGATTCAATTTTATAATAATTCGAAATCTTTTTCCTGTTTCAAACTGTATTAGCATAAGCTATCATATCCAGAGAAAAATTCATCTAAAAAATACTTACAGAATGTACATAATGACTCCCAATGACCACAAATCACACATCTTGTCATAACTCTCTGGGCCTAACACTTCAGGTGCTGAATGTGGTGGACCAAGAAAAGTGAAAATTAGTAGTCGCTAATTGTGCCCTTACTTACATGTAAATTAACAGTATCCCACGTTTTATGTCTGTGACAATACTCAGAAGTTGAAGATGCTCACAGCTATTAAATTTTTCTCCCCCGAGGCAAGGAACTGGCTTCTTGAGACGAGACGAAAGATTTCCATTTAACCGCATACTATTCTCAAGCAAAGCATAAGTCCAAAAGGTTAACTGTCACGTCCACCATTGTTTTCATTAATGAAATAACTGCATAACTGCTTTCACGGTCACGTACAATGAAGCATGGGGTTATACCGAAATCTTTCTCGCGATACTATTGATTTCCCTTCTGAACAGAACGAGTTTAAATTCAATTAATTGGCAAAAAAACAGTGGAAAGGCAGAAAACACGTTCTGTTCGTTTTTGGCCGAAGTGAAGCTACTTCTTAATCTCTCTCACAACATTATTGTTGCTTACCGATAGTAAACTTGGAAAGTCATAAACAGTGCACTGGCTACATGCATATAATTGTACATCAAGTCAAGACTTTGTAAATTATGAAGTGACCGGATTTAAACTTTTAGATGAAAATACTGCCAAGGAACACAAATAATCTATGATATTAACCCTTTCACTCTTAAGATCTTATTAGTAATTCTCCCAACTGGCCTGCCATAAAATTCTTATGATGTTAGTAAGGAGAATTTTGAATTGGATAATAAAAATCCCTTAATTTATATTTTTCTTTTTCTCATCACTTGTCTCCTTGATAAGGACAAATTCCGTCTTGGTCACTCATGGAAGTTCAGTACGAGGATGTTCAGGGCTTTTAGGGATCAAACTTACCAACATAGTAAGGAGTGTAACAAGGAGTTTTAAGATCCAAGCCAGTTGTTGTTTCCTTGGCAAAACCAAAATCTGTCAGCTTGAGCAGAGCATTGTCAGTTCGATCTAAATACAACAAGTTCTCAGGCTGTAAAAAAAAAAAAAAGTATAAATGAAGTGAATTCCAATGGGGTTCAAAGTGTGTTATTCACAATATGCTTTATGTTAAATGTTAGATCAGTACATATTATGGTACACTGTACCTTCAGGTCCCGATGCGCGATGTTAAGTGAGTGAAGATGAGCAATGGCTATGGTGACCTGCCGCACAATGGCAGCTGCCTCTGAAAAAGCAAGTGGGAAACATCTCAATAAATTGTACACTATCAGCACTTTCAACTTACAACAATTTGTAGTTTTAAGAACACTGATGCTGTGACTTATTCTTTCCTGTAGCATGAAATCACCAATAAATCTGCACTTTGTCACACCTACCTCTCTCGGTAAACGGAGAATCGCCCTTCTGTTGAATTCTCTCAAACAGCTCTCCACCAGTCATGCTACAAGAAAACAATTATTCAGTGTGAAAATGCAAATCAGGAGGCTGAGTTGCTCAAATCCTCTCACATCGTATGCATATGTGAAGGCTTATCAAGCAGAGAGCCATCAAACTGTGAATTTTCCTTTCATTTGAGGAACACTGTATTTTAAAATTGCAACAATGTCTCCTTGGGATGACTTTCATACATATGTGTATAATTAGGCCACCGAAATAATTAGCAAAAAATCCAAATAAATTTTAAAAACCTTCAACCTTTGACTTCAATTCAAATTTTCTGATTCAATTTTTCATTTAAGTTTCCAATTCTCAGATAACAAAATAACTTTGCAAAATTGGCTTGATATCATAAAAATTATGGCCCAATTGGGTTAATTAAAAAGACTGTATTTGTTATCTGATGCTTTGCTCAGTAGCCTAATAAGAGAAAGAAGGTTGCCTGCTGTTTTGTAGAAATACACTCATCACATATGTGTGAGTGTCATTTAGTTTTTACCCACTCAGCAAAGGAACTCTAACAATGGTCAACAGTTAAGTCCTCAAATTTGAAAACTGCCACAAAACAAAATAATGATTACCAAAAGTTATACAATACAATACAAATCCTATTCGCCATTCCTAAAAAGAAAGGTGTTTATATCACAAAATTAATAAGTTTACAGTACTTTTTACTTTTTTAAAAACAAATTTTTAATAGATGGCAAGGGGTCCCCCAGAAACCATGAGGCTTATATCAAGGAGGCCTCCTTACTAAAATAAATAAAGAAAGAAAGAAACCTTTATATATAAGCAATATGCATTCAAACCACCAATTAGCATACTAGTATCTATCAATTTAGAAAAAAAACTTTTAGGACATCTTCTAAAAAAAGCAAAAGTTTCAAAGTCTCTAATATCTTAAGGGTTTGGAATTCTTCAATTTTGATCCTTGAAATGAAAAAAATTACCATTCCATGATGACCAGTAAGCAATCACTCCTGGCATATTTGTTTTCATAAACATCCTTGATACCAACAATATAGGGGCATCCTGTTGCCTTCCAATGAAGTTCCACCTCACGCCGAGCTTTTGCATTGTCTTGTAGAACCTTCAAAATATCAAAAGACTAGTTAGAGTTTTGATAAAATGTAGATAATCATGCAGAATTGAAATTTATATCCTCATAACAATTGAACACAGCTTATCCGAGAGTGAATTCTGATAAAAAATTTCAGAACTGGCAACCAAGGTCAAAAAAGGTGTCTATCCAGCAAACAGGTAACAAGAATACGAACTTCTTGTGACAAGCAAACAAGGAAACAGATATTTCATCGCAATAAAGATAATAGGTAATGGCAATAGCACTGAATGGAGAACAATTTGGTTTGTAATGATGAATGATTGACAACCATGAAGCAGGAGTCCCATTTTACTTACCAGCATGTTTACAAACAATTGAATGATACAAAGTCATGTTACCAAATAATCAAAATTATTGAGAAACTATCTAGCCATTGGTTTTTTATTCAACAGTTAACTCTGAGAAATAAGTGACAACAAAAAGCACACACAACATATACTGCCCAAATATGCAGGCATGACACATACACAATCCTTAGCATTGATGGGTGCCAATAAAACAACTGGTTGCTGGAATCATTGTTCATTTCCTGTAATGACTAATCAGTTCATTTTGGTTGTATTCAGAAAACCCAGTGAAAAGTACTGTCATAGTAAAACAGCAGGGAATGACAAGAACAATTATATCAGTTTGTGGAGGTAACCATCTTATAAAGGTGAGTACACAACCACCAGGGCATGAAATTGCGCCTAACACAGGCACCAATACGACTAAATTTTTTACTTTGGCGACCAAATCCTGAAAATTAGTTACCAAATTGGCAACTAGAATGTTTCATCATAACCTTATCTAGAGATATAGTAAATTAAAAAGATTTGCAAAGATAAATCCGCGGCAAACTTCCTCATTAAGTTTGTTTCCAAAACAACACATGCATCTCAATCGATAACTAGATTTAGGATGGATTTAGGTGAGCTTGAACGTTGCATATCATCCATTCTATTGTCAACTTTGTAGCACGTTAACTTAACTTAATTTCTAGAACAATGACAGAGTAAAAAAAGGGTTTGTTTGTCTTTGAAAATGGCGACCAACTTTTTTTGAATTGGCTACCACTTTGAATAATTTAGGAGCCAAGTGGCTATCAGAAAAAAAAAAATCAATTTCACACCCTGCACCACCTTTCCCTGTTCCTGTCTTACGTAAAAAAATCACATCTTACCTATATCATTCAACCAAATGCAGCTGTATTTTGATATTTATACTTCAATATACTTATATCGTATATTTCAATGACTATATAATATCCATCTAATGAGAATATTAAATAGCTTTATACTCATTAACTAGAAGCTACATGAACTTGAGAAAATAGCACAAAGCTTGAGGACCGATGTAGGTCAAGTTAACTTTAAACTAGTTCAAGAGCATACCAGTGTAGATTAAATAAAATGACATCTTGCAAATAATTATAAGAAATTCGGGTAAAATTTTTGCACAGTCCCATACTATTGTAAAACAAATCTGTTTTCCCAATTGCAATCTACTGTTTTTTGACATTGTTTTCTCTATCCAAGAACTGAATGCATAATGTAGTATGGGGCTGTGCGGAAATTTTACCGAAATTTGCACACAAGAATCGCCAGATTCAAATATTTGTAAATTGTGTCAGAGGTTCTGGCCACCCTTCAGGACTTAGTCCCACTCAAAACTGTTAAAAAATGCGACGGATATCATTTTTACGGTGCATGCAATTTTTTGACACTGTGGCACTGTACGTGCATTATGTACAATTACTCTGATCAATCCTATGAAGACTATATTGCTGTTAACAAGGGTTCTGCCTTGTTCTCGAAGATTTCTGAAGTCGCACAATTTTCTAGTTCCAATTCATATGCATGGATAAGGAAAAACAACCCGACAGTGACTTTCGTTACTATATACATTCATGCATGTAAGTGAAAATAATCTGACGGGAAACAACCGAAATATGAAGTTTTTTAACAAGCTGCATGTAATGGAAAGACTACAAGACTTACGTAATCCGAATCGAACAAAGTTCCCGTTCAATGCACCGAAAACGAATTAGCGAAGAAATAAACGATCGGATGCAAAGAAATGGAGAACATACGGTATGTAAAATCAGTTAACCGCATCGCCCACACGATTGATTTTCAACATCACAATTAAGATCGCCTGAGAAAACGTGCATTTTCAATGCTAAGAACAACAAATCCTGACAACGTTGACTCAGTTAATGGTAGTTAATCATGTTAGTTTTACTCACCTTTAAGGCGTATTGTTTTCCTGATTTCTTCTCAAAACACTCTACAACTTTGCCATTAATTCCCACACCTAAAACCCTTTGCGAGAGGTCATAGTCGTTTGTAATGAGAGTGGTCTTCGCTTTAAGTGGCGGAGGTAACTTAAACAACAACTTATTACTCGATGACATGACTTAATGCTTGTAAAAACACTATAAGAGTTCGTACAAGACGATAACTATCGCTATCACTCTAGCTAGCGAGAACGATGAACTAAAATATGCTGAGCCCGTGAAATATTACCAAGCCGCCATGTTTAATTTCGAGCAACAACCTAAAAGACTGGGTCAGAAACACATCTATTTTAGGTGCCGGAAGTTGCATGATATTTCGCAATAGACAGGAAAGTTGAGTAGAACGGTAAGCAAATTTTAAAAAAATTGGCCAACCCACTCAGAAATATCGTTGAATAGATTGGAATAAACGGAACAAATTTCTTTTTGATGAATTGTTGCAGGATTTGTTGTCTTGAGTGAATTTTATTGACCAGAACCGCTTTGGAGGGAAAATATGTCGGCTTTGAAGTTCTGTCTGGCAAATAGCTACACGTCGGACCGCAAAAACATGTAAACACTGCTATTTCCGGTTGCCTCGACCTTTGTTTGGCATGCGTCAATAACTTAAACTTTTCAAGATAAGATTACAGAATATAAAAATGGAAATGTTCAAAAAGATTTTTTTAAGGGTCGTTTATTCAAAGTCCATCGCTAGAATATTGTAACTGAGAAGTTGTCTCTTTACCAAAAGGGAACTTCAAAGCTTGGACCTCGGCCTATAATTCCATTGTATTACAATGGAAAACAAACCTTGAAAAAGGACATCCGCAACTCTGAATAGAAACGTATGGTGCTATTTATATCTACACATTACCATATTTAGGATACAATAATACCCTCGGTCCCTTACCATATTTAAATTTGGCTCTCAGACTCTTAGAGTTCAGGAGACTCTCAGAGGCTACTCAAGGGTAGATTCAGTTATTGATAGCTGAAAGAAACCAATGCTATTAAGCATAACTGACACTATTGCTCGCTGTGGCAGCTCGTGCGAAGCATTTTTTCTGCGAGTGTCTACTTTCACGGTGATTTTGTGTCCCTAACATTTTCCATGTTTTTTGCTCTCTTTTGCACTCTCTATATTCTCCTGTATACTCCGCGGCGTTTCATCGCGCCGTCTCCTCCCACGGCTTTGACCCATCTTTTACTTTCAGCTAAATTCCTATTCTGTTACTGATAGGTACTGTTACTGATAGGTTTCCTAATCCATTTATTTCTGGCTCTGAAAGATCCATTTCCGGCGTGTTCGGGCCCGCAAGCCCTAAGCATTCACTAGTGAATGTGTCGGTTTCCCGACGGGGGTTATTTTCCCAGACACTTAGCAAAGTGTTTTGTTTTTGCGTCAGCCTTTAAGATACTATATTGTATCTTAACTACTGAGGGAACACGACAGACAAGTTTGAAGTTTGAGGGACCCTGAAATGTGATAGGAAAGTGCTCAAATAAAAGATTAACATTTTGCCGAATAGTTCATAATGGCACGCCGGGTCAATTTGCAGGTTAGTTTTATTTTCAAAATTCTGCAATATCTCGAACTGATTTTGGTATAGGCGTTAGGTATAAGGGGTTGTTATTTTTAATGGCGTGTGAAAATTTAGCTTTGAGTGTAAATATAAATATAATGGTCGAAGCTCTTGCGTTTCATAGACTTTATCACTGACTTAGATAATAGCGATCGGCCCTCAAAGTCAGTCAATAAAGGCAAATATCAAATCTGATAGTTGTGGCCGATCTCAAAAGAATTAAAAAGTTAAAACAAATTCACGAATTGTCTTGTTTTTCTATAAAACTTTTTCAGTCAAACAAAGAGTTAACGCTTAATTTTATCTGATCAAACTGGTTTCCTTTTCGAAGCTAAAGATATTAATTGGTAGTACAAAAGAAATTCACCAAAGTAAGAACTGTGCTTTGTGCAATCAATATAAGTGGAAAAAATTAGCATAAAACCTTATCAAATGCAAAGTGTGGTTATGGTATTGGGTACTAGCAGATGCGGTAGGATTCATGTACCCGTTAACGATTAACAAATAGTGCTATCATTGACGGAGACTCGCTCTTCAAGCATTAAGTAAACAATAAATTTCACACGAGAAGTTCAATTCCCAATCAAGATTAAACGTAGGTTAATTTCCGTGTAAGAAGAACATCTTATTATTTGTCCATTTGATCTCTAGATTGGTCCACCAAAAAATTTTGGCCTAAAGCGCCACTAGAAATTTACGGAAACAAGATTATTTGCATACTTACCACCTGCAATCATAGTTGTAACATTAAATATTAAACTCTATACTCACTTTTTGAGCAGTTTTATAATTCTCTGCGTAGGTGTTAATAACAAGTGAAGAAAAACACTATCGTTATATTTTTAAAAAATTCATTCTTTATGTTTCCTTCCTTTTATTTGTCTTCTTGTTAGATCTATTTGGAAAGAAACGAATCGGAGAGCTTTGAGGCGCCTAAGGTAAGTAGGAAGCATGGGTTAGATTTTGGTTTAGTTACTTTTTCTTAATCCTTCAGATTTGCATTGTATGGCAAGTCACCTGTAATACTTATCCACTAGAAATCATCAAGAAACAACTTGGGCGAGGATTAAATCAGTAAGTCGGGCTACATCGGGTTTTATTCATAATTGAATTAAGAGAAAGTAATTGAATTAGAGTTTTGGCGTTTTTTGTAAATTTCAACACCATTTTCACGGCTTTTCTGGTTCGGAGATAATAAAATATAAAGCTTTCCCGGAGCGATCTGGATTGTAGAGTTGGATAAAAAGGATGGAAAACTAAACTCACTCAATTTAAAACCCTGAGAGCATTTGAAAGCTGATAACTGAGCCAATATCAGGGAAATAGAAATTCTTGATAACTGTAAATCTAAAGTGTATTCAATTTAAAATCAAACCGATCTATGATTCTGGTTGACGCTGACTTTAACTTGAAGAATGTCTCTGACAGGCTATTCCCCAAAGCTTCTGCGATCTCATGAGCTAATTTTCACTTGTCAGACTTCTAATACTGGGATTAACCTGAAAACCAAATTTAATACAATGAGCTTGGAAAAAAAACAATAACAATCCTCTTGAAGTAAAAGCCTTTTCGCGAATGCAGGTTATTTTTGAAAGAAGATTATTGTCTAACCATAAATACTCAGATATTCATTTCCTCTCTAAGTTATTTGGAAGCGCTCGATAGCCAGAGAAACCGATTTAGAACTTTTCAGTAGTTTTCCTTCATTTTTCTTGATATTATCATTTGATTGCCTGCAGTAACGCCTTTCAGCAATTTTCCACTTGCGTTATGAATGCAATAGCAGCAATATTTGCAAGAAGAAAGTCATCAGAACAAAGGTGGCGACAAAACAAACTTAATTTACTTGTTTGGAAACCTTTCCTTACTGCTTTTCTTCCCAAAAACACAAATAAACTCCCACACATGTTGAACAAAATCAGAAATTGAACACAAATGGAAGTCGCGCTGACCAAATATCAGATATTACGCAAATTCAACGTGATGCATGCTCAAAATTGTTAAATAAACCTGCTGATTAAATTCTATCCATTTAGTCTTTCGTGTGTATGACCGTGTTGGGTCAAACAGCTTGTAAAGTCAAAAAATTGAATCAGGTGCACGTTAACGCGCTTAGTCGGCATACATTTTAATCAAATTAGCGCTACGTTAGGATAACCATACATGGCCAATGTTATGCTCTTGGACCTGTTGAGCGGACATTCACAGGACTCTCTCTGGAGCCCGCTTCGATCACCGGTGTTCCCTTGTTGTAGAGTTTTTCCACTGGTAATTTTACAAAACGCGATGGTCAAAATTAGAAAATGCTGATCAGTGACAGACGTTTGAATAACTGAGGGATATGCTATGCCTTTAGAAGAAAAAGTACTTAACCATTTATTAAAGTAGCATTGTATCTTATTTTATTACCGATGTAATACCTCAGTGAGTTTTCAACAGCAAAATTAACTGTAAAAGAAGACATGTTTTGAGCGTCAGCAAGAATGTGGGACGCTGTATCATTCAAAACCCTTGTTATCAAAAAGATAAGTATGACCGTTTTAAATCAGATGATTTCAAAATCCCTAAGTCGTTCGGATAAAGAAATGATTTTCAAAATATTTTAACGTGCATAGATAGAATGCGTGTCATGATAATTAGCTTAGAAAATTGACCTTTGTTAAAAGCCGGGTGAAGGTTTACCGAGTGTTAACTCACAGCTTTACTTATTTCAGACATGGCATCTACAGAAGCTTTAAATTCAGGCACTCACTTGATATTTAATCTATCAGAGTCACTCTCCAAAAGAGTAAAACATGCAATCTTCATTTCACTCAAACAGTTATTTTATATTGATTTCCGGTCGACATTTATTCAATACAGTACTGCACATACATGCAACCAGTCAAGCACTTTTACTGTATATCATGAAATGCCGAAAACTTTAAAGGTACCCGTAAAAATATGCGTAATTAACCAAGCGTGAGGTCAAGATAGCTGATGAATATAGGCCGAATTCTCCTTTCGCGATATTATGGACCGAGAAGTCGGTGTTCATTAAGTCGTATTAAAGGAACCGGGCTATGTAGAGCCATCTTGATCGATCAAGCTTGGTTAGTGAAGAATTCTTTTATACAACAAAAAGATGTCGCTTCAATAAGAATCAAGAATGACTTGATAATTTTTCCTTTATTTTGACTGTTCTACCGCTTGTTACGATTCCATCGTCTAACATTGTCCGAAAATTTTAAACTTTGTAAGTCCGCTCCACGCAATTCTTTGTTCAGTACGGGATTAAAGCGGGCAATCTCGAGCGGGCAAGATAGGCCCATATTGCCCGCACAGATAGCCAGTCAGAACACAGGATTCACTTCATATTGCTTATGGGCGCTCTCAGCTTTATTGGTGATGACGCGTGTTTAACTGCATGAACAGCGCAATATCAATCGGACGGATCGGACTAAATTGCTATACAAGGCGAGCACAGGTGAAGGACTCGAGAACACTGATACTGGGATCAGATCATCGCTTCCACTTAGGTACTAATAATTCAAACACTAGTAATATCAGGGTAACAATTTAACATGTAGAAAGATTCATGAATCGGCCTGCTCAGAGTCAGGCCAGGAAGTTTATGCTATTATAGCCTGTGGGTGTTATTAAGGCCATATTTTCTTAGCTCCAACTTACGCTTTCACACAAGATCCAGCCAAATCACACATGTCATGCATTCAACGTTAACACTTTCATTTCGTGATTCAAGCTACCTGGATGTACCGCGACGTGTTCTGTTCTTCATTGTAACGTTTTCAGTGATGCAGTACGCACGTAATTGCATGTCATTAAGAAAAGATTGACTAACATTATCTTTATAGTCTTGCGAAACCAAGTTTTTGTATGAAGCTTAACAACTTAATTGCATTTCTAATTCAACGTAACCTTCCGTTTATCCGTTTCATTTTCCCCACACAATTACAGGTATGTTTTATGGCAACATATAAGTTTCAGTGTCAAATTGCGGTTCTTATGAATATGGAAAAATTTACACTCATTACAAAATATCTCTAGATCTATTCCGCAAGCATTAATGATACGTGGAGTAAGATTATTCTCATTTTGTGCTTAACATTTCAACTCCATCTTAAATTGATAGGCAGACTTTTGTTTCTTAAAATTGCATGAGACATATCAACGGTTGGAAAAATTGTGCATTTATGAAGTTAGACAGTTGATGACGCAAATTGTGCTTTTAACGGTTCGTACGTGGTTATATCACGGGTGAATAACAGACATAGCCCTAAGGGTTATTTGCAGTCTAACTTTAAATAGCAAAGGAGGGTGTTCAAGGCCCCCCCCCCTCCCTCACCCTTGATTTTTCACGATTTTTTTTTTTTTCACTGATACATGAATTATGAGTAATTCGATATAACTGAACTTATATCGGACGAATGTGCTGTGGAAAATAGTAACGCTTGTGACTAACTGTTACTGAGTGGTGAGGGAATAAAATTATTGTGCAGGCATAAATGTTCAAATGGTAAGCGAAAGATGTCATGCTGAAGACTTGACTAAGGTTTTTCCTCAGATCTAACAGTGAGATGCAAAGACTTTGACCCAGTAATTAATTATGCTGACTCAGTGGACGAGATCTTTAGAAGATTTAAAATAGCCGGTAGTCTGATCAAAGAAAGAAATCCAAATTTGTGCTCTTTAAAAATGATTTGTGGTCTCGGATCCTATTTGGGGCAAAACTGGAATGTTTCAAGAGCTTTGTACATTTCCGAGCCACTTGAAATGAAATATGTTAAGTGATGATAATAAAATTACCTTGTTTATATTTAGTGAATGAATATGAGAAGGAACACTTTAGTAAAATCTCATTTCATGCACTCTTGGGGCAAGTTTCCTATTTTTCGATCAATGTTAGCCTGATCTTATATATCAAGGCAAGATACTTTAAAATCATTCCTCCTTATCGGGGTCGATCTTGAATTTTTGTATTGCATCCATGGTGGAAAAAATTTTGTGCTTCAGAGGGCCAGATTTGGATGAACAATACATGATTTTAATACTCTATGAAATAAGACGGTGATGAGAAGGAACGAAAATGCCATCTTTAGGCGGCAGTTTTGGTTCAACACAAATATCTTCGGGCTAAATTTTTACATAGGTAAAGCCGCAGACAGCACGGAGATGTGTTTTGGACATTATCTTGGCACTAAAAGGTTGATAAGGTTTGCAAATAACTTTCCCAAACTTTTAGCCTAAAATAGAAGACTGTTTGTAATGAGATAAAAACGAAAGAGATTTTCTGTTGTTTGGAAAATAGAAATCGAAAAATTCGCAATTTCTTGTTCTTACCAGTATCTCCAAGCATATATAGTTCATTTCTGTCGACATGCAAATAAGCTCCCTACATGCAGCTGGCCTTTGCTGTCGGGATAAACCCAACCAAACTTTATACTTTGAGATTAGGGAACAAAGGCAGAATTTGAGTTACCGTTAAGAGATTTAAGCAAGCGTTCCTTTGAATTTACTTGAAATGTTCTTGCATTGTTTCCGACCGGGTAAACAAAACGTTTTTTATGGGGATTCAGAGACAAAATACACCACGCCTGAGGCTATTTAGGAATTTTACCAGCCAGACTGCGGAGGAGGAATGATATTAAAACGTGAACACCTCGCTGTTAGTTTTGGATATTCAAATTTAAAATCGTCAGCTGTATTGAACTAACTACATGGCCGTCTAGTGACGTTTGGATAACGCGCTGAGCAGACTCTTTCGAGAAGGTTCACCCAATTACTTAATCTTGCAGTGTGGGGACGGAAAAGGTTTGAAGCCGTTGTCACCGCTGGCAGCCTCGAATATATAAAAGTAATGTATACTTTGTAGGTTTTAGAACCAGTCGGAAATTTTACTTTATGAGTAGATTTGCTATTGTCCTCTTAACATCAGTATGTCTTATTGTCCCATGCAGAATTTATATCCGGACAGTCTGATATGTCACTTTGGATATGTTAATTTTAACACAATGTCAACCCAGTTCTCGCTTTTATCAAAATAAGAACAGTTTTCATTAAAGTTCTCAATTCAACTCGAAGAAAAGATCTTTCGGGTATGAAAGTTTCTCCAGGTTTGTGTTCATGTCTTTCTTTTAAAGATATGAACGATTTTTTTAAGATTTATAAATTCAATGAAGTGAACTCGTCTTTTTTGGATACATTCAGCAGCTGCTCGTGCTTGATCAAACTTCATTAAACTGAATGCACATTTTCACCTGGGAAAGTCGGGAATAAACCAGGTAACAAATTACTCTTTTGAAATTCATTCTGTGCCCTAAAATTTAGTTGAGGATAAAAGAGAAGTGAAAATTATGTTGGTGAAAGGTTTCAAATCTTCGCACTCTTCATTCGATATCTGCAAAATAAACAAATAAATATGTACGTGCTAATTTATAAGCGTGATTCGGCTCGATTTGAGAACGGCCCAACTTTTGCTCGATCCTAAAATTAATTCAAGAGATGTTCAGAAATTATATAAACAAAAAATTGTCAGGGAGAATGAAAGATAAAGGAAGGGCAGAAAATGGAACTGAACCAGCTGTAAATATAAAAATTTTCCTTCCGCCTATAAAACAAAAATGTCGTCATCGGACTTTGTAATGTTATTAAAAATACAAATGTGTATACATTAATGACGGTGGCCAGAGAAACCCCTTAGCATTTAACTGAATCTTCTAACCAATCTACCTTAACAAACGCAATAATTTTGATTCTTCGCTCAAAATGCTCCTCTTAAGCTGAAAAAAAATCAAATTCTTTCATGATGGTAAATGTTAATTTTTCCCTTGGTCAAATTGACGTGGCCAAGTAAGCTTGCTGTGTGCGTGTGGGCGGTTATTAAAGAAAGAACAACAGTTTAATTCTGAGCTCACGTTGGAAGCCGAGAAGACACGTATCGTAACCATGCAACTCCTTACAAGATTATAAAAAGGTCCAATGACCCAGTTCACAGCCCAACTAGAGATTTAAACGCAAGATACACTACACTGTAGGAAATTTAAGGAAACATTCTGATCAACCGGTTATCTTATCTGCTATTACAGGTCCTCAATTTGAGGGACGTTAAATTTTTTTTTTTTTTAACAGTTCCGATTTCTCCTCAGGCATTAATAAGGACTGCGTCACAATATAGAGTAGCGTCTAGCTTTGATACAATTTCGCTTCCAAACTACAACTTTACGTACGTGCAGAACAAACGATCTATGAACACCATGGGATAAATTGTGTCTATAATTATCTAACTTAGCTATCTGCCATTTCGTTCCATTAATCGCAGGATGCTCAAAATTAAACTTTTAATTCTTTCGCTTTTAGCAAAAGATGAAAGGGCACAATTAAACTTAGTCTTTATATAAAGTTGTTTGTATTCTTGGCTTTAGTTTTCTCTCACCGTTCTACTCCTCATCATTACTTCTTTCCAGTTGTGAATTTCGTGATCTGTGCCGTAAAAACATCGATGTCATATTTTACCACTTCAAACGGTCATATGTAAGTAAACAACTTGAATCAAGCAAAACAATCATTTTGCACGCCTCCAATTCGCACACTGATGTAAAAAGTAGAAACTCGCCCAGCCCGCTTTTAGGGCGAGCGCTTTACAAAAAGTCGAACTCAGCAAGCGTTTTCTACACCAGTTTTATTTTGGACTCCTTCGCAACCGTACCGAACGAAAAGGTATGAAAAAAAAGGTTTTTAATTCCCATAGCTGGTGCAAGGTAAAGAAAATTCTAAAATGTGGGTCTAACCTTTTAAAACGCATCTCTATTCAATTTTTGATTGAAACAATGTCAGAATGTTAGCTCAGTAACCTGGAGATGTGTAGCGTCTCAAGCAAGTTTGACACGAGGTGAACTATTTCAGCCGGCTGTTTTTTATTTACCGTTTACTGAATTTCTATGAGCTACACGACTTGTTTGCCCACTTACAGCGTGTATTAGTTGACATAAGCTCAGTTGGAGAGATTTGCTCAGGTCGCGTCGTACTTGCCAAGAGCACCATACAGTGTTTACTTTCGTTTCATTTCTCCAGGGTTAACCGAACTGCCGAACTGGACGTGAAATATAGGAGAATGAGCTGAAGGAATCATCGGGAAAACGAGGTTAGCCCATAAAAAGGATGATATTGGAAAAATATATACTATTTAAAGTTTTATAATCAGTTTTAATCAGCTAAAATGCTCGCATGGCCAGTGTTCTCTCTGTCTTGAGCTGTATCTTAGTTAGTTTCTCACTCGGCCCGCTTGAAAAAATTGGCTTCACAACTTGTAATTCGATATCTATTAGAACTGGTGAGTTCATTTCCTCGTGAGCGGAAGGGAAATGTGTCTAGTTCTTCTGAGTTCCCTTTGATAAAGTTTCTAACTTGGCAAAACCATTTGTACCTTGCAATAAGATCATTCATAACTCAGATGTCACTCAGCATCATGCACAGCACGTGTTTGACTGAGAATATGCAGTATTGATTGTTTTGTTTATTTACTGCCTCAACCTTGGCTATTCTTAGACTTTGCTTCCGCGATAATATTTTCGAAGAAATGTTTTCACGACATATACAGGGTTGTTAAAAATTTCGCCTGCGGGGATTAAAATAAGAACTGACAATGGCTCGAGCTGAGTTCAGTACAGCTGTAACAAATAGTATCGAATTGAAGTGGAAACCGCTATTTTCAATTCTAGACCTTTCTAAAATCCTTTTTCAAAAGATTGGTTAATTCCATTCAGAAAAAAAATCATTTTTCAGTAGTCAAGTGTCACGGAATATTCTGACTTCTGCGGTACTTTAATGAACGCTGTCAAACACGACCGTGCTCTGCTGCTTGCCAAAAAGATTTATTGCAGCAAATTTGCGGGTTCCTTCATTAGGAGAACCTGTTTAATGATTAATAGTTCAAAAGAATCGATGACCACGAAACCCATCGGCAGATAATGGTCTAATTCATGTATAAGAAACCGTAAAGACTTATTATCTTACACGTACAGACAAAGCCTGGCTATTAATAGCGTTCTGAAAAAATAAAAAAAGGTCCGACTCTAAGGAGCCTTAGCAGTTAGCAGGATTTCTTTTCCAATTGAAACTGTGAAAAGAATCATAACGACGTGGGAATTAAAAAGATCCTCTTAGGTTATAGAGTTATGCATTATTTATAGTTGAAGCTTTGTCTAAATGAAGCCATGTTTGCAGTCAACTAATTTCAGTCTGGTCGCTCTTCATGTAAGCTAGTGCTTCTATCACATAATAACACAATGGAGAAGATTTCAGTCCACGGTTGACGGCTTTAGCATTTTCTCAAACATTCCCAAGGTAAAACTTTTATACCGATATGATTTCTTTCAAGTTAGCCAGATTTTAGTTGTTTGTAGTCGAATACTTTCCTTGAACGAGAAAGCCGACTGAAAAAAGTTGCGGGATTTAAGTATGTTGCAGTCTGTTTTATCTCTCCTTCTCCCTTCCACGGTCGTAGGAGCGAGAAAAGGAAGCCAGGAGAGATGTCAGTCTCTCTCGACCAAAGGTCTTGCTTCACGTGAAAAGGAAAACAGACCGTTGTGACAGCATTGTTTGAAAAGGACAAATATTTGCATCAGAAGCACGCACGTGATGCATCCCGGGGTAGCTAGGCAGTCGAACAAAATCGAAAAGATAATTTGTAAGTCAGAAGAAATTAAATTCAAAACATGGATTTCATCATTTCAAACGAGCTGAGTATTTAAATATCATCGAACGTAATTGGGCTCTCGATCAACCCTTCGATTTCCGAACTCTCGCTTGGTAATATGTGTTAGGTAATGAACCTCGTTTGATTTTCAGAAAAGGCTGTCCTTGGAGATATGTACGTAATCTTCATTTAACGCGATAATCTGATTTGGCTGCTCCTAGACTAACAGGAGTACGGCTACACCCCTCCGGCCCAAGGGCTGCAGGCAAAGTTAAGTTGTCTGTAGAAGTGCAAAGTTAAGTTAATACAAGGCGATTTTGACATGGAAACAGACGAAAATTTTGAAGCGTGAACCAGCTCCAGAATAGAAGGTGACTCAATGAAGTCATGAAGACAAGGAAGTTATTTAATAAATGTTTCTGGGAGTTTCCGTTCGAGGCTAAGTTCATCAGCTTTTGTTGCAAAATTAACAGATTCAATGAAATGTTCAGAAGTATCTAAATACCGATGAGAAAATTGCTTTTATTGTTACGTGCACCTGCTTTTTTGGGCTTGATAACAGTGGACATCAATTTTAGCTGTTCGATTGAATTCGATTTTCGTTTGATTAGTTTTGGTTTAATAATCGAACTCTCAGGAAAAAAGGAGCTGTTGGAATTTGTTTGAGCATCGAATTCTATCGAACACAACATGATGGATTGTGTTTAGTAGTAAGTTCGATTCTTTGGTATCCCGCAACTCGCAGAAAACAGTCGCTCGATTCTGTTCCATTAATGGGTTTGTAAGATCCAAGCACCAGTTCATTAACACCTTTAGCTTCCTCATGTAGTTACCACTGAAAGAAATACATTTTGGGGGTTTTTTCTGTAGCATGCGAAACTCTTTGGGGGAAACAGCCTGGTCAAACGCAACTTCAGTATCATCAACAACTCTTCTTGATCTTTAGGGCAGAAATTTGAATAAAGGAGTTTTAAAAATTCTCAGTTGGAGATAAAGGGAGTTCAATCATACTCGATCCGTGGTTTGAGTTGCATCATGTCAATAAAGTTTAATTGCCATGATTACTGAAAGTTCGATTGCCCTCCCCAAACAAATTCTGTGCATTGTTCACGATATCCACGGTAGTTAGTCGGTAGTGGATGTAAAAACACTTCAATACGCAATATATAGCTATTACAGTAAAGAAGATCGCAAAAGTGCATGGGTTTTTTTTGTTTTCTGTCTTGTTTTCGGCAAAAGGTGGAAAAAATTTTATGCTAACTCTAATTCATTTTAGGTTTTTGATCAAAACATTTTACAATTTACTGTAATTTCATATTACTGTAATGACTCTTTACTTATCTAATTTTTTTTATTCACAAACAGTACAGCATGGTCCTTATTCTTTCTTTATTCTGTGATGGTGTTGTTGAAAGTGGTAATACTTTAATGCCTTTGTACTTACTTCGATTCCGACATAATTTCCGCGTGAGAAGAGATTAACAGGCCATAATTGTTAGCTTGTCGTAATAGAAGTAATTCTGCGGGGGCTGCTTTGTTTAAATTACAGCTTTTATATTTTCTCAGATCCAATATATATCGTCAAAGAAATCTGTGCCTTTTCAAATAAAATGTCAAAAAGTGTGCAAGATAAACCCAAAGATTGCTGTTTTTTTGTCCACTTGTCATGTTGTTAAAAGACCATTCATCAGGTTTTCGAGATAAGTGATTTGTTATGCAAGTTTACTCGTACGAGTTGGATCGGAGATAGCCATAAGGGTTTTTTATGCTTTAAGGCAGATAATCGAACTTTTTAAATCAATTGACTGAAACTTCGTTGGTCAAATCACTCAGTTGAGCTTGATCTAAGAAAGAATTATTTACCGCTGAGAAAAAACAAGGTTGGTAAAGAACATCTGTTTCATTGTAGATGATGGATGTAGCTTCTGCATTAGCTTAGGAGCCAAGGCTAGTAGGGAAATCTTCTATAGGCCATTTTCGCCAAATACAGATTTGCTTTCATGCATTTCATACATCTTCCTACAGGAAGTAAAGCAAGGTTCAAGGTAGAAACCAGCGCCACCTTATTCCAAACGCCTCCTTGTACGATTTGTAGGGATGACCAAGGATTTAATAAACAGTTCAACACCAGACTCTTCTAATACAAATAATACCTCGACGGTTCAGGAAAACATGGGTTCACTTGGATTCTATGGTACAGACGAATATAGCGCCATTATTGTGGCACTTCTTACCGTTGTAATAGTGTTTGGTGTTTTGGGAAATTTAGCCGTTATTGGAACGCTATTCCAACGCCAGCGTAACCTAAAGACCTCTAGTAACTACTTGATCATAAATATCGCCATTTCCGATCTCTTAGTTGCTGTCATTGTAGCTCCACTTCGCTTTGTAGAAATGTACCATGGCTGGCCGCTCGGGAATTTCTTGTGTCATTTCTTAGCGCCTCTGCAAGACATGATTGTATGCGTTTCTGTAGTCACACACACCTTCATTGCGCTGGAACGATACCGTGGAATAGTCCAGCCATTTAAAGAAAAGCTCACCATTCAGCGAACAAAGCAAGTTATTGGAATCATTTGGCTAACCTGCTACATTGCAAGTGGGCTTCCTGTGGCTTTTGTGGTGAAGGAAAGCGTCGAGCATGGACGCCAAGTTTGCAATGTTTCGTGGCCATCGGATCTTTCTCGTCAACTTTTTATACTTTACCTAGTCATCATATTTGTCTTCATACCCTTGGTCATCCAGACGTATGCCTATTCACAAATCGTTAAAGTAGTTAACTTAGAAATTACGGCTGTCAGGAAAGACGAGTTCGTGGAAATTCGCGCAGTTAAACTTGCGCAAAGCAGAGCTCGCGTGCTTAAAACGTTAATCCTGCTTGTTTGTGCATTCTACATATGTTCCATTCCTCGTGTATTTACCATGCTATTGTGGGAATTCGGCGGTGGCCTGAAAGAGAACCTCGATTTCCATTACGCCATCACAATAACTCTGATTGTGTATTACCTTAAACACGTGATCAACCCATTCATCATCTTTGGTACGAGTGCAGAGTTCCGCTATAATTGTGGCTACATGTGTTGTCCACCAAGTGAGTAGGCGGGTAGGTATTCAGCACACGAGCCACACCTACCTTATTATTCAGTCGACTGAACGGGCTGAGTTAATTTTTTTCGAAATCGTATTCATTATATCTTTGACAATACGGGGACGACCATTTTTTATCGCGGGGTGGGGGCGGTGGGAGGGTTTTGTTGTGTCGCATTAAAACTACCTCATCTCTTCCGATGCCCAGTAGTATTCTAGTAATCCCCCTTATTGGCGGTCAATGTTCTACATTTCCCCCTTTAAACTTTGCTAACTACGACTGATCCCACTCCGTCCCCCTAAAAACCATGCGATCCTCCTCCGATCCCACCCCCCCCCCCGCCCCACACACAAGTGATAGATAATGACCGGGCCCCAACGATGGTGAGTCAATCGTAATATCATGAAACAAGAACATCTTTGAAAAATAATATCTCGCTTTTCTGCTGAGATAGAACCTTCGTTATGATGACGACTCTCAACCGACGTCCAGCTCCTTACTGGAACCGTGAAGCCACAACGTCTTTTATCATCACACATGTTATGTTTTTTACAGGAGCTGATTAACGGATATGAATTTGTCTTTGGCAGGTTTGTCACATTCACCACGACCAAAACTAGCGAGTAGCAACTGATGAAAACCTGCTGAACTTTGCTTTCACTTCTGGAACTACATTTCAGCGATAGACCAGTGGAGCCGGATATGCTCGTAGCGTCCAAGAAATGAATGAAGGACTCATGACGGTTTCACGTTTGTGAGAAAAGCAGACTGAACTTAATTTCTGTTAACTCTTGCGTTTCCAATCAGCACATTCACTATTTATTTAGTTATTGGGAGTTTCCAAAACGTTAGAATCAGGCCTTGATAACAAGATTTAGTTCGGAATCATGCATTTATTGTAGGAGCAGGCAACAAACTCATTTATTGAGCAGCTGAGATAATTAGCAATATTCAAATATATCTGAAGGATACATTGTATCAGATAGGGCCATAGCTTAATTTAACGTTGAAGAAAAAAAAAACGCTTTCTCTGAAGAAAAATCGTCAATTTTTAACATCCCAGTCTTAAAATATGATAAATGTCAATAGCTCTAGATCGAAAGCGTATCTACACGGCCATTACCGTACAACGTACAACAGCTTATTAAAGTATCTCGTATAGCTGCTGATTATTTCAAGCTTTCTCACTAGAATAGACACCTGTCCTAAATCAGGAGTCCCAAAATTGAGAGCCCGGAGAGCTGCCATATATATCTGAGGTTGGAGTAGTTTAACACAGCGGTCAAACGTCAGTCATGCGCGAGGCAATTAACGTTAGCCGGCCCACTATTTGGCTTGTGTGATTAATTGTAAACTGTGTGAGACAACTTGGTTGTCTTCACGTCACCTTGTCATCACAACGCCCGTACTTGCACAGACGTTTGACTGTTTTTGTGGGATAGTTTGGGAAGCTCCATCTTCCCCTTTAAAAAAAAAAAAGAAAAAACCCGATAAGTGACAACCAAACGTGACCAAACCTGTAGAGCCAGACATGAAGTAGTCGTTTTCATTCTATGTCTGCTAGTTTCACAATCTAGACGAACACTACTTTTTCTCTTTTTCCTTCGAGCACATCTGGCGAGCTGCTGTCACATAAGTTACTCATTTCTTTTTCTTCAAATATCTCGCTGTTGCGTGACACTTGAGTTCGAGAGTTCTTAGACATATATCGCGACATGCTTGAAGCAAAGTCCGACTCATTTCTGCAAAGTCTCCGGGGGAAGCAGTTTTTTCGAAACTCAGTACTCATCGCAAATAAAATAAATGGGTTTAAAACGTGTTTGATATAAAATATGAGAATTGTTGAGACGTTGCCAATCATCATACCATCCCTGTTTGCTTCCTTGTAGGATGCACTAGCGAACTCATAAACTAGCATGAAGATTCCCCGCGGAATAAAACAGACTTGAAAGACAGCCACTAAAATGACCAGCATTTTAACTAAATGTGCCTTCTTTCGGATCTGATTTCTTCGTTGTTCCACAGTTCCACTTCGTGTAATAGTTTGCGTAGAAGCGTCCTCTTTCTTCATGGTTGCAACAATTTTAATGTAAGTGACAGTTTGCATTATGAGAGGTACCAGTATGAAAGCTGTGACGAGGAACACTTCATAAACTTGGCGACCATGGATCGAGGGCCAAAAGGCTTTGCAATATTTTTTACCTTTATCTTCTACCTCCTTCAAAACTAAGGCCAGCGGTAAGCCTATTGTCAAAAAGCATGCGCACCAAATGACCGCTATGGCAATCTTGGCTGTTGAAACATTCAGTTTGGGCTTAAATGGCGTCACGATGCCGCGGTGTCTTTCCAGAGCTATCACGGTATGCGTGACAGCCGAAACACATACAATCACCTCCTGGAAGGGCGCCAGGAAGCGACAAAAAAATTCACCCAGTGGCCAACCGATAAACAACTCGGCCATACGTAGCGGGCTAAGGATCAAAGCCACAAGAAAGTCTGCAAGGGCGATGTTTGTAATGAATAGATTACACGGCGTCCTCATACTCCGCCTGGCTGCAATAGTGGCAATAACTAGGATATTGCCTATTACACCAGCTGTGATAACGAACGCAAACAAGCTAGCATAAACCACATTTATGAAATTACCACTCGGTGACTTTTGGTTTGTTGGTACCAGCTGAGTAGCATTTGGCGTCGGAGAATACACAGATGTGTTCGCCGTTGGCGGGAATCTGTACCCAGTTAGGTTGTTCATAGCGTCCAGGATGGCTAAATTCACTCCAGAATAACTGCAAGAAAGTACAATTTATTGTTGTTAGCTGGAAAATTATTTATATAAAGTTTTCAATTTAAATAGTGAATAGTGATTAAGATGAAAAGCCATTGGCCATTCATGTTACCGATCTGTCTGGCTTTTTATCAAGGAGGGTGAGTCAGCGTTGTAAACCAGCGGAAGTACGCTTGCATGAAAGGCCATTCATTTTGCTGACCTCCACGCGTGAGCGAGAGGCCACGCATGTTTGCGTGTCTGCCCTCTCGCATGCGTGGTATTTGCGTTCATGAGCGTAAGTGCTATGTAAGACTTTGACGATAATTTGCAGAGTCGCTACAAATTTGTCACCGATTTCTTGATTAACTGTCTGTAGTCTCTTTGTTCAAATTCAAAGCGGTTCCCATAAATTTCATCTATATGGCTCACTGAAAATCCTGGCTTTCCTTTAAACTGAACGCTGTCAAATTTGAGTTATAGAATGGAAATTGAACTTCATCGACTTTAACTTGTCCATCGATTTCGTCTTTGGTTTGAATCGGTGGGGCGATGAAGGAGCAAGAAATGTATACATTCAGTGAAGAAAACACTCAGCCAGTATGCTCTTAGATAAATTAAGACAGTACAGTAGACGCCCAACAATTTTCGCTTTTTTTGCACAAGCCGGAACGAAGAGCCTAAGAGGGTGTGTGCTGTTGGACGTTAGCGGTTAGCCAGCCATTTTTGCGTTTGCGGGTGACTTTATACTAAAACACGAGCACAGGTTGTGTTGTGGCTTACACCTACTTCCCTTGATATTTTTGACTCGCATTCCGACATAAATGTTTAATTTGATAATTTTAGAAAGTCAATTCACCAAAAATTGTTCATAATGTTTTAAATTACCTTCTTGATGCCTTACTGATCTCAAGCCTGACGAAAAAACAAAAACATGTACCCGTTTTGTCTCCTTGAACTGAATTTTATACATCCTCTCGACTCCGCTTGAACTGTGTAAATCTGGGCAGATCCCTGGTTCTCACGTTCCTTTTGTCTGATATAGTATTTTCGTCAAGTCATCAGCGCGTACATGCAAATGACTCAATCACGTCAAGAAAAAGCCAGTTAGATAATCATCCGGACTGATCTAAAATGTGCCAATCGTTTGAGTAAAAAAACAAAACGAGTTTCGACAGTGAACTTCCCTGTAGGAGTTATTCACCCCCAACTGTGAGGTGCATTAGTGTATATTTAAATTAAATTGCAAGCTATATTTTTACTGATCCTACTTAGATGAAAAAATAAAAAGAAAACAAGAAAAAAATAGCTGGTGTTTCCAATTTTGCCCTCGAACTGAATACCCAATTAATTGAAGTTTATGTAGTCTTAAGACGCCTGTGTTTTTCTTTCATTTGCATTCGTGCAAAAATCACAGCATATGATATGATAAACTCAGTACTTAAATGTTTTTTTTTTTGTCCATTACCCTCAAGGTAATTACTGGGTTGTACTACGTTCTATTACGTGTGGAGCAAACCGCTTAATGGTTTACTTTTGAGGGAAACAAACCCTGCATGTGGTATATTAAACATTTTAATCGATTTACAAGAAAAATATTTATAACCTTGACATTTCTTTCACAGTACCTTAAAAAGTTTGCTGTGCTGAGCACTAGAAAGGAATTTTCGAGCGAAGGTGCAAATATCCTTCGAGATTTAAACCGTTACAAATAATGGAGAGCTTGGCATCTCTTTTGTTCCTTATTACCCCAATATTCACTGAAGAGTGTTCGTTCAAAATTCATATTTCATGCTGATGCGATTAGATATTGTTTTTACCATCATGTGAAAGTTATTTTTTTTAAGTAAAGATTTAGACCAAACATCCTGCGGCACCGGATCCGAAAAAGATTATGTTTTTTCTTGACAATCGAAGGATTGTTGAACTGTAGTTTTTAGCTCTTTTTCGACGCCTTTACGTCTGGCTTAGTTTAATATTTTTGTATCTTTAGACTTTGAATTAATCAGCTAATAAAAATCCGTATCTTAAAGCACCTCAGCATAAGGAGATTAGTGTAAACAGCATAGTTGTTTTTAGAAAACCAGTTTTTTATGAAAAATAATTGCTTTGTTTGTCGCAAACAAACTGCCAAAGACATCATGTTCATAATCTGAACAAGCTCTGACTAAGTTTGATTAGTTTCTTAGCTCGCAATCAAGTTCAGACTCTAAAAATTCAGCATAAGTCTATTGACAGACAGATGAAACGAATTGCCGTGGTTAATTTTGCAACGCGGAAGTAGTAAGACCAGACAAAAATAAAAGCTTTGTCTGGAGAAAAACATCGATTGCAATCTGAAAAAGCTACAAACATTTCGCTGATATCTTTCATATTTTGAATCTGCCGAGGTTCTGAAAAACGCTTAATATACGAAATTCTGGACTCCTTTTGCTGAACAATTGACCGCTTTCCTAGTGGAGTGGAATGACCGACCACATGGGCTTTTCGTTGAGGCAGAGGCATTGATCTGTTACAAGTCGATAATTTACGAGTTAACTTTGTAGCACAGAGCCTGCCGTTATATAACTGGTAAGCTAAACTCTGTACGCTCTGTGATAATAATATTCTCTAATGATTGATGACCTTTTTATCCTTAGCAAGAAAATGACATTTCAGCGATCAAAGCAAGGCTCATGCTTAATTTATACGCTCAATACACGCTCGTAAACTTCTCTTCTCACGAGACGACTGAAGTTTGCGTTCTGCTTTTGCGAGATGATTATGAAAAAAGACAATTGTATCACAGTGATTGAATTTTTTCTCTGTGTAGATCCTGTTACTGCTATTTCCATCTAAAACTGTTTTTGTTAAGTTATGCAAGATTTCGTTGATATAGCTTTTGATCTTCATTTGATGTTGGACTGATTGGAAATAAGTAATATTTAGTGGTGCAGTATTACATTACTGCGTAATTATTGTCTGTATTTTATGCAAAAGAAAGGAAATACAAAAATGATATTGTGTCAGGCGTTAGATGAGAGCCAAAGCTTAAAAAAATCCTCAGCAATAACAGTTATTGACGAGATTAGTGTTGTATTAGCCTGCCGTTAGACTTAAAAATCAGTTGGATAAGTCTGGCAAATTTTGAAAGCAAATTAGAAGTGAACGGTCAAAAATAAAAATTTCCGATTGATAAACATCCACCGAAACACATATAACTATGTTGAATATAAAGTATATGAAAACCCGATCGGATATGAACTCATATATGAAGGACGTACCAAATGTATATACATTAAATCCTGGACAGACGAGTGGGCAAAACATCCATGCAGAACTGACATGTATAGCCAGCCAAATGACACTTAAAATAATAAAATTCTCCATTTATATATTTATGTTATCTCTATCCGTTTGAGATTGGTCCCAGAGCTTCAAAATGTGGATAAAAGCCTTTATTTATGTTATGTTTATCATAAGTTAAGGGATACTTCTATCTCAGACAGATCCATGGGATAATTTCTCCATCCAATGGATGCCCTCAAATTAAAGCTGCCACTGTGTAAGTCCTAGTGGATTTAGTGGGCTTCCTTTGGTTTTGTGACAGCTCCCAAAATCGAAGAAGATTTTAGTTAAATACTTACAAACCACTTTCTTCCTTTTATTGACAATTGCCGATCCATTCCTAACGCATTCTCATGCCTTATTTAACCACGCTATGCCAGTCGTATCGAGAGATCGCCTTTGTTCATAATCATGGTAAATCAAAACAAATCACTCTGTAAAATGCTTTGAGCATATTGCTCAAATAATGTGTGAAACAAAACAAACAAGGAATGAAATTAGATTCAACACGAACCATTATTTTCTACCGTTTGTTTCCAACACCTCGAAGCGAAGAAACGAGCCAGTTAGTTTGGGACACTGAATTATAAGTTTACTGCAAAAAATAATAATTGTAACAAGTTGTACTGAACTATAAATTTCGGTTTTCTTTTCCTCCAAGAAGGGAAATTTAGTGAAACACTGATCAAGAGCTTTTCCTTTCTCAGAAGCACTACGTTCTTTAACTCTTGACTTTCCATTTACTTTCACAATTTAACCTTACAAAGTCACAGTAGTGTTATTCTTTTAACATGGATCTCCGCTACAACAAAATCAAATAAATAAAAGCTACATACGTCAATTCATGCTGAGTATTATGCTGCGTTTCAGCATATTAAACAAAGAACAAATCGCTTTAAACTGCATGACGTCTTTCGAGCCTATAGAAATTGTTGTCGCTATACTCTGCAGTTAGCAAGTCAGTGACGCACGACGAAGATGCCTTCATGCTCCAAAACTGTGACTTTAGGCTCTTTCATGCAGTATCTGTTCTTTTAAAAAACATTTCTGTTGTCGTATAGCTTGATTTAAGAAGGTGAAGGATTTCAAGGAATGAAACGACATCGTTTGTAGTGAGCAATAAAAAGTTCTTGAAAAGTTCTACCTTAGTTTTTCTGTCCAGTGTACTTACACAACAACGACGGCATATGAGTCGAGACTAACTTGGTGGTAGTGTTTCTTTCTGCGATCTCATAAATTCATCGTCATTGAAGACAATCAGTCTTGTATTAGGTTCGTAGGAATTAACAGGAATTAAGTGTAGGTCTTTGCAACGGCCACAAACTAAATTTGAAGAACACTCACTAAAATATCAAGTCCAATCGCGACAACCTCAACTGAGCTGTTCCCACAAGCGCGAGTCCTCTTTCTTTGACAACTGTGTCACATAAGCAGCTTTGATATCGACTTGCTAATATAGATGTCAGCTGATCGCGTGCTACCATTGGTGAAACAGCTATGACAGACACCTGGAGCCCTATCAAGCCTACACAATGCATTTTGAATTAACAATTCACATCTGCACCGTCCTGATCAATTCAATAAGTATTCCGTGTACACTGATTGTATAAAAAGACAATAAAGCAGTTATACCACAAAAAGCTGAGTAAACAATAGGAAAA